GGTGTGCCCTATAGGTACACAAACTCATTACCTTTAAGATTTTTTTTAAAGATTTGACTCTTAATAGTAAATAAACACTTTATTCCTATAAATAGAAAGCTCTGTTTAATGGATTATTTCAAATTCTTTTTTGTTCTTGAGTCGTTTAGTCAATTATTAAATATTGACTTTTGTAAATGATCACAGACAGGCATGTCTGTTTGATAGATCCATTATTTCCAAAGGTGGTGTTAGAGATGGGCTTCACTTGACTAAAACCTGACTATCTCGGCATCCATAGTATTATATAATATATCCCCTGTGGATGGATATAATTATGCCAGTGACTCCACCCTGCTAGTAATAGGATACAAACATAAATCTGGGGTCACCCTAAGTATGTATATAATGGGAGACTGAATTACATGTCCGAAAATCTTTTAGAATAAAGACATTCTCTTGACATTTTAAGAATTTCCTTTCAATAATACATATGCAGGTCTGTGGTTACAATGACAAAAAGAAAAAAAAAAAGCTTTTTAATGAAGGTTATAGATTTGTGGTTATTGATTACATGAGAATTGCAAATTTTACAACAAAATAAAGCTGGAGATTATGAACATATCCGAATTTTAGTTACCAAAAACAAGCGTGCTAAATGGTCTGTAAATAGAGAGAAACACAAATAATAGTGAATAAGTGCCAACACATAATAAGGGTATGAGGGAGAGAACTCACATGTACCAGAGCCTAATCACCCCTGGCTCTGGGTATTCAAAGCACCCCTGGAGAGGGAATGTTCCCACGTAAAGATGACTCCAATCAATGTATCCACAGAAAGCTTGATATAACTGTGCAAGATAGGGAATATAGAGAGGCAGGACCTCCAATTAGTAAATAAACTCCCTAGGAGCCTTGAAAGATGTCCGAGGCTGACATCAGTGTGTGGGATCTGAAAGATGAGGTTCTGGCACTCAAAAAACTGAGCTTCCGTGGTGTATGCTGGGTCAGGGGGTGTTTTGATAATGTTCCCAATTAAGGGCTGGGGTTATCAAACTAAAAAACTTAAATAAAAAAATTGGCCAACCAGAAGCTAGAAAACACCTCTAAGTAAAACCATACTTCATTCTGCTGCACAAACTAAGCAGTTAGTGCTGCCATCTTGAGGCATAGTGCTGGTGCTGCAGTGCTTTTCACGTGTGTGTCTGCTCACTACCGCAGGCATTCCTCTGTGAATTGATAGTCCTGTAAACACAGTTAGCTGCACAGTGTGCATTTCGCCATATTATAAAGCCGTACTGACAAAAAGTTCTATCACAAAATGCATGTACTTAGAATGCAGTAATTAGGTGCATGGTAAGTATACAAATACCGTACTCTGTGCATATATGCACATAAAGGAATCAATCTGTATACTGTGATGGAGGGTTTGTTTCCTGCGTTTTTTCCTGCTTTTTTTATTTTTAAATATTGCATTGTTACGTGACGCTTTTGTGAGATTATTGTGTCTCTGCTGCGTGTAAAGTGTTCCACATCTGCAATCTTCGCAAACACCCTGTATACAGTCTACACCATCTACAGCATTAATTATGGGAAGAGAGGTGAGGAGGAGCCTAGTAATTAAGTGCCTTGTGCACTCCACCATAATTAAATATTTAATAAATAACTATAATGTGATGTATGAAATAACACTAAATTTGTGCTTTGCAGGTGCAATCACCATGGCTCTGCTTGAAAACCTCCTGTCTGGGAATATTTATCTTATCAAGATATCGGCTGCCAATGAAGTTGGAGAGGGGCCTTTCTCTAACGCTGTGGAGCTTGTGGTTCAACCCAAGGAGACAATTCAGACCAGCTTGAAGGCAAATCTATTAGATTCTACTAGGAGTGAAGGTCAGTGTGGGGAATAGCCAGTGGAACACAGAAGTGAATGCCCGCTTATTCCATTTTCTTCCTGAGATATAAAAATAATTCTAGATATGAAAATGAATGTATGTTACGAATGACAGAATGTTATAGGAATATTAGAATATTAAAATGGAGTCACCTTTTATAGGCTAGTCACTTAACTTGGAACTGCGGAAACTGAAAAAGGGGGTAGCAGTTTTTATGCCAAAATGTCTGGTCTGGGAAATTCTTCCAATTCAGATATTGCCCTCTTTTTCAACTCTTTTCAATTCCTGGTTTTGGGAATCGTCATCCATGGCATCCAAGGCTAATAAAGAACTTTGTTTATTTAAATAACAATTTTTTTAAGTCTATCAAAATCTTCTGGAGAAGTTGTAGATGAGCGCAAAGTTTGATAATATAACACCACTGTACAAGACCTACTATAAAATTATTAAACTGTAAGTTTTACTTATTAGGAAAATAAACCCTAAGGAAACAGAACTTATTATAGCTGTGTGATTACCATAATTGGAAATACTCTGGGTTTTATCCAGAGTCTAGAGGTTTGGCATGTCCCTGACTTCTAGATGAAACTATTTTTCTCCAGATAGGGAAAATGTTTATCTACAACTCTCAACCTACTCTCATGGACTTGATGGACTGGAACATCGTTTGGGCAGAACCTCCTGTATTCCTGCCATGTTGGACCCCTTTTTTTTTTTCCTTCTTTCATATTTCATTTTTATTCATGTCTGTCCATTTTAACAGAGCCACACTCCTTTACTACAGGAGACATTCATAAGTGGTCAACCAGGGGATGAAAATTAAAGTTTCTGTTTATGATAATGGACTTTGTAGGATATAAGTCCGTTTCAGACAATGTTCAAGTACATATTTTCAAATTATCTAACAAACCAAAGAGACGTTTTATAATTCGGTAGATGAATGAAATCTTAACAAAACAACAGAAATAAACTTTAAACAGCATTATGTTGTAAATACCATCTCTTGCCATATATAATACTGAGCGCCATTTAACGCTAGAACCATAACAATCAAGCTGAAGTGAATTTTCCATCTTTATTACAGACTTCTCTGGCTACTATCATTTGGACCAGAAATCTATGACTGGCATAGTTGTTGGGGTGTGCATTGCTCTAACCTGCATTTTAATATGTGTGCTCATACTTATTTATCGTAGCAAAGCCAGGTGAGTTCCTCTGCTACCCACTTTTCTAATGTGTCCTCAGTGCCAGTAAATCACACTTGCTCCATCAATGTGAATTACTAGAATTTTTTCCTCTTTGCAAATTTGCTTATGCATGATGTTTGTGTGTTCCATTACCACTGATGTCTGATACATTACATAAACATACCGCCTGTTCTACATGTTAATAATCTGGGAGAAAGGTATGAATATTACTATGTGCCCTTTCCATACTTGTCATTGCACAATTTGGTACACTAATACTGAATTAACCTCCGAATCCTCTATAACTATAATGCTTTTATGGGCTAGTTTGAATTTCTTTTCATCTGTATACTGTAATATGTGATCAGAAAATCACAAATGCTGAATGCTTCACGTGAGGAGTATTTTCTTCTATTTGTAATACACAGGAAAGCCTCCATAGCCAAGATGGCACAACAAGGAACCGAGTTACTCCCTCGAGCGGCAGTGCTAATATCACACGAAACACAGGAAAGGAAGGCCTTGAACCAACCCGAGGAAAATGAAACTCCAGTAGCACTTGATGTGGACACTAACCACTTCTTAGATTCCAAGGTAAGGATTTTTGCAGTTCCTGCATTTTTGCAAGATGTTTTGTTGATGCTCTCCAATTGGAAACCACGCTTTTCCATGGAGAGTAAGATGTGTTTTAATAATAGCAATGCTGTCTTGGGTCTAAATATGGATGAGTAAAGTGAGAAGAGAAAGGATGACAGTGTCATTGATGAATGCAAAATGCAATTGTTGACATCTCATGCTGTCTACACCACAAACTGTATCATGAGTGTTTATTGATTAAGAGTAAAAGGACTGTTCTGTTTATGCAGTAACTCCATTCAATAATAAGCAGACAATTCCACTGCTGTCATGATGTATTAAGAATATGTAAATAATAATGTACTTCATTTACTGTTGTGTCTGATTTTGGAAAATAGGTAATATATAAGAGTACGAGTAAGCTGAAATAACTAACAGTTAGTAATGTGTGGGTATGCTTTTTGAACAGTTGTATCCAGCTTCTGTTCTCATAGGACAAGGTCAATATTTATGTATTGATCACTGATATCCTAAATCTTCCCTTCTCCTTTTTAATTCCATTTAGAAATTGATTCCCCTGGTATGAAATACTTAGAGAAACGTAGCTGGAGTTATTTAGTCTAGTGATGTGTTGAAATCAAAATGTAAAGTATGACTTGATCATAGTCATCTTTTTGTTCCAGGGTGGCTCGGATCTGATTATAAATAGTAATGGACCGATTGTTAAAAATAACTCAAGAAAGAAGTGGTTGTTTTTCATGAATAATCAGAAAGGCTATGTAGAAAAGGTAATTGTGTAGCGTATGCCTGGGGAAGGAATTGTCAGCCAGATGCCATGCCTGTTAGTTCATTTTCTAAATATCTTTTCTTCACAGCCCAAAAGAAGAATTGTGAAAACCTCATGCTTGTATCATCCTGGCACCACTGTATTAATAGGTGAAGACAGCTCCCCTACATCTCCAGGCCACCCCGGCACATTTCAGATGAGACGGAGCATAGCAGCAGATACAGAACATTCTGGTAACAGTGAGGAAAGTCATGGAACTAATGATTCAGGAAGGTTCTCTCATGAATCCAATGATGAGATCCATCCATATTCCGTTATAAGCATCACTCCGCCTAAATCAGATTCATTCACCAGCCACCAGTGTGTGAATGACTCCGTTGTAAGCAATGAATGATAACCAACTTGGGTCTGTTGCTGAGGAACCCTCTTACATCTCAGTGCATCAGATTCATTTCCTCCTAAATATTTCAAGAAGCCATTCCCTTCATGCTGGATACACCAAGCATTAATGTCTGTTTGAAGGACAATGAACAGAACACACACAAAAAAAACCCATCAACAACAAATGATTGTGGAATCTGGTTTCTCCCACCGATATATCTCACTTCTTCAGCTGAATGTTCCCTTGAGTAAATCTATTCGCCTTGAAGGTTGACTTACTGAAGAGTGAGTGGATTAGAACTCTACTGGTTTAAATCATTTGTCTTTGTTGCAAAGGGATGTCAACCAGTCTTTTTGATGAATGTCTACCTCAGCTGGTCAAATGATGAACTCCATTTCGCTGCTTTACCTGTATGTGTTTGTACGTCTCCCCAGCCTCCATCAGAAATACTTCCTATAATGTTTTATTTTTTATTTTCTTTGATATGTGTTATGAATGTTCTACCAAAGGAGTTGTAAAGGCAAGATAGACAGTTTTCTAAAGCTCTGCTTCCAAACAATATATTCAGTGTAACTATGGGTGATCTAACACCACACCAGTGAATTTTCATAATCTGTTTTCTAGGTAACACATTATTTAAATGGCACTGGTTGGTTGTAGATTAGCATTCTGGGTAATGGCATGCAAACTTCCTAAATTACACAGTATATGACTGCCAGTAGATATGGGTATTTTGGCATTATTACATATTCAACCTTGATTTCCTTTACAAATAATTTATCTGTTCACTTTATTTGCAAAACCTGTACTAATAGGTTGCAATTATAAATATAGGTTTGTCTATATCTTCATTAGAGTATGAACTGTGAAGGATTTAAGAATCAGTAATGCTTCAATTAACGTTCGATTCCTATAAAAGACAGAAGAAAATATGTGTGAAATCTTTGAAACCGATTTCTTTCATTTTTATCCCAAAAAGTCTGCATTCTCCGGGAGACAGGAGGACTGCCAATAGTTTTTTCCTTATCTTTGAAATTCCTGATTGGCTGAAATAATCATGCAGCATTTAATATGCCAGCCAGACATTTTCTGTCTCATGAATTTGAACTTGCATATTTTTGTCTTTTTTCGGTGTGCTGTTATATATTAAATATTAATATAAACGTATTACTGATCCTTTAATCCCCAAAAATTTAAATATTCACAGTTTTGTAATAATCTGTGCCTTCTTCAGTCTCAGTAGTACATGACTGCCTTATTTCATAGTGTTCAGGGTGTTACTCAGGAGAATGACAAAATGCCTTAAAAACCTAGAATATTAATGTGGACATGTTTATACAACTAAAATAATATCTGTTTTATAGGAGAGGCTTTTCCAAAATATTGTGGTGATACTTTTGTTTGGCCCTCCTTTTAGTTATCCTCAAAATAGTGGTCTCTGGCAGTTTAAGGGCTACATTTATATTTTGTCACAAGGGGTCTGTACCCGTCTGGCACATTCAGCATATATTGTTTTGTCTTTTTCTCGTTTTCTTTTCTTCAAATATTCACTCTTGTTTATTTGTTGTTTAAGCTTTTCAGGACCAGATCTTGGCAAATCTGTGATTATTTTGCCAGTCCTGTTACTTGGCTGGTCTTGAAGGGGTTAATGTACATTATTACATTATAATAATGTAAGTTTTAAATCACTGATGCAAAAAAAAGTAGAGGCTTACCCGATCTGCCTGCTATGTTGATCTGGCTCAGCCTCTTTTGTGCCAGACAGTTAAGAAGCACATTTCTCACCAGCCCGACACTGAATGGGTTAACCAATGTGTCTTCACAATTGAATGCTGTACATTTTACCCAGGGGGTGTCTTTCAATGGCCAGCTCAGGCTAAATATGTGGGGACTGACCCTTTGACTGCCATAGACTTGTGTGCATGCCATTAAACCCAGCAGGTAATCTAAAATCATGTCACACAGGAAGGAAGAATACAACAGAGCTTTAGGTAAACTGTTAACTGATAGGCTACTATCAGGTCAGGTCTTTATAATTCCTGATTTATACTACCTCTTTTTAACATTATGTGCGTGTGTTTATTTCCTGGACTCAGGGAAACAGTGTTTTATTTTGTATGTAACCCATGAAGCTATGGGACAAATTAGACAGGGTATTATGTTAGTTTTGGTTTTGAATGGAAACGGTATGGTAGGTCAGTTTTCTACCCAAAATACTTTTATCATTAATGCGGTCTTCAGAATCTAAATTACATCATACCAAAGATTGTGATTTTAATTGTAAGAACTATTAATATTTTTTCAAAAAAGAAAAAGAATAAAAATATATATAATTACCAACCAAAAAATAATGGTTGTAATAGTGCAGTAAAACCTGCATTTTAAACTACCTTTTTTGACCGAATTAGTCGTGTTCCAAAAACTTCCAAGTGATAATTGTAGTTTTTAGTTTGTAGCGCTTTATTATAACAGTATTAGATTACGTATTTTTGAACAAATTGCTCTATATGCTGAGGGAGGGGAACAAGGAGAAAAATATAACCAAAGATTTATTTTTGGGTCTTGTCTAGAAGTATGTTTAGTTTACAAAATGTGAGCTCTAGGATAGAGATACTGAATAGATTATTCTTTTCACTTTAGCGTGAAATGTGTTCATTAATATGCCAGATAACCATACTTCTACATGTTGGCCATTCCTTTTGTCATCTTAGATGCATCTCACTTGTATGCAGTCCAATTATTGCAAGACACCTAGGACTTTCTTCTGGCTTTCCTTTTTGATGCATACACCCAATTCATTAAACAAGCTCAATTTCCCAAAACCTGGTAATTCACACAGCTCTAATCCTTTGTACACAGATCGCTCCTTTTGCTGAAATAGCCCTGAGCGAGATTTGATGCATTGTGTTGATTATCCGTCTGGAGGAGGATGTGATGCATTGTGCTGATCATCAATTTGTGTAAAATAAAACAAAGCTGAATGCAAAATTATTTATACAGAGATAGTCCGTCTAAGTAGTTTTTGTTCCTTCCATCAGCTTATTTTAACATTTTAATTTTCAAGGGATTAAAAGGCCAAGCTGGCAAAGTACATATGCATCAACTGTTTACAGCTCAGAAATATATCAGGTCATCAATATTGCTCCAACTGCTGCTTTGTGAAGATAATTTAAGCAAGTTCTAAAACGGGAACCTTCATTATGAATGAAACTAATGATATGCTCCTGTTGATTTTGCTCCAATATGCTTGCGGTTGCTCTTTACACATAGCTCTCTATTTACAAGCAGCGCTGGAAGATTGGCTTGTCATCCTGCCAATGGGCTAGCAGCAAAGTGGAAATGGTTTTGGCAGATATACACATATGATGCTATAGATCCACTTTGGACAAAGAATTGTAGATAATTGTGGCACTTCTTTTGGATGATTGAAGTGTAACAGTGATCTTTGTTCTAAGAGCTTCTGCCTTAGCTATTGAGTTTTGCACAGTATTTGGCATTACCGGCAAGCATTCTTAAAGAGTCTTCTATCTGCACGCAGTGCCGTGATCTTTTTTACTATAATTGCATATTTCTTAATATTATTTTAAAATATTCCATTTTTATTTTGTTTTCTGCACATCACAGTTCCATTTGAGTTCCTTTTGCATTCTTCTTTTTTTCCCGCTTTCATTTTTTTTAGTGGCCAACAATGAATACCAAAGATATTGACGGTTATCCTGGCATATTACTGTATCATACTATTGACAATGTTTTCAACTAGTTTATTGTTGACTTTGCTGGTGTTTTTGACCAAATGTGATGCATTTTCAGAAAACGATTTCTAGGCAGGTGGAATTTTTAGGTAATGTCTGTTGTAAAACTGCTAATTTAAATTATATACAAAACTTTTATCCAGAATCTGATACAGACATTACTGTTTTATTTTCATCATTTTATTGTACAAAAGCCTAAAAATCGCACTCTTGGGGGAAAAAAACTAAATGCAGTGGCATAAAAGCAATTTCTCATTTGAATAATTACAGATTATATTCATGTTATTTCTGGGGCTGCAAAATATTGTTGAGCTTGCAGGCTTATACGACAGTGCAGACATTTAAATAATAAATAAAATATATGAAGGAAATAATAGCCAAAATACATGTACAGTATATTCTATATTTAAGAGAAATTTGTAACATTCATAAACATATATGTAATTGTTTCACTATATTGCAAGAAGTTGAGATAATAGAAATGACATTGCTGGTTTTTTTTCTGCAGGCCGGGTCAGTAGTTTTTCTTTTCTCGCATCTGTGGTAACTTACAACAGCGCTCGGCTCTGAAACGTTTTCTATTTTTATTGAGAAGGGATAACTCCCACTCACCCTTCTGCAAAAGCATATAAGCAGATACCATTGTAGGGTGACTGGGAGTGCCCATTGCTGTCTCCTAGCCTGCAGAAGACAGAATGTTTGTTATTAAACTGTTATGTCAAAGTAAATTGATGTGTATGTGTAAAGATTTATGGAAATTACAAAAAAAACCTTTCATGTAGAATAATTTATATATTATTTGTATTTTCTCTGTATGGGCACAGCATTGGCACAGTTGCCAGAAATGTTGTAGTTCACACTATTGTTCAATTTTGACTTGTAAATTGCAAACATTTATAGTAATTTTGTTTTTCACTTTAAAGGGGCACTCTAATAAACACAACCACTGCAGCTCATTGTGAATTTTCTGGATTACAAAAGGGGCTGTTGAGTGGCCATGCTTTGGTAGCCAGAAAGCAGTCTGACACGAGACTGCATATGGCACCCAAAATCATGGCACCATAACCACTACAATGATCATGTATTGGGTACGGTGAGGAGTGTCCTTGTTAAGGAACAGAACAGTTTGCCTTCATAAAATTACTAATCACATATTGAAACTAAGCACCCAACACTATGTATATCCCTAATGTTTTGGCGTGAATATATAGATTTGTATGACATATGTATATATTTAATGCACACTATGCTCCTATATCTTGTTAACAACATTGCTAAGCTTCTTATACAGGGCCATTTTTTAAGGTTGCTGGCTCACTTTGCAGTATACTTCTTGGCATTTATTTTATTTGAGAATTGGTTAAGAATTTTTGAAGCAGGCATGCCTTGTGCTCTAGCATAATATCATTCTTTATAGAGCCATTTAACGTTTTGCTACCTGGAAGTGAAGTACATTGTTTTAAATGCCAATAATACATTTACAGTATTACTTTAACAAAAAAGACATATTTCAATAAATTAATAAATAATAAAAAAAAAAAAAACAATATCTAGTCAGATTTAGATGAAGTTTATTATTATGGTAAAACAAGACAGATCCACTTGAAAAAGATTGCATCAGCCACTTTCTGTCTTGTCTTCAGCCACAGCAAAGCAATCACTTAAAAACTATAGAGCTGGGGTTCACAAAATTCCTGGATCCCCCATATCTTTAGAAATACAACTGCATTCATGCATCTACATTCTAAAGGCTGCTAAAGCATATTAGCAATTGTAGTTGTGTAATATTTGAGGGTCATTTTGGGGACCCCTGCTGTTTATTTAATGGTGTAGTACACATTGAAAAATGAGTGAATGGAATTTGTTGAGGAACCTCTGTATTTAGAAACATCTATTATACCATTGGCATAAGCTAAAGATGTGATCTCTATCTCTCCTGATAATGGAATATATGATCAGAGATAAGTTTAACAGTACAACTGCAGTGTGTAATTGCTTCTCAATTACCAGTGATAAACATAGGTTACAGAATCAAACCACATGTATTTATCTTGCACTATTAGCTGGCAAGTACCCCCCCAGCAAACATGCTCTCTTGTACATTAAATATTTTCGATAGTCAGAGCAGCAATTCTATATTCACAATCACTTTTTGGCAGACGCAATACATGCAGACATCCTGAATTGCGTAATGCTTCTGGAAAATAGTTTTTTAGATTAACCTGTCCTCGTGTAACTATGAGTAATTGATTTCTTAATTAAACTAGCACCTAAGTTACCGTAGAAGAGGCGTGTTAGAAGTACAAACAAATGGCTGCTAGTCATATTTTGACAACCGTTCTATATAACCAGTTAATGATAGTGCACCGAAAAGAGAATTTTAGAGTAATGCAGGTATAATTTCCTTTAAGAGTCTTTTCAGCCACATTTCAATGTGTTAAGGAGTCCTTTGAGATTTTTGAAAACTGATCATTCCGAGAAGGAATCTGATGTTTCTTCTTCTTAGAACATTATAAAAAACGGAGAGATTCATGTACAAAGGATATTACCCTGCCTGTAATTATTTAGAGGAATTCTGGGGAATATTCTTTACACTGAGGTAGATAGATCACTGACTTATCAATGTGTTCTTTGAAGTCTTTGACAGAGCAGTTGAGCCAACTTCTAATACAATTTTTATAAGCCTCTGCTTTTTGATCAGTGCTGGTCCCCATTAAAGGATTTTATAATATGTTGCATAGGTAGCAATTATGCTTTAATCACATCTCTTGGAGCAAAGTCAGATATTTTATTTATAAATATGCCAGATTCAGATACACACCAAAATGTCTCTATAACAACCTAATCAATATGATCTTCTCCATTTCTTTTCACCCAATACATGCATCTACCTATAATGTAATTTTGAACACCAAAAAGAGTTACAAATATTAATTTTTTTATTTATCCAATTTTATCTGAAACAGTTATTTTATCTAACTCTCTGTAGGTCTATTTATATATGAAATGTTTATATATATATATATATACATATATATATATATAAATAGATTATGGTGGGGAAAAATTGTGATTGAAAACCCCTTCCACCTGAAGTATGTGGATAGTTAATACAATGCTAAGCAAAAATCTGCACACCAGTCAAGCCATAAGACTTGCTTTTCCCACAGAAATCCCAAATCAGCAGTGATGTTACAACCGCAAAGGATTCTGGGTGGGCATATGCAAATTAGTTTAACAAAGAATCACATTTTTGCCTCATTCCATTTTAAACATGGATTCCTTTTAATTTGTGTTTGCAGTATACAACTGCTTGGAACACAATTTAGGATAAGATGCAAAACCAGTGAACCACTCATGGACAGCTGTTTCGTTGTTAATGCAACTCTTCAGCATGAGGTTGGTTACTGGTTTGCTTATGGAGGCTTGGTAGTGCTTGTGAAGCAAGATCCAAATAGATTATGGTGGGGAAAAATTGTGATTGAAAACCCCTTCCACCTGAAGTATGTGGATAGTTAATACAATGCTAAGCAAAAATCTGCACACCAGTCAAGCCATAAGACTTGCTTTTCCCACAGAAATCCCAAATCAGCAGTGATGTTATAACCGCAAAGGATTCTGGGTGGGCATATGCAAATTAGTTTAGACATTTCACAAATTTAGACAAATCCATCTCTAAAAATATTAAACTAGGTATTTCTATACACCAATATGACCAATACACACCAAATGTCATCTTGATTTTGATCTTTAAATGTGAAAGTCATGAACCCTGGTGAAATTGTTGAATGATGCGGCTCTTGGAAAATCATTAAGATTTTAGATAACTGACTATTCCAGTTTAAATAGGACAGTTGAAATAATCTGGAATGACATCATCATTACCTTTATGGAGTAATTTAAAGAATGTTGTCATATATATATGTTTACAGATATTTTATCTATCATATTAAAACATTACAGTCTAATTCACTTTTCCTGGAGCAGTACCATTGCAGCTGTTAATTTACAATCGGTTAGATAAGACTTACCAACATTTTAAAGGTTAAAGGTGACCTAGTTTTAAGAAGCATTGCTTGGGGTTCTACATTTAAACCCCTTAGTGATGCTCCCAAAATAGTCCTTCTCATAGTAGCATGTTCTCAAATGGACCAAACACCAGAACAGTCTTCATAAAAAGCTGCTGTCAGTTATGTTATGGTGAGTCGGTAACAAACTTTGCTCTTAATTGTTAATACATTACATTACTAACCTTTTGAGGGCCAAGGGATGCTTACATAAATCTTTGCACAAAAAGGTTCACTTCACCTAAACAACTAAATAGTTGTAGTAAGTTTAAAAAGATATTGAACATTTTGAGCCAATTTGATAGTCAGGTTGGGGATTTTGGCTTTTACCTGATGGCTCAGAAAATGTTGCATCATACTTTTATCACATTTATGGAGTTTATTAAAAGGGAAGTTATTTATAGAAATGATTTATAGGAGAGAAAGATGGAAAAGTTCAACTTTTATAACTTTGTACATTTCCCTGATAGTGTGCCATTGTGTATATACATATATTGTCAGTTTGATTAATATGTAATTATTCAGAATGATGTTGTATAATATCCGTGTTTATTTGCATTAATTCATATGGTTGAAAACACCAGTGAACATCATTACAAATCTTCTCTAATAGCAAATATATTTTACTGGTAGAGAATACTTAGTCTGTACAGATATCTCATATTCTAGCTTCGAGATGGCTTATCGATCTTTCTTCCGCTGCTGCTGTGCTACAACCCCTATTGCTTTGAGCCAGCCGTGGTTAAGTCTCCGTAAAGTTGTGAACCCATTTTTAAGATGGTTTCACAAGAACTTTTTTTTATTTTTATTTTTTTACTTTTCTTTTCATGTAAAGGGAGCGATGGTACTGTAAATACTGGATGATGTAACTGATTCATTTACGACTGTACTCAGGGGGATCAGCTTTGTCACTCCATTGTATTTTACCAGATGTTCACCTTGACCTTTGAATGTATTTTCAGTTTATTGATTTAATATGTTGTTTAATATTGTGTTGCTTTTTTTTATAAAATTTAGTTGATGTCTGTTACATTTTTTTATTGTTACTTTTGTTTCTTTTATATTTTAATGGGGTAATGAAATACTTCATGTCTTGCCAAAAAAAAGTATAGATGTTGAAATTTGAAATGCCAAATGTTTATGTTATTACTGTGATAACAGTAAGCAAATATCAGTGAGTTGCACAGTTCAAATAAAAAAAAAATGTTTTTGTTTTTTTTTCTAAATAAATGCATCGTGTGTGTGTTTTTGTTTTTTTTTTAATCTGAATTAACCTGCAGTGAATTTTGAAAGTCAGCTGTGTAACATTCAGGGATTTTTTTCATTAAACTCCAAATTGTAGCAAATCGAAACCGGAATGGCACAATTATAGCTATGCTGGGACTATTGCCAGGTGGAAGAATTTTCAAATCGGCTATTGTAGCCAAAATCTGGCGGTTCAGAATTTGAAGTTTAGTGACTACATCCATTAGTAATGACTTAGTAATTGGGAACATGCCTTTCTTAACATTTAAATATGCCTCCATTACTAATCTCCAAACATGTCAAATGAACAAAGAGGGACACTTATTTTTTGCTGTGTAGTTTTTGGGAAGACTTTGGGCAAAATTATGATTTACCAATTACCATAAATGTAACTAAAAAATTAATTTAGAACAAGACCAAATCAAACTACCTATTTTTTATTTTTAGTAATTCTTTTTGCTGTGCAGAGTGTTACAGAGACGCAAGCAATTCCACAACAGCAGAAACAGACACATGTCAAACATAATAATACAGTATAGTGGGATTTGACCGTAGGCACAATTTTGTAAGAAAGATATAATGGGAACAAGTAAGAGACACCTATTTTAAACAGAAAGTAGGCCTCTCAGGCATATGTAAGCACACAAGGATATACTATTCAGTCAACATAGCAGAGACTTACTAAGCTAGATATCAGGTAACATATTGGTTAATGCTTTAAGCACACAAGGTAATAGTAGACAATCTAGGTATCAGACAGTGTGTACGTAGCTGTTTCTCAATATTCTTAGAGTGCAATTTAGTAAGACATGCTCTAGACACAATGCTTAATTAAAGAAAAGAAAAATGATAAAGAACTATAACCAACATGCTAAACTAACGATATAATACCAGGGTGTTCTGCAAGAAAGTGTCACATATATGATAAACTAAAGTGAAGCTACAGAAAACAGTTGGGACTGGATCAGCAAGGGAGTCATGTTGTAGTGATCAGGCATTCTTAGAGGTGAGCACCTGGGTTCCACCGATTCCTGTAGCTGCCTGGCTCAGATAGAGCACATAAAGTCCATTAAGGACGACAGCGAGACAGCCTCCAGCCGCACCACTAGGGGCCGACACCACTAGGCCCCGATTTGGGGCCTCTGTGAGTCCAAGTCTTTCCCACGTGAGGAAAACATGGACAGTGTTTTAGGGGAAAGCCCTTGTTGGCCCCTAGCCCAGTAGGGCAGACATTGGGTGATACAGGAGTATCACCTGCAGGCGGTGATTGGCCCAAAACTTCGCAAAGATAGCCTCCAACGAGGTCAAGGAGCCGGAAGGGTCAATATGTTGCTGTGCCAGGCCTCGGGAATTAGACATAGGTGCATCCACCATCTTGAATGTCGCTGTTAGAATTTTACACTGGGGCTGGAAACGCTTAAGCTGCGATGGACTTATGCTGTTAACACATCCTGCTTTCCTTAATCTTTTTTTATGTTCACTGCAGAGAACAATTAATGTACAATTCAAGCAGATCAGTCATTATCAAGTTTAAGAAGTAAGTGTTTGTTTTTAATGCGGGTACAGCGTATATATAAAACAAACACAGTTTTCATAGGGGTTTATCAAACAGAAGACAAATTCAACCAATCATAGACATTTAGTGCAAAAAGTATAATTATTCATATACGTATTACAGGAAATCTACTGCACGTCTAGCACGTCTTCTCTAAACTATGCAAAGGTTATCTTGGCCTGTGAGACAAAGAAAAGGGAGGTTGTGGTTGTCCTGAGACAGAGAAAATGGAGTACTGATTGCAGCCAAGAGAGAAAATTCTTGCTTTTAACACCTGCAGACGTGGAAAGACTTAAGACAAAAAGGCTTTTTAACCATTTATTTACCTGTATCTATGACAAGTCCCCTTTTCTCTGGTACTGCAGGTGAGAGTGATGTAAGGTATCTCCAGATGTACTAATTACATCTGTGGGCCTTTTATTAATTGTTCACCTCGATTTCTCACCAAAAGAGCCATCAAGGGAAGCTTGCCCAGATATCTGTTGCTACAAGATAATATATGTTATGAAATCCACGTCTCAGTATGCAATACAGCCATAGGTTACTGTATATATTCATAGCTCTGTATGTCTAGGGGAATATTCACTAAGATTGCATAAGTAAAATAATTAATTCTCCATCAGTCATGCTTTGAGTTGGGGTCTGGGGGACTGAGGGGGGGGGGAGGAGGTAAGAGTACTGAAAACATGTTCTGTATTCTCTGGTTCAAGCAGAGTAGCCATCTCACTTCAGCTCCATGCCAGTAGGCCTCAGTTTTTCACTGCAGGCTTCCGGGTGTGAATCCTTTCCAACCTACCTATTTTACACATACTAATTGCTAAAAACTTTAATTGCACTTCAGAGCCAAGTTATTATGAGTTCTGTTGCAGTAATGTAGGATGGTAGTCTCCTTACCCATCAAATTTATAAAAAATATACCAGCAATTTACAGCTACTGGAGAAATGGTAGACTAGGAGAGAAAGAGGAACAGAGGTATTGGGGTTAAAAATAGGGACTGTGCATCCCAAAGAGGGACGCTCAAGAGGTATAGATTACATCTATAAAAATGTTAATAATAACTTACGTAGCCCTGAGACTGCCAAATAATACATTTAAAAAAAACATGCTAAATAAGCACAAGATTCTAATCACATTCTGTTTTGGCCTCTTAAATCTTTCTGTGGCTCTCTGTTACCCCTACTCCGCCTGCTCTGTATTTGTACAAACACAAATATTTAGTAAATCTGATGCGATGAAGTGCTAAATTATGCACCAACGGAAGGCCAAGGCTAAATATATTTTCAGCAACACTTTACTGACGCCAGTAGAAAGGAAATGCCTGAGTGCTAATTTTTTTAGTGACTTGGGAATCTATTTACTAAACGGTAAATTGTGGTAAACTGACTGCTGACTTAATACATTTTGTCAAAATAACCAAGTTTAAAATAAAATGATCCAAATTCCACATTTATAACAACTTGGCTATTAATGGCATACATTTTGCATGTCGGTTATCGTGAAGAGGCACATTTTTCATACAGTAAGAAACGTTCATTCTCCAGTGATGTGGGAATGGTGTGATGTAAGGGGAGTACATTTGGCATGGCCAAAAGGTAAACATCCAGCTGTTACAGAACTACAACTCCCATAATGCTTTGCAAGGTGTAAAGCTGACAAATCTTCATGGGTGTTGAAGTTTCTAAACCGCTAGGAATCTACTTTTTGGCATCCAGTGGAATATGTGGTAGATAGTTTTTCAGAATAAATGCACAGAAAGAATTAAATGAATAAAGGATAGACCAGATAGATGCAAACGTCACAGGATCCAGAGAGTCCGCTCTAAAGATTATTCCCATTCTGACACTATTAGTATTAATGGGATTCAGTGCTAGTGAAACATTCCGATTATTCACATGCTGTCAGATTTGGTAAAAGTGAGCCAGAACAAGCATGTTGCTTGAGATCTGTCAATTCTGCTTCCATCAGAAAAAATCAATTCAGCTTTCTTAACCCAGTCAATAAAACTTGGAGTTTTGTGTGTAGACTTCCAGTGGATATGAGTTAATGTCCCAGCAGTGATCAGAACATGTTTGTTTAGTGAACCGATATACATGGAGATGGTTTAGTCAGGTACTTCAGTGAGTTGAGATACAAGGAAAGACCATCTGCTTTTTTATTATCTAACCTGAACTTGGCATTGCACTTGGGAATGTTCACCATTAGTCACTGCTCGCAGTACAGCAGTCACCTCCCGTTCATCTCTTTAATTCTAGAATATTATGATTCCAGGTTACTTATTCAGGAGTTACTGTCGCCATCTGGGGACTTTACCTAATTTGCAAAGTCCCTCAATGATGACATTGCCACTAGGGGTCCAGTGACCGGGGACGGGGCAAAGGTGAATTTAACTTGTCGCTCGCAGGTGCCGCCATCCTCTTTTGGCTGATGGGCAAATAGTATAGGTTCTCTATGTAACGGCACAAGTGAGCAAAAATATTTTTGAGACCAGAGAGGTGACTAACCGAAGGGCAAGCTATTGAAGTTTCTCTAAGCTGTTGTCTGTTCTCATATTTTCTGTTTTTACTCCTGCAATACTCCTTACGGGATCTACCAAGATTGGCAGTAAGTTGCCTTATAGCATATGTACTGTGATTAGGCTGTGGATTGATAAACTCTGGAAAATTCCTCATCCTACATATGTGGAAGTTGAGCATAAATGCATACTAACGGTGGAGGGGAAAATGGCTGCCTCAATCATCTGCATCTCTGAGCACTTGTATAGGATTTGAAAGTTACCTCAAGTTATATCCAAACGTAAATACTTCCTGCTTCTTGACAACAAAATTCAAATTATCTTGTGAATCAGGATGTTACTTTTTTTTTTCTTTTTTCATTTCTTTCCTCACCTTGTCTCAGTCTCATCTCCCTCTGTTAACAAATGTTCCAGACGGATACAAATTGAGGCGCTACATGAGACTGCTGGACGTTTCTAGGACACTTGAACTCACAATGCAGCGAAGTACCTATGGTGCTGCGGGAGTGCTCTTGTCGTGCTACAACGCACTTAAAAAGGCTATCTGGAGTATTGCCTGGGGGGTGGTTGGAGGGAGGTGGGAGGTTCCTGGAAGAGCCTATACATGGGAAATTGTTTTGCTGAAAATGTTTTACTGGGTTGTGCTGGGTGTGACGGTCATGCAGATAGGAGCCAGGTTATGATAGTAGGATGATCAAGCGCTATGGGGATGGTGGGATAGGGGGTGGGACAGGCTGGGACTCAAACTGTGTTACCCTAGGCTTTACTCTGTTCAAGTAGATGTAACATTGCAATTAAGTCAGGCTAGGTGAGGGCGAAGACGGATAACCGAAAGTGGCGATGGGATGCACTGTATACCCGAGGTACCGTACTCTGTCTAGATACATGCTTCCCCAACACTGCACTATCACCGCCTACGAGTGCATACACCTACACTGCAGCCGGGCACTCGTCTGCCCACAGGACATATTTCCGAGCAGACAAGTCCCTAAACACCAGCCTCTTGACCCTGGGGACACTTACCAAGGACCTTTATATGGGACACGAGATCCCATGTTGAATACCCCCTCACCCAACCCTGCCCACCACGACCCACTGCACGCAACAGGTCAACCACACAATGTGCTGACCGCACAGACTAAAGGAACGACCCATGGGGGACGACCGAACTGTCGACAAAAGACACACCACGCCACATTAGACAACTGGACATTAGCACGCACCACGATGTAACGTGACCGTACAGATCGTTAGTCTAGGAGACCTAGCTACCGACATCAGACTGGAAACATGTGGGATACGGACGACTCACTGAGTAAGCCACACACGCTACTACGAACCCTAGACACTGAGCTCCTGCTACTCTGCAGGCGGACTCACTGGACTCAGCTGGTTTCACCACCCCTGACTAGACCTGTGTAGACACAACTACTGGGGGACCCAACTCCGTGGCTGCCCTAGCTCAACTGGGAGACGGTACGGTCTTGAAATCCACCCACCTACACAGGTCCCCCTCGTATTGAGGGAAATTTCCCCTACTGAGGTCACACTCCCGTGGCCTCATATCGGTGGCCTCTCGGGTCGGACCGAATCGGGAGCAGGTTGAGCCGTGTACAATTCCTAGGTGTCCTAACTCTTGGGTGTCATAACCCTCCTCTTACTTTTCTGCAACCGCAAACTCTCTCCCCCCTCCCCCCAAACTACCACATAGCAGTAGGGGTGCGCACGGGCATCTGGACCTGAAACACCAGAACACGACTGCCGCAAGAACTGCGCACGCAACCACACTCACTCCATGGCTTACACGGCCGCACCCCTTCATGTGCTAACGCAGAACTGTCGAGGCCTTAACACGCCTGAGAAGCGCTCACATTTCCTGCGAGAACTACACCGCAAACGGGTCTCGGTAGCGATGCTACAGGAAACGCACCTCAAAACATCCGATACCCACAGATTGAAGGACAGAGGATACCCTACCAACTACCACAGCACCCACTCCACCGACCGAAAGGCAGGAGTAGCGATACTAGTAGCCGCTAATACCCAATTCACCCTGATGGACCAACTCGCAGACCCTAACGGTAGATTTCTTTTTATCAAAGGCACAATTTCAGGAAAAATTTACACCTTCGCCTCCATCTATGCACCAAATGCAAAATGATCCGCCAACTGGCAACGTTTACGGAAGGATCATTCGTCGTAGGGGGGGACTTCAACGCACCGCTTGACCCACTAGTCGACTCATCGACTGGACACAGCAGTATACCACAAACTGCGATTAGAACAATAAGGAAGGCCCTGCGAGACCTGAGACTGGTAGACACCTGGCGAACCCTACACCCGACAGTTCGAGGCTATACACACTATTCAGCCATACATAGGAGATATTCGCGTATTGACTACGTTCTCATACAGCAAGAAGGACTACAACGTTTGCAGTCGGCTGAAATTATACCGACACCATGGTCGGACCACAGCGCAGTGTCCATACACCTGGACTCTCCTCTATTTAGGCCCACTAAGACGGCATGGAGGCTGAATGAGTCGCTCTTATCAGACCCGGAAGTGAAATCCCTTCTGACAGAACATCTAACCAACTACTTTACTGAGAACGATACAGAAGACGTGTCGAAAGTGACGCTTTGGGAAGCACACAAGAGCGTGCTCTGGGGACATCTCATAAGGATTGCATCACGCAAAAAAAGGGAAGCACAGCAACACATGCTGGAACTCACCGACCAGATATCAAAACTGGAAACACAACACAAGCGGTCACAACTTGAGGAGCACTATCGCTCACTACTGGACACCCGCCGACAGCTGGCGGATCTAGTGGCACGCAAACACCACAGAGCGACACAGCGATCCAAGGCCTTCTTCTACATCCACGCTAACAAAAGTGGGAGACTCCTAGCTCGTATGATCCGACCCCAATAAGCCAGAGCGCAAGTACATGCACTACGAACAACCGATGGCTCCCTCACACAATTCCCGGAGGCAATAGCCAATGAATTCCGTAAGTATTACCAACGACTGTATAATACCTCGCCAACGACTTCCGATGCTCAACGCGCCAAACTGCAAGAAGCAACAACGCGCTACTTGCAAAGATTTCAGCCGGACGCCCTAACACCGGAGGAAGCAGACCTACTGGAAGTCCCAATAACCACAGAAGAGGTACAAGCGGCGATTAAGGCAGCGAAGAAGGGGAAAGCGCTGGGACCAGATGGACTCTCGGCGGGGTACTACAAGTTGTTTAGGGACATTCTGACACCACACTTAACAGCAGCCCTCAACCGACTCCAACAGGGCGATAAATTCCACCAGGAAACTTTAGCAGCCACAATCACGGTGATACCCAAACCTGGCAAGAACCCCGAAAACTGCAGTAGTTACCGGCCGATCTCGCTCCTTAACGCGGATGTGAAACTCTTCACCAAAGTCATCACCACAAGGTTACAAACATACGTACCGCTCCTAATCCACCCTGACCAAACAGGTTTCGTACCAGGCAGGGAAGCCAGAGACTGCACACTCCGAGCGTTCTCTATACAGGCATTGGCGCTTAAACAGAGAACGGAACTACTGATGCTCTCCACGGATGCCGAAAAGGCATTTGATCGGGTGACTTGGAGCTTCATGATGGCAACACTTCATAAGGTTGGCATGGTGAGAGGAATGATAGCCTGGATAGCGGCGTTCTATGCTAACCCTAGTGCCAGAGTGAGGGTGAATGGTGCACTCACAGACACCTTTACCATCCACAACGGAACCCGACAGGGCTGCCCATTGTCGCCGCTCCTGTTTGCCCTTTCATTAGAACCGTTTCTGGACAGGATAAGGCAAACCCCAGAGATTCGAGGGTTTAGACACGGGGATCAGGAACATAAGGTAGCCGCATATGCAGATGATATGCTCTTTTTTGTGGACAACCCTGTCGACTCCATGCCGGTCCTGATGCAGGAATTTGACACCTATGGACAGGTATCGGGTCTGAAGCTTAATCAAACTAAATGTGAACTGCTGAACATACAGACTCCAACAGCAGTGCGAGAGCAGATCACACGCGAATATCCCTTCCACTGGTGCGCAGACCAGATGCGATACCTGGGAATTTGGATACCCAGCAACCCGAAAGAGCTATATACCAGGAACTACATACCCCTCCTACGCACAATACTGCTCGACCTAAAAAACTGGAACTATGACCACATATCCTGGCAGGGACGCATAGCGGTGATTAAAATGAACATCCTACCACGGCTGCTTTACTACTTTAACACCATTCCCTGGCACATCCAACCAGAATTTTTCGCAACGCTTAAATCGGCAGTAATAAAATACGTCTGGAAAGGAGGGAGCGCACGGCTCAGCTACGACAAGCTATGCTTACCTAAGAACTGGGGCGGACTAGCGTTACCCGATATACTCAAATACTTCCAGGCCGCGGTCTTACAGCGGATCAGAGATTGGCACGCAGCGTCCGAAAACAAATTGTGGGCTGCACTAGATAGAGAGAGCACAAACAAAGCCCTCCACATGTATACATGGCAAGGCTCAGCAGACGCGGCATCAAAACTAGGCAATGAATCACCAATTGTACAAACGCTGAAGATATGGTCATCCTTGAGACAGAACCAACATCTCTCCCCACAACCAAGCCCATTGATCCCGATAACACACAATACTGCGATAGGTGGGGGGCTGCACCGATCTGCTTGGCCGATAAAGGGAGACAGAAATTATATCCCGATGTCCGAGGTCCTGAGCAATACCGGACTGAGAAACCTGCGAGAGTGGAGTACGACGACACAACAGACGCTGATGCACAGATTTCGATACGCACAACTGCTGCATTTCTACTTCAACCTCCCCAACAGGGTAGCGATACACAGAGAGCAGACGTGGTTCGAAAGCCTCTGTGTGACCAACACCGGCGCAGATGGTAGGGTATCGCTCATCTACCAACACACGGAAAACCACACACGGAAAAATGCGTTTAAGAGGCAGTGGGAAGAGCTGACAGCTAGGACGTACACTGAGGCACAATGGGAACAGATATTAATATTGCAACACAAGAGCTCCATAAGCACCAGGTATCAGGAGGTCAACTTTAAACTAATCTCTCAATGGTACAGGACCCCATCTTTACTACACAGAATTTTCAGGGGAACCACGGATACATGCTGGAGGTGTGAATCCCAAACAGGCACCCTACGGCACATCTGGTGGGACTGCGCGCTGATTAAGCCATATTGGGAGGACATACAGAGGGAAATGACGATAATCCTGGGAGATTTGCCGGACTTTAGCATAGAAATGGCCCTACTGCATTACACGGAAGGCTCGATAGCCCAATACAAACGATCGATATTAAGGCACCTGCTCAACGCAGCGAAAGCATCTATACCAGTCAAATGGAAACAGACCCAACCACCGACCGTTACGGAGTGGCTACAGAGAGTTGAGGAAATACACACGGCTGAGGCGCGGTACGCAGAACTAATAGGGAGAAGCACCAAACACGTCGACATCTGGACCCCATGGTATGTCTACCTCTCACGTCCCAGAACTAGGGAGACATAGCACGCACCATAACACCCCGACACATGCTGTCCTTCACATTCCTCCCCCCCCCCCTCCTTTCCTTTTCCCCACTGCATCTAATCGACTCCACAGAACTTTTCTGAGGTTCTACGCAGATGCGGCTTGACCTGCGCCCGAGGAGGCCGGAGCCGGGAGGACCCGAGCGAGCCGCTACACGATATATAGCCATGACACGAAGCAACTTCCATAGATACGAGTCATCGACTTAAATAACAGCTGACTGATGGAGGTAGAATGGGACCAGACACATAGAGAACTAGTTCTCAAAGCAAGACACAATTAACTGACGGGAGGATAGGAACTAAACATCTGTCCCATGACAGACTGGGGCGACTAGACGCAGGCATAACGTACACCTGACCAGAGTGATATACGAACAAACAGAAACAGTCAAGCTAACGTTTATTACGCAATCCACCTTTGGGGCCACTTTCTATAGGAGATCACAGGTTAACGCTAAGATTTGGGGAATCACTTTCTCAACAGCGACATGTGAGAAATTGGAACCCGAATTATCGATTCCATTACAATAGAATTAGTTAAACGAATAATTTCCTATACTAAGCTTAATAGCCTATGTGCCAAGTATCACTAATCATTGACGCAAATGCTTTTCTGCTCCACATGTCACATATTTTTGGTAATGAAGCTACTACCTTGTCTTTTCCGTCAGACCAGTAAGCTTAACTCTACAGCAGAATTCTATAGTTTGGTAAGGATATAACCACTCGTTTCTACCTAGCCTGTCATTATTGCATTTGCTTCAGCTTCAGAAGTGCGCACTCACCTACAACTGTTAAACCTATCTACACCTTAATGATTGCTGTTATGACACTTGACGAATGTCACGGGATCGAAAGACACTAATGCTCATTATTTGTACCATTATTCAACTTGTTCCTATGCACATGTACGCTGTTGTGGTGTATGTATGTGTTTTGTACTCACCTGAACGACAAATAAAGAATTTACAAAAAAAAAAAAAAATGTTCCAGACACAAGTTTTTTTTTAAATTCTTTATTTTTGATTTTGCATTGATATTGAAATTTCAAACAATTAAGTATAAATTCGTCAAGAGAGTAAATTAGACTCTGAGGGGCCAAAGGCCTGGCACAGAAACTTCCCTCCTCTATAACTACACACTCACACGCTCGGTCTCTAAATTGTCAACTGACATGTCGCTAAAAGGTGGGTGGTGGGAGGGAGAGGAAAGCCCTCACGTCCGCGAATCCTCAATTTGCTTATTACCTGGCAGTCGTTCGTGTCCCTTTACTCTCCCCACCCCTCTGCATACTGCCAGTCTGGGGGGGGTCCAGTGTCGGCTGGGTGCACACTCATCCTTTAACCATCAAGCGTTAGCCTGTCACGTTGATTACTAGCGACTCTCTGATACGGGGGGTCTCTCTGTCGAAAATGTGGCATCTATCACCTGAGGCACAATAAACATTAAGGGAGGGAGAGAAGGTCAAGGCCATCCCCAAAGATGTCACCGCTAGTCGTTCTATGGTCCCCGCGTTCAGACAATCACTCACATTCCACCCTCTCCCCCAGCACCCGTGCTCACCCAGCCCTCCCCGTGTGTGTGAGGGAAACAAACTGCCCACAAGAGATAGTATAGAGAGCAGAGAAAGTGGGTAACAGCTGTGAAGCTGGTAACTTGCAGTGCCGTCCAACATTAAAACCTTAAACATTTAAAACATGAAAACATTAGCAGGTCACATTTAGGCAAACTGTGGTATGGGTGTCTGACTGGGCTCTGCTGGAGCTTGGTGAGGTGGGATACTTCTCATGGCGCAGCAGTCTATGGAGGGTCTAGGTCTAGGGTACAGCTCCGGGGTACTTGTCTGGGTCCTGCACCAGGGTCAGCCCAAGCTGGCAGCTTCGATGGCAGCTTGGTTGCAGGAGGCAGCTGTAAGGTGTGTAAGACTGTTGCCGGGTCCTCGTCAGCAGACAGGGCAGCACCGTATCTTTGTAGGGTATCACCAGTGTCCCTTTTACTCCCCAACGGTATCTAATTCCACTCTCCCTCAGTCGCCTTGTGACTGGCATAAATCTCCTCCATTCCGCTAGCACGGAGAACGGCAAGTCATCAAAAAGCTGGATTGCATTTTCTTCCACATTCACTACGGAGGTATTTCTGGCCCTGGCCAGCAGGGCAGCTTTAATGGAAATGTCCCATGTGACTGCTATTATGTCTCTGGGTGCATCAGCTAGGGCAGTGGGCAGTGCGGTGACCATGTGGGAGAGGCCCTGAACTCTCTGTGCACGTACGTCCAGCTGCAATCGGTTCTCAGTCACACGGTGCTCTCTGACCTCTTCTCGTGAGTCAATCTCGCCAATGCGTTGAGTCAGGCCGCTCATTTCCACCTGTACCCCAGCCAAGTACGCCTTCCACAGCTCTCGTAAGTCCAGCAGGAGTTTCTTTATGTCCCCTTTGGTGGATGGAGAGGTGTCGGCATCTGACTCCGTTCGTTGATATATCTGGCTCGGTGCCCATGAAGTAGCGGGGCTCTCACTCTCGTGGGAGTCATCCGACTCAATGGATTCCTGAGGAATGTCATGCGCCATTTTGGGCAGAGGCTGTGATTGCAGCCTGTCAAATGATCTGCGTATGTTGGATATGAGGGTGCCCTCTCGTTGGGCTAACTTTTTCTGTTTGCGCCCCATCCCTCTATGGGGGATTTGTGTGTAGTAAATGCTAAGTTATCTCACAATTTGTGTGGCAATAATGTCGATTTGGTTAAAATACAGCCAGAGCTTTTCTTAGACACGTCTGGTCCATTGTTAAGCTGGCCACGCCTCCTTCCAGACACAAGTTTAACATTATTAGAAAACCTGTACTATTCAAATAAACCATAGACTGATAAAAATAATACAACATGGCTATGGTCATTAAAGCTCCAATGTGTAGCTTGCATTCATGTATATTATGGTATATGTTGCATATTGCAAGTACCCTAAGCAATGGATATAGCTTTAAACATTAGAAGATAAGAGGGGTTGCAAGCCTCTTAGTAACCACTAGATGGCAGTACTACATATATCCTGATTTTATTAAAGAGGGGCAGACATCTCAATTTGGGTTATGTATAAAAGGAATTATATGGCAGAATTCTGAAACTGGAGCAACCAGCACAAACATCCCATTGGTTTATGTGGTTTAAAATGCTGCCCAGTGATTGATCTTTATATATATATATATATATATATATATACATAATTACCATTTGAATATATATATTCAAATGGTAATTATGGGCAAAAAGGGGCCCCAGCTTGCCTAATACTGTCTTGGAACCTCTCAAGGAACGTGAAAAGTATTGGCAACAGGGTCACTTTACTGGGTGTGTACTGGTGAGCAGGGGCAATTTTCCTGTAGAACCTTGGCATCTATTGGCAAGTAGGAGTCACTTTTCCCAAGCGGAGTCACATTCCTGGAGTTCCTGGTGTCTTATTTACACACAGGGGGTTGAGGGACTTCTAAGCGTTTATCGGTAAGCAATGGTCTACTTTCCAAGAATGCCAGGGTGTCTTGCTGACCAGGGGCTATTTTCTTGAGTTGCCTGAGTGGCTATTTGCGCAAAGGTGCCACTTTCCCAGGTTGCCAGCATGCCTGTTCCTGAAAACCTAATATATAAATGTCTTTGAGGTTTAAGGAACATGGCAAAGAGTACAAGGTGTTGCTTTGGCCTCCATATTCCCCAGATCTAAATCAGATTGGAACAACAAATTTGATTCATGTAGGCCTCACCTAGCAATTTGCAGAACATAAAGGATCTTCTGTTATTGTCTTGGTGCCAGATACCACAGGACACATTCAGAGGTCATGTGAAGTCCATGCATCGACACATCAAAGCTGTAGTGTCAATCGATCACACTGCAAACACAAATCACCCAAACAATTCTAAATGAGTGATCGAAGATGGTGTAGATGGCACTGGCAGTAGTTAAACAAGAGTAGTTTTTTTTAAATTCCTGGAAGATGAAAGTCTGTCTCTGTCCAAACTCCTTGTGCTGACTGCTGGCACTATCCTCAATATCCCCTATGTTCTGCTTAAGGGTGGTGGTAGTAGAAGGGATACTGCTGGTGGTGGGAACGGCACATGATCTAATACATTACCAGTGGACCTGCTGCCTGCTCTAGCACTTTATTTTTCTGCTTCTTCCTTCAGACTTGTGTCTTTTAAGATGTAGACCCATCACTCCACCATTACTCAGTTCCTAGCCCTTGGAAACATTCAAAGTGATCTCAAACCTTGCCTTGGTGCTATACATTAGCCTCAGTCTTTCACCTTGCAGCTCTTGAAGAAGCGGTTGGATTTCCATCAGTTGCAGGGGAAGCTGTCATAACACTAGCAATTTGTTGAGTAACGCCAATGGAAATGGTGATGGTGATTGTTACGGTTGTCCCAGGCTTGCTGAGGGTTGGACCACCTGGATGTTCTTGACCCCGAGCTTGGAGAGCAGTGAAAAGTTCCAAGTCAGCTGATATTCCTGGAAGTGTAGAATAATCCTGGAGCTCTGAGCAGAGCTAGTGATTAGCATTTCCCTACAAGACGAGTCAAGGCTGCGAGTTGAGGGTAAGTAGACTGGTTTATTGAGCACATAGGCATTTCTTTTATACACATTTTCAGGCCAGGGGCACACCCCTCTGGGCCTAATGGAACACAGGGATACAAGGAATATAAATCAATTAGAACAAAGTGCATCTTTCTGCACCCTCTCCTCTATCCTGGAGATAATTGGCTTAAGTGACCGTAGTAACTTAATTATCTCCAGGTACAGAAAATATTCTTAAGTTGAAACTGTAACAAAAAAAAACATAAAAATACATAACTCATATTATACAATATTCAACCCCTACGTTCAACAAATCCCCGGATAGCTTGGATCTGAGCGCTTAATATGTCCGAAAAGTGCTCAGATCTCACGAATATAGTTGGATCGCCATGGGGTTAAAGTTTTCTCAACGGCCGTTCGGCAGATTTAAACCCAAGATTAGTTCCACAGTTTTTAGTCCTAGGGTCGGTCTAGCCTCGGGAGTATGAAAGTAATGAACGGCGCTGCGTTCGTATGACTATGCACGAACGGATGAAAGTCTGGGAATCCCAGCGGAGTTCGTGAGGAATAGTGGCCGAATATAGTACCATACGGTCGACGACAAACCCCCGCTGGGCGTTCGGCAGTTAAAGATGGCCGCCGCCACGTGTTTGTTCATACGAACGAGGACCACCCAGCCGTTCGAAAATTAGGCTGTGGTTAACCACAAACCGCAGCTTCTGGGCGGCTAATAAGTGGCACATTTCTCATGCAGGGTGGTCGATCATTCTGTATTTTGTTTGGTGATTTGGAGGTGAAAAAGGTTAACAAGGCGGTTAATAAGCGGCACACTCCATATGCCGGATGGTCGGTCATTCGTTCATTCGAATGGCATGGGGAATTCCTTTCGTGTGTTATTTCGAAGAAAGAAACAAAGTAGCAGGAAAGGAGTAGACAGAGAGTACTTGTAACATGATGATGGTTGAAATGGCAATAATGACAGTGGATGAGAAACTTGCATTTCTCCCAACCCTGACAACCAGAAAATCGAGATGCCGGTGAAAGGGGGCAAAGGGTGCAAAGAACTTTAAGGAAAATTCCAAGCACCGTGCCCACTACAGCGCACTGTAGTGATTATGGTGCCAGAAAGGCCCTGGCACGCCTCAAGGTAAGTAGTTAAACCATTTTTTAATATTTTGACTTCTTGGAAAAAAAGCTTTCTTATTCGCAGCCTTTGCAAGCACTCCAATCAGAGTCTACTCATTGAGTAATACAGCTTACTGATTAAAGGTGAATGCACCTGACAAAGGTGATTTACCGCCTGACAATTAGCACCCTGGGAACCGTGGCTTCTTGATTAACAGCCATGGAGATGTTTTTGCCCCCAGTTATAAAACTTTTATAAACTGTCACAAATGTGATAGACTCCAGACACATTAATCACTCAGCAAGCTAAAGTACCTTATGTCTGATGATTTATCCCTTTAATGTGTAACGTAAAGGGTGGCTCTGTGCAATCAATGAGCTTCAATTAGAACTGGATATGATTAGCAATGTCTGTCTGGAAAGGGTTAATGTTTGGAATGTGGTGACCATAAAGGATAAAGGGGTTAAAGAAGGGTCGCTGTAAGGATACTAATATTGGCATTACAAGGGTTAATAGGAAAAGTGACTAATAGCTAACATTTTATTTAATATCTCAAGCAGGGCCATAGCAGCAGTTCATTTTTTGGAATGAAGTTGCTAGACTGAGTTTACAAACATTCTGTAAAAGTTATTTACAGTATCAGCAGTGGAACTTGGAATTTGAAAAGAAATAAATATAAATGCTATGTATAAATAAGAGTTAGCCAGTGCAGATCCTTAATTAGTCCTCCCCAGTCACACGGTCACACCCCTGCCTCTCACCTTGCCCCCCTCCTCCCAGCAGGTAGCTCTACACACAGGCCGTGCACTCCTCCCACACTGAGCCTCCCGCTTCCCCCTGCTGGGAGGAGAGAGCCTGCCGGGTCCAGCACTACCACTTCCCGGGCCCAGCTCTGCCCGGCTCCACGTGTTCGCAATGTCCGCCTCGCACGGTAGGAGGCCGGCAGGTAAGGCTCAGGGGATCATCCAGGGCCATGGACAGAGGAGCTGGAACATGTCAGGTGTGTAACCTGCCTGCCAGGAAACGGCAAGTTCTCCTACCTGCTGGGCAGCATGGGGCATGGCAGCTAGTGGGTGGCGTGCCCTCCCTGTGTGCTATGGCAGCTAGTGGGTGGTGTGCCCTCCCTGTGTGCTATGGCAGGCTGTGGGTGGTGTGCGCTCTCTGTGTGCTATGGCAGGCTGTGGGTGGTGTGCGCTCTCTGTGTGCTATGGCAGGCTGTGGGTGGTGTGCCCTCTCTGTGTGCTATGGCAGGCTGTGGGTGGGTGTGCCCTCTCTGTGTGCTATGGCAGGCTGTGGGTGGTGTGCCCTCTCTATGCTGTGGGTGGTGTGCCCTCCCTGTGTGCTATGGCAGGCTGTGGGTGGTGTGCCCTCTCTATGCTGTGGGTGGTGTGCCCTCTCTATGCTGTGGGTGGTGTGCCTTCCCTGTGTGCTATGGCAGGCAGTGGGTGGTGTGCCCTCTCTATGCTGTGGGTGGTGTGCCTTCCCTGTGTGCTATGGCAGGCAGTGGGTGGTGTGCCCTCTCTATGCTGTGGGTGGTGTGCCCTTGTTGTGTGCTATGGCAGCCAGTGGGTGGTGTGCCCTCGTTGTGTGCTATGGCAGCCAGTGGGTGATGTGCTCTCGTTGTGTGCTATGGCAGCCAGTGGGTGGTGTGTCCTCGTGTTTGGTGTGCCCTCTCATGGCAGCCCATGACACAGAGTGGCTTTCACTTCACACTGTCTGTACCTTTCCTTTTCATTTACTTGCAACTTTGAGCGGTTTATGCTGTTTGTATTGGGGATCAACTGATATTGCTTTTTTTTTAGGGCCAATACTAATAATCTGTGGTCTTTCAGGCTGACAACGTGTACCAATATTCTGTACATTTACAGTTTTGAAAAATACATAATTTCTACACAAATCTGCTGTTAACCGAACATGTTATTTTATAATGCTGTTTTTTTTTTTTTTAAATCTTTCTTTTGAGCGGTAAATGTACAAAATATACATGCCAGTCAGATTTTGGTTTTTAAAGTGTGTGTGTGTGTGTGTGGTTCAGTGGCTTTGTGCAGCTGCCAGTGGGTTTCACACTGAATTGGGGTCTGGGACCCGGCACACGCTATCTTCTTTCCGTCAGTTCCTTTCTCCAACTTTTGCAAGCCTGGTATGCCGGACAGAACACTGCCGTGGCAACATTTTGACGGCCTAAGGCTCTTAAGCATTGGAGAGGAGAACTAGAGATGGTGTGCGCTGCGCCTCAGCTGCCATCTACAATATCGGTATCATTATAGGCCGATACGATATTGCTGAATATTGGCCAGACCGATAATCGATCAATCCTTAGTGTGTGTGTTTGATGTATCCTTTAATTTGTCATCTTAATTATTATTTATATAACACTAGCTTATTATACTACACTTTGCAATATAATATAGGGGGAATTTAACGTGTACGTGTGTATATCAATCTATCTCCAATCTCCCTACCTTGATAGAGTTCACTCAAAAAAACCTTTTGTATTTTCAAATCTGCTGCATTACTATGCAATATTGCATGAATGTCAACGTTTGCAGTCCATGCCTGGACTTTTTTGAAAACTTGAAATAAGGCCGGTTACGAACTGAAACATTGACATTTATACTATATTACACAATAAAGCAGTAAATTTTAAAATGCTTAGAGTCCTTTGAAATGCGCTCTATCGAGGCTGCTGTGCACATTGTGTCGGACTTATGTTCTACCAGAGCAAGTAAAGAGAGACTGGGAGACTACGGGTGCTGGTCCCAAGGAATTCTAGTTATTTATATCTCTATCACAGCTCAGTGTAGAGTTTATGGTGCAAAGAGTCTCTCTTTATAGGGATTTTCCACGTTTTATTGGCAAATTACTTGCAAGTTGTCTTTAAAAGGGAGGGGAAAAACAAACAAAAAACCAGGGTTCATCCAGACACAGCCAACTTGACTAACCCTTCTTTACACGAACACCTATATACACTGACGTCACTTAGGGGACGTGGGGGGTGCGCATTCCATGGGGTGACAGTCAAAGACTAGAAGAGGTGGTATGGGTGTCCATGGAGGGTGAGCCTAATCCTTGTGATGTTGCTTTTAGCAAGTTTGTAGTTGGCTGAACAAGGCTTTCAACTGGGAGATGCGTTTATTTTTATTTTTTTTGTCAAAAAAGGAAAGCACCTGCAGACTGCACCATAACCACTACAGTGAGCTGTAGTTTTGGTGCATAGTGCCCCTTTCAGCTTACTAGCAGGCATGGAATTTTAAAACTGGATACACAATATCTACACATCCTATGGACACCAAAAATACCTGTCTTTGTATCCCTGCTGCAGTGAAATCAGATTAGTGATGGGCAGGAGGGGGGCAAATTTACAGTGCGCTGGCATTGAGCAGAGCATTATCATCACATAAGCTGTTTCAGTTATCCTCATAATGCTGATTTGATTGCCCCTATAGCCTTTTCATGGCCAGGATTAGAGTAATCCGTTAACCTTTTATTCTCTGTCATACAAGTTGATATACAACTCTTTCTCAAGTGAGAAGTATAGTCTTTTACTGACTGTACAGCCTGGAGTATCTGAGTTTATTTATTTTCCATATGAATCCACAAAACTGTTATGTAGTTAAAAGTGGCCCAAATAACTTGTTACTGAACTATATCAATTATGAACAGTTGTTGGACTATGACCATCCTGAATCAACATAGTGCTAGGAGTTTATAGATTAAATGCCTCTCATATGTTTGTCAGCAAGATATTTCAGCTATAAACCATTCCTCGTAATTGTCCTAAATATGACTTAGCAGGTTTTTTTGGAGTGGGGGTACAGTATTCTAAAAATAAAAAATAAAAATAAAGGGTTATGGTTTGGCTTTATGGAAAAACATTTGCTCTTTATTAATTTAGCTTTTTGTTTTAAAAATAAAATATAAAACATTTATATATTGTGGGTTTTAAAAAAAAAAAAATATATATATATTTTTCAGCTGGCGATGATGGGTTTTTCCATTCAGGTGTACCAACGCGAAGTCCTGAGAAAAAGAAACTAAGATCTGGCCTAGAGGTAATGTGTATTTTTTTGTTTTTTATATTGATATATTTTTCTCCTCGCTCTAAAGAATATACCGGACTTGAAAATATTGCTTTTTACCCCAGACAAACTTTAAAATCTAAACTGCCACCCTTTGGAGGACAATATCCTGAAACAGAGATATTATCTATTATGGCCCTTAAGCATTCATCAGTGCCTTGGATTATAATATGGTTGCCCTGCTTGGTCTATCAATATTTATATTGGAGATTCATGTCCATCAACTGTTTTTGATTTAATGGCGCTGTAGGTTGTCAGGACATACACATGTATCTGTGACATAGGTTGGTGACATTATTGACCTATATTCTAAGATGCACTAAAAATATGTATTTTTGAACCTTGCTCTTTAAAGCTGTCTTCAGGACCCACCAAACCAGCTGGTGTCTCATACCACTGCTTTATGAGCCAATAGCTCATTGGTTGGATTATCCTGGCTCATTTGGTGGATGGTGAGGATGGGTGTGAAAAACCTATTTAGAGTTTAACTGCTAATTATGACCCCAATACATTTCTTGTAGTAAGGAAAGTAGTGCTGAATTTATTCATGATTAAGATCAAAGTATAAACCATGCTGCTGTCATTATTGGGGAGTCTCATACTCACACTATATATTGTATTGGAACTTTGAATTGTAGAGAAACTGAAAACGGAATTGCAAATTTTATGCCAGAACTGCTAAACTGAAAAAATACAAATCCCCAACTTGGCTATTTCTAGTTTTTATTTTCAGTTCCATTTTCAAATCCCCACAATTCCCAGTTTAGTGAAAGAACTCCTATATAATTTTTTTATGTCGCACACCTTTCTTTCATCCCACCCCAAACTCAAACGGTTGTGTTCACTCTCTGCCCTCATTTTTGCTTTGTATTTTGCAAGATTATTCTTTATCCTCTGTCTTTGCATCTCTCTCTGTCTCTTACAGATTATGAGGGCTATTCTTTAAAGTAAGAATTCAGAGTACATCTCAAATTTAAGGTCAAATTAATCACTTTGTAAATTCTCCAAGTCTGCTATGCTTTCACTTTGGCTATTTTTGGTCTTAAATTTAAACAAATCACCTTGAATTTACCTTAAATTCATCTTGAATTCTCACTTTAGTCAATAACTCTGTAAGTGTTCCTTTGCTTTGATAGGATGGTTTTGATATCTCCATGTTTCAAATAATACTTATTTTTTTTTTTTTTTCCTTCTGCCCTCATTAGAGATCTTCACACTCGCAATATGCTCCACCAACAAACACAAGTTCCAACCATCTAATAGCTTCTAATCCTTTTGCTGATGAATATAGTGTTTCACCTCCTCTGAACTACAGTCAATTCACCAAGCCTAGATATAGTGCTAGTGAAGATCATCAGGCTTTTAGAATGCCATTCACAAACCCACCTAGAATGTTCTCTCATTCTTCTGCCTCACCCCGCAGGGAACAACAGACTCATCTTCCTCAAAAGTCAGTGCGGAAGCCTTATGACAAAACGCACTACTTCAACACTTCCATTCAAGATAATCACTCTTTTAACGCTGAGTTTGATCAAACCATTACCTTCCCGGGACAGCATTTCAGAACTAACCATACTGAGAAATTCCAAAGCTCAGAAAATAATCCTGACTTAAGAGTAGCTCATCACAGAAGTCCAAAGGAAAAATCAAACTTGAATGTGCATATGGATACAATGCATGCTTATATTTCACAACAAACTAACTTTAGAAGCCCAAAAGGATGCTCCCCAAAAACTGTTAATCGACAGAGACAAACTTTAGATATTACATCGTTCTCTCCTGCTAGTACAGAAGACGTCCATTCTCCTGCTTCTGATTGTTTGTATGTTGTTGACAATAAAGGAACGCCTGTTAAAGATTGTGCACCACAACTAGCAAAAGACGACGTATCCTTGCATGAAAAGTGCAATAGATGGCTCCTCCATGCCTCACACTCTGGTCATTTATCCAAAGGTCCATTATACCCATGTGGAATATGTTCTGGAGATGTTGATGAAGTCCAGGATTCCATCATGTGTGAAGCTTCTTGTCGGAAGTGGTTTCACAGAACATGTACTGGGTTGACTGAGTTTGCTCATGCACTTCTAACCGCTGAAGCCTCTGCAATTTGGAGTTGTGATTCCTGTATGGCCAATAAAGATGTCCCATTGATACAAATCAAGCATTGACTAGTGATGACTTAAATCCCCAACCCATCCAACCCAACATAGATGTTTATCATTATTTAATGAAGTGCATTAAATGAAGCAATCACGTGCCTTTATTCAGTTTATAGTAACAAATTTCAGAACAGTCCATGATCAAGTTTAAGACCAGTTGATGGTTCCTATTCCATTCATCCATATAGCAGAAGCTATTTACCATGTGTGAACAGAAAATCATTGTTCACGGCTGGTACTTATTTGTTTTGCACGATAAACCTCATTCTGATCCAAGACCCTAGGCAACCATTTTCAATCTCTAATCAAGTTGTCGCATGTGTTTTGTTGATCTGAGAAGTAAAACCACAATTTTCTTGACTTTTGATAAACATCTAGATTTTAGAGGTCCTCCTGATTTGGATGTGAAATGCTGCTATGAAATCTGTTGCACTATAAGTGGATGTTTGAAATTATCTTCTCGGACCAAAAGGTTTAAAGGCTAAAGCTCTGCTGCCCTTGGATAATGATTTTTAACATTGATATGACAAGAGAGTAGTACAGTACATGGCCAGTGAGACTAAAACAGCACCTGGCACTTTAATGGACTTTCATAGATATTTTTAAAAGCTCTGAAAATAACAAAATTGTATGTGTTTTGCACTAGGCTCAGTGCCCTCTTACCCCTTATTAATGTGAGTTCTAGATTCAAGCATTGAGATGCTTTTATTTATGCACCCAACTTTCATGATTTATATTTAATGTTTTACATTTTTATTTGGTACTATTTTTAACTTAACTTTTTTTTTTTTTTTTTATCTTATTTGTAGTTTATTATTTTTTTTTTTTTTAACACTATATTGTGCCAAAGGGTATAGTGATGAATCATATTGCTTAACTCTATGGGTTCCCAGTTAATAGTGGGGAAGATGTAACAATGATGTGCTAATGTTTCAGCTCATCGTATGCCTTACTGTAGAAGCAGCTAAAAAGTAAATCTCTTCCAGAAGCTGATAAGATGCTGTAGAATGTCAAATGCCATAAGGTGCGGACAGCCAGGAATACACTCCTCCTCCTTTGCCTTGCTGAGTATATCAGGATTTGCTGTTCGTAGGAGTTTGTGGTTTTTTTTTTTTTTTTTTGTGAAGTAATGTTTAAAGGCACCATAACCACAACAGCACACATTGAAAGTAGAAAATTTTTAGAATGGTTTGAGTTCTTATCAGTCTGCCCAGTGCCGTCCACTACAACCTCATTGAGAGCCAGAGGCTCTCTGCCTGAGCTAAGCTCGCCGGCCCAGGGCTTAGCTAACTGGATCAGAGTGATCAGCTAACGCTCTCAGCCAAATGTCTACGCAGGAGTTTCATGCTCTCAGAGGATTCATAGAATGGTGCCTGGTATATCCTAGGTAAGAAGTCAAACCATTCTAAAATGTATTGATTATTCACAATGGGGGGGGATGTGTAACTCCTGGCACCATAACCACTATGGTGTATAGTGTGATGTGTGGCATGCCTTTTTTTTTTTTTTTTTACAAAAATATAACTTTATTTTATTTTTTGTAATTATATTTTTTACAATTTAGCAATAGGAAGAGAAAAATACTGGAAATATTTTTACAAATGTTTGAAAATGAAACTTAATAAAACTGTAAAAGTGTATCTCCACTCTAGCTATACAAGATATTATTTTATTGTGGATGTAGGCAGTTTGTTTTGTTTTTGGGGGGTTTTATGGTGCGGGAAGAAATACTGGCATTTCTTCCACATGCATTTAAAGTCTACTAGTTCTTTATTTTGGCACAACTGGGTTCCAGATGCAAAACTACTTGCTTTTGTTTGAAAGGGCCACGTTATTCACTGCATGGTGGGTGGTGTGCCAGAACTGTTAAATCATTTGCATAACCCTTTATCCTGCAGGGTTTAATAAAAAGTATGACGGTAATTGTCTCTAAGACTGAGATTGCTGAAAGCGCTCAGCTATTTTAATAGCTGTATATCTTTAAAAGAAAGTCTTTAATATCTGCTACATTGTATCTGGTTCCTTGATTCAATAATTAAAAGGGCACTATAGTCACCAAAACAACTTCAGCGTAGTAAAGCAGTATTTGTGTTTAGATCATCCCCCTGCAGTTTCACTGCTCAATTTTATACCATTTAGGAGTTAAATCACGTTTGTTTCTGTCTATGAAGACCTAGCCACACCTCCCTGGCTGTGACGAACAGCCTGCATGAAAAAAATGGTTTAATTTTTTTAATCACATGTTAACTTGCTTTAGAAGTTTTATCGCCTGCTCTGTAAATTGAACTTCACAGGAGGCTCATGCGGGGTCTAGCAAGCTATTAACCGTGCAGGAGATGTTCTCCTCTAAATTACAAATAATTTGCAATAAAGGAAGTGTAAACATTAGATGACTCTTTATAGGAAGTGTTCAGACAATATGTGTAAGTCCCATGCAGTAAAGTGTGACTAGAGCTGCTTAAACAAAGGGATTTGACTCCTAAATGGCAGAGACTTGAGCATTAAGACTGCAGTGGCATGATCTATATACCAAAACTACTTCATTAACCTAAAGTTGTTTTAGTGACTATAGTGTCCCTTTTAATATTTACCAAATCTTAGCATGTCTAATAAAAAATGTTAGGTTATACTGAAAGAGTTGTCTGAGAATTTTTTTGTTGGGAGGGTTTGTGGCAGTGAAGACTTGGACTTTCTGGATATGTCTTAAAGGAACAGTATAGTCACCTAAATTACTTTAGCTAAATAAAGCAGTTTTAGTGTATAGATCATTCCCCTGCAATTTCACTGCTCAATTCACTGCCATTTAGGAGTTAAATCACTTTGTTTCTGTTTATGCAGCCGTAGCCACACCTCCCCTGGCTATGGTTGACAGAGCCTGTGTTATATCAAATTTCCCTACCTGTGAAAATCCCCTACCCTCATCACTTCTGGTGAGGGGAATCAGCTGGATCCTACGTGCTAGCACTCCCGCTACTCCTCCCCAGCAAGGTCCTGGAAGGTAAGTAAAACTAGTTTTACACTTTCATTATAGTTAGTGCATTCACTATGCTTAGGCACACGGGACATTTAGGGTTAAGTGAGGGTTTAACTTAGGGTTAGGTAAGTGATTTTTAACCTCTCTCACACTCTATTCTTACCCTAATCCTTGAAGTAAGGGTTAAAATAAAGTGTGAAAACACAATTTAGTGATATTCCCCTAATGTGAAATATCACTAAATAAGTCCCTAATCCTAACCCTAATTTGAACCCTAAATGCCCCATGTCCTAAGCTTAGTGAATGCACTAACTATAATGAAAGTGTAAAACTAGTTTTACTTACCTTCCAGGACCTTTCTGTGGAGGAGTAGCAGGAGTGCTAGCACCCATGTGCAGCACAGGATCCAGCTGATTCCCCTCACCGGAAGTGACAAGGGTAGTGGAATTTGATAGAACACCTGCATGGGGGGAAAAAAAAAAACTGGTTTCACTTTCAAACAGATGTAATTTACCTTAAATAATTGTATCTCAATCTCTAAATTTAACTTTAATCACAAACAGGAGGCTCTTGCAGGGTCTAGCAATCTATTATCATAGCAGGGGATAAGAAAATCTTAATTAAACAGAACTTTCAATAAAGAAAGCCTAAATAGGGCTCTCTTTACAGGAAGTGTTTATGGAAGGCTGTGCAAGTCACATGCAGGGAGGTGTGACTAGGGTTCATAAACAAAGGTATTTAACTCCTAAATGGCAGAGGATTGAGCAGTGAGGCTGCAGGGGCATGTTCTATACACCAAAATTGCTTCATTAAGCTAAAGTTGTTCAGGTGACTATAGTGTCCCTTTAACCTGCAGAGTACTGGCATTCACAAATATTGGATGCACCACTCTTAGATGTAAATCCTTTATCTTTAAACTCTTATGTACCAGAGCTTTAAAAGGGCCAGCTGTTGGTTAAATAGCTTAAATGAGAGAAGAATGGAGAGAAAACAGAAGAATAAAATGGTGTAATAACGTTCAAACAGATGTATTCTTACATGGTCAGTGAAATCTCTTAAAGGACCATTCCACACCCCAAAAGCAGAAGTGCTTTATGGGTGAAGAGTAACCTAATTTAACCCCAGTTTATAAAAGTGCTGATTTTTATGAGAAAATTAAATTAACTAGGGAACTATACCTTGGCAGGCAATCAAACAGCCAGGGCTAATAGAAGTGGCAGGCATGTTCTACTTTAGCATGCTCGTCTCCACCTCCCTCATAGACCTCAGACCAGCTCCTCCGCTCAAGATGTGGGTGAATTTATATCTTTAAACTTACTGTTTAAAAAAAAATAAAAAAATAAAAAATTATTTAGGGTAAGTGGGGTGACTGTTCTGATTTTAAATCACTGAAGTGGTCATGGTGCTTGGTGTAACCCCTTTCAGGAAACTCACACACTCTGGATAAAGGGCTCTAATTTTCTTAAATGACTTCACTTTTGTTAAGAGTCTTTATTCTTATGTAATTATAAAATATGTTTGAACATAATAACTGATACCTGGAGGAACTTCAACTGAATGCCAATTCTAGGTATTTACAACTGTTTAGAACAATAATATATTTTATAAGGATACCCCGGAAACCGTTTGTATACAGTGAACAAATAATCCATCTTTTAAATAATTACTGGATTTAAAATTGGAAGAATGATTAGCTGAGGAATTACGGTCCCTTCCTAGGTATTAGTATACCTATACGTCCCTGAACTGAAAAACCTGACATTGCTAGCTTGTTGCTAAGCAATACAATGCAGTGAGATATGAAGAATATTCTCCTTAGAATATCTACTCTCCAAGGGATATATTGTTTATCACATGCCAAAAAAGCCAATTAATTACTGCTGAACTGTGAAAATTAGATTTTGTAGCTGCAGTTAAGCAAGTTTGTGAGAGAAACCTCTATTTATGACCAACGTTGGTGGTGAAGTTATAAAAGTTCCACAACACCAAAACCAGCAAGGGGCAGTGAAGAGGAAGATGTCACTGCTTCATCAACAATGCAACGTTTGAGTAATGCATTGCCTGCAGCTGCATGCCCTACAGTTGCACTGCAAATTCTGTCATTTGACAGAAACGGGGGTAGCAACACTTGAGGAAAGAATAGAAGTTCTGTTTTGGACAAGTTGAGCTTAAGGAAGTGGGGCAGCCATCAAGCTAGAAATAGCAGAGAGACAGTCAGAGACACAAGTCAAGAGGGGCTGGGAGAGATCAGGGGAGGACAGTTAGATTTGCGTGTCATCCGCATAGAAGTGATATTGAAAGCCAAAGAAGCTGATGAGTTTACCAAGGTAGGCAGTATAGATCGAAAACAGAATAGGACCAAGGACAGAACTTTGGGGGAAACCAACAGAGAGGGGTTGGGAGGAAGAGGCTGAGCCAGAGAAAGAGATACTGTGAGGGCAATAGCTTGTAAACCGAGATTACGGAGGATGAGAAGAAGCTGTTTATGATCAACAGTATCAAAAGCAGCGGAAAGGTCAAGGAGAATTAGGATCGAGTAGATTGTTTGATACTTTGGTCAGAGCTGTTTCCAGGGAGTGCTGAGCGCGGAAATCAGACTGAAGTGGGTCGAGCAGAGAATTGGACTCGAGGAAGTCTGTCAATCTCATATACACAAGTCTTTCAAGGATCTTGGATGCGAAAGGCAGTTGTGAGATAGAGCGGTAGTTGGATGAGTTATGGTCAAGGTTGGGCTTTTTTAGAATCGGAGTTACAGTTGCATGTTTGAAGGGTAATGGAAATATGCCAGAGGAGAGGGAGAGATTGAGAATTTTAGTGAGAGGCAAAGGGAGAGAAGGAGACAGAGTATGGATAAGATAGGAGAATAGGATCAAGGGAGCAGGTGGTGAGGTGGGAGGACTGGAGCAGATCAGAAACCTCTTCTGCTGTAGCAGGTGTGAATGAACATAGAACAGCAGAGAGAGTGAGGTTGGTGAAAATATTGTAAGGGGAAGAAGAAGAAAGATGAGAGATCTCTTCCCTGATTGATTGTAGAGATCTTGTCAGTAAAGTACGTTGCAAAGTTTGTGGCGGTAAAGTTGGTAGGAGGAGGAGCAACAGGGCGAAGAAGAGTTAAAACTGTGAAATAGTCGTTTGGGTTGGCGGGAGAGTGTGGTTATGAGGGTATTGAAGTAATTTACTTTTGCAGGAAAGAACCAAGCTGTAAGAGGGCAGCATATATTTGTAGTGGAGAAAGTCAGATGCGGAGTGAGACTTCTTCACCAGTGTTCAGCAGTTCTGGAGTATTTTGGAGATATCGAGTCAGCTTGGTGTGCCAAGGTTGTAGTGGGGGATGCTTGCTGCATTTAAATGTAGGAGGTTCCATGATGTCTAGTTGAGAGGAGAGGGTGGAATTGTAGAAGGAGATTGCAGAGCTAGAGCAGGTGAGGTTTGGGATTGGTAAAAGGAGCGTTTGGAGGTTGGTGGAGAAGTGCTCTAGGTCAAGACATATAAATTGGGCTTCAGACTGGGGGAATAATGGGTTAACAGATTATAGCCAAATTGGTGGAATTGTTTAAAACTTGGTCTGGGTGCCAGGTCCCTCTATGATTAACCCATTTTTTTTTTTATAAACATAGCAGTTTAAGAGAAACTACTATGTTTATAATAGGGTTAATCCAGCCTCTAAAGCATCTAGTGGCTGTCTCATTGACAGCAGCTAGAGGCGCTTGCGTGCTTCTCACTGTGAAAATCACAGTGAGAAGACACCCGTGTCCATAGGAAAGCAGTGTAAATGCTTTCCTATGAGACTGGCAGAATGCGTGTGCAGCTCCTCCTGCGCATGCGCATTCAGCCGAAGAGGAGGATCGGAGGAGGAGAGCTCCCCGCCCGGCGCTGGAGAAAAGGTAAGTTTAACCCCTTTCCTCTCCCCAGAGCCCGGCAGGAGGGGAACCCTGAGGGTGGGGGCACCCTCAGGCCACTATAGTGCCAGGAAAACGAGTATGTTTTCCTGGCACTATAGTGGTCCTTTAATCAAAATGCCAAAAGCAGTACAAGATACCATTATGAATCCTCCCTTTAAAGGAATACAAACCTGTATTCCTAACATTTCAAGTGTTTTGTTAACTATATGGATTTCTTGGTCTCCACTTCAACTGTTAAATAAAGAGTTGTACTCATGGCCACACTCCTCCCCTGGCTGTGATCATTATTACAGATATTGGCCATAGGAAAACATTGGGGAGCAAGTGCACGTGTGGCAATCCGCCCGTTACACCATTCAGAAACTCCACATAGAGGTGTACTGGCTCTATGCATCTCCATGGGGAGTGATCTGAGTCTCCATGCAGAGTGTGAAGACATTGAACATTGGTCCTGTAATAATTGCAGGACCATACCAGGAAGCTCCTTAAGTGGCTGTCTACAAGATGGCTAGCCTACGGAAGAGGTAGCCTACGGAAGCAATGTAAGCACTGTCTAATAATGTGAGTGTATATATAATCAAAATGAGGTTTCTGTTATCACTTATGTATCAAGGGTCATTGTTCGCTCTTAATTATACAAACATGAAAGGTTTAGAGTAACATTTTAGCCCTTCTAGTTTATATTTAATGCTCAGCTAAAATGCACCCATATGTTCAGAATAAGATCACACGTCACAAAATGTGGTCTCCTATAATTAGTGCTGAAAAATTGTATGGGGATTGAGTATCGGGAGTAGAATTTGTAAATAATAGGTTATAAGGTTATAACATGCCTCCCAACCATTCTGATTTTGAGATCCTGTTCCACCTTCTGACTTTCTTTCCTAGTGTCCTGCTTTTGGGCACAGCGAGGAACTATCCCTAAATGTGTAGCGCAGGTGCATCCTTATATGCACTGCATTCAGGGCACTTGGACCCTACAAAGAGCATTAAAATAGTGCTCCCTGCGAGCCCCCTTTCTGATTGCATAATTGACTCGCCCTTTTTACCTCTCTCCTACCCGCATCCGACTTTTCCAGGGGCCAGTGTTGGATGGTATATAAGTTTACTGGAACGGGTGGGGGTTCACACTTTTGTATCTGGGCTGCAGGAAAAGTCCTAACTGCACAAGAAGTATCCAGGACTATTGTAGGCAATCAGAACTAAAAAAGAAAAAAAGGAAGGAATAGATAACATGCCTGTCCATAAAGGCATGCCATTCTTGCCCAAGATTCCCAACAGGCCCGCTTTTAGGCCCAAGAGACCTCACTGATGAAGTTATTGGCGAGAGTACTGACCACCTCGACTTACACTGCTTTGGATTCCATTCTAGCTGCGGTGGGCACCACTTTCAAGCAGTGCCGTGCCCAACTAATCAACTGCTGAATTCCATAACAGCTCGGTAGTCCATGTCTCCTACTTGCCATTCCACAATATCATGCTAGCTCGCCTTGGGTAGTGAGAAAGTTATGAACCATGTCCTTGGACAGTCTAGAGCCAGGTTATTTTAGGTTCTACAGTATTCCTGCTTCATGACACCCTACATAACATGCATCTTGGCGAGTTTCAGCAAAGAGGTATTAAACAAGATGGCCTTAGACTATAGCATTATGGAGATGTAGCTTAATGTTCTGAAAGCCTGTCATCAACTACTTTGGTAACTTTCTTCTGGGCACATGGTATTCCTAGAAGGACACCTTATACCTGCACCTACAGCCAGTGGTGTATTTTAGATCTGTGCTGCCCTTGGCATGACGGAACTCGGGTACCCCCTAATTTACATTTGCCCCACCCCTTCCAGTCATTGCCACACCTCTTCCTGTTAAAGACTAACACACACACTTTCAGATACCCTGACATACACACACATACTGATGTGACACAATCACTGACAGACATACACAATCAATGACAGACACACACTCGCAGACACACACAATCGCTTAGACACACAGACTCCCTCACAGACACACACAAACACACGCCCTCACAGACACACACACAATCACTCAGACACACACTGACAGACAGACATACTCACAACCACACACAATCACTCACACACTGACAGACATACACTCACTCAAAGACACACACTGACAGACATACACACTGACCGATATACAGAAACACACACACACTGACAGCCAGCCAGACACATACAGACACACACACACATCCCCCCCCCACAGATTATTTTTTTTAATTTAAATCCACCCACCCTACCTTTGGGAGAGCTGGGTGGGTTTTTTAGCTGGGGTCCATTGGGGCTGCTAGCCGGGCTGCTTAGGGAGGGAGGCAGTTGGACAGCTAGCTGAATTCCAAGATGGGCGGCGAGGGAGCGCTGCTTTGTGAGCTCTCTCTTCTCAGCTCCCTCTCACGCCGCAAAGTGATGCCCGAAGCCGGAATATGACGTCATATTCCGGTTCCCGGCATCACTCTGCAGCGCGCGAGGGAGCTGAACAGAGAGAGCTCACAGAGAGAGTGTCTGCCAGTGTGTGACTGTCAGTTAGTGACATGAGGGGGTGTCAAAATGGAACTTTGACTAGGGCAGCAGACATCCTTGCACCGGCCACGTGTGTAGGGGTTTATAAAAATGCACCTCACTGTCTCATTAGAAATTTTGCTTTTTGGCTTAAAGGAGGTTTGCCTTGACGTGGCAGGTGGGTTTACACTTTAATGGCCATTGGAGTGATACTAAAAACCTCCATTTATTTAAATGTGCATAGGGATTTGTGATAGTGGGGCTGATGTGTGCTATAGTCTTTGCTGCTGCCCAGGAGTAGTGAGAGTTTGAGTACAGGGTTCAGTTTTGCATGTTTGTATTCTTATAACCTGCTCACTCTGATACTACTAGCATCCCTTGTCGTTACAACTTTCTCATTTTTCTTACGTTTATAGTGCCATTTATATCTAACTTAGTAGAAAACATATAACACTAAATTAAAGTATGTCAAACTGTGAAATAAAGTCTATAAATTGCTGACTGTGGTCCTCATGTCATCTGTCTTGATACTTGTAAAATTTATCCAGTTGTGTAGAGGAAAAGGGGAAATGTTCACCTGTCCAGAAGTTTAAATTTAACGCAAGCAAGATGAATTAATCTTTAAGACTGTTCAGACAAAGAGTGGCATCATAAATCCAAATAGCTTTTTGTAGTAATGCCTTTTCGCTTAGTTTTATTTTTTTCAATTATATTTTGATGGCAAGCCCTTATGTATTAAAGTTGGTTTAATTTTTTACAAAAGTATATCAATTAAACTGTTAATGACTCCCAACTAATTCATCTCCTGCAACTGTCATTAAAAAAAACAACAACAAAAAAAAAAAACATACTAAGTCTTCATTGTATACTATTCTACCAATCTACTTCCCTAATACTTCCCTTACCTTTTGTGTCACTTTAGCGTACTTCCTCCAGCATGTAATCTCATTGAGCAGGGCTCTGAACCCCCTTGTTCCTGTGCGTCACACTTGTCTGGTTACAATTACATGTTTGTTGGTCCACCCATTGTAAAGCATTGCGGAATTTGTCGGCGCTATATAAATAAAATAATAATTATGTGTGATTTACTACACTATTTGTGAGTGGCCTAAACATCAGTTTTAATGACTTATTTTGGCTATATTGCACATATATTATGAAATATGTCTGCTCTGCTCTCATTTATGAGTTGACCTTTTTTCTAAATATACCTCAAATAGTTTTATGTACAAAGAAAATAACCAATGTCAAATGAATGGTGTGCGTTCTACTTTTTATTTCACAGGTGGTTTCCAAATCTTTTAATTTCACTGCTGTGGTTTTCTTGATCTATAGCAGCTAGGTTTAAGCTTTTTAATTTTGTATGCGGATAGGAAAAGTACGATTTCTATCAATTTTGGGTCTACTCCTTCCACTGAACCAGTGTTCATTTTGGCGGAAAATTTCAATTTAGTTCTATTCATAGTCTTTTGACTAAAATGACATTTTAATTTTAGTCATAATTTAGTCAATTTAATTTTTCGTTGACTAAATCTCCAAAATATTAAGTCGACTAAAATTTGACAAAAATTGTTAGTCGACAAAAGTAACAATGCTTGGGGGAAGGAGATATGTGGAGGGATAGGCGGAGGAATTGAGACACCTGGGTTTCATTCTTTCAGTCCCATCTCCCCATGTGTCTCAATCCCCTAGTCCCCCATGTATTCCAATCCCCCAGCCCCACATGTGTCTCATTTCCTCTCCTCCCTCCCCCATGTGTCTTTCCCGCCAGTATTAATTGTGGTGGCAAATTTTAATTAAGTTTTAGTCATAGTCTTTTGACTAAAAAGCCATTTAAGTTGTAGTCATATTTTACTCATCTGAATTTTTAGTTTTTTTTTTTTTTTTTAATTCTTTATTTTTGCAGTGCGTATAGTGGTTACAGGTATACATATGGTACCCCAACGGCATTCCATATGCTGGTGTCAAGACATTAGTTACAGTGGGGGGTAGGCAGACAATGCACTTTTTTCTTTTATATATATTACGTAATGATAACAAGCTAATAGGTGTTGCTGAATGGTATAACATGTTAGATTAAGATTTCGTTTAGCTCAACTATTTGCACATCAGATTGTAGTTATGTTGCCATGACAGTAATTCAAGACATAGAGGTCAACGAGTAGCAGTAATAATAGGATTAAAAAAAAATCTAGTTAAGATTAATAAACATGTTGCTTAAAGTTTTATACTGTACTGAGTATACAGGCTGCGTTTAAGAAGCTATTGCCTAACAGTTAAGAAGCTACAGCATAAATAGGTTGTATTGTAGGTACACAGTGGTAAGGTTAATTAATTACATGCTAGATCAGGATTGTTATGGTAAAGACTATGGTAGTTTTGCTATAAGGTTCTGGTACCAGATGTCATAGCGTCCTTTAATGGCCGTCAACCCATGCCGCTTGGAGGCTTTGGGGGTGAGTCTTTTTCGTTGTTAATCCCTGTGTCTTGTCTTGTCACCTCAGGGCCCAGGCTTTGAGGTTGCTGCTGAGTTGCCCGCTGCGTGCGCCGTGGTCTTGCAGTTCCCAGAGCTCGGACTGTGGTGCCGTGTCGGCCCCTCCGCCGGCCACACTCCATCATCAGGGCCCCTGTACTGTTGCCTCTGCTCTGATCATTGAAGGCTCTGCAAGTGCGGTCTCGGGCGGCTGTCAGGTGAGGGTTAGAGGTTCGGGCCCTCTGTGTCCAGGCCAAGTCTCTTTGATGGAAGGGGCGGCTGGTGCTCTTGCTGTAGCGTTGCCGCCAACGGCGGTGGATTCTCAGCCTCCGTTGCCTATATCGGGGTAGTATGCCCCTGGTGGCTTTGGGCCTTGTCTGGTCCGTTTGCGCTGTGTCAGGCATTTGATGTGGGAGTTTGCCTTGAGGGGGCCCGCTCACCTCCCGCTTCTCTTTGCTGTGCTCTTGGTTCTGACGCGGTGTCTCCATGGCGCGGGCCTCTAACTTTGCCCAGAAGTTTGTAAAGAGCCTGTCGACGTTGTGGAGCAAGCGCTCACATGTGCTCTGGAGTGGCATCGCAACTTGTTCTGTGTCAGGAGCTTGTGTGTCTGGAGTGTCCGCCATTTTAAGTTTGACGGTTGCTGCTTAATCTTGTCGCTTGATGGCTTCTTGTAGCTGGCTTGTTGGTGCTGGGTATGTCAGGAGGGAGACCGGGATGACCCCCACCGGTCCAGAGGGGGGGGGGACAGCCTGGTGCTATGTGCACTCCGCCGGGAATAGGGCTCAGAGAGCGGCCGCCTCTCCTCTGCCCACGTTTGTGTAGGCCGCAAGCCTGAACGGCAGCGTTTCAGTGCCAAAACGGTTGGATTTTGGTATCACTGGATGCACCGTCGTTCCCTTATCTGGGAAGTCGTCGGTGGCTGGTCGGTTTGGCGAGTGGCCCCGATATTCCGTCGTTTATCGATCCCAGTCTGTGGAGCTCAGGCGATGCGTGTCTGATCAGCTCTGCATCCAGGCTCCGCCCCCTGAATTTTTCGTTTTAATTGACTAAATCTCAAAAATGTTAGTCGACTAAAATCTGACTAAAATTGTTAGTCAACAAAAGTAACACTTCCCTGAACAGAAAACACTCATTGAAACCAATTAAAAAATGTAAATATGCAAGCGACATTATATGAGCCAAAAGTGACTCAAAAATTCCCAGTCTCTGTCTGTCCCCTGTACTGTGTGGGTCCGTTAGGTAGATAACTAACTTTTTACATTTTTGTCTAGAATCGGTGGTGGTGTGCAGGGTCTGTCTACTTTGGAGCAAGCACTTATATTGATTCTTACTGAACCAAAACGGGCTGTACCATTGTCCCCCCTGTCTGCCGAGAAGGTAAGCAGGAGATAGGCCACAATAAAAAAAAAAAGTGTAGCTATGTATCAGTGTGTGTATGTACACCCTGTTCCAAATTATTATGCAAATTATATTTTTCTCATTTACCTAAATAATTGATGTAAATAACATCGGCATAATTCTCATGTTATCAACTATTAAGAGTACAATTCAAATTTTATTGAACAAACCTCCTAATGATAACAGTATTTTTTTAAACATAAAAAAACTTACATTGCACTGTTCCAAATTATTACGCACAGTAAGTTTCAAAACACTTTATAGATTGTAAAGAATTGAAAATTGTCATTTGTTGTGTTTGCAGCATATTTACTGAAATCAAAAGCTATTTCAATCAAACTTATAACAACATTTTAACAGGTCACGTTACATTTTAACAGAGGACCCCTTATTTGATAGCAGCTTCACAAGTCTTGCATCCATTGAACTTGTGAGTTTTTGGACAGTTTCTGCTTGAATTTGTTTGCAAGATGTCAGAATAGCCTCCCAGAGCTGCTGTTTAGATATAAACTGCCTCCCACTCTCATAAATCTTTTGCTTGAGGATGCTCCAAAGGTTCTCAATAGGATTGAGGTCAGGGGAGGATGGAGCCATTGATGCAGAGGTATTCTTTGCAGCATGAGATGGTGCATTGTCATGCATGAAGATGATTTTATTACGGAACGCATAGTTCTTCCTTCTGTACCAAGGAAGAAAGTGGTCAGTCAGAAACTCCACATACTTTGCAGAGGTCATCTTTACACCTTCGGGGACCCTGAAGGGGCCGACCATCTCTCTTCCCATGATTCCGGCCCAAAACATGACTCCACCACCGCCTTGCTGACGTCGCAGCCTTGTTGGAACAAGGTGGCCATCCACTACTCCATCCATCTGGACCATACAGGGTTGCACGGCACACATCAGTGAATAGGACTGTTTGAAAATTAGTCTTCATGTATTTTTCTGCCCAATGCAGCCATTTCTGCTTGTGAGCATTGGTTAGTGGTGGCCGGATAGAAGGTTTATGCACAGTTGCAAGACTCTGGAGGACTCTACACCTTGTTGTCCGTGGGACTCCAGAGGCACCAGCAGCTTCAAATATCTGTTTTAGCAGCTGCTCTCTTGATCCGATGCATGGATCTGGCAGAAATCTTCCTCAAAATATGCCTTTATCTGCACGAACCCATCTGTGCTCTGAATCAGCCACAAATCTCTTAATAGTGCGATGATCACGCTTAAGTTTTTTGTGAAATATCTAATGTTTTCATACCTCGTCCAAGGCATTGAACTATTTCACTCTTTTCAGCAGCAGAGAGATCCTTTTTCTTCCCCATATTGCATGAGAATGGTGCTCTGCTTAATAATGTGGAACACCCACCGTTAGTAGTTTTTCCTTAAATTGGGCTCACCTTGCAATCTAATTATCACAGGTGTCTGAGATTGTTTTCAGTGATCAAAAAAGCCTTGAGACACAATACCATCCATGAGTTAAACTGAAAAACTAAATATTTCATCTTTTTGACACTTAAAGGGACACTTCAGGCACCCAGACCACTTCTGCTCATTGGAGTAGTCTGGGTGCCAACTCCCACTACTTTTAACCCTGCAAGTGTAATTATTTCAGTTTTTCATAAAGGGCACTTCCTGGATCATAGCACAGATTATCTGTGCTAGAGCGTCGCTGGACGTCCTCACGCTGTGAGAGGACCTCCAGCGTCGCTAATTTCCCCATAGGAAAGCATTGAAAGGCATTTTCAATGCTTTCCTATGGGGAGTGCTAATGCGCGCGTATGCGCATTAGGTCTCCCCGGCCGGTGGGCGGGATTAGTCTCGCCCACCGGCCGACACAATGTAGAGGAGGAGCGGCAGCGGAGGAGGAAGCAGCGACGTGGGACATCGTCCCTGCCTCAGATAAGTTACTGAAGGGGTTTTCACCCCTTCAGCAACTGGGGATTGGGGGGTGGGAGCAGGCCCGGACTGGCCATCGGGCACACCGGGCAAATGCCCGGTGGGCCGCGGTGGCCGTGGGGCCGAGGCCGGCAGGGAGATCACAGGATCTCTCCTGACGGTCTTTGCAGGGCCGGCGCTATCTGAACGCCGGCCCTGCAGTAGTCCATGGAGGGCCGGTGGGGAGATCAGAGATCTCCCTCACCGGCCCACATGCAGGATAGTGCGGCCGCCGGGGGAGAGAGGGAGGGAGCCAGCCTGCCAGCAGAGGAACCCGGCGGAGCTTTAACTAACAGCTCCGCCGGGTTCCTCTCGCGAGATTCGGAGCGTTGCCATGGCAACGCTCCGGGTCTCGCGAGAGTGAACTCTAGCCTCACAGGCTAGAGTTCACTCACCACTAGGACCACCAGGGATGGATGGAAGCCCCAGCAGCAGGATCCCCCTCCAAGGCTAAAGGTAAGCAAGGAGGGGGGAAATAATCACCTAACTAACATCAGCCTCACAGACACCCCTAACACTCACAGCACCCTCATTCACACACACACACTGCACCCCTGACACTCACACACACACACACACACACTGCACCAATGACACTCACACACACACACACACACACTGCACCCCTGACACTCACACACACACACACACACCACCTGACACTCAGCACACACACACACTGCACCCCTGACACTCACAGCACACACACACACACACTGCACACCCTGACACTCACAGCACCCTCACACACACTGCACCCCTGACACTCACAGCACACACACACACACACTGCACCCCTGACACTCACAGCACACACACTGCACCTCTGACACCACAGCACACACACCACACACACTCACAACCCCCTCACACACACACACACACACACACACTGCACCCCTGACACCCACAGCACCCACACACACACACTACACACCTGACACAGCACAAACAAAATGCACCCATAACACTCACAGCACCCACACACACACACACCACTGCACCCCTGACATACACACACACACACTGCACCCCTGACACTCACAACACACACACACACCTGCACCCTGACACCACACACACACACACATGCACCCTGACACCCACAGCACACACACACACACTACCTGACCTCCACACCCTCACCAACACACACACACCACCCTGACACTCCCACAGCACACACACACACACACTGCACCCCTGACACCCACAGCACACACACACACACACTGCACACTAACCTCACAGCACACACACACACACTGCCCCTGACACTCAGCACACACACACACACTGCACCTGACCACAACATACTCACACACACACTGCACCAATACCAATGACACTCACACACACACACACACACTGCACCCCTGACACTCACAGCACACACACACACACTGCACCCCTGACACACACAGCACCCTCACTCACACTGCACCCCTGACACTCACAGCACACACACACTGCACCCCTGACACTCACAGCACCCCACACACACACTGCACCCCTGACATGCACAGCACCCTCACACTCACACACTGCACCCCTGACACAGCACACACACACACACTCACATCACCCTCACTCACACACACACACTGCACACCTAACACTTACAGAACCCTCACATACACACACACTGCACCCCTGAGACTCACAGCACACACACACTGCACCGCTGACACTCACAGCACACACACACACACACACTGCACCCCTGACATGAACAGCACCCTCACTCACACACACTGCACCCCTGACACAGCACACACACACACACACACACACACTCACATCACCCTCACTCACACACACACACTGCACCCCTAACACTTATAGCACCCTCACACACACACACACAGACACACACAGACACTGCACCCCTAACACTTACAGCACCCACACACTGCACCCCTGACATGCACAGCACACACCCTATCTGGCCCCGCCCCCTTTGTAGTGGGCCGCTGTAATTAAAAAATGCCCGGGCCGAATTATCTTCCCAGTCCGGCCCTGGGTGGGAGGGAGATGGGACCTGCAGTGCCAGGAAAACGAAATTGTTTTCCTGGCACTGGAGATTCCCTTTAAATAGAATTTTCATAATAATTTGGAACATGGTGTATGTGCGTGTATATGTGTGTCCAAAGAGGCGACATGGCTGCAATGTGAGGGTGATAGTGGAATGGGCAATGTTATGGTAATGTTGCAAAATACACAATTTGCATGGGTAATATAACTGGATTCTAGATAACCTTATTGATTATTTTACTGCGTTTAAGGGTTTGGGGGAGGGACATAATAGTAGTGCCTAATAGAGCATTCTATTTAAAAAAAAATAAAAAAATTTTTTTTTTTTTTTTTAATCTAAAATGGGTTTTATGCTCTGAACTCAAACTCCCATTACTCTAAAAAGTTACCTGCGCACTATCCCAAATCCCTATCCATATTTAAATAACATGGTTTTTAATGCCATTACAAAGGGCATTAAAGTGGTGAGCCCTACACTAACAATTCACATTTCTTCTTTCAGCTAAAAGGCAACATATCTGAGACAAAAAGAATTGGTATAAGTCCCTGCACACTTATTAGCTTTTAATAGGGTACACAGTGGTCTAAAAACCTGGGCATGTTACCAGACCCCAAAGAGCTGAGTGAAAAGCTCCTGTCTGCTAGACTGACTATGCCTGGTCAGAGAGGAGCCTATCTATTGCTTTGCATGTACAGCAACTTTAGAAACTTTACATTTACTTGTTCATTTATTTGCCTAACTTTCATTAATTATTTAAACAATGTGCTAAAATGGATGTAATTTCCTGCCAAATGTGTCCTTTTAGAAGGTGTACATCTCCCAGCCAGGAGGTAACAGCTTTACCTAGCACAGTGCCTTGTGGACACAGTAAACAGAGTTTTAAACGCTGAAGCCAAAGTCACAAAAATTAGAGTCGATGCAGAAATCAGTTACACTAATGTGGCCATCCAGTCAAAGAAAAGCATCTGTGTCTCTTGCGTTTTGTACTCGGTTACTCACCACATGCAGGAAGTTGTTGGTTTCCCTTAGCAACAGAACGTTGCAATCTCCTGCGAATACCAAGCACAGCATGCCTATCCTAGTGAAAGATTACACATGGCAGCAAACCGACAGAGAGCTCTATATCTCTGTGCCCTTAAAGGGGACCCGGGCTGATGGCTCCAATGTACTGTGCACAGAGCACTATCTGAAGGTAAGGCAGCACAGCACCTCACATTAATGGGTCACCAGGGACACTCATCAGTCATACCTGGTGTGAAGTCTGTTACATAGTATTACTAGCATTATTAATAATACATACCTATTATACTGAACACATGTATGCAATAACTATCTCCTGGTACCAGCAATTTGATCCTTTCTTTTTGCTATTTTTATCCATTGTTGTTATCTTAACCTTGGGTGTGGGTTAATTCACTGGGATTTGAGAAGTTATACGCCACTTTTAGGAGATCATCATATAACCTTCCAGTTTATCAGATAGGACTAATACTCCTTTCTGGTGATTATTTACATGTATGTATGTGTATATATACATAGGTTAGGCCAGGTAGATCCCCAGGTGTTCTAAAACTATAATTTCTATGATGTCTTGTCATGAATCTAAAGGAATGCAAAGACACACAAACAAAGCACCATGGGGGTTGTAGCTCTGCATCATCTGGGGATCTACCTTTTGGGCACCTTTGGGTTAGGAGTTATGGGATCTCACGTGAAGGGTTAAATGGAAACTATAGTGTTGGGAAAATACTTGTTTTCCTAGCACTATGGCTTCCCTCTACCTCGCGGCCCCCTATGATGGTGCAAAAGGGGTTAAAAAAACCCTCTGACACTAACCTGGGTCCAGCGCCGATGTCCCTCAGTGCTGGCCCAGGTCCGCCTTCATTCCTCCCCCACTGACGTCAGCGAGCGGGGGAGACCTAATGGGCATGCGTGGCAATGGCCACGCTCACATTATGATTTACTCATATAAAAGCATTATACAATGCTTTCATATGGGGGTTCCTGTGATGCATGCATAGTGTGAGGACGTCCAGCGTCAGTCACCTAAAAACCCCGAAAGTCCCTCTAGTGGCTGTCTGGTAGACAGCCACTAGAGGTGGAGTTAACCCTGAAAGGTAATTATTACAATTTCTTAAAAACTGCTATAATTACATTTGCAGGGTTAAAGGACCTTGGACAGTGCACCCATATGACTTTAATGAGCTGAAGTGGTCTGGGTGCCTATAGCATGAGTGAGGCTAGAGCTTGCAACTTTTGTAATAATAGGGTCCCCAGGTTACGGTTAATAGTGTTGGGTTAAGAGGAGCTACAAGTCCTCAGGGGTAATTAACTCTTATGTTAGGTAGCAGGGTCTATAGTTGTGGCTAGGGATTGGTTTTAGGGTCTCGGTGTCGATGTCCGAAGGATTATTATATCCTGTTGCCAATTTATATTCCCCCTAGTGAGTTAGACACACTAAAATACAATATTGTGAAAATACCTGTGTCTGCTATTTACCAAAGTTATCACAACTATTCAGGTCTTTATTTGCAAGTGACCGTCAGATAGTGATTTCATGGAAAAGCTTGCATAGAACTTTGTATAGGAGTACGACTCACAGGAAAAGTTACAGACCTGGCAAATTTAGTATGGCCTTCATTTAGCAGGGGGTGGATGGGGTAGAACCAACAGGTGAGCTTATCAGTGAGGCATTTAATCTCACTGGCACTATGGGGGCATGTTATCATATTTCCCTTGTGTGCCAGGAGGACAGCACTCTCTTTTATATTGAAAAGAATGGTACCTGTGTCATGTGTCAAATGATAAAATTATCTGGGTCTATTTTCTTTTCTCACTTTGTACCGGTATCTCTGATTATATCCATCTTTCTGTAATCCTACTATGATTATTGCAAAATTGTAATTATAAAGTACCTTGGGCTTACAATAAAAGAGCTACTGAAAGGACACTCTAAGCACCATAACTGGACAGTGTGCTACAGTGGTTATGGTGCCAGGAGTCCCCTTGTGCCATTCTCTGGTAAGGAGTCAAATTGTTTTCATTTTGTTTGACACTTATCTTATCTTAATCTCTTTGGCTACTGCAGACCTCACAAGTCTTCTGTGGTATCGCAAAAGTAAAAGTTCCCATTCCGCTTTAGCAATATCAGTCTTGTCTCTATGTGGACTTAATTAATTGGCTGAGACTCTCAGCTGTAGTATTTCATACAAACTCTGTAGCTTTAATGTTTAATGACTCCTGGTTATTTCTTTCTGACTCCTAAATTTGTCAGCGCCTTCCCAGTGTGTTTAGCCCTTAGGTAAGCACGTTGGCGTCCTCTGTATGTTTATAACTCGGACGAGTCTGGTAACATTTCCTTATAGAATTCCTGATGGGAGTGTGTTAACATACCTGTTTATTACCCCTCAGGTCAGTTTTCCTCCTTTTCTGTTTGAAGTCTTTCTATTCTCTCCCATTGATGAGTCCAGAAGCATCGCCAAGATTGGAAATGGAATTATCCTGTTTACGCTATATAAACAAGTTCCTTCTGTGTGGGATACTCTGACAGCGGAAAGTTGTAAGTATAAGTCACCAATATTTTACAATACGTTTTTTCCCCCAAAAACCTGACTAGAATTTTATACACCAGTGATATTTTGCTGGTTACTGTTTTGTGAGTAGATAGAATTTTTTTTGGAGGGGGAGGGGTTCTTTACTTTTTCTCTTTATATCTCTTGACTGGGTTGGAGCTTCAGTGAAATTCCATGGGGGGAAAAGGGGAGTGACTGTGCCGCTCTAAAGCCTTGTTGTGGTTGGCCAGTAAATTACACACTTTTTTGGGGTGTTTTTAATAGATACAATGTTGCATATAGTCATGACGTGTTATTCACCTATGTTTTAGTGGATAAGAAAGAGATGCAAAGTATACGTGAAGAGGCAATTGCACGAGTGCAGGAGAAGGCCAAGCAAGATATTCAAGCCAAGGCTGTTGTGAAAAGAGAAAATGAAAAATATTCCCTTGAGGTTATGATGAAGGTATACTTTTATTTACTCCGCTTTTAAGAAGCTACCTAAATTGATGTGGGCAGTCCTTATTGTATGCAAAGGCAATGCAAGTAGCAAAGAGGAACCCCTGACGCAGCCCCTGACGAAGGTGTCTTTATACACCGAAACGTGCGTCGGGCGTTAGCATGTCTTATTTTATTTCACTTTATTATTTTCACTAGGGATTTTGCACTACACGATATGGGTATTTAGACCCAAGTTACACTTGCATTGTTTGGTGTCTAGCTAGTTATGATTTAGGAGGATTAGGTACTTGGCGTGATCTCATCGAGTGAGTTTTAGCTTCGAACACCCATGAAGGTGTTATAGGAGAACAGGATTCAGGATTGAGGACTTTAAACAGATTTATTATCTTCTGTGTAAATATTTAGCAACTTAGTATTTTTGAGACAAGGGGGGCAGTAATTACAATATCTGGTTCTCATAGTGAACTATATTTTCTTTTCCCCCCTTTCTCTCTTTTTCCTTTTCCTCTTTCCTTTTTTTCTTTGCTCCCCAACTCCTATTTATATTCATAGGTTTAAAGCAATTTTCTTTTTCGCTCACATTAAACTATTTGAAGGTCATTAGCCTATTTTCTATTTCCTCACATTAAGTCCTATTGACAATATAAGTTATTTGGACTATTGCTTATTTGAGGCAGTTGTATCATTATCACCACCATATTAGCTATCATTGGGGATTTAGTACATTGTCCCTCTGGGTTTTTTGGTTATTTTAATTAAAGACTTAATAAAGGTACACGTTTATTTTTCATACCAAGGACATTTGAGGATATATTTGTAACTTGTGTTTCAAATGCTCTTTTTCTTCCCCTCGTATAAGCTTTTCATACTAGCTAGCTAATTTTTTGTATTGTTTCATTATTGTTGTCCATTTACTTTTTTGCATGCCTTTTGATCTCCCTAGTGGGAGATTATCTCTATTTTTTAGTTTATTAATTGATTCGGGTACAAGCCCTGTGTGGAGCTGGCACCACCATCTGACCACTCTGCCCTGTATTTACCTCTCATACTCCTCTTTTCCATCTCTTGGAGTTGACTGGTTAACAAGGCGTTAATGTTCTTTTTTGTATTCCCATATTGACCAATACGCTACTTGATTTTGGCCTCTAATGGGTTAAAAAAAAATAATTATGTACAGGTTGTTCTTCTTTTTTTTTCTTCTTAAAAGTACCTGCTCCATTATACTTCTGGCAGTGACTTAAAGTGTGTTAGACCTAACAGAGACCCCGTAGAAATGGGCACTTAATAGCACTATATATGGATTTTCTTAGCTTGTGTGAAGTCATTGATAAAGTCAGCATTGTTTTACAGTCTATTTATTGTGGTATGTATATGTTATTTGTTTGTTTATTTATAAAGGAGCAAGAAACACCATATAAACTGCTGATAGGCATTCCAGTGCCAAGGGACAGGGCCAGTTCCACTGTAAGGGAAATTAGGTACTCACCTAGGGATTCAGCTCTGTGGGGTCAGCCTACTGCTGCACAGGCTGACAGGAAGATCTAATGATCACCTTAAGTGGCCCTGCACCCCTCAAGTACTTAGCTTTTGGTTAAAACTCTGGTGGGTGCAGATCACAATCCGTTTCCTTGGAGCATCTGGGTGACTGTCAGCGCTGGTGCTGGGTTACCCAGCCAACACTCGCAACAAAGCCCAGAAGCATGACCTCCACAAACACTAAAAGCAGCTCCCACTCACACATGTAGAACCTCTACACACAGACTGGTGGGAGACAGCGGGAAATGCTTGCTAGAAGGAAAATGATAGTGAGGAGAGGGTTACTAGCAGTGAAATGGTGGGAAAGAGACAGAAAGTTGGAGAACAGAGGCAGGTGCATCATGAGACAGGTAGAAAGACACAGAGAGAAGGAAGAGAAACACCGAGTGAGAACGTGGGGAGATGACAAAAATGGGAAAATAAATTGCAGTAGATTTATGCTTAGAGCAGGAACTTATACCGGTTACTGAGTAACCACCAGTAGGGCAGGGGGTAATGGTCTTCGGGGGAATTTAATGCTCTTTTATAAGAATATGTTTGACAGTGACTTCCTTTCAGTTAGAAGACGAAGAAAGGAGACGAATCGAAGTCGTGAAAGAAGAAGAACGAAGAAAAGCAACTGAAGAGATGGAGAAGTGGAAAGAGCAACAACGGATAGAAGAAGAACAAAAGAGAATGCAAAAGAAAATAGAAGAGGAAAAAAGGAAGAATAACATAAATAAAGCTACATTCGCAAGTCAGCTTGAGCCCTGTCTTAAAGGTACAGTATGCATTACACCAGGAAATACATTTTACCCCTTACAAGAAATGGTTGGCAAGGAAATGGGGGTATACTCAGTGCATTATACAATTAACAAATAAATAGTGAGAAATAGTAACATTAGTGCTGAGTTCCAAATTACCATGAAGCAATATACAAGGCTTGTTGTACTGTATATAAATATTGTAGAGTTGTATTCAAAATACAGTTTTTCTAGAGAGTCAAGCTTGTTTTCCTCTTTTAGATTTAGAGTCGAAACATCATTTTAGTCAGTGTTTGCCTTTCTGCAGTTTAATTACACTTGCTGCCATGCTTTTAGCACAGATACGAAGCTGTATGGGGTCCAATCTGAACCAAGCATCGCAGAGATGTATGTTAGGAGTTCATTCATGTACTTACACTGTGACAGATTTCCCTACAAATCATGCCATTGTACAGAACACTGGTGTGACCTGACTTAGAGTATTGTACACAGTACTGGAGACCGTATCTTCAGAAGAGTTCAGAGAAGGGCTACTAAACTGGTTCATGGATTGCAGGATAAAACTTACCAGGAAAGGTTAAAGGATCTTAACATGTGTAGCTTGGAGGAAAGACGAGACAGTTGGGATTTAAATACATAACGGGAATCAACACAGTAAAGGAGGAGACTATATTTAAAAGAAGAAAAACTACCACAACAAGAGGACATGATCTTAAATGAGAGGGGCACAAAGGTTTAAAAATAATATCAGGAAGTATTACTTTACTGAGAGGGTAGTGGATGCATGGAATAGCCTTCCAGCTGAAGTGGTAGAGGTTAACACAGTGAGGGAGTTTAAGCATGTGTGGGATAGGCATAAGGCTATCCTAACTATAAGATAAGGCCAGGGACTAATGAAAGTATTTACAAAATTGGGCAGACTAGATGGGCCGAATGGTTCTTTTCTGCCATCACATTCTATGTTTCTACAAGGGTTGCATTATGCAAACAGTCACTGGAAGCAGAGAGTTGCATATATGAGCTGTGTTCCTCTGTAAAATTATTATTATTTATAAAGCGCCAACAAATTCTGCAGCGCTGTACAATGGGTAGACTAACAAACAAGTATTCAAAACAAGACAAGTTGGACGTACAGGAACAGAGGGGGTTGAGTAAAATTAAACCGTTTTGTGAGTTGATACCCAAATATTTTTGCCCTTTATTATATAAATAATCATATAATTTGTCACTGGGTTTGTAGGACAATTAACAAGGTGGGTAACTAACTGTGTATTATGTCTGCTTCAAAACATGACATTTTATTACATCACATATGTATTAATATTGTGGAAATCCTCAATATAGTGAGGAATTACTAATTTTCTCCTCCCATAACTGTGGCTCTGGATCACCAAACCTGGGGAGGCACAATTCCAAACACATGTTAGAAGAAGAGACGCAGTAATAGCCTTCCTAGGGCAGTGATGGCTAAACACATTATAAATACGTAAATAGAAAAGAAAGCAGAAATATAGTAAAATATGGAACATAGCAGGAAAAAGTAAGGCTGCAGCTGATATGGTTATCAGGAGCTCTTAATCATAGGTAATACATTTTTTTTCTACTGCCTGTTCCATCCCTGATACAATTTCCAGTGTCATTTTGCATCTCCTCATTTATAATATATTTAATTGCCTAGCTACATGTAGCTAACGCTCACTGTCCCCAGGGGAAAGTATTGTTCTGGGACAAATCCTCACCACTGCATGCTGCTATTCTGCCTGTTATTGGATTACTACATAATAGTGGAAATTATCCGATTTCATCAAAAGAGTCAACTTTATTTCAGTAGTGTGTTGTTTTTTTTGTTTTTTAATAACAAATATGGCCTATTATCTCCCAGAATGTCCCCTAAATGCTAATGATGGAACATTGTACCAAGTAGCAAGATATGTTCTATTTAGGAAAGGACCGCATGTCTCGGATTTTACCTTATTAAAATACTGTGTGCTATAGGGCAGTAGTTCTATTAAAACCATGCAATATGCATGTCCCTGGTGTCTGCTCGTCCCATAACACAGTTATTAGTTAATCCTGCATGCTTTACCTATCGTAGTAGAAACCGTGAATTCTACAACATCAGTAAGTATAGTTCATTAAAGGGTAGTGTAAGCTATTTACATACTATGCCTGCTCAATGAAATATCACCACTGAGGGTAAATCTGGGCTGTTTCTAGGTCTTTGTCTAACATGGTGCCATGCCAGCCTTTAGGGCTGTCAAAACATTTTCGGTGTTGTAGTTCTTCACCATCTAATAATCTACTGTGCATGTGGCTTTAGTAATATCCCTGTCATTATAGCTGGACATTTCCTCTAGTTTTTAGACTGACTGGTCATTTTAAAATGTACAGTACTGAGAAAAAAATAGTTTCCTTTGTTCCTGACTATTACTTTTTTTTTTTGCTTTATTAATGAGAATGATATTTTTATTTTGAGAAATGTCAAGTACAGCACTGGAATGTGAAAGGTTGCTTAGCCTTGAACTAAACCATCAGTGGCTAGTCTACATAGAACACTGCCCTCTTTATCCTTCAGTGAATCTGTCTAGACAGGAGGCATCTTTTCACTTGCATGCCTTCCTTCAAGGTAACAGTAGATAAAACTTTTTCTTCCAGCCCACATATAAATAGCTTAGTTGGTTAAATTCCACCAACTGCAGTACCAATTTACACCCCCTTTTTCAGCTATCTGAAGCCTATATTTCATCATTCTGAGGTTGATCGCTTGTGTGCAGCCAAGTTAGGTACTGCTGAAAAGGAATAGTTTGGTTTTGATTGACAGTTTCTTATATTTTTAAAATTTTTGCGTACTAATGCCTCCCTTTTCCACATCTTAGTCGTTATCTCCCAATTGTTTCCCTCAGCTGGGTATTTTGTCTATAAATATCTTGTCGTTACGGAAAGTAAAGAAGAAGGAATTCTCCTGTTAAAAGGGCTCTTAACAGCACAGCTATCTTTGGAGAATTGCGTGTTCCACTGCCACTGTATTCAGTGAACTGAAATCACATACCCTTTTAACCCATTGTTGTTGATGAAGCAGCAACATATTGCATAGCTCTTTACAGCTGGCAAACCAAACACACAAGTAATTGTGACAATCAAGTTTGACATACAGAGAAATGTGAAACAGGCTTTGCTCAACCAATCTCTTTATAAAAAAAAACTGTGGATCACTCAAGATGTGTTTATAAGCAAGTGTGTCAAACTGATTGTGTGTGACTATAGAAAAGTGTGTGTGTTTGACCCATGTCTGCCCTCTTGTGGTTAAAGTTGGTACATTAAAATTATACATTATTTACCCCATGCCATCTAGTGTACTAAATCATGATGCTACCTCCACTAGAATTCAATATCAAGTGCTACGATAATCTGTTGAATGGTTTTCAAACTAACAGGCTACGTATCATGCTACTGGAATGGTTTCAGTTGGCATGTTTTGCACGCACATGAATGTAAGGGAGAGATATAAATGAGTCCACTGAATATGGTGACTGGATGCAGCTGGGTAGTGATTGAAAGTAGGACTGGCCATTTAAATAAAACATGTTTTGTTTACCAGGTCATGAAAAGAATGGCACTCAGGTTGGGAAAAAAGTTGAAGAGAAAGTCCTTCCTCCCACTCGAACAAATGGCTGTATTAAAATTACCTTTACTCCTCGAGTCTTCCCCACAGCTGTCAGGGAATCTCGGGTGGAAGAAGAGGAGGAGGTATGCCATATTCATTTATTTTATATTTTAATGGAGTGTGGTACTGCCAGTGCTGATGTCTTTTTATATGTGTGATAATTGACAAGGAAATTGCAAATTCTAAGTTGAAGCAGCACCACTGGAATAATCTAGACATTTCAGCCTTTATGTAATAAGTCATATTTTAGTTGGTGGGTAAGGTTTAAAGGGACACTATAGTCACCAGAACATCTACAGCTTAATGTAGTTGTTCTGGTGAGTATATTCATTGCCTTCAGGCATTTTCAGAGAAAAGGCAGTGTTTACATTGCCCCTAGGGACACCTCCAAGTGGCCACACCTCAGATGGCCGCTGGAGGTGCTTCCTGGCTCAGTGCTGCACAGTAGGCAGCAGTGCTTTGCAGTGTCCTGAATTTTCCTCATAGAGATGTATTGATTCAATGCAGCTCTATGAGGAGGTGCTGATTTGGCTCTGTCCCTTTGCCGATTTTAGCCAATCCAATGCTCTCCCCAATTCATGGGGATGATGATGTCACCAAGGGGTGGGAAGTAAGGTGAGTTTTATAAACTTTTAAGGAGGCTAAGGGGGGGGGCAAGCCACCTAAATGGTGGGTTAAACACTATAGGGTCAGGAATACATGTTTGTGTTTCTGACCGTATAGTGTTCCTTTAATATACCATAATACTGCAATTATTCAATTTGTGTGAAAAGTCATAAAGATTAAAATAACTTCATTGATTTTTACATAAAGGCACATTTATTTAGCTCCTTCATTTCTTATTCAGTGGTTAAATAAGCAGGCTGAGGCCAGGAGAGCTATTAACCTTGACGACAAAGAACTTCAAGATTTAAAGGAAGAAGAGAAGAACCCAGACTGGCTAAAGGATAAAGGAAAGTATGCATTCTTTATGTATTTTTTATATATATTCATCCTTGCAGAATACTAGCGAGGGATATCTGACTGAGAACAGGTCACCCAGGAAATGGTGATAACATTATGGATGTGTGTTCACCTATGCAGTGTGCCACTGGTTACCCCACATTTACTAGACCATTTTTCAGAACACAACACTTTTTTTTGTTATACATATGCATTTGAGTAAGACAGAGGCTGCATCAGGACCATCAAATCTAAATGCAGGCTACAAGGAATCTGTAAACGAAAGACTAGTTAGTGGTCAAAAAGGGATTAGATCATAGAGAACACAGTTGAAGATGTGTCCCATAATTAGTGAAATTGTTGGGTATAAATATATATTTCAGCCTGCTCCAATCAATTCAATTTGCAACCCATTTTGTTCTTTTTGGTTTATTTAACCAATAATTATTTCTGGCCAGCGACTTTTAAGGACCAAGTCAGAAAAGCAAAAATGTAGTATGTTGTCTCCCGATACACGCCAATAATTAGAAAAATCCAGGTTTACATCTTTAATTGATGCTGGTGTGGGACCACAATTGTTACCATATTGTTGATAACTTTGAAATGGAACATCATGTGATAGCGATTTGTTCATTAAACACCAAATTGTAGTGAATTGCAAAATCTATGCTCAATTAGCCCAGCAGTAACTCTAGCTGAATTGGAGAATTTTTCAATTTCCTCTAAAATTTTAAATTTGCTGCAATACATTGTTTCTGGAGTAAACATTATAAAGCAGACATAATAATCATCAATCACATCTACATGATTCCCTTTGCTCTGAATATTGACCTGTGCCAGTTCCATCTGAAATACACATTTATATGTGTAAATACTGCTATAAAATGCTAAATGGTATTACAGAATAAAAATATTCCCTTAAACTATAATGTTCTATTTAGTAAATGAATTGTTCCCATTGCTAATGATTCAGATTAAAGAAACAGAACGATTTTATAGATTAGTAATTTCAGTCATTTTTCCTATTGTGTGTGTCAGTATAATTTTTAACAAAGGGGAATATCTTTATTTACCAGATTAAGGACTTTAATAGTCACTGTACCTAATAATAAGACATGGGAAAGTGGTTTCATGCAGCAGGTAGACAGTGACCCTCTAACAGCTGTTTTACATCTTCCACATCCATGGAGAGAGCTTTGTGCTCCTATATTTCTACAACTAGATCAAATGTAATGGCCAGTATATGGGTCATCAAAATTCACAAAAATGGCACAGAATTTCAAATTATAAGGCAAAATAACAACCAAAAAAATATCAAAATCAATTACTTTTTCAGCTGTAATATTTTCCTTACAATTCATCGTTTGTGAACACCAGTATTTTTGAGAATGCCAATGACCACAAAGAGGTCGATTTATTTACTATAGAGGCTTTTATTTATTTTTGGAAGTAACTGCTGTGCTATTCCCTACTATGGCTCACAAGCTGATTTCATTGTGAAGCTCATTGCATTTGGCATAAGTGCAGCGTTTCCATGATGCCCAGAGTAAATGGCTAATTAAAGCAACAATCGTTTTGCTAAAGAAAAAGTACTTTTGTGCTTCCCGAAAACAGCTATAAAGCAGTCTGACTTTTTTTTTCCTTTGTGCAGAACACAAAGGGTTAAAACCTTGTTCACTTTAATGCTCCCCGCTAATTATATTATCTCTTTTGCCGCAGTAAACTATTTGCAGCTGGGGACTATCTCGCAGCTGTGAACGCACTCAACCTGGCGATACGCTTAAACGGGAAAATTCCGGCGTTATATCTCAATCGATCTGCCTGCCACCTTAAATTAAGGAACCTGCATAAAGCTATTGAAGACTCCTCAAAGGTATACCTACATATTGAAGCTCATCCTTCACAATCTATACTTCTTGCCTGCAGTGGGAAGATTCTGTATACTAGCATTCAAGCACGGACAATTGAAGTTGAGGCCATCATTCAGGATAGACTTTGCATGACCTTCTATAAATTGATTTTATTGTGAAACGTTAAAGGTTGTAGCTTAGTCTCTTAGGAACCGTTATACCTGCATGTTTATTTCTTAAAGATTTTTTTTCCACACAAAATACTGTTATACATTCTCAAATCAATATTTATCCGCCCCCTAACCATTATTTAAAATACCAGTCCAAAGCTTAACCCTTATAGTGCTACTGAGGGAACGTGAGCTGGAATGACCAATTGCCTTAGGACAGGAATAGCCAAAAGCTAAATTTCCAGCTGTCGTAGGACCTACAGCCATCCTGATGATTTGTTAGACTTGAGGCTGGCAAAGCATCATGGGAGTTGTAGTTTAACAATAGCTACCAAAAGCTAGGAGAGACTATTGTATAGACTATTGTATAGGTTTTTTTGATTTCTGATGAATGCAGTGAGGATGTCAACAGATTATAAATGTATACTTAAACTCTGTTCCAGTCCATTGCTGTGAGAACAACTTGCTAGGTCCTAATGTAAAGAGAACTTAAATTCTTCTTCTTCTTCCCTGTCTGACAAATAAATGCGTTATTTGTGTAGAGTTTGCAAGTTTAGGATGAGAATTTGCAGAATAAAGATGGAACTGATAGATTTTGAAGTGCACACCACAAAGGCCACTCAGAGTACAATCTACAATGAATCTATATGTCCTGTTGCTGAGAATATGTTTTGATATTATGTTTTTTTTGTTTTGTATTTGTGTGTGTGTTTGTGTTTTTTGTTGTTGTTTTTTTTTTTTAACAATATTATTGGGTATCTGTCCTGCCTCTTTCACAAAACCAGCTATGATGCTCACACCGTAGATATATAAAACTGAAATAACAGACTCTGCTTTTCTAAATACAGGCAATATTTGGGTTTTCTTTGGTATCAATAGGAAAATGTACTAGTTATATTTACTACTAGACTTATAAAATTTATGTTGTAGATATGGGATAGAAAAAAAATAAATGCAGGCTTGTATGTTGGTTTTATCTAACGGTATGTCTTCTGGATTAATGTAGGCGTTGGAACTTCTTATCCCACCTGTCCCAGACAATGCAGGTGCCAGAGTTAAAGCTCATGTGAGACGGGGAACAGCATTCTGTGAGCTGGAGCTCTATGTAGAAGGTAAAAACACTTACTCCTTATGGAGGAACGCTCGGTTTACTGTAACACCACTTTTAAATGTAGTGAGTTAGATCTGTACAAATCACACCTACATCACGACATATGATGGATAACATAACAATTGGCAATTTAGGTAACTTGGGTAGTGGGAGAACTTTATCAAGCAATGAAAGATTATAAAATCTCTACATTCATGTACATAAATATCCTAATTAACAGACTGTATCAATTTACGTCCACTGCCTTTGAAGTGATCATCCACAGCCACATGTGATGGATGAGACTAGTGGGAGTTATACTTCTGGACAGCAACTGCTACCATAAATTCAACCCTTTTCTGATTTGCATGCAGGGAAGCTAGGAAGACAAAATTATGCTGTCTCTTTCCTTTCCATATACATACGCACAAAGTTTTAGTACATAAACACACACGATGTGGATGTATATTTCATAAATTATAAAGCTATTTTAGTTTTTTTTTTTTTTTATAAATAATACCATTGAACTTTCATAATATTCTTTATCATTTTGTCAGTTTTACATTTAAAAGAACACCCCAAGCACTATAACCACTACAAATTGCTGTAGTGATTATTGTGCCAGAAGCGCCATGGCACCCCATTGTATAGAGTCATACAGTCAACTGAGGAGAGCTAGTGTAAGTTCTTGCTTAAGAACATCCTGCTCAACGCCAGACTCCAGGTAGGTAGTCATACTGTTCAAAAACTGTTTCACTACTTATAATACAGAGGTGTGGGGGGTGCTAGGGCACTCCTGGTACCAGAACAACTACCGCCAGCTGGAGTGGTTATGGTTAGGGATCGACCGATTATCGGTTTTACCGATATAATCGGCCGATATTCGGTATTCTCGGCAATATCGGTATCGGCCAATTCAGATACCGATATTGCCGATAATACCTCCTAGGACTGCCAGGCTCATTACAAGCCCGGCGGTCCTGGGGGGGCGGAGAGCAAGCGCTTACTCACCTCCCAGCAGCTCCTCCAGCTCCCCAGTGTAACTCTCGCGAGACCCGCGGCCGTCAGAGCGTTGCCATGGATCACCATGGCAACGCTCCGCGCGACACGCTGGCCGCGAGAGTTACACTGGGGAGCTGGAGGAGCTGCTGGGAGGTGAGTAAGCGCTTGCTCTGCCCCCCCCCAGCTCAGCCAATACCACTGGACCACCAGGGACTGTCATATCCCCCCTCCCTGGCCAGGTAACAAGCAGGGAGGGGGGACAACAAAAATAAATAATAAAGTAAATATAATTTTTTTTTAAATAATTTAATAAAAAATGCCCCCTCACACACTGCATTATATACACATACACTACACAAACACACTGTGTAGTGCAGTGTGTGTGTGTAGTGTGTGTATATAATGCAGTGTGTTTGTGTAGTGTGTGTATATAATGCGGTGTGTGTTTGTGTAGTGTGTGTATATAATGCGGTGTGTGTTTGTGTAGTGTGTGTATATAATGCGGTGTGTGTTTGTGTAGTGTGTGTATATAATGCAGTGTGTGTTTGTGTAGTGTGTGTATATAATGCGGTGTGTGTTTGTGTAGTGTGTGTATATAATGCAGTGTGTGTTTGTGTAGTGTGTGTATATAATGCAGTGTGTGTTTGTGTAGTGTGTGTATATAATGCAGTGTGTGTATATAATGCAGTGTGTTTGTGTAGTGTGTGTATATAATGCAGTGTGTGTTTGTGTAGTGTGTGTATATAATGCAGTGTGTGTATATAATGCAGTGTGTGTTTGTGTAGTGTGTGTATATAATGCAGTGTGTGTTTGTGTAGTGTGTGTATATAATGTAGTGTGTGTATATAATGCAGTGTGTGTTTGTGTAGTGTGTGTAAATAATGCAGTGTGTGTTTGTGTAGTGTGTGTATATAATGCAGTGTGTGTTTGTGTAGTGTGTGTATATAATGCAGTGTGTTGTGTAGTGTGTGTATATAATGCAGTGTGTGTTTGTGTAGTGTGTGTATATAATGCAGTGTGTGTTTGTGTAGTGTGTGTATAGTGTGTGTTTGTGTAGTGTGTGTATATAATGTAGTGTGTGTATATAATGCAGTGTGTGTTTGTGTAGTGTGTGTATATAATGCAGTGTGTGTTTGTGTAGTGTGTGTATATAATGCAGTGTGTTTGTGTAGTGTGTTTATATAATTCGGTGTGTGTTTATGTAGTGTGTTTGTGCAGTGTGTGTTTGTGTAGTGTGTATATAATGCAGTGTGTGTGTTTGTGTAGTGTGTTTATATAATGCAGTGTGTGTGTGTGTTTGTGTAGTGTGTTTAATGCAGTGTGTGTAGTGTGTGTATATAATGCACACTACACAAACACACTGCATTATATACACACACTATACAAACACACACACTCTGCATTATATAAACACACTACATTCACTATACACACACTACATTCACTATACACACACAGTCTGCATTCATTATATACACACACACTTTGCATTTAGTATATACAGCATTCACTTTACGCACACTACCCACACACTACACAAACACTCTGCTTTCATTATATGCACACTACACTAATACACACTGCATCCACTACACACACTAGACAAATACACACTGCATCCACTACACAAACACACACTGCATCCTCCACACACTACACAAACACACAAACACACTACACAAACACACACTGCATCCACAACACACACACTGCATCCACTACACACAGCTCCCCTGTCACACTGTATCCACTACACGTGGCATGTATATTTTGTGCATTTACCTTTAGAAATAGTTTTTATTTTGGTAAATGTACAGAATATCGGCAAATTATATCGGCTATCGGCCTGAAAGTTCACAGAATATCGGTATCGGTATCGGCTCTGAAAAATCAATATCGGTCGATCCCTAGTTATGGTACATGGAGAATTTATTTAATAGTCTATGGACTGCAATTAGAAGATAGCTCTTAGAGCGGACGGTCGCAGGATTGCTGAGCTCCAGGCCTGAAACTGACAAAACCCACTAAAAACACCCACAATCGGGTCAAATCCAACCCAGACGGACCCAAACGTTTAGGTAAACGCGATGGGGCGAAAGACAAAGAAGTTAAAGCCCGAAAAACTCCACCCGGGCACACATATTGGCGAGTTGTGGCGGAAGGCCCAAGAAGCCTCTCTCCCTCACATGGCGTCCCTCCATGGCGGATCCTCAGACTTCTACAGTGAGTCTTCGGATGAAGCAGAAGGGGAGCCCCTACAAGCCAACCCCAAACTCCCACTGAATCGAACACAGCCCCCACCACCCGCCGCAACCCCTACCCCGGTGAGCATGGAGGCCATCAGAGAATTAATGGCAGACCACCATAAAAAAATATCAGCGGATGTGGCCTCAATTCGGGACACGCTGAAGGGCCTCAGTGGACGACTTGGAGCTGTGGAACACACCACGCAAGCCCAAGACACACATATCAAGGAGCTACAGCAAGAGATACTGGCGCTGAGGAACCTGTCCAAACAAAATGACTTACGGTTTGCAGAGCTGGAAGATAAACGTCGGCTGAAGCATCTCAAGATCAGAGGAATAACAGATACTGTGACGGACTCTGAACTGCCCCATTTCGTGCGGCGGCTCCTCACGATAATGCTAAACCCAAAACATGCTAAAGCAGTGATACTGGATGAAATATTCCGTATCCCAAAACCCTCTAAAGCTCCAGACGCAGCCACCCGTGATGTGATCCTGCAGTTTCAAGCCCAAAGAGACAGATCCGCAGTTCTGGCCGTGGCCAGGCTCCAACAGACCTACCCCTTCGAAGGCATGAACCTAATGTTTTATGCGGACCTCTCGGGAGCCACTTTAGCCTGGAGGAGATCCCTGCAACAATTGACATCACTTCTGCGTGAGAAACATGTCACATACCGCTGGGGCACGGCTCACACCCTGACGGTAACAAAAGGCGAAGATACGCATAAAATTCACTGCATACAAGAGGCACCGATGATCCTGGGGCTGCTCGGCCTCCCCCCGAACGCATTGACCCAGCCAGCACCTAAGGACAGACCTCGGAGCCCCCAAGTTGGGAAACAGCTAGCGCTGCTGAATTTGTCCCCAGACGACAGAAAGAATCACCCACCGTCGCTGCCACGACCTGAAGGTCAATTCTGGACTGTGTGAGTTACCGGGACATTGCCCCACCATCAGGCATATTATGCATAGGGACGGCCATGCACAACCCAAACCCACACTACTGAACAACCCAATCGTTTCCACCCCATCATTATGTTTAGCACTATGACTTCAACTGTTTCCCCTTTCCTTGTTATTTTCTCTCGAACACCATAGTGAGCTTGTAGTTCACACCAACCAGTTAAATCTGACGCCAGAAATGTTCACTCACCTCTTAGTACACTCGATATTGCCTTGCCAAATTATAACAATATACATTGTTTTATTCCTGATACGACACTGTTTGTGCCCATAGACCTGTGGTCGCGAATGAGGCACTATGGAATTATATGTACTATGCATAGCATAACAAAAACTAACTTTTAAGGGAGGGAAAAGATAGGTTATCAAAGGAGAAGAGGAGGAGGGGAAAGGGGAGGAATAATCTAGGTGTTAAGGTGTATTGGACTGCTCACACCCGAGTTCTGTTGTCTTCCTAGTTTATCGTATTTTATTACACTTTTTCATCACCTAGTACTTCGACCATCAAACGTAGTCTCTGGTACAAACTCGCATATTAGTCACTATTTATGTTAAGCTTGATCTCCCCGCTGACATAACCATAAGAAATGAACGCTGAGTACCCACCTCAGCATCCTTACGGGTGATTCTTCTGTGTATAACTTAACCAGAGACCGCTTAGGTCAAAAAATGCCAGATTGTTTATTTCCCTTTATTTTTTTATGCTAACGTGGACATGGTATGTCCCTCTCTGTTTGGTGGTATATTGCTTTCCTTATATATTTACCTTTAACATTTAACCTAATTTTCATTTAATTGTACTTAACCTAGCCAAACTTTATTATTTTCTATCAAGTCAGTAAGTCAACCAGTATTAACACCTGTACTTATAGCCTTAACTGACACGCAAGACTAAAACTTATAAATATAACTTCGCCTACAACCTACAACTTAACGTTAATTAATATGCTGATATCTCCACGTTACTACTGTATCAAAGCTGTGTTTATGCTTTCTGAATTTACCATTGTGACAAAGACAAATGTTCAGCACATCTCAAGCGTTGCTCCCTCATTGCTTATATTTTCTTTCATAAAACTAAAATTGTGCTGTATAGTCATATGCCACGTTATGTTTCCTCTGTATATTACTGCTTGTGACTGCTGTTGTGGCTGAACAAGCCTATTGTTAATCCATGCACTTCAAAAATAAAGAATTAAAAAAAAAAAAGAAGATAGCTCTTAGATTTGAGTGCATTTCACCTTGAGAAAAATAATAAACTATTTCAAGCTCGTACAACTACCAGATAAACAGTGCTGACCTGTGTGCCCTCATACAGAAATTTACAAAGCATTAATTTGATAAGAGCAGGATACAATCATTTGTGTCTCTTTTTACATTATCGTTTCATTTGTTACTGGAGTCATTCAATGACGACAGAGAAATCTATTAAAATGACTTATCCCTTGGTGAACAACTCAACCTTATCTGAAACAACTTGCTTGTGCGCAGACGTTTCTAGGAATCTTTAAATGTTCGTCATTGGATTACTAAGTAAACTGCTTTCTGCAGAAAAATGCACGCAGTCGCCAAAGTTTAATATCAATGTTTAGGGAACCCATTGTTCATTTGAATTACTTTTCGTTCACCCCTTGACTAGCTAATTACAGGTTTCTGAGTAATGTTTGTGTTGACCAAATCAAAACACAACTTAAAGGGGTAATCTGTGCACCATAACTACTACAGCTTCTTTTAGTTATGCTACGATGAATCTATAGCCACTATTCCAGTGTTCTCTTATACCGTTTTGAAGCCGTTTGATAAAACTGGAACTCTCCCAGGCACCCATATTCTGCATTATCTTCCTTCACAGTGATAATGTGAATTACACTTCCACATTCGCAAATCCGAGTCTAAATAATGATTCTGTTGCATTTAACAGGCCTTCTGGATTACGAAGCTGCTCTTAAAATTGATCCCACCAATGAAAATGTGAAATTTGATGCTGAGAAAATACGGCAGATTATCCAGAATTCTTCTCCTGGTGTTGAATGATCAAAAACACTTTGTGTATATATTTATAACCTGTTTATGTGAAAAAGTGGAATGAATAGTTTTTTTTTATTATTATTTTTTTCTCAAATAAATGTCTATTTTGCTTTTCTTTCTACAATCTCATGTTTGAATATGATCAACATGAAAAACTATCAATGATGACATTCACACATTTCTGATACTTTTGTTACTCACTGTTATTCATTGATATATTTATTTACAACATAGTGTAAATAAGTGTGTTCTTTTAACACACATTTCAATTATCACAATCTTTGTCAAGAAGAGTTACCGACATATTAATGGAAACATCAGACACTTACCGAATTCAGAAAAAATAAATAAATAAATTAAAAGTTGCTGAAAACACTTTTCTAACAAGCAGCAAAGAGTAATTGTGTAGGACAGGCCCGGACTAGCCATCAGGCACACCGGGCAAATGCCCAGTGGGCCGTGGTGGCCATGAGCCAAGGTCTGACATGGGAGACTACAGGATCTCCACGGCGATCCATGCAGGACCGACGCTTTCCGAGCGCTGGCCCTGCTTTGTTCCATGACGGTCCGGTGGGGAGATCACAACTACACTCTACACCCCTCACTCATACACACTACACCCCTCACACATACACACTACACCCTTCACACACACACACACACAGCAGCCCCTAAACAAACTGCACCCTTCACACACACACACACACAATACTTCCAAAGATATATGTATATATACTACAGAACGCCTCACACACCTACTGCACCCCTAAACACATTATATTCCAGACACACTAGATCCCTTACCCAACTCTGGATCATCTACACATATACACACGCTAGATCCCTACATACACTCTAAATCTTCTACACACACACACACTAGATCTACTATACACAGCCTGGGTCCTTCAAACAGACAATGGATCCCCTACACACACATACTGTACAACCTACACACATACACTACATTTCTGACATACACACTCTGAATCCCCATGCACACACCAAATTCCTTGTAAGCAAACCCATACTACATTCCCTAAACACACACACTTTACAGCCCGTATGCACACATTTGCTACATCCCCTATACACACTATGTCCCCTATAGACACACTCTCTACAGCACCTAGACACACATACATTACATAACACCACAAACACAACATGACTGAAACCAACATATTAACACAAAACCACACCACAATCACCTCACTCTACACACACGCAATCCGATAAGCATGCTCCAAACACATGCACAGTACTCTTTCCTGGCATTTTTGTCTCCTGGTCAGGGCTGTCTTTAATGCGGGGCAAAGGGGGCAGCTGCCCCTTGAGCCCGCTGGCTGCCACGGTGCGTGCGTGTGGCCCGCGTGGTACTACTACCGTGGGCCGCACGACGAGGGGGCCTATTGGGCCATCTGATGGCAATGAGTCTGCACGGGCCTGGTCAGCGACCGGCCCCCTGTGATAAGGTCAGCACTAGCAGGAAGTGCAGTCACTTCCTCCTAGCCAACACAGAGAGTGCCGCACGGAAGGTAGGAAGTGAGGAGGAGCGTGGACTGGGAGAGAGCCCAACTCCCAACAGCCCCAGACAGCCACTGGACCCCAGCGAAGTCCCCCTCCTGCACCCAAAATGTAGGAAACAGGAGGGTGACTAAAATTGTATGTTTTCCATGTGTGTCTGTGTGTTTATCTGATTGTATGTGTATATGCATGTGTGCCTGTTTATCTGTGTGTATATCTTTCTGTATGTGTATCTATCTGCGTATTTGTGTGTGTATCTGTCTGTATGTGTATATTCATCTGTGTGTTTATCTATCTGCGTATATGTGTGCCTGTATGTGTCTCAATCTGTATGCGTATCTATCTGTACGTTTGTCTGTATGTGAGCCAGTGTGTTAATGTTTGCATCTATATGAGTGTCATCCTGTGTATCTGAATGTTTGTCATTAAGTGTGTCTGAGTACCTGCTTCTGTGTCAGTATGTGTATCTCTCGGTCTGTATGTGTATCTCTTGGTATTTGTGTCAGTGTATGCTCTTGTGTATCTGTATGTGTGTCTATGCATCTGTAGGTGTCTGTGTAACTGCATGTGTGTCTGTGTATGTATCTGTGTGTATCTGCATATATGTCAGAATGTGTGTGTCTGTATGTTTGTCAGTGAGTGTATCTGTATGTGTGCCAGTGTGTATCTGTGTATGCACCTGTGTGTCTGTGTATTTGGATGTATGTACCTGTGTATGTCTGAGCCTGTGTATGTGTGTATCTGTTTTTGTGTCAGTGTTTGCATCTGTATGTGTGTCAGTGTGTGTATTTTCTCTAGGTGAAAATGGGTGTGGCTAAGTCTACGATCTGTGTGTGTGTGTTTTCTTTATGTATGTCTTTGGGTGGAAGGCGTGTTTCCATGCTAGAAGGTGGGAGGGAGGGGGCCCAAGCAAATGTTTGCTAAGGGTTCAATCAACATTATATATGGCCCTGCTCCTGGAATCCCATTTATGGAGACACCAGAGACGGGTTTCAAGCAAACACAGCGCAAGCATGTTATTAAATTTGTTTGCGATGCGCAGAACAAATACAGGGCCTTTTCCTCATACTAGAGCTCTTCAGCAGAGCTCTGCACATGGTCTGCCCTGGAAGAGCATTGAACCAACATGCTCACTTTGAGATGGTGTGTGCTTGTCATTGGGGATGACAAAACACACCTTATCTGGTCCTGCCCGCTTTTCAGTGGGCCGCTGTGATTAAAAAAAGCCCGGGCCGAACTTTTTCCCAAGTCCGGCTCTGGTGTAGGAGCAGAACACTGCACATGTACAAGCAATATGAACTAACCTTAACTAATGATTTCTCATTAATCAGTTAAACCAATTAAAACACAGATAAATACTGTAGCAATGAATTAACATGGAGATCAATAACTCCATGCATGTTCACTACCTGAAAAGTCAATTTAGAGATACCTTAAAGGACACCTGTCATGCCTCAAAAAATTATGCTCATTAGATTGAGTGTAAAATTGTATCTATACATCGTGCTAGTGCTCTTGCTAGTAAATTTATAGAGTAGGAGAAAAAACTATTTAAAAATATTTTTTTCCAAGCTGTCAGTCAATGCTGTGGTGACTGACAAGGGAGAGCAGAAAAGACCTCCCACAGGAGATCCTTCTGCTCCCCACCCATAGCAACCGTAGCGCATGTGCTGCGGCGGCTGTGGAAACTCCCTAGCTGACGTAATGTCATCCGTTTCTATGCCGGCAAGAAGCTCAGCTCAGAGACGGAGGACGGGCAGGAAGCACTGGAATGGAGGAAAAGTGAATAAATCTTTATATTTTTTTTATTGGATACACCATGTATCTGTGCGATATAAAGTGTATTCAATGTATATGGGAGCAATTTAAGGTAGGTATTTTTTTTATTTTCCATAACAGGTTCACTTTAACCCCTTAAGGACACATGACATGTGAGACATGTCATGATTCCCTTTTATTCCAGAAGTTTGGTCCTTAAGGGGTTGAACACATACACACTGCAGTGTGCATGTAAGCCAGTTATACACCTGTCAACTATGTGCATCATCAATGCACTTGACTGTCTGTAACCATGCTAAGATTTTTGCTTTTGTCATTAAACTCGTAATAAATGCCTATCAAGCTTGGTATAGGGAGATTAAGAATGAATTTAGGCCCAGTTCTAATTCAATAACTATTTCTGACATTGGCAGCATTACTGGCAATAATATGGTCACTAACTTTTGAATATTGATGACTTTGAAAATGATCTTGATTCCAAGCGAAAATCCGAGACCTTTTCTGAATCTGGCTTATGATGTACCCCTATGTGTTATTTTATATACAGAGCTTGCTGCCATTTGGGCTGTATTTACATTTCTGGGAACACTGCGGCTGTCTCTCATATTCAAACAATGTCTTGCTCACGTGGTACACTACATTGTGCTGATTTCTGTAGGGCCTAGCATCTCGAGTGTGCAAATTCCGAGACTGGTCTAGTTAAGGAGATGAATGGGTTGTTGAAAAGCTGAGTGCAACTCGGGATATGTGAGCTAAGCTGAAATGCAACTTGCCAGGCTGCCACACAGACCCCCTGCACATGTCAGAGCATTGCAGAAATACTGCATGCTGCTAACATGTGCCTTTAACAAAGTCTAATATATATATATAGCGAAAATAGTTAGATTAGCTGGTCAGATTTCTGTCATATTTCATATAACACTGACCAGTCAGTTTTTTTTCTAAATTTTAGGATGTTATAAGTAATGTTAATTGCATGTGGTTTCCTTTTCGTGATATTGAATAAAAAGGAACAGATGATGCAAGCATTATTTTATATGAATTGTGTGTGTTTTACTTCCTGTGGCTGCAAATTTAATTTTATAGTATTTTAGTCACTATTTAGGATTCTGTCTCTTGAGTTCCTGCGAACTATAGTGCTCGGAATACAGATTTCTATTTCTAGCACTGTAGTATCCCTTTAAAATAAGAATGCATAGCGAATTTCAAATAGTAGGCCAAAGAAGCATAGCTGCCTATGACAATGTTTCTAGTTCAGCTATTTTAACCTTCAATTTGAAATTTACTTTGAATTCACATTTAATTCTCACTATGTGACAAAAGTAGTATCTTTCCACACTCTGGGACATTAAGTCTGTTTAAAGAATAACTATCACTTTTCAGTCAAGGGCAAGTTTAAATTGCTGACAAATTACCTTGTGTTTCTTTTAAAGGTGATAAAATACCCTTCTATAAAGGGTGTTTGTTGCATATACCGGTATTTCCATTTCTCCCATTTCCTTTGCATGGACATGGTTTTAATAGTATGATTACTTAACGGTACACGCGAAGCACCATAACCATTACATTGTGCTGTAGTGGTTATAGTGTCACCAGTGCCCTGGTGTCCTCGGAATGTAAGTATTTAAACCGTTTGCTAACCTGGGGTCCGTTAGGTGCTGGTCAACTCCATTGAGAATCGGATGATGTTGCAGGGAGTTTTTGTTATCTCTCCTGAACTAAGCCTTGTACTGCAGGGCGAGCTCAACGGCTGATAGTTGATCACTCTCAACCAAAGTGCTAAGCCCTGCACCGCCAGGCTAGCTCAGAGCAGTGCGCTTCTAGCTCTCAATGGAGGAGGTGACCGGTTTGACTATTTACAATGGGTGAGAGCCAGTGCGATCCTTGCACCATAACCATTATAGTATTCTGTAGTGGTTATGGTACTCAGAGTACTGTTTTAAAAAAAAATCTATATATATATATATATACACTTTTACAAAAACAAGTGCACGCTATTACACAATTATTATATTTTACAATAGATACCTGTAAATTGTCAATACGTTGGCAAAGATATTCTATTTTCTCATAATGACATGGCCTTCGATGTATAGGCAATAAATTTAATATTTCTTTAATAACTGGATTGATATCTGATACCATTTTCACTGGTGCACCATTGGATAAAACGTGTACATCACTCACTAGGTCCCAGATAACTGCCTGTAATAAAATAATGCATTCTAGACTCCTTTGAAAGTGTTGAATTAAGGTGTTTTGCAAACATGATTGTAAATTGTAGCGGAGCCCTAGTCCTGTCCAGGACCTCCTCCGCTGGATCACCAAGAGTAGAAATAGGGAACAAGAAATTGCCAAGTAAATAGTCCACCTTCTCCCCATTTTCTGGACGGCACACAGTTGTGGGAGTACAGCTTAAGTTTATTCTGCCACACATGGCTTTTATGCACTGGCCCTAGCATGTGGTTTCCATATCAAGAACACAGGGGTTTTATTCCCAAGAGCCTTTGTGTTTGAGAGATAATTGAGCTCCAATTAGGATAACTCAATTATCTCTCAAATACAGAAACTTACATGCATATTTTACAATACCCCCAAAATACACGAAAGGAATACAGGAACCCCACAAAATTCATATTCCCGAAAAGCCCAGATCTGAGCGCAGAGCATATCCAAAAAGTGCTCAAATCGGTTTGGTACAACAAAAGTTCTGTTCGCATAAAGTTTTGATCGACCTATGTGAACACTGACGAACGCTCCTCCTAGCTGCTTTAGAGTGAATGCTCCTGAATGTCGTTCGTCTCGATAATCGGGAAGTTGAACTGGCAGCAGTACGAAGTCAGCACGGATTTGTGGTCTCGTGTGGCCGAAAATAGTTCCAGGCGTTCGACAACCATGTACCGCTGCCTGTGTTCGGGAGACAAAATGGACGGGGAAAGCACTCAAACTAATGTGTCAAATCGTTAATTTGTTGTTAACAGCCAGAGGAGGTCGGTGTTCACTGGGGCATAACAAGGGGGACCACACACCAGTCATTCGGGAGACAAGGGGGTACGGGCAACCGAACACAAGGGAATGGAGTCTGCTACATAAATGTCATTACAATTGAAGATGATTTAAAACTTGGTACCTAAGCTGAGGTTGTATACATTAAAGGAACACTATAGTCACCTAAATTACTTTAGCTAAATAAAGCAGTTTTAGTGTATAGATCATTCCCCTGCAATTTCACTGCTCAATTCACTATCATTTAGGAGTTAAATCACTTTGTTTCTGTTTATGCGGCCCTAGCCACACCTCCCCTGGCTATGATTGACAGAGCCTGCATGAAAAAAAAAAACTGGTTTCACTTTCAAACAGATGTAATTTACCTTAAATAATTGTATCTCAATCTCTAAATTGAACATTAATCACAAATAGGAGGCTCTTGCAGGGTCTAGCAAGCTATTAACATAGCAGGGGATAAGAAAATCTTAATTAAACAGAACTTGCAATAAAGAAAGGCTAAATAGGGCTCTCTTTACAGGAAGTGTTTATGGAAGGCTGTGCAAGTCATATGCAGGGAGGTGTGACTAGGGTTCATAAACAAAGGGATTTAACTCCTAAATGGCAGAGGATTGAGCAGTGAGGCTGCAGGGGCATGTTCTATACACCAAAACTGCTTTGTTAAGCTAAAGTTGTTCAGGTGACTATAATGTCCCTTTAAAGCCAAGCCCCTTTTGAGTATAGACCTTACACATGCTCAGTCTTCTCCTAAAGAGATTTGTAACATCACCAATTTACTTTTCATTAGGGCATTTGAGACTGGTGGCAGAAGAGATTCAGGTGTGTTGCTTTTACGTCTGTAGCTTTTGTTGACTCACCTCATCAGGGTTAGAAGTCAGTAAATTAAGGAGACGTGCCAGAACATTGAATCTTCTTCTCCCATAATATCTGAACAGGGTCTCTAGCTGGTCACAGATGCACAGTAAGTAAAATGCATGCCTGTTTGTTACCTCTACCTTTCTACTTCTGTGTCGGGGGGAGTTGTAGACCTGCATTTTTATACTTGGCAGCAATCACCCCACTTTTCAGTCCACTCATTAATCCTTTGCCATGTCCTAAGCGAGTTCAAAGTGATCGTGCAGTGATCCTGTGCCATCCAATACTCTTCTTGTGTTAAATGTCCTAAACATATCTTTATTTAGTATTAGCTATGCAACAAACTTTTCATGTCATCGACATGGGTATTACACAGTACTAATAGTAATAGGTCACTGGAAGTATTCTGGGCTTAAGCTACAGTGAATGTTATAATACATTTATCTGTTATTGTGATACCAGTTATATAGTTAAATAGATATGCAATCCGTTCAATGAAGTGGTCTGGGTGCCAGGTCCCCCAGGTTTTAACCCTTCATGTTTACATTGCAGGGTTAATCCAGCCTCTAGTGGCTGTCTTCCTGACTGCGGCTAGAGGCGCTTCCGCAACGCTCAATACGAAAATTGCATCCAGCATTCAGAACGTCCATAGGAAAGCATTGAGAAATGCTTTCCTATGGACTGTTTGAATGCGCGCACGGCTCTTGCCGTGCATGCGCATTCCGCTCCACTCGGAAGCTGACGTCAGCAGGGGAGGAGAGGTCACCAGCGCCGAGGGAGCCCGGCGCTGGATTAAGGCAAGTGGCTGAAGGGGTTTTAGCCCCTTCATCCCAGCGGGAGGGGGACCCTCAGGGAGGGGGGACCAAAGGGTTATATAGTGTAAGGAAAACGGGTTTGTTTTCCTGACACTGTAGTGATCCTTTAATTTTGTCCTAAATGAAGGATCTTTATAATCAACACATACATGTAATGCACAACCACCACAGCCAGCATGTACATATTGCCTTTCTGTTCCCACACTAGATGAATGGGTTTGTCCTTCAGTGTAATGAGATACTAGCCCAGGGCTACACACAGCACAAGAGGACTGGTGCTGTTACAACATGTGATCTTTACAGTTAAAGTAGACTTTAACCTAAACTGCTTTGGGCGATGGCTTAAGCTTTAATTTTCCTGTGTGGTTTTAAAAGATTTTTCTTCATATACAGCATGGGAACATTTTAATAAGTTAGACATCCGATGGCAAATAATGAAGGTGGCATCTCTCAATGGCACACAGCTAAAGCAATTTCTCATATATAAACAAATCCCTAAACACCATTGTATAGATCTACAATGTATACTGAACTGTAATATTTATCATTCGGGGAAATTACAAATCATTTTAACCTACAAGCTGCATTTATTGATCCTTTGATCAATGCACTCAATATAGGTTTCTATTCAAAAATACATCATACGTGAAAAGCTGGAAAGGAATTTTCACATTTGTATTTATTAGATAATATTAGCACTAAATAAAAAAAAAAAGTATAGAAATTCTGGTCCCTTTATTATAATTCTGATCTTTTCATTGTATTAACCTGATGGAAGCTGTCAAAAACGGATAACTATTTTAATGATTAAAACCAGAAAAATATGGAGTCCAATTGCTCAGCTTAATAGACCCTTTTTATATATTTTGGGACTATTTTGTTCATTCACGAGTGTGTTGAAAGCCTAGGGGTCTGGTAGGACTGTAAGGAGGGAGGGAGGGAAGGGGAAGCACAGTGCCAATAAAGCATCAATCCAGTATGTGAATGTGGGGTTGGAAGGGGTTAAACTTACCTCTTTCTCCAGCTTCCGTCACCGGCTGAATGCGCATGCGTGGCAAGAGCCGTGCACGCATTCAGCCAGTCCATAGGAAAGCATTATCAATGCTTTCCTTTGGACGCTGGCTCACTGTGAAAATCACAGTGAGAAGCGCGGAAGCCCTCTAGCGGCTGTCAATGAGACAGCCACTAGAGGCTGGATTAACCCTTTTATAAACATAGCAGTTTCTCTGAAACTGCTATGTTTACAGAAAAAAAGGGTGAATCCTAGCTGGACCTGGCACCCAGACCACTTCATTAAGCTGAAGTGGTCTGGGTGCCTATAGTGGTCCTTTAGCCTGTTTAAGGACAGAGACAGTTGTCCACATTCTGAACCAAAACAAAACCTTGAATTTGAACTATAGGTTTGTTCCACTGTAATTTAATGGTCTCTCTTAATAGTAACAGGTCTCTTAAGTGCCCCCATACAAGTTGTTTAACTTTTTTTTTACAGGACAGGACAGAAAGGGTTTTCATTTAATATTCTATATGTATAACTAACACAACATTAAATGTGAATAAAATTTATAAAATGGGGGGGGGGGGACATTTTATTTACATATTTTTGTTTATAATCATTTTTACACATCCAGTACAATTAGTTGTACTATTAGTTGTAATAGTTCATATAGATTTATATATCATTACTTTTATTTTATTTAAGGTTTTAATACAGGGGTGTGTTTGCATGTAATATTTGCATTTGATTGCAGGGTTGTGTTTGTATGTAATCCTGGGTTTTAAATGTCAATGTACACAGGGCCGTCTTTAATATTGATTGGACCCTGGGCAAGCATCTGTTTGGGCCCCCTGGGCATGCAATCACTCCCTCCACCCCAACGTAGAGGCGAAACTAATGTAGAGAGTGCCTTGTTGCAACAAAAAAAAATTCAGGCCTGCCCTGTAGCACAAGAGTAAAGAAAAGATAGATCCCCATCTGTCATACAACTCCTGCGATGCTATGCCAGCTGGGGATCTACCATCCTTCAGGGTTGTATTTTTGAGCAGTGTTTGTGCAAATGAATGTCAGCATGTTATTGTATAGAGTGTATGTGTGCATGTAGGAGTATATTTGTATGTACTGTTACCATTGGAATGCAGTGGTGTACTTGTGTGTAGTGTTTGCATTTTAATGCAGGGATGTGTGATTGTTTGTAGTGTTGGCTTTTTAATGCAGGTGTACTTTTGTGTGTAGAGTTGCTGTTTGTATATAATTTTAGCGTTTTAATACAGGAATGTGTTTGCATGTAATGTTTGTATTTGCATGCAGGGGGGTGTTTGGATGTAGTGTTGTCTTTTAAATACATGTGTACATTTGTGTGTAGTATTAGTGTTTCAGCAAACTGGTGTGTTTGTAATGTTTGTGTTTGCAGGGGTCTGTTTGCATGTTGTAAGATTTCTATAACACATATACACATACACATACACATTAACATGCAGATACACACATGCTCACACCTTGACACATACTGGCACATACACATACACACACACTCAGATACACACCCTTTGACACACAGATACAAGCACTTTGATATACACACACTGGCACATACACACACACACACACACATACATAATACACACACTCAGGTATAAATGCAGGGGTGTATATGTGTACAGTGCTAGAGATGGAATGTAGGAGTGTATTTGTGTTGGCATTAAAATGCTGGGATGTATGCATTACCACACACTCAGATGCACACTTACACACACACCGAAACACACACACAGGTGCACATACAGGTGTATGAGGTATACATACACACAGAAACACTGACACACAGACAAACACAGCCAGATACACACAAGGACATAAACACAGCCAGATACACACATATATATGTGTACATTTACATATTTTAATCTCTGCCTTCTAGCAGCTCTTGGACAGCAACCTTGGCCAATATAATGTCTCAACTCTATTCTTACATACCCTGGTCCAGAATTTGGCAAAAGTGACATCTGAAAATGGTATACAGCCTTTGATAACACTTGATGCAATATGTTAAAATAAATACTTTTTAAATTTATATTTAATAGGGAACTGTCAGGTTCTTCTAGGATTTTTAACATGTACTTATTCCCTGTGTGTTACATTACAAACACCAACACACTTAAATAAAAGTGATATCAGAAATTAGCAAAACAAAAAACAAAACATATTTAGCTACCCTCCTGTCTCCTTACCTTTTGGGTACAGAAAGGTGGCTTCCCTGGTGTCCAGTGAGAGCTTGCTGGCCCAGGCTGATGGGAGTCTCCCCCACAATGCTTGCATCCTCCTCCATGTGGTGTGTGCCTCCTCCCTAGCGGCACTGAGGAGGAAGTGATCAGTTCTTACTGGAAGGAAGCAATCTGACCCCACTTCCTCCCAGCATGCCCAGGAAACAAAGAGACTCACAGGGCAGTATGTGAGGGGGCTAGCTGTGAGTATGTAGTCAGCCACCCCCCATATAACAGGGGCCTGGGCCGGTCCAGAGCAGTATTAAAGGGCTGTGGCCCCTGATTACCTCAGGTGCCGCAGGGGGCCCATGGGGCAGCTGCCTTAGGGCCCCCAGGAGTAACTGGGCCCAGGGCAGCTGCCCCTCCTTAAAGACGGCCCTGAATGTACATTTGTGTAGTGTTGGTGTTTGAGTGAAGGGGTGTGTTTGTATATAGTTTTGGAGTTTGAATGAACAGACGTGTTTGTATGTAATATTTGTGTTAGATTGCAGGGGTGTGTTTGCATGTTTTGTTGGTGTTTGCTTGGATGTACATACATACACCCTGACACACAGATACACACACTTACATATACACATACACAAATGCACATACACTGACATACAGATATACACAGTGACATATACACACCTTGACACACAGAGGCACATACACAGTGACCTATACACACCTTGACACACAGAGGCACATACACAGTGACCTATACACACCTTGACACACAGAGGCACATACACAATCAGATACTCACACTGACACACACACAACTTAACATAGATACACACACACACACAATGTGACATACTTTACATACGTTGTAGCAAATATTTGTTATATTTGCAGCCACCCTCCTGTTTGCATACCTTTGGTTTCCAAGAGGGTGGCTTGCTACCTGCTTCTTGTCGAGGGTCGAAAGTATCTGCTGCTACTTGTGCCTTCCCTTATCCCCCTACTGCTACTTGTGCTGCCGCCACCTCTTCCCTCCTGTACGGTGTGCTCTGTAAGAAGATCGGCTGCCACTTCCTCCCAGCATTTGCCATATTATAAGGGCCCGGTCGCACTGTAAAGGGCGATGCCCATTGGGTGGCCCTAAGTGCTCGACACATATTACATGATTTATACTTTAAACAATGAAAGAGTTAATGTTGTTTCTTCAGGATGAAAAGGAGAAATGCTAATATTTTATAATTTAATTAATTTACTAGAACTAGATTTGCCTTAAATAATATAATTACATTACATCAGCCATGAGTAATTTAGAAAGCATTTATGAATATTTATTATGAAGTGATAATTGTTTGACATTAAACAGATATTTATTATCTGAAAACAGCTTACAAATGCTGCAGATCTCTTGCAAGCAGTCTTTGCAATCCCAGCCCTTTTTAATTTTTTTTTTTTTTTTTTATATTTATTATTATCAATGAAGAAGCCTCTGATTTTGAGCCCTGAATTGCATGAGGACACAACAGTGAAATAAAGTCTGTTGACCCATGCATGCTCACAGGAACATTGCAACTTGGTGGAGAAGACAGAGACACTCCAGAACTCTGTGTAGCTAACATAATCTGGAAAATAACCTCCCTGACTGTCTGACAGCCGTGAGGTGTTTCTGCAATTATCTATAAAAGTGACAAATTTAAATAGAAACCAGGACTTTTGTAAACTGCAAAGAAAATCAGCACATCACACACACAAAGTTTAACCACTTTATGTCTGTGGAGTGTTCTTTTAATCATAATATTACACATTAATCAAGAATGCTCAGGAACTTCATTCTCTGTGGTGCAGAGTGCCATCTGAGGATTGCTGGACAGATTCAAATGTGTTCCCAACACCAAATGTTGTTCTAAGGCTATTGTGAGCAAATATGTGATTGCTAATCTAATCACTTCCCATTGGAACCTATGTAAATAAATAAAGTGAAATTGTTGCAGAACTTAATGTCCTAAACCAAACTGTTTCAGTCTCCTTACTTTGAGGAGAAAGCTGTACATAGTCAGTGGAGACTATTTTTATTTTTTTAATTAATGTATATTGAAATTATATAAGTAAATCCCTTACCTACCTTTCCTACTTCCTCTTTTTAACCACTTTCTTTATTCACATTCATTTGCATTACTAGTCATTTGACCAAATGTTTACCATTTTGCAACTGTCTGTTCATGATTTGGAAAATATTTGGCATCAGAAGGAGGACTGTATAAGACATCCAAAATGGATGCCTACTTTGTTTCATAAAAAAGTACAATATGGAGTCTCTATGGTTTTGCTCAACTCAATGTACTTTTTTTTTAATGTACTATTTTTGGAAGACTGTGCTAAAATGCTTTGAAACTTTGTGGGGATTTTAGAAAGTAGAAACCATAGTGCTCAGAAAGTGTGAATATGTTTTTTTTTTAAATGTATCTATCCTGAAACCATTTAGCTACTTTGGCCTTCAATTGGAAATTCACTTTGAATTCCTTCCAATTCTCATTAGAGTTAATAATTTGATACATCCCATTGTCCTGTACTATTTTATAGAAAACTGCATTTAATTGTCATGCAGAGCAATGCAGGATACAGCTTGAATGCAAATCACAATGTCTACAACAAAATGTCCCTGAAGAAAACCTGTGTGACAGTTACAGGAAAAACAGAGCAAACTATTTTTTTTTTTTTATGGGAGACGACATTTAATAAATCACATCTTATGAAAGTTTCTCCAGGCATTTTGTACAATTCCAGTGATCTAGCAACACAAACTAAATTTATATAGTGGTATGAAATACCATATTCTAAATACCACAGTTGCAGAATTCTGGAAGATTATAATGTATGTTGTAGGTTTATCCAGTCATGCACCCTGCTTCTGTCAACGGCAGTGTTTAAAGAGTTGTTGCGATACATTCCACAGGTGCCCAATGGTTCGGAGAATTGTTGAGATATTGGATGGTGTGAGCACGGTGCCATTTCAGGGGAAGGTCGCAGGGCTCCATATTCACTAGCTGAAGTTTTAAACAGAATGTTTTGCTGCTTGGCTTGGAATATATTGTTGGGAGAAAGGTTTGGATTCCCCACGCAGGAACACACAGGATTGCCAATGTTGTGACAAGGCTGCCCCATGTTAGCCATTTGTTATTTGTGCCTAGATCTGGAGATGATCCTTCAAAAGATATGCCTTGGAGAGAAAATATAAATATTTATTATGAACCATCAACATTTCAATGCAAAATGGATTTTAAACACACACAGAAATTCTGATTGTTGTATACAAAATGTATATGTGGCTGTAACATGCGTGCCGTGCAGATACAACTAACAAGTGATGTGTTTTGGCCTACGACAAGACTCCGAGCACCAAAATCACTACATTTTAATGTAATGGTTTAGTACATAGAAGTCCCTATATCTGATGTTTACAACATGTATCTGGTGCCTGCCACTTCCTTAAGAGGAAGTTTGTGCATCACTGTGCACTGCATAATGACACTGAACTCTGCTAATGCTTCTGTAAAATAGATTATGTTTAAAAAGAATATTCAACTGCTGCTCCTCTGACTGCCCATGTAAATTTCATATAGAGCCACAAGGCAATCTAGATGTTTGATATCCCCTTTTACCCAGGGCCGGATTAACATAGGGGCTGATGGAGCTGCAGCTCCAGGCCCAGGCCCATGGAATAGGCCCATTGATTTAAAAAAAAAAAAAAATAATAATAATTTTTTTACATTTTTTTTTTCACACACTACTCTTAGGGATTCCACCTGGCTTTTATTTTATTGGCACAGCCAGTATTTGAGGCTGCCTGGCTGGTGCCAATATTGCAGTGATACTGGCAATATAAATGCTGGTATTTTTCTCAGTATAAATGGAAATTACTATGCAATACCAGCACTGGCCAGTAGGGGTCGCTGCATGTGGAGACAGGCAGGTATAGGAAGTTCCAGCATATCCCTCCCTGCCTATCTATACTCACTGATCTGCAGGGGTGCAGCTACAGAGAGTCCAGACAGCAACTCCCACCCTGCAGAGACAGCCTACAGCTCAGGGAAGTAAGGGATGGGGAAAGGCTGCAAGGAGACATACACTGAGACACTAAGGGACATTGGGAGACATTATGGCAGACACTGAGACACTAAGGGACATTGGGAGACATTATGACACAGACACATGGGGACACAATGTCCCCATGTCTCCCAGCCAGTGTTCCTGGTGTCTCAGTGCCTCTAGTCTTCCAGTGACCCCTAGTCTCCCAGTGCCCCCAGTCTGCCAGTGTCTCACTGTCCCCATGTCTCCTAGTGCCTCCATGTCTCTCAGTGCCTCAAGTGTCACAATGTCACCAAGCTAGTGTCCCTAGTGTCTGTGGCCCTGGTGTCTGTGTCCCCATGTCTCCCAGTGCCCCCATGTCTCAATGTCCCCATGTCCCCCAGCCAGTGTCTCTAGTATCTTTGTCCCTGGTGTCTGTGTCCCCATGTCTTCAAGTGTCCCCTATTTTCCCATTGTCCCCATGTGTCCCAGCCAGAGTCCCCTAGTCTCCCAGTGTCACTGGTGTCTCCGTGTCTCTAGGTCTCCCCGTGTCCCCAGGTCTCCCCGTCTTCCTAGTGTCCTAGTGACATGGGGACCCTGGGATACATGGGGACACAGGGAGACATAGGGCATTGAGACACTGATACATAGGGAAGGCAAAAAAGGAGGCCTGGGGACACGACACTTGGGACACTGGGAGACATGGGGCACTGAGACACTGATACATAGGAACACTGAGGACTGGAGTAATCGACATATGGGGGCACTGGGAGGAATCCATCTTTACAGCAGATTTAAACTAAATAGTTTTTTGGTGATTTTACAGCATTTTCTCTTATGTCACTCCTTGTTTTACATATTTAATTATGCAAATTGTTTTTCCAAGAAAGGTGGCAACCCTAACTACTTTTCACATACTCTTACTTAAGTATGGAAACTTAAGAGGGATGTAAACTTGTGTGGACTAGCTGACAATGAATATAGTTAAAGGGACACTATAGTCAGCAGAACAACTACAGCTTATTGAATTTGTTCTGGTGAGTAGAATCATTACCATCAGGCTGTTTGCTGTAAGCATGGTCTTTTCAGAGAAAATGCTGTGTTTACATTACATCCTAGTGATAACTTCACTGGCCACTCCTTAGGTGACTGTTAGAGATCCTTCCTGGGTCATGGCTGCCTAAAATGCATCCAAACATTCAGAGTCTCCTCCCTCTGCATGTAGACACTGAACTTTCCTCATAGAGATTCATTAATTAAATTCATCTATATAAGGAGATGCTGATTGGCCAGGGCTGTGTTTGAATCATGCTGGCTCTGCCCCTGATCTGCCTCTTTGTCAGTCTCAGCCAATCCTATGGGGAAGCACTGTGATTGGATCAGGCCACCACTTCTAATGATGTCAGCAGACTGCTTGTTTTTATGAGTCTAACAGCATGCAGAGTTAACCCCTTAAGGACGGAGCCAAATGTACACATTGTGAACAAAACAAAATGTAAACAAAACCTGGCATTTGCGCTACATGTCTGTCCAACCGTAATACTCTTTCATAGTAAATGCACCCACCCTTATTATATATCATTTTATTCAGGGGAAACAGGGCTTTCATTTAATATCAAATATTTAGCTATGAAACATAATTTAATATGAAAAAAATGGGAGAAAATACGTTTTTTTTGGATTTTTTTAGTTCTACATTATATTTTAACGGTCAGTGTCATAATACTGTTTGCTTTTACTGCAACAAAATACACATATTTATATTCAGTAAAGTCTCACGTGTAAGACAGTACCTCCTATGTACAGGTTTTATGGCGTTTTGGGAAGTTACAGGGTCAAATATAGAACGTTACATTTGAAATTGAAATTCGCCAGATTGGTTACGTTGCCTTTGAGACTGTATAGTAGCCCAGGAATGAAATTTACACCTATAATGGCATACCATTTGCAATAGTAGACAACCCAAGGTATTGCAAATGGGGTATGTCCAGTCTTTTTTAGTAGCCATTTGGTCACAAACACTGGCCAAAGTTAGCGTTAGTATTTGTTTGTGTGTGAAAATGCAAAAAATGCCAATTTTGGCCAGTGTTTGTGACTAAGTGGCTACTAAAAAAGACTGGACATACCCCGTTTGCAATACCTTGGGTTGTCTACTATTGCAAATGGTATGCCATCATAGGGGTAATTTTCATTCTTGGGCTACCATAGGGTCTCAAAGGCAACGTAACCAATCTGGCGAATTTTAATGTGAAAGAAATGAAACGCAAGCCTTATATTTGACGCTGTAACTTTTGAAAACACCATAAAACCTGTACATGAGGGGTACTGTTGTACTCGGGAGACTTCACTGAACACAAATATTTGTGTTTCAAAACAGTAAAAAGTATCATAGCAATAATATTGTCCGTTTAATGCTGTTTGTGCGTGAAAAATGCAAAAAACGTCACTTTTACTGGCGATATCATCGTTGTAATACATTTTAATGTTTTGAAACACTAATATTTGTGTTCAGCGAAGTCTCCCGAGTAGAACAGTACCCCCCATGTACAGGTTTTATGGTGTCTCGGAAAGTTATAGGGTTAAATATAGTGCTAGCAAATTAAATTCCCTTTACTTTCGGCATGGGTTGTCATGCAGGTCCTGCTAATTGTAATTAATTAAGATACCTAATTATGTAAAAATATTACATAAATATATATGTAGAATTAATATATGTATATATATACGTATGTGTATATATATGTATATATCTATATAATTTTTTAAAATATTTTTATTTATATATAGGTATATATATAGTGATATATACGTATATATTTATGTGTATAGATATATATATTATTTCGTTCTACGTGTATTTTTATATATATATATATATATATATATATATATATATATTAATTTCACAATACAGTTAGAACGAAATAACACACATCTATATATTTTTAATTATTTATTTTTAATTATTTTTTTAATTTTATTTTTTAACGTATTTACATTTTATTTTTTTTATATTATATATAAATATATATATAACAATAATTATATATATATTTAATCAGTATCAGTCTACGTGTAATTTGATATTAATATATATATATAATTATATATATATTAATAGTAAAATACACCTAGACGGTGTACATGTGTGTATGTATATGTGTATATATATACTTTGATCATATATATATAATATATATATATGATCTAAGTATATATAATTTTTTTTTTTTACACCATTAACTTATTTTATTTTTATTTCCAGCCAGCAGGGGGACCACCTGTAATTACAGGCAGCCCCCCTGCCGGCAATACAGAAGCCAGCTATCCCCGGCCATGTGATTGTGGGGTCCTCGCTAGGACCCCACTCTCACATGGCCGGGGGGCTTCCAGGAGGACGGAGGTGCCGCGGGGGGCTCCCTGGGAGTCCCCCCAACCGCGATCGCCGGCGTGGGACCGCCGGCGACCGGGTAAGTTAACAAAAACCGGAGGGCGTACAATTACGCCCGGCGGCGTTTAGAGCCGCCTATTAGAGGGCGTAATTGTACGTCCTCCGGTTTTAAGGGGTTAAAGCTTCAGGCTTGAATATAGTAGGATTTTGCTATATTTATGGAGGCATGAGGGGCCCAGGGGGGCTAGATGGTGGTGTTAACACTATAGGGTCATGAATTCATGCTTGTGGTAATGCTGACTTTGGTCTCTCTAACAGGGTGGCATGTTCCCTTTCTTCTACACTCACTACATACAGCTTTTCTCTGTCCCGGACCATATACCAGGAGCTTCTGCCTGCTAGTAAGAAGGTAAGGAGACAAGTGGACCAGCGAGTGCTAGGGGACAGTCCTTAGAAAGCGTTGAGTGAGCGCATCATTAGATGCATTTATGCCAAGCTCAGGGTGCTGTCTGCATAGTATGCCCTTAGTTGGCCAGCTGCATGATTGGCAGGCAGCCTGACATGCCAGGCTGGTCTTCTAATTCTTTGAGCAGACATGTCCTCTTTTTGGGCATGTTCGCCCCTTTTGGCAGGTTATGTGATTTGTGTCAGTGGCACACCCTTTTACCATGCCCATTGACTTCCTACTTGACTGGACACTGCTGTTAGGGGTTATGGATTTACTTGAAAGATGAAAACATAAATTAGTGAGAGATTAGCCTAGGGTATGTGCTTTCTTATAGCTGCTGTTTTCTTTCTCTCCAGCACCATCTCCATCAGATACATGATGCTTGGGAGTGTTTTACTGTTTTTGGTCGATATGATTCTGTAATTAGGCCCGTCATAATTGTCAGCACCAGGCCCACTGGGCTCTTAATCTGGCCCTGCTTTTACCAGCCTGACATTATTTTGCAAAACTCATACCTGCATACTGGCCCTTAGAATCTCCTCAGAGAGTAGGGCAGTGTACATGCAGATATGCTGAACAGCTCATTTGTAGCCATTTGTGCTCTGTAATGAGGTTAGGATATGGTGTCACTCCTACATTAGTAGAAAACATGCAAGTGTGTGGGGTAGCAATTCCAGATATCAGTGCAAACGTGCATAGAGAGATGCTTGCCCACCAGTGCACACCACGGATTAGACTCAGTTCCAGTCTTACTTTGCAAATGTAGGAAATAAGAGACTAGAGCATCTGTTAGAAATCCAATATGAGCAAAGATGTTTGGCCATTATGGACTGGGGTGTGACTTTAAAGGGACACTATTGTCACCCAGACCACTTCGGCTCAATGAAGTGGTCTGGGTGCCACGTCCCTCAGGTTTTAACCCTTCAGATGTAAACATAGCAGTTTCAGAGAAACTGCTATGTTTACATTTGGGGTTAATTCAGCCTCTAGTGGCTGTCTTCCTGACAGCCATTAGAGGCGCATCTCCGACGCTGGATGCAAATTTCACATCCATCCCGCAGAGCGTCCATAGGAAAGCATTGAGAAATGCTTTCCTATGGACACTTTGAATGCACACGCAGCACTTGCCGCGCATGTGGCTCAACTGACGTCAGACGGGGGAGGAGAGGTCACCAGCGCCGAGGGAGCCTGGCGCTGGATTAAAGTAAGTCCCTTCAGCGCCACGGGAGGGGGACCCTGAGGGTGGGGGCACCCTCAGGGCACTATATGACTTACCCGATGACTTCCATGATATGTGTGTTTTAAAGGGACATTCACTAAAACAAGTTTATCTTATTGAAGTGATTTTGGCACATACCTTTTTTTGTGACAATGTAAAACATTGCGATTTCAGAGAAACGGTAATGTTTACATTTTGTGTAAACCCCTACTATAATGGCGGTCTGACTGAGATTCGCTAAAGACGCTTCTTCCTTTAACACCTTTAATTCTTCCTTGTTGACCCTTCATGTTCGGTGTCATCAGCATGACAATGCCAAATGCTACTAATGCTTCTCTACGAGAAGTACTGGATTACATTTTTGTCTCTATGCAGCGTCGGAGAGCCGAATATGTTGTAGGTCCCCAAAACTTCTCTCTGAGACACACTGGACTGGGCAGAAATTGCCTGTATTGATGATCTCAGAAGAGGCACCATGGCTGTTGAGTGCGTCCCCGCTGCTGGATTACAGGGGGATTTAAAGGGGAGCCTCAATCTAAATTAGCAAAGGAACACATCTAACATCAAAAATCACATGTTAATATTTAAAGTTATAGTATTCCTTTAAATGTCTGCCCTTCATTTCGACAACCCCCTCTTTCAACATGGCCATCATGCTAAACCTGGTCCTCCAGGACCCCTGCCACTACCTCCATCTAATGGCTGCTACATGAAAGGTACTGCCCTGCAGTATGTAGAATTCATATGATGGGGCACAATCAGTTCAGTATCCAGCATTAAATCATTAAGGAAAAGCTGTGACTCCCTGCTGCAGTACATGATTGCTCCATACTGCAGTACATGATTGCTCCATACTGCAGTACACGATTGCTCCATACTGCAGTACACGATTGCTCCATACTGCAGTACACGAGTGCTCCATACTGCAGTACATGAGTGCCCCATACTGCAGTACATGATTGCTCCATACTGCAGTACACTATTGCCCCATACTGCAGTACACGATTGCCCCATACTGCAGTACACGATTGCCCCATACTGCAGTACACGATTGCCCCATACTGCAGTACATGAGTGCTCCATACTGCAGGGCAGCACTTTTCACGCACTGCCCTCCTCAGCATGACCATGTTATAGGTACCCAGATAATCTCTCTCCCCTCCAGCCTCATTACCCGTTCCTGGCCCGCGGAGTGCGGCATGCGCTGTGAGCAGTCCGTAACGTGCAGTGCAGGGCTGATCCGGGATCTGTGTTGTGTGCGCCCTGCGGTAACCATGACAACCAGCCGGCCGGCCTCTTTGTCTAGTTAGCCGCGCCCATTTTGGGAACACGTCACGCCCTTTGCCCCGAGGCTGCACGGGAAATGTATTTCCAGTCGGCTCTTTGCTGGCGGTAAAGCAGCGTCCCGCACTGTAACTCCCGGCGTGCTCCGCGGCCTGGCCACGCCCCCTCGCGCTGGCTGTGGGAGGGAGACTGATTGTTTTCGGAACGCGTCACCGGCTGACAGTTACCGATCAGCGGGCGGAGGGGACAGACATGTAAACACCTACCGCGGGGTCACCGGGGCCTGACTCACTCACCGTGACCGAGCGCTGCAGGCGGGAGCCCGCCATTCCCACCGAGGTACCGGGGGAGGGGAGAGCTAGGGCTGACATCGCATTGTCCGCTGTGTGACAGCAGGCTGGGGCCCCCGGGAGCTCTATATATAACATGGCAGCCTGCTCCCAGGGGCCCCACACTGGCCGTGTACCCACAGGGGCCCAATCATGGCAGTCTGCTACCAGGGGCCCCACAGGGGCCCAATCATGGCAGACTGCTCCCAGGGGCCCCACACTGGCCGTGTACCCACAGGGGCCCAATCATGGCAGCCTGCTCCCAGGGGCCCCACACTGGCCGTGTACCCACAGGGGCCCAATCATGGCAGACTGGTCCCAGGGGCCCCACACTGGCCGTGTACCCACAGGGGCCCAATCATGGCAGACTGGTCCCAGGGGCCCCACACTGGCCGTGTACCCACAGGGGCCCAATCATGGCAGTCTGCTCCCAGGGGCCCCACACTGGCCGTGTACCCACAGGGGCCCAATCATGGCAGACTGCTCCCAGGGGCCCCACACTGGCCGTGTACCCACAGGGGCCCAATCATGGCAGTCTGCTCCCAGGGGCCCCACACTGGCCGTGTACCCACAGGGGCCCAATCATGGCAGACTGCTCCCAGGGGCCCAATCATGGCAGTCTGCTCCCAGGGGCCCCAATCATGGCAGACTGCTCACAGGGGCCCCACACTGGCCGTGTACCCACAGGGGCCCAATCATGGCAGACTGCTCCCAGGGGCCCCACACTGGCCGTGTACCCACAGGGGCCCAATCATGGCAGTCTGCTCCCAGGGGCCCCACACTGTCCGTGTACCCACAGGGGCCCAATCATGGCAGACTGCTCCCAGGGGCCCAACACTGGCCGTGTACCCACAGGGGCCCAATCATGGCAGACTGCTCCCAGGGGCCCCACACTAGCCGAATACCCACAGGGGCCCAATCATGGCAGACTGCTCCCAGGGGCCCCACACTGGCCGTGTACCCACAGGGGCCCAATCATGGCAGACTGGTCCCAGGGGCCCCACACTGGCCGTGTACCCACAGGGGCCCAATCATGGCAGACTGCTCCCAGGGGCCCCACAGTGACCTAATCATGGCAGTCTGGCTGGCCCTGGCACTCGGCGGGTTAATTATGTGAATACCAGCTCTGCCAGGCTGGATAATAGGGCTGACTGGCACTCAGCGGGTTAATTATCTAATCCCTGTTATATGTCCAGTTTATGTGTCATCCATGTTTATATACTGTCAGCATATCCCCTGGATGGGAATGTGTAAGCTTGGGCACTCCAGATGTTGTGGACTACATTTCTCATCACCCTCAGCCAGCCTTTGGTACACCAGTGTCGCCCATACCTTTCCAAGCCTCAGCCATGTGTCCAGGTCCCCCAAAGCAAGCACCCTCTGGGGGACAGACCTGGCTGGCTGCTGCTATAACGCCTTTGTTTTGGTGGCTCTCCTGGTACTGAGCCCTTACACAGGGATTGCATCATGTTGGATTTTGTTTATCATTGCTTTGACATCATTCCTTGTCCACTGTCAGAACACATTTTAATATATTGTTTTTTTCCCTTTTGTTTAACAATTGCTGCACCTGTATAGGATCTTACATGTGTGTTATTTATATGTTAATATGATCATGATGATTTGTAAGTCTTTAGACCTCCAGAATCTGCCTCAGTTAAGTTTATTATAAATCTTATATTTTGAGGATCCTTCCATTGCCATGTTTTAAGTAGAAAACAGAGCAGCTGTTACCCCTGTGTGCCAATGCATGGTTCCTGCCTGTTCTTTATTGGTGTGTTCTCAGGTCAGGATGTCTCAGTATAATAGGTGGTCTAGTGACAGTTTAACCCCTTAAGGACCAAACTTCTGGAATAAAAGGGAATCATGAGGGGGTTAAGGGGTTAAGTTCAAGTTAGTCTAGTTATAGCATTAGTTCAGATCAATAGGCCTGCATTATCTCTCTGCAGACTGAAACACAAGCTGTAGATGACATTTACTCCTCCCTGGTCCTTCTTGATCTTGTGACTTTTAGGCACTGCCCCTTAATGCAGGGGATGTGACAAGCCTTGTTTTTCTTTTTTTCTTTTTTTTTTCTTTTTTGTTCCTGATTACTCAGTTAGTTTGTGCTGTGTTTGAGAGTGATACATTTATGTAATTTTTTTCAAATATATATTTATTTTTGTCTTCTAAATATATCATAATGTATCTGACACAGCAAAACAACTAAAATAACTTATTTAGGTTTTAATCACTAATTGGGGAGAATTGAATTGCAAAAATTGGTTGTTGTGACAGTAAGTAATTTGTGGGCCTGTTTAGTAGTGCAGCACTTTACATTTTGCATCCTGCTGTTACTGGCTACATTTTGCATTAAGGATTGCAAACATTTGATGTTTACTGAATAAACTCAATTTGTCTGATTTACTGCAAACACTTTTTCAAGTTCCATTATTTTCCCAGCTTGGCCATTTTGGCAAAAAACTAAATTCTTGGTTTAATAATTAATGTAAAGAGTTATTCCATAGGAACCAATATCACAAAAAGTACAGGTTGCAAAAAAACAGGTTTGTTCACAGTAGCCGTCACTGTGCATGTGTTGCTCCTCTGAGTGAGATTTTAGTAAAGGGCAGTTTACCTGGTCGGATGCTAGTTTTTTAAAGCGGTGTGCTGTGGCTGCAGGTGGTGACCTTTGACCACAACGAAAGAAAGTGTCAGCTGCTATACTGTAGGTTGAACTGAATGTGCAGAGATAAATCATCAGGACACTTGTGCAAAACCACCTGTCCACTCACCCTCATTTATTGGTTTCATCATTTATAATTAAAACGGAAATCTAATAATGCTACTTTATTTTAAGAAATAACTTACTCATTACAGAACATATCTCACAGACACAGTCAGGCACTTCTACAAGTGGTTTCAAACTTCTTGAATATTTTCTCACCAGAATAGTCGATCAAGTAACATTTGACCCCCTATGAAGTATTTGCAGCACAATCAAACCAAGTCTGAGATGTCTAATGGGCCATTTGCTTCTGATTTATCATTATTTACTTTGGCTAAATCAGTATTGCCTTTGAACCAATACTACACCAAAGGTCATACATGCAGCACAACAGTAACACAACATCCCACATTGGTCACAATCAGGAATCACAGCAATAATCTCTGTTACTATTTCCTTCCATTCCCCCCCCAAGCTGATATACAGTGGGCAAAAATTGCTCCTTTTTTGGTCAAAATGTACAAAAATAATTTGCCATAGTCTCCATGTATCATAACCCCTACTGTAAAATGAGAGTCTGAACCAAAAAGCTGCGATATCTGTTGTGCTTAGAATGCCCCCTTACTTCACAATGGTTCTGGGAAAAAAAAAAAAATTTTTTTTTAGGTAAGTTCTATATTTTGAAACCTAACATTCATTTGGTAAAGTTTATAGTGTAGTAAATTAACTGTAATAAAGAGCATGCTGTAAAACAAATGCCTCTTGCTATCAGATTTTTTTTTTTTTTTTTTTGGAACAAGGTGGCAGACTTGCTTTCATTTGTGCTGAGCTAGGCTGGATATTGCACTCTGTGTGTCAAACACAGGAACATTGGTGACTACAATTCCCAGAAATCCAAACAAGCTGCCAGAGTAACGTTCTGTTCCATCTAAATGAATATGTTAATAAAACCCACTCTCGGAAGAAGGTTCCCCTTTATTTGTGCTGTTATTTAACCTAATGTGTCATTCTGTTCTAAGTTATGTTAGAATTTACAGAATTGTATTTAGAAACATTTCTTCCTTTTTATAATGAACTATGTATGTTTTCATAAATCTTTTAAAACAAATAAAGGAAGTGTAACCACAGGTAGTGTTGTCACTTCCTTCATAATAATCACACGCCTGTGTTACCGGAAGGTTGTTTTGTACACAATGCTTGATCTGCCTGTGTGCACTTAGTATACATAACAAATCACATACAAAGTTTAAGGAATACTATAAGCACTACATTGTAGGGCTTATGGTTCCAGGAGTGCCCTGCCACACCCTGTGTAAGTAGTCCAGCTGTTTAGTAATAATTTGACTTCCTATGTGGGGTTTGCTAGGCTCCGCTCCTCTCAGCTTTCAGGAGAGCCATAAACACCTGAGCTAAGCTGTGCAGGGCCAGCTCATGGGCCAAGAGCGACAACTGATCACTCTTAGCTAGTGAGCTAAGCTGAGCTTTCGCCTGAGAGTAGGCAGGGACCCCAATAATTAAACTGTAGTGTGATGAATTAAGGCTTTGAGGTCGATAGGTATATTTATTATTTCTGTTTTCACGTGGGATTGCCTTAAAATAGGTCTCTAAGGTTATGAATATTTTTTTTGTTACTTGCACCGCTGGGTTTATTTTTTTAGATTGATTCAGCCACCTCCCATTTTACAATTAAAAAAAGGAAAAACTGCTTTAGACCACCTGTAATCCAATGCCAAGAGTTTTTAGGTATGATTTGTATGACGTTCCCCTCTATCTTCCACCTCAGAAAATAGGAAGATTTATTGGCTTTCCAATACCTACATAGTCTACGTGATCCTTTGTAAGCAACATGTCTATAAATGACAGACATATTGCACTCTGTATATCCTGCTAAAACAATGGAGCTCTTAAATAAATCGTGAGGTTAAATAAGAAAAAGCAGTTCTGAGTTCCTTTCAGACGTCTGCCCAGTTTTTTTTTTTTTATTGGTTTCCATGCTTAATTCCTATATGTTAAATAGGGTAGCTTTACAACACACACACATTTAGTATGACTGTCACTTTAACAGAAAGCCAAGGGGCTGTTGGCACACATAGGGTTAAAGCCTGACCAGTTTTCACTGGATGGAGTCCTCACATTAGTAATGGATAAACAGAGTCAGGTGTTTATCATTCGAAGATCGCTGTAATAATTTACCCATACTTAAAACCTCAGGACTGTGTTATATCAGTACTGTGTTTCAACAATGTGTAACATGCAGGAATCTCTGTAAGACACATTTACATTGTTTGAGTAATATTTACATTGAATTATATTTTTGGTTCTGCACATATTTATTTAAAATTGGAGTAGTGTGTTAAATAATGACACACTGTGCTATTCTTGATATTTTATGTTCGGCTGAGCCATTCACTTACAGAGGTTCGAATTGACAAGCCCTGCTTACCTAGCCAGTGTTACATATGTTTCAACAAGTAGAAGAATTAATAGCATTTCTCCAAGTTTCATTTTTTCTTTATGAATTCCACACTGATCAGCCCGACTCCTTTGTCGCTGTCATGTCTGGGATTTATTTATTTTTTACGGTAAATGTATTTTATTTATAATTTCTATCCTGTATGTGGTTTCTATGCACAGTTAGACCCCATACCTTGTAATTTCATTTAACCCCAATGGGGCTGTGTAAAAATAAACATTTAGGAAACATGTTCTTGTACAGTGCACATGTCATGCAGACTTAATGCCGTGTCACTTTGTACAGTGACTCTCTAGACTTTATAGAGTCTGAAAAACAGTGTTTGTTCTCAATGTAAAATTTGCATACAAATAACAGGATACATCAATCTAGGATACAGGGTCTCTCTCTTCTTTCCTCTTTTCCCCCTTTCCTCCCTCTCACAACTGCATACCTAATATTGGTTGGCACCATAGATGTTTCCTTAATTCTGGCATAGTGAGCCATCATTGGCTTGGGCAAATCCCTTTAAAGCATGGATGGACAAAGTGTAGATCTCTGGATATTATGGAACTACAATGGACATTTTGCTTTACCAGTCTTTAGAATGTCAAAATCTCTTGGAAGTTGCAGTTGTACAACATCTGAAGATCTACAGTTTGCCCACCCCCAATTTAGGGCATCACAGTACTGCCAGCCACCTGTCAGGACAGGATACTTTTTGTCTTGAAAATAATTTCTTAAGACATGGATTATATAAAGTATTCTATTGACATCTTTCCATATGGTTTATTTTCCAGTAACGTGAAAAATGTCTGAAAACTCCAGTGACAGCGAGTCTTCTTGTGGCTGGACGATTATTAATCATGAGGTATGGAGCTTCCACCTTCAGTGTGAAAGTAAATCTATTACCCAACAAATAGTACGGCTTTACCAATACTAAAGGCTAGAAAATGTAATTGATATTAAAACATGGTTCAGCCAGGCTTTGCTAGTTAGACAGGAGTGCAGGTTGGCAAGTTCAACTAATGGATATATTGATCTGGAGCCTTACTAGACCTATTTCTAAGCGGGCAGATATTTAAGGGTATGTTTAATGTTTGAATGTTAATAAAATTCTGTTTTTACAAATCTTTTAAATTTTGGCTATTTATGACTTTAGCTCAAAGTTATTAAAGGGACACTCTGAGAGATAGTCACTACAGCTTGCTGTAGTAGTTATGTTGCCTTGTGTCCTGGTTTACAGCAGGCAGGGTTAACCCTAGATGGACCTGGCACCCTGACCACATCATTGAGGTGTAGTGGTCCTTTAACTCCACCTTTAGTGGCTGTCTACTAGACAGCCACTAGAGGGACTCCTGTTAGAAGCTGGCGCTGGACATCCTAACATTATGAAAGGGGATGTCCAGCATCACCCAATGCTGCTCATACGTATTAGGTCTGCCCCGCCGGCTCACATGGGCAGTGGAGAAGCGAAGGTGAATTGGGCACTGGACCCAGCTAAGTGACAGAAGGGGTTTTAGTGCCAGGAAAACAAGTTTGTTTTCTTGGTACTATAGTTTCCCTTTAAGTTGACTCATTGACAACTAAGATAGTTATAATTGGCTGTGCATTATGTTTATGACATCATATTTATACGATAACCCATACATTTAATAAAACTGCCTATATTGGGTAACTTGACATGCCAAAATAAAATGACACATTTGAAGGAGTGGCAGGTCAGTACAGTGTGTGATCATATTTTGTGACTAAATCATGTGAAGCTTTTTCGGTACAGACAGAATGACAGAACTCCTGCCTAGTGTTTCTCCCCCATCCATCATACATTAGGGCTCCATTAGGCAGGATGCAAGCTGTCACTGTTACAGCAATGTAGATGGGAGAGAGCACCTACCCAGGCAATTACCTGACACCTGTTCCATGCTGGATCACAGCCAGCATTGTAAATACATGAAGTGGATACTTGTGCACTATCCATTATCTCTCTACCATTGGATAATCATTAATTTAAGTGCAGAACAGATGCTAATTCCTGTCTCACACATGATTTCATTAGCGTCTTGTTTTTACTGACAAGTTCTGATAAGTTTCTGATGGCAATGAATTTGTGATCCTTTAACCCCTTAAGGACCAAACTTCTGGAATAAAAGGGAATCATGACATGTCACATGTCATGTGTCCTTAAGGGGTTAAATAGGTTTTTCCTTTTTTTTTTTTCCTGTTTGCATAATCAAATGATTAAAAACTGGCTATTTGTTTTAATATTATTGCTAAAATAAACCAGGGACTGCTTTATCATATGACCCTTCTTTCTGTCATGACTTGATAAAGGCCCTGACATCGAGTGCAGACATTGCAGAATCACAATAAAAAAACAAAAACAAAACAAATTGGCCCTGACCCACCAATGGTCAAGGACCAATCAGCCAATGCTGACTTTTCCTACTGGGGTGTATGTGTTCGGACTTTTATCTTTTCTGACAGTGCATTTTCTTGGTGATGGTAACACGTCCTCAAACAATCACACTGTCAGAAACCAGGCATATCTTTAATTTTACATGTGCATTCGTGACTAAAAGGTAAATGCTAGAGAGTGATTGTCTACAGAACCGTGCATTCTAGATTTAGTCCTCATCTGCTCCACAATTATTACTCAAGGCCAACATGTGAGGCCTGGGACAGATCCTTCAGTTTAGCTATGGAGATTTCAAATGCGAAGTTCCATTAAAGGGACACTATAGTCACCAGAACAATTACAGCTTATTGTATTTATTCTGGTGAGCATAATCTTTCCCTTCAGGCTTTTTTCAGTAAACACTGTCTTTTCAGAGAAAAGACAGTGTTTACATTACAGCCTAGGGATACCTCCACTGGCCACCCCTCAGATGGCTACTAGAGGTGCTTCCTGTGGCAGTGCTGCACAGTACCCTCTGCATGGAGACTTTGAACCAGGCATAGGCAACCTTCAGCACTCCAGATGTTTTGGACTACACCTCCCATGATGCTTTGCCAGCATTATGGGTGTAAGAGCATTATGGGGGATGTAGTCCACAACATCTGGAGTGTCGAAGGTTGCCTATCCCTACTCTGAACTTTCCTCATAGGAGATGCATTGATTTAATGTATCTCTATGAGGAGATGCTGATTGGCCATTGCTGTGTTTGGCTTGTGCTGGCTCTGCCCCTGACAAGTTCAGCCAATCCAATGATTTCCTATGGGAAAGCATTGTTATTAGCTGTGGTCACCACTTCTTTTGATGTTAGCGAACCAGGCAGATCAGAGGCAGACTGCAATAAAGGTAAGATTTTACTATATGTGGAGGGGGCTGATGGTGGTTTTAACATTATAGGGTCAGGAATACATGTTTGTGTCACTGACCCTATAGTGTTCCTTTTAGGAAAAAGATCTATTGGGGAGGCACTTGAATATCGTAAATCAAATGCTGCACTGAGTATTTGTTTACCCAGAGACTTCTATAGAGTTCAAGAGATGAACACCCTGCTGTAAATTGTCACTTGTGCTGTGACATAGAATACCTTTATAGTAACTATTCTCATATTTTAACATCTTCGGTGGTTTTCCTCAACAGGGTTCCGATATAGAGACCATAAACTCTGAAAATGGGGATGTGTGTGCTGATTTTGCTTCAGAGCAAAGGGATGAGTTTGTGCAAGAATTACAGCCCGCAGAAGCGGAAGATGAGCCAGGTAACGTAATAACAGTGTGCATGGTAGCAGCATGTGTTCTGAAACGCGGTGATTAACTGATCTCATTGTGCATGTTACAGATCTTTACAACAGTGAGCACTCTGCTTCCACCATAGGGATTATTCTGCAGGCTTCAGAAGAATCTCATCTTGCTTCTGAGGTAAGTAAGCAGCATAAAGGTAATGTGTGTCCTATATAAAACAGTTTTGTTATAGCATAAAACGAATACATAGGGCTTCCGTTCCTGGCCTGAGTTCCCACCGTGGCCTGAAAATGTTCTTATATGTATTTGAGAATTTTAAAAAACTTTAAAGGAAAAATCTTACTATGTGAGGCATTTTCTTTTGCTGTGTGACTATGCCCACTGTGTTACATATTAATTAGTTAACTTTGTTTTCTGTATACCTTCTAAACATGTAAAGGCCATATTCTGTATTTGTTAATTAATGGAAGAATGTTCTTGGAATCTGGTATCAGGGTTATTCATTAAAGTTTGACTTTCTAGTTTCAAAAATATGACTTTATAAATGTGGCTATTTTCTCCTAAAATTTTAACCTGACACTAGGCACCCAGACAACTTCATCTCATTGTGGTGCAATGTCCCTGTCCCCTTAAACCTGAAATGTTAATAAATGCAATTTCTCAGAAAATGCAATCATTGTATTGCAGGGTTAAGACTGCCTCTAGTGACTTTTGGTCGCCTAACTGACCTTAGATGTCCTCCTGCTCTGCAAGAGGACATCCAGCAACCTTAAAAATCTCCATAGGAAAGCATTGCAGCAATGCTTTTCTATGGGGAGAACCTAATGCGCTTGGTGCACATGTGCATTAGCGCCCCCCTTTTACAGTGATTGGCGTGGGGTATTCCTAGCACTATAATATCCCTTTACATTTGCTCTAAATTCCCAACGGTTTAGTAAAGTCTGACCTTAGTGAATAACCCTGTAGGTATAAAGTATCCATGGCTGGTCTATACATAATGCCATGATGAGTTAGCATTTCAACTGCCGCAGGGAAACCCGACAAGATTCATTTCTAGTTCATTTAATTATTTCAGCCAATAGTGACACTGTCTCTAACTTTAATGATCTTTGTCTACTACAGGATGTGTCATCTTACAGCCTCTCTCCTACAGCAGCAGCCACCCTTCCAGATGAATTACTTTGCCAAGAGAAGAGAACTTTGGCTGCTGACAGCGTGGGTGAGGCTGCCAGTGAGGACTCTGACATTGTTACCTTGGAAACGCCCAGAGTTGATGATATTGGGCCCTTGGAGGACGAAGTGGCAGACACTGGAGACATTAACATGAGCTCTTCCTCTAGTAGTCAGTATACTTTCAGCAAACCTGAGCTTGGTAAGCATTAACCCCCTCCCGTCAAGATATGGGTTTAGGCATGTCATGCTATCATATCATGCAGGAATACCATAAGGCTGCCATCTAAGAGCACCATGATTGCAGGCCTTTTTACATGATCAAGCTTATTTCACACGGAAAGTGGTAAAATGCCCTTTTGCAAGTCCCTCAATTTATTTTTGTAAATAATCGAATTTAAACTCCATATATAAGTATGTAGTCATCAGCCAGATATCCATCATCCAAAGCCAGATTAAGGTGTGTCCCCCCCCTACCTCCCTCTTCTAGAGCCCTTTGTGATGTCTCTGTTGATTTTGTGTGTGTGTGTGTGTGTGTAGAGGAGCGAGGTAAGAGTTGTATGTGGGGGAAGGAGGAGTGGAGTCTGAACGTGTCATTGAGTGTTGTTTGTCATGTGCGTCCCTTGTGTGTCCCCCTCACCGTCTCCAATTTCCATGGTTATCAAGTTGTGGGTGAGCAGGGTCCCTGCTAGTTTAGTGGAGGGTGAGATGGTCTCTGTTTGAACGTTGGGGAAGCTTCATCATCTGCACCAATATCAAGTACAGACCACTTTAAGAGCTCCCTCCTGGTTCTGGCACTTGATCAACAACAGAGTTATCAGGAAGTGCCAGGGGACCACCAGGGCACTCTTAAAGTGGTCTAGACATGATATTGGTGCACACCACAATGTTTTATTGATGGACTGTGGCACAGGCCATGCAGGGCGATCTTTTGATCTCTCTGCTGGCTCTATGTGGGCCTGTTCAGACTGGGCTCTCTGAGTCCATCTTGGTCACCTAATGGGCAATCTGGCTCTGCCATCATACATGCTGTTTGTCATTTTTGTGGTGCTGCTGTCACTCTTTGATATTGTATTTTGAGTTATGTTTTTCTCTTTGTGTTTTACATCCTCTCCTTTTTGTGCTCTGCACAAAGGGGATCTTGTGGACGAATAAGGAAGATGCTTACCAATGTAAGGGCATGAATCAGTGAATGGAGAACAGGGTGCTTTTTTGTTCTTGTTAAACTTGATGGTGTCAACGTGTGGATTTATATCCGTTACATTTTACACAAGCTTCTTTAACTTGTGCCATACTAATCATAAGCAATATATTTTTGGAATGGTATACAGCTGTCTGCATGTTTTAACAAAATCATTACTTGTCAGAATATTTTTTTTTTCTGTTAAAATGCATAAAATAACATTAAATAAATTGCCCCTGGCCAATAATTATTATAACTGTATGGCTTGACTGTTTGCCTTGACACCTTTTGTATACAAAAACATATATTATAGAACAGCTTAGCTTGGCATTTTCAGATAGCAATATCTGCAGTATTTGTTCATTTTACCATAAACTTGGAAAATATTCTCTGTTTTGGCCCACAGATAAGTATTTGATTATTAAATTGAGTTCCTCCAGTAGTTAATAATGCATGTATTGGTTATTATAATAATGCATTTAATATATGAACTCCTGTGTTAGTTTTTCCACCTCAGCACAGTGCCGACGAGTCCAGCAGTGATGAAGCAAGCGATGATTCTCGTCCGACTGTCCGACAACGGCGTTCAAAGAAATTGTCTGTGTCTGTCTCAGAATCTGAAACTAAAGCTCCTGCAGACCATCCTATTGCATCTAAACCTAGAACATTGGGTTGTCGGGGACATGGCCTGAATAAATGTATTATACTGGCTCTGATCATTGCAATAAGTATGGGTTTTGGACATTTCTATGGTACGTCTGGATGAATTAATTTTGTTAATCTTATCTAGCTGTAAGAATTTGTTAACAAGTATTATGTCTGTCATTTTTGTATTTTTGCATATTGTATGTAATCCAGTGATTCTCTTCCCAATGCCTGGTTCCAATTTGTAGAGCTGGACATTATAGTAGAAATATAGGCACTTTTACTGCATTCTTGATAGTTTCTTAAAGATACAGATTTTCTGAATATTACTACAGGTGGAAGGGGAAGTGTCTCGTAGGTCCCCTTGAATGGGTACGCTTGGAATTGGTCTTGCTCTCTGTATTCTTCTGTAAATATTTTAGTATTGTAATGTAACCCAACCATGTGATGTCAACTCCTGCTCTACTTCCAATTAAAGGACTACTAAAGGCACCCAAACCACTTCATCCCAATTAAGTGCTCTGGATGCAGTGGGCCTTTAGTTTTAAACCTGCATTTCTGTCTAGAAAATAGACTGGAGTTAGAACCTGGCCATGGCACTAACAGAGATTGGTTATTGCTTTATTTATTTAAAGGGACACTGTAGGCAGCCAGACCATTTCAGCTCATTGAAGTGGTCTGGGTGTAAACTCCCATCACCCTTAACCCGGAGCATGTAATTATCTGCTAGGGGGGTTAACTCCTCCTCTAGTGGCTGTCTACCAGACAGCCACTAGAGGAACTTTCGGGTGGATACTTTTGGTTGACTAAACGACACTGGACGTTCTCAGGCACTGCATGAGGACTTCCAGCGTCACTGAAATCCCCATAGGAAAGCATTGAATAATGCTTTCCTATGGCAACATCCTAATGCGAGTGCTGCTATTGCTGCGCATGCACATTAGGTCTCCACCCCGCTGGTGGCGGGGGAGGAGCGGAGCTGAGCCAGCTCCAAGTTACATTGGCGCTGGACCCAGGTAAGTGTCAGAAGGGTTTATTAACCCTTCTGCACCGTGGGGGGGGGGTTCGTTTTCCTGGCACTATCGTTTCCCTTTAATGGGGGATGAGGACCAGGTAAGTAAGGGTTACTTTGACCAAAAACAGTCTATGGGAGCTATAGGAGCCAAAACAACTTAATGGAGTGGTTTTGGTGTATTGATCATGCCTCTGCAGTCGCACTACATAATCCTGTGCCATTTAGGAGATAAATCACTTTGTTTTTATTGCCCTAGTCACACAACGCTGCAGGGTACTTGCATAGCCTTCTTAAACACTTCATGTAATGATCTAATGTTGTAACTTCTTTTATTGCACAGTATGTTTCATTTTGAATTTTTTATCTCCTGCCCTGTTAAAGGGACACTGTAGGCACCCAGATCACTTTAGCTAATTGAAGTGGTCTGGGTGCAGTGTCCCTGTCTCTTTAGTTCTGCTATGTCTCTTTAGTTCTGCTATGTTTCAGAGAATCTGCAATCTTTATATTACAGGGTTAAGACTGCTTCTAGTGGCTTCCTGCATTTATACAGAGTTTAGCTCTGTGAAACGACACTGAACGTCCTCACGCTTTGCATTAAAAAAAACTTTTCACCTATTAAGTGAGAAATAAATGAATTTAAACACAGTGTAGGGCCATGTGCAGAGCCCAATACTGCATTAAAATCAATAAAAACCCAGCAGCAGTTAGCTTCTCTTAAGGAGTATGAAGTCTTAATTCTCAGAGACCTCTCTGAGGAAGTGCTACCTTTGCACAAAACCTATTAGACCCCCCTTGGTGTGTTATACCATATTTAAAATAAAAAAAAATAACGCATATATTTTAAAATGTATACACGGATTGAGACATCCTCCTTCTTCCTGAGAGAAGCTGAGTGCTGTTTGGATTTGTTTGTAAAAAAAAATAAAAAATAAAAAATGGGGACCTCTCAGCCCTGGATAGAAATACTTCCTTATTTACACCCAAACATTTACAAAGGAGTTAATCTTTTCTGTTTTTTGTTTTTAATTTATTTTATGTATTTGATATCTTTTGTGGCTGACTTCTAGGTAAATGTTTTTGTGCTTGTAAGTTCCTACCTCAAAGTTATATAGTGTATTTAGTGATATTTGTAAAGTGGTCAGGTTGATTTGGAATACAGACTTAAAGGGAATACAGCTTAATGTAGTTGCTCTGGTGTCTTTATCCAGTCCCTAAAGGCTTTTTAATGTAAACACTGCCTTTTCAGAGAAAAGGTACTGTTTACATTAATGCCTAGTACCTCTAGTGGCAGTCACTCAGACTGCTTTCATCATTGGCGTTTAGAGCGTGGAGCTGTTGAACGCTTTCCATAGAGATGCATTTATTCAAGGCATCTCTATGACGACATGCTGATTGGGGCAGCGCGGTGCAATAGTCTCCCAAAACTTTCATCTGGAAAAGCATTGGATTGGCTGAGATCATCAAGTTTGCCATGCCATGGAGGCGGAGCAAGGCAGGGCCAGTCACGGCCATACCGGCGCGGCACTGGAAAAAAGGTAAATAAAATACCCTTTTCAAAGGTGGCTAGGTACCTAAATAGTGATTTAACCACTATAGTGTCAGGAATTCATATGTGTCTCCCTGACACTATAGTGTTCCCCTAAGGGAGCAATCATTTAATCAAGTAACTGCTATGAAACTTATTTAAAAAAAAAAAAAAAATCTATATAATGCATAATGAGATTGGTGCAATCCACAATCTAACAAGGTAAGAATCGAACAATAATATTTTAACAAATTTTTTTATTTTGTGTGATTTGATATACACCTAAGTGAGCATGCTAATCAATCTTCATTTGTATATTTGATTTAAAAGATAGCAGTCATTAAAGTTGCTGCTCAGCCTAGCTTTCCTTCTGCTGCAGGATCACACAAATCAATTCTAGCAGCAGGCAAGTTGGGTTGAGCAGCGGTTAGTCTGATAACAGGGGAATCTGACTGAACATGACAGATTAGCCGGACAAAGTAAAATTCTCACAAAAAATATAAATTATTTAAAAATATAATTTTCATTAAATTGAATAAACAATCAAAACAAAATTTATTTGACCATTGTCCTTTATTATGACTGATCAGTTTCTTATTTAAATTTTTTTTTTTTTAAGGTACTATTCAGATCTTGGAGCGACAGAAACATGTTGAAATGATTCATGAAAACGAACTAAACGATATGAAGGAAGATCTCTTTCAGTGTCAGATGGACCAGGTAGCTACAGTGGAACAGAAGGCCAGTGTCAAATGGGTTGATCATGTTAGAAAGGAAAACCATTAATTCACTGTCCTTTCCTATAGAGTAGTGATGACCGTTTAACATATATCTCTTTATAACCACACCATTGAGCAGCAATTTGCGCAATGCACCAACTATGCTGGTTATGTTTGTATTAACTCCTTAAAGATGATTTATTGTGGGTGCCGTGTGTGTCGTCACTGACAAACTACCGTTTTATTTTTAGTGGGAATGTTCTGTCAAGTTTGCTCAGGTGTTTAGAACATGTCTTTTCTATTGTATACATTCTAGTTTTCACTGTGGTTTTTTTTTTTTTTTTTTTTCAGGTAGAAACAGATGACCTCTCAACAACATTTAAAACTGACGAGAAAAAAAACAACCTTGCACTGGAAAACCAGCATTTAAGGACTTCTCTAAAGAAGGGAGAAGAAGTGTTTTCCTTACTGCAGGATGAGCTTAGAAAGCTGCGAGAACAAATTAGAAACCTGGAAGAAAAAGGAAATGGCGATGTGATAAAATCTGAAAATCAGAAGCTGAGGACATATTTGAAAGAAGAAAGACAAAAGCTTAGGAGCTTCCTGACTCAGAAGGAAACTCTCCTGGCTGAAGCACAAACCCTAAGAAAAGAATTGGATAACGAGCGTCAGATTACGGAGTCTTTAAAGGTTGAATTGGAGGAGATGAGCAACAGGAGGGCACCTAATATTAACCAGGATACGGCTGAGAGTAGTCAAGAGTTTGAACAAATGAGAGAACGACTTTCTGAGCTCGAAAAAAAGTTAAATTTTGAGCAACAGAGATCAGATTTATGGGAACGACTGTACATTGAAGCAAAAGAGCAGAATGAAAAACTAGAAAGTGGAAATCCAAACAATTCTCAAGAGAAGGAACGATCTAAAAGTAGAGGTAAAAAGAAAAGGGATACCTTCTTTAATTCTGTTAAAGACACATTTGACGCAATGAAGAACTCAACAAAAGCATTTGTTAGACATCACAAAGAAAAGATTAAACAAGCCAAAGAGGCTGTAAAAGAAAATCTGAAAAAGTTCTCAGATTCCGTAAAAACTACTTTTCGACAGTTTAAGGACTCCACCAAGAATATGTTTGACAAAACCCACTATAAAAAATACGCAGAAAGAAGGCGGGAAGAGACCAAGGAAGCACACACTGTGCGTCGGGAGTACAAACAAGATTCTGAGGATCAGGATGCAAGTAAGGCAGCAGAAAATCAAAATGAGTACGGTAACTTAAAGTATGAGAATTCTGACATTAAAGATGAAAGTGCCTGGCCAAACCATGGGAAAAAGACCAACAGTGAGCAGTGCACATATAAAAAGGGGTGCTCAGGAGTGTTTGAATGTGCTCACCAAGAATCGTTCAGTCTTTTTAACAAAGTGTTGGACCCTGTGCGCATGGAAGAGTTTAACCAGTTGATCCAGGTATATGTCCAGGATCAAGTAGATAATTTCAGGCACTGGAAGGAACTATTTCAGTTCATTAATAGATTTTTCCACAATGGTGTTTTCATTCACGATCAAATGCTTTTCACGGATTTTGTTAACGATGTTGAAGATTATCTTGAGCATATGAAAGAATATACAACTAATGATTCTGGAGTATTTGAAGATCTTGATGAATTTGTGTACGGCCATTTCTTTGGCAATGCTTACACCACCCCATATGGACCAAGGTTGGCTCATGATTGTTTTACATGGTGAAATGTTTTAAAAGTGAAATATTCCCTTTGCAAATAATTGCTTGGTGGCTCAGTGGTTGGTGTTACAAACTAACTAACTTGTGTGTTGGAAATGCAAAGTGAGTTTCAAATTGTAGGTCAGAATTTCCAAATTGAAAACCAAGCTGACTTGAAGAATTAATCCAGTTCATCTATTGTAGCCTACATTCGAGAACGGTTTAACCCTTTATGGTGAGCCAGTGCCAGGGTACTCGTGGCACCTTAACAACGTAATTTTGATTAAGTGGTTATGGTGTCCAGAGTGTTCCTTTACGATCACAGATATGCCTTTATTATTGCCTACACGTTTGTCTTTCTAGTTTGGGGTTGCAGTACTGAAATCTGATCCATCAGTATTATTTCATTTTATTCACAATTTATAGATGTGGAGTTAACCCTAAAGCGTGAAACAAACCTTTAAAAAGAAAAGCGAGAAAATATAATAAATCTACCCTGTGTAAAAAAACAAAAAAAACAACAACTTTATACTGCAGCAGAATTATATTTTGTACAAAATCTGTACAGTTATGTAGCTGGGGGATCACCTTCGTTAACTTAGTTCAAAAAAAAAAAAACCTGCAGTTTTCTTGTCTGCTGCCTTTGCAAACGCTCTCCTAACCCTGCTGAGACTTTATGTGACTGTCCAATCACAGACATCCCAATGCAGCTCAATAAGAAGTCTTTGCAAGTCAGGTGCTCTGGACAATTTCCTGTCTCTTGACTTTAGTTCCACTGAGCTAACCAAACCAGGAAGTATCAGATCCAGATGTCTGCTTGAATGCCAGGGAGTGTAACCAGGTTAATTTACAAAAGTGACAGTTTCTATTTAAATCTGAACTTTTTGCAGTTTAAAAAAAAAAAAAAAAAAAAATAATAGGACGCAATCTTCACACACAAAGCATATCAGCAAGTTAAAGTACTTTAGCCTGAAGTACTTTGTTTTAACTGCATGTTCCTTTAGGCAGAGCTGGGAAGATTTCTTATCTCACTTACCAATAGGTCAAAGCAGAAGTGAGTGCCTTTCATAAAAGAGAAAAGAGTGTTGGATTCAGGGTCTATTTCTAAAATATAAAAGGAACATTTCAGTGTAAAAAAAAAAAAAAAAAAAGTAAGCTGTATTAACGTTAGGCTTTTATTTTCTTTAAGGAAACCTGAGAAAATGCCACCATATAAGGACCCTGAAAGTCCCGGACACAGAAAACAGGAGCAGAAACCTGAAAGAAACCATTACAGAAGGGAAGGTAAATGGAACCGACATGGACGTGCTAATGGAAGACACATGGCAAATGTTGAAATAGATCTGGGGCAGTTACCATTCGACCCAAAATATTAAACTTGGGATCACTTGCATTCATGTAGTGTGGTTATTAGAACTAGATAATTACCTTGATTAACAATGTCCTGTACTGGATGCTGAAGGTTACATGTGCAAGGCGTCCTAACACAAGGGTATCGAGCCTGGGTCTCTCAAACGGTTGATAACCTGTTACTTCCCAGTAGTTCGTCAACAGTTGAGACTGTTTGTGAGGTCCTGTTCTAACCATAGTTTGCTGCTTTGGGTTTCCGAGTTTGTGGATATGATTTAATGAATCGAATTTCTGGTCAGTGGGCGGTAACAGCATGTAGAAGCATGGGTGTGAGTCCACTCTTTTTGGCAGTCTGAATCACTCAACTGAATTGTCTACGTTTGTCGTGCTAATTCTAAGTGCAGTGTTGACTTTTTTAATTTTCTCTTTGAATTTTGGGGAGGGATGGTTCAGGGTCTGCTTACCGCTAGCTTATTTGACTTCTCTGTTTTGTGGTTAAAAAAAACAAAACAAAATTCTGTAGGAAGACGTAGTTGCATACAAATGAGCTTGCTGGTTCTCTAAGGAAATTTGTTACAATTCTCAATGTTTGCAGAAAAATAAAGACAAACTGGACAAATAAACCTTTTATTCCCAAAAATTTGTACAGTCCATTTTTAAATGAAAACACTAAATGTACATGCATTTTACAGACCACCGGTATTTCCTGATTTTGTCTTAATTTTTTTATTTTTTATTTTTTTTTTTTTTACCTATTTCAGTGTAATTACTCCGGTTTGCTGCCACCTCTTAGAGGGAAATAAAATAAAGTTCACTTTCATGGAAATGTTTATGTACCATTTCATAAAATGTTGATTTTTTAAAAAAAAATCATGTTTTCTGTTCATACATATAGATATGGCTTCCAACTCGACCTTCTGGTAATTGAGTATGGAATACAGATGCCGTCTTCATATAATGGTGTGCAGTTAAAAATGGAAGGATTTCCTAAGTTTAAAAAAATAAAATAGAAGTAAAACAAGCTGGTAAGAAATTATTAGAACTAGAACTAAAATATCATGGAGATTTGCAGCACTCCCAATTTTACATCACACAGCCCCTCTCTCCCCAACCCTACCTTAAATGAGCCCATAACCCATTATGGTGGTTTGTATCAGGCAAAAACCCATGTGTGTTTAATCCTCACTCTGAATGACATGAAATGTTTCATTGATTTATTTGCATCAAGAAGCTTTTAATGGGATACCAACCTGTTCTAAAACACTAAACATGACCAGGTGTGTTGGTAGCTGTGTTGTATTGTAAAACTCTGCATTCAGCCAAGCCATTGGGCTCACATAGAACAGGTCGGCCTCATCAACATAACTGTCATGGTCTGAAAGGTCAGGAGGGCACTCCAGAAAATTCATTTTTATACGACAGTGCACATGACTGGGAAAAAATAGAATTATATATAGATTAACAGTGTTCCTTGTTAGTTATCCCTTTCCTCCACTGTGTTTTAAGTCTACAACATAACCTTTTAAAAATGCATTTAACACACTTTACTTTTATCTTCCAAGAGTTCGTATTAAATCAGGTCTGGAACACTAACCCCTATCTATGTTAATGCAGCTTTGAATAACTGCAAAACGGTAAACCTTTTAATCTATTTTAGTTATCCGCATTTATACTGCAACAACAGATTACATTGTGCTTTACAATTATAAAATGGGGATAATTTGAAAGTGAAGAAAGCCCAGCTCAAACGAGTTTAAATGTAAGAGGATTTGAGGTAGGCTGATATACATTAAAAGGTCATCAAGAGGCTTGGGTAAGACATCTAACACGTTATATACATTGGATCACGTCTAATTTTTGTTTCTTGTATTATATCTCTGAAAAGTTGTGCAAAATGCACAAGTAAGAGTGTGTGAGAATACGACTGCACAATTACCGATTGAGTAGAATGCACAGTGCACATAATTTAAATGCTCCCGTAACACACTGTCTTGGCTTGTTGTGAATATGCCCCACGAGAAGTCATTTATTTACACTGATAAAGTAAAGCAATATTTGCCTCTTTCTCTGCAATGTTTAATGTAAAAGATGCACACTGAAGTCCAAGTCTCAAGATGCTATTATCCTTTAAACATGATGCTACGGTATGTACTGCAGTCTGCCTGTCTTGGTGGCAATTGTAAATAATCACATCTGAGGGCAGTTGGTCAGATATCATAAACAGCAAAATGTAGGCTAAAATGGCAAACCTAGGTTTAGATCAAAGTTGGAGACTGTCTGCAAACGAGCTACTTCTGTCAAAAAAGAAACAAAAAAACAATACAATACATATGTTTAGTTTAGGGGGAGTGAAACAAAAGTAAATCACATTTGCTCATTGAACCTGAGGGCATGGTTTGCCAAATAACTAGAAGCACATGTGTCAGTATTTAGCTAACCTAACACCGGAGTCTAAATTCTATATAGACCAAACAAGCAAATCACGTGTACATGTGTTGCTACGCAACAGTGTTTAGAGCAGGCAACCAATTATAATATTTACACTGCACTGCCTAACAGCAATACATGACATAACAGCCCTCCTGCTAAAGGAACACTCCATTACAATTTTAAGTATTTGATAGATTTCTTTTTTCTGTATGTTTTATTTTAGGGTCTTTGAGGAAGAAACGTGTGCAATAGCTGCTGGCACAGGCTTTGTCGGGAAATTGAGCAATCAGAGGCCTTTCAGTGAGAAGCCTCTGTGTTAGAGCCACGTATGCACACTGCTTTTCAATGCTTCCAAAATAGGCTGTAGTAGAGTTCATTATAAGATTGGGGGGAAGGCAGGTGTGGTCTAGAATGGTGCAATAAAAGTTCAGGAAAACCTTCCTGGCTGTCTGACAGCGAGTGGATGTATCTGCACACAGTTATAAAAGTGTCTCTATATGAAATGGCACCTTTATAAACTGTGAAACAAAACATACCTCAATATATTTCAGTACCCTAACAAAGGTGCTTTTTGATGTACTGAAATTTGCATTGGCCCACTGTTTATTTCATGTTTTAGCACAGTTTTGCCTCCTTTTTAAATGATGATTATTATAACCTAGAAGGGAATTGACAGGGATAGTGAAGGCCAGGTTATCTGGCTTTATGTGTGTTTCACTAATAGCTGATTAACTTCACCAAAAGGAGGCAGCATTGGCTTACACAGAGGGTTACTACCTCTTTAATTCAAACATACGTCTGGTCTTTTTGTATACCCTCAATGCCCCAATCTCCTGTATTTCTCCTGCCTACAGATGGTGTTACTCTCTGATTACTACAATTGTACGCAGCTGCCAATACCTCCTTAGGTGTTTATTTGTGATTGGTGTCAAGGGTGATATATTTACTACAGTTTACTCATTCTGATATTTTTGTACAGCGAGGCTCCCTAGGCTTGGGGGAAACAACAAGCAGTAGCTCTGACTTTTTGTATAGTGTAGGAAAAATACTGAAACAAAGTAGCCCCGACATTGTCTTCTGTAAATCTTTTGACTGGGTTGGAATTCAGTGAAATTCCAGCACAGTCACTATGAGTATTTCATAAAGACTGTATCATTAATAAGAAATAATCATTTTTGATATGGGGGTGACAGAGCCGTTAAGCTAAAGTTGTTCTGATGCTTAGAGTATTTCTTTCAATGCAGCAATTTGTATTCCAGTACTACACTACAACTTGGCTTCCAGTGAATAAAACCCTTACATTTATTAACAGGTTGCAATGTTTGATTATAAACAGTGAATTACACAAGTGTTCTTATTAGTGAGGCTGTGGTTTTCAAGACATGCAGCCGCTGGATCCACCTACCTGTAATAAGGAATAGAGTGACAGGGCATCAGAACAAGAAGGGATGTTGACATATTCTCCGCTTTGCACTGCTGCTGGATATAGGACATAATGTCAAGTGCTCCTCGCTGGTGAATTAGTCCAGTGTAGAGCGCTGGGAGCAGATTGGATATTATCAGGAAGCCCACAGCTGGTTTCTTCCACCATTTCAATCTTGTAATAGAAAACCCTATTCCAGGTAAAGTAGTTTCCCAGAAGACACAAACATTAATAGTTATAAATAATGTGCAGTGCATACTTAATTACAACTCATTGCTTGAAAGAGGTGCCACTGAGAGCGAACATTTTATCGTGATGGTAAGTTTACATTCACTGAATAGGCGGTAATCAGCAGGTAGATCCCCAAATGTGATGGAAAAAATCCCATGATGCTCAGCAATCATCTTGAATTTAATAAATGTGTCAGTGGGTGAAAGGAACTGCAACAAAAGGGGTTGTTCAACAGCAGCTGGAGAGCTACATATTGGTTACAACACTCTATACAAGGTTACTTACTACGGGGTGTATTGGGAGGGTGGGGGGGAAAGGGTATATTTAAAGTGAAATTATCCTATCAGTTCAGTTACTTCCGTCTAAAATTATGAATTTATTTTGAATTTCTACCAGCTCACATTTAAGTGAATAACTATAGAATATTAAAAAAAAAAAAAATCATTCCAAATGCTCACTGTAACAGGGAACTAATACATTTATCTGTAAATATCATGAGATCCATTAGAAATTAAAAGATCACCCCAGGATGCCATGTTTCAGGATGAAGCCTACACATCTACCTCACACCATGATGTAAAAGGCATACAACATCTCCAGTTTTGCCAGAGGCTCTGGGATAATGCTGTGTCACAGGACGCTCATACCGTCTGCATTTCCATTCTTTAACACTATGATGGCTTAGGGGTGAACTGTATGAAGGTCAAAAATGTCTAGTGAAAAAGAAATATAACCTGTAGCAATTTGGCTACAACATATAGGTGTAGTCATATCAGGTTTGGTAAAATAAGTGTATTTTAATACTTCCTAAACATTGAGTAAGGAATCAGAATGGTCAGAAATAATCTCAACAGACAGATGCTAAACCAGACATATACATGCACTTACCACAAAATACCATGCAGAGAGGCAGCACTGGGTAGATGAAGCGAAACTCTTTATGGCTCAGCATGCTAGAAGAATAAGACAGGACACAGGGATCTGTAACGTTTATCCACAAGCTACTCTGTTCCCAAGTGATGTGGTTGACTGGATGAAAAGGCAGAGGCCAGCCATAGGATATATTCCTTTCGGCCCATTCCTAAACCAGTACTGAAGCAGAATCCCAATTAGACTATAGGGAGGGATAGTTACTGAATACCCAGGTGCCTCCTTCACTAACTGGCGCATTGTAGGTGCTCTCTGCATTATTTACCATCCGTCAGGAGTGGGAAAGAAAGAACCTAACACTGCACCTATTGACAATAGGATTATAAGGTTTTGCCCTATATTTAAAAAAAAAAAAAAAAAAAAAATCCAATTCACCTACTGCTACCAGTTTTCACTGTCACTACACAGCCAGCATATAATGATAAGAAAAAAGTGAAAGATTAAATGAAGTACTACTGTTTGGGCAAACCTACCACTAGGGCCAAGGCATTAGCACACAAAGTGCACAGTGTTCATGTTTGAAACCATCCTCTTAACGAACATATAACACATTTATTAAGGGACAACTCAACAAACTTTCACTTTAAAAAAAAAAAAAAAAAGTTTCTTTACATTTATTGAAACTTGGAATTATTATTATTTTTTTAAGTTTCACAATTTTTCTACTGGCTGAGTAGCCATGTTGCTGCTGGTCTGCTGCTTTACCTAACTTGCCTGCTGCAGTTTCAAACAGAGGCATCATAGCTACAGGCAAGTCAGATAACAGTCTGACCCAACATGGCTACTCGGCCACATAAATACATGAGATTTTCTCTAAAAAAAATAATAATAAAAAAAAAATAAAAATAAAAAAAAAAAATATATATATATATAAATCAAACTACATAATTTAAAAAACAAAAGTCACATGTCATTTAATATAATAAACCTTTACAAAACAAGACATGAAAATTTGTATGACAGTTGTTCTTTAATCATAGAGAGACTGTAAAAGTACGAATCCTAAGCTTACTTACCTATAAACAAAAACAGTCCAAATGACAGCTACAAGGAGAATTCGATATCTTCTGGGTGCCAATATGCTGCCATGAATAAAAAATGGGAAGTGGGTACTGATGATGACAGGAAACCCCTGGGTGATGTACCAGTGCCAAGGGTGAGACCCATAGAATGCTCCCATGTTCTGAAGAACATTAAACTTCAGGAAGTTCCACTGAACAAAGGTCCACTAAAAGGAAATGCAGATATTCCAATGTGATTCTTATAATAATAATAATGAGAACATCACATTTATTATTTAGAATTGTCTACAATTTATTTAATTTATTTCCTTAAAATATTGTATTATAGTTTAGATAATTTTAATAAAGTAGCCAGTTAACATTTATACAGCCACGCTATGGGGTTTATTCATTAGAATGGGAATTGTGGGGCACTGACAAGGGGAATGCAAGTTTCTACATAAAATATCTGTGCTGGAAAAAATAGATGAGCTGGAGAACCTTTTCCAGCTTGGATACTTTGATGTAAAATGTGCAATCATCTTGTAAATTCTTCACAATTAACAGTTTAGAGAATAAACATATCTGTCTTTTCAGGGTACTATCACTTAATGAAGGGGTAGCTCAGTTTGATAAATGCCAGAAGTGGATACCATTTATAGAGCAAATCAATCCGACTGCAGCAAAACACCAACGAATTTATGAAATGAACTTCAGCATTTTTTTTACATTTATGCACTTTAATATCTTATTTTTATTTAGCACATTGTTATTGGAAAGGTAAGTTCTCAAGCATTTTTTTAAAGTACCTATTTTAGTAATAGTAATTTTCCATTGCTTGAAATGTTCTACATAGCTGGTTCTATTGGAAACATTATTGGAGTACTAAATTAGGCATAATTTATGTCATAGTAGGTTTACTGGCTTTTGTGCCGTTAATAAGCAGGGGGACTGCAAAGTTTACTTCCTGGATCCAGCAGCCCTGACATTACATTGTAGCACATGCAAGCTCAAGGACACATGTACCCTATACTCAACATATCGACTCATAACACTCTGGGCATCAGGTGACCAATCCCCCAGGTTTAATGACCATGTGACGCATTGTAAGAATTTTGCATATTACACATTAAGGAGTAGATGAGTAGTTTAGAATTGTCATGATGAATGATCCAAACAATTCTCTGACCTAGGTAATAAGGTGCTCTTTTGTGTGTAGAATAGACACACACTGAATATTTTATATTGCACTAACCTTTGTAAATGCTGCCGAATGTCTGAATACCCCAAGTCGGTTGTAAGGACTGTCACATGTAGCATTTACTATCACTATACATCAAAATTCACTTAGATAACCTGTCCTCCAAAATCCAATGTCTGGTCATACATCATTAAAATGCTTGATCATATCTGCATGCTTCATGTGTCAATATGTAGACACGATTCACAGGGTTTTGTTATTTCTATTAAACAGATCTACCTACTAATGTGGATACCGTTAGTCAGTCAGATATACAGTCAATCTGGTATTGCAGCCACATTGTTTATTTTCTACATAATTTAACCACAAAAGGGATTATAATTACTTACTTTGCCATAAAATACACGGTCGATTACAAATGATATCCCAAAAGTGAATAATCTAGTGAAATATAAAGATGTATAATTTAGTACTGATATTCTACAGCTATACCTTGGACATTTTAATAGAGTTGGAGTCACTCATTAGCATGAGAAATGACATCCCAAACTCAGCTAGGTTAGAAGTAACCTAGGAAATACTTTAGCTACTTTACAGCATACATAATAAAAATGTATAAACTTTTAAAGTGGAAACAATATTTTTTATTGATAACCATTTCAAACAGGCTTACACCAGTAATATTGGAATACATATCTTAAGTTACCATAACATACACTTCCAAACACAAGTGCAGACACTATCCTATTGTTCCTCTTGGGCGTATCTTTTCCCCCCCAATGCTGTGTACCTGCATTCATGCTGGGTATATGCTTTTCATTATGGTGTATGTGCATGCACACAGCTTCATGGGATACTAGTGATTTGCATCATGTGCCAAGCTGTGTCTTGACAGCCTCACACTGTATGTAAATCAGAAGTAAAATGATAATTAAAATTTGAAGCTGTATTATAAACAAACAAATAAACAAACAAAAAAATACCCAAGACAAATAAAATTTTTACCCAGCAGGCCGGGACGTCAACATACTGTAGGGTTATCTCTGGTTGAGAAGCTAACAAATATGTGTTTGTGAGGTCTGAAATATAATATTACATGCAGGTATAGACATCACTCTACCTAAAACCAAGTGCCACTATCTTGGCTCCCTCCCAGTCACTGTTATAAGCTCTACCTTTTTCTCACTGAATCGAGATAGCACGCTTGTTTGGGCAGGGCCCTCTAAACCTCTTGTGTCTGTCAATTACTTACAGTTAGGATTAAAAAAAAACTGCATAATTTGAAAGTGTTGTGGAATATATTAACTGTTGGAGTTTCAAGAAATATGATGGTTGCCCATCAAAGTAATCCTTGAAGACAGTTTATAGTCTTAAAACATACACACTTACCCAACAGGTAGGCATTGCTGAACAAGCAAGTCTATTTTTTTCTTCTCTTTTAGAAATTGGCAGAAAACTAAAGGAATCCAAAGAATGACAGCTGTTGGTCGGATGATGAATCCCAGGGCAACAAAAATTAGATATTTGGTGCTATAAAACAAGAAAAGGGCAATGTTTGAGAAAAGGGCACACAAAACGAACTTGAGATGTTGCTTAGATAATTAATACCTGTTACCTGTTCTTTGTGCGTGAACCTTCTAAAGGGTAATAATACAAAGCAAAAGTGCCAAGTACAGCTTCCATTGTGTTTGTTAACGTTCGAGTGGCACAGAACCAAGTGAACCATGAACACATCTGGCAAAAGTACTGAAAAATAGATTCATAAAAATAGATTCATATTAATGTAACAGACACTAAACTTACATTTCTTAACCATGCATTCAAAGAGGCATAATCAACTTAGAGTGGCCAATCTCATATATATTGTTTCCATTTTTTTCTTAAAGGACCACTATAGTGCCAGGAAAACATACTCGTTTTCCTGGCACTATAGTGCCCTGAGGGTTCCCCCACCCTCAGGGTCCCCCTCCCGCCGGGCTCTGGGGAGAGGAAGGGGTTAAACACTCACCTTTCTCCAGCACCGGGCGGGGAGCTCTCCTCCTCTTCGGCTGAATGCGCATGCGCGGCAGGAGCTGCGCGCGCATTCAGCCAGTCTCATAGGAAAGCATTCATAATGATTTTCACAGTGAGAAGCACGCAAACGCCTCTAGTGGCTGTCAATGAGACAGCCACTAGAGGCTTTAGAGGCTGGATTAACCTATTTATAAACATAGCATTTTCTCTGAAACTGCTATGTTTATAAAAAAAAATGGGTTAACCCTAGCTGGACCAGGCACCCAGACCACTTCATTAAGCTGAAGTGGTCTGGGTGCCTAGAGTGGTCCTTTAACCCCTTAAGGACACATGACATGTGTGACATGTCATGATTTCCTTTTATTTCAGAAGTTTGGTCCTTAAGGGGTTAAAGGGGCACTTTATGCACAATAACCACTTTAGACCTGTAGTGCTTACAGTGTTAGGAGTCCCTTGGCACTGTCCCATAGTAAGGAGTCAAACCTTACTGCATCTTCAGTACTTCGAGTCTTCTGTGATGATTTTAAAGTGGAAATGTTCAGTTCAGTTTAGAGTATCAGCTGACAATATATAGATTTATAAAAATGCAAATAAATGTATAACTATAATATAACTGCAATTTATGTGGTAAAAACTTTAAATGCAGCTTAATCTACATTTGCACAATTCAATCTATATCCATACATTTATTAATAAGTGACCCGAGTTTCTTGCTGTAGTTTATATTGGGGTTTTTTCTTTCTTTGTGTAATGTGATTTGTAATTGATATAAAAGTCATACATACCACCCACTTTGCCAACTCAGCATTTTCTAGTTTCCGCATTAAGATGTATAGTCTTACATCTGCAAGGCTTGAAAAGATGGACTGAGCAAGTCTAGGAATCCAGATCTATAAAAAAAGAAAAGAAAAAAAAAGTCAACAGTATTGGTAGAATAATAATACAATGCATAAACAAGCAATATTGAGTGTAGTCATTGAACCCATACCTATGTTTATTATTTTTTTAATTAATGAAGATAAAAATAAATAAAGATCTCTATTTGTATTATTTTTCAACAGAACTAGTTTTCCTCCATCTACAAGTTGATGTACCAGGAATGGTCTTAAAATGTAATCTCTTTGAATTTTAGTGAATTAAAGACAAATGGCAAAAATGAGCCAGAAATAGAAAAATTGTATAACAGACTTATGGAATGTTTCCAGATCAGCAAATTTAAATTCAAATTTGCCACTTGGATTAAATTCACTATAATCACAGGTTAGTAATGTACTCACTAGGAACCAAACATCATCCTTTCCAATCCAGTATAATATTTTGTAGATGCCTCCAAACACCAATGGATATGAGAAGCCTCTCAAACCTTCATTCCATTCCCAAGTTAAATAGCCATAAGTATCAATGTTAAGGTTTTAACAGACGTAAACAGAAATAAAAGCACAATCTCGGGTTGCTTAATGAATACTGGATAACTTGTCTAATTAATATGGTGACAAAATCACAATCAGATGAGCAACTTTACATAATTACTGCAACGTTTAATAATGAAAAATGTCTGCTGAATGCAAGAGCTAAACAGAAATGCATCTAAATGAGTCTTCTATAAATACTTAAAATGTCAATACTTTAATATTGATTGGTAACATTTTCGCGAGCCATCTTTCACAATCTTGGGTCAAGCCCTGTTACACTAAAATTACAAGTCTTGATAAATATGAAATAATGGGTTATGTCATAGATGTGATAGCAAAAATGAAAATCCAGCGCACTCGCTTATCAACTAAACAGTCATTTTAATGCTGAACAATTTTCAGTTTTATTAAAAACACCTAATCTAGGCAAAAAAATATAATGGGGGTTTAGTTACAGTATATGATCATACATTGCATAAGCCTGCCACAACGTCAATGTACCCCATCTTTGGCAGGATGGGGTACATTGCCACGTTGTGGAGGCTTATGCAATGTATGATCATATACTGTAACTAAACCCCCATTATATTTTTTTGCCTAGATTAGGTGTTTTTAATAAAACTGAAAATTGTTCAGCATTAAAATGACTGTTTAGTAGATAAGCGAGTGCGCTGGATTTTCATTTTTACTGTACTTATTGGCCCCCAGCAGCACCCTAATTTAGCATGTGTAGGTGAGTGCAGCCAAACCCTTATTTTCTCATAGATGTGACAGCAAACATGAACCACTCCACTTGCTGTGAGGCTTCAAACCTGTGATGCTTAGTCAACCGTAGACATGATTTTATTTAGGATTCAGCACCATGGAGACTTGTAAGTACACCGCATTAGTAATGCTACCTGCTGACTACCCAAGCTCTGTAATAATCCAATATTGCACACCTGTAATACACATTGTTCTAAATAACTAAGTAGTTGTAAATAAAAGGATATTTAAATGTCATATTGTGTGCAACTTCAAGAGATTGCCAGTATTCATCTGGGACAAAGCTTGTTTGGACCATGAAGCAGTTAAGGACCCGGAATGCAATGGTGAACAAGACCAGACAACCATATTCTCCAAAGAGATCTCAAGGAATAATAAAAAAAAAATATTAGTTACTTCATTTTTGTTTAGTCATAATAGCAAGTGGTGGAACCATAACTTTACATTTCAAATCTAAGTACCAAGTCTAAGATTAAATGCTTTGTTTGCATCTTGTTGATACTTAAATTGGTTATGAAGACTATTTACCCCATTTAGAGTTTGCTTAATAAATATTGTCAATTATTTAGTTTCAGTTTAACATGTGCTGTGCATAGTGCTGCTTACATTTTTTAGAGCCTGTGGCATATTTTAATTGGCAAAATGTTTAACCCCTTAAGGACACATGACATGTGTGACATGTCATGGTTCCCTTTTATTCCAGAAGTTTGGTCCTTAAGGGGTTAATAGTATATGTTGTGCTGTCAGATACTATTGTGACGTTGCACCTAGAAAAATTATAAACAATCTCTTAAAACCAGTACACACGTTGTCCTACACAGCTTTATGGGATTTTTATATCAGGATAGCAGTGAGTGCAAAAACCACAAGAATTATTATGTAGGAACTAAATTGTTCCCTAACCTAACTAAATGCTATTAAAGTGTTTACTAAAAGTGTAAAGGGCAGTGAAAACAGAAATAACTCTACAGAACTTGTTTCAGACTGATGTCACTGCCCCGTAATGCCACAAGCAAGCCATTACAAGCTTGGGCATTCCTTCCATAACGCTATATGTGCGCTCTTGCAATCCTTTCATTGCGCCATACATTGTGCATGAATACTGTACTAGATTGCAGTACTAACTGTACCAAAAATTGCTGCAGCCCTTTTTGTACCCTAACATTATGGTTGACGTAAAGGGGGTTGTAAAATTCTGAATGCCACTTCCTGCTAGGGCCCAGCACAGACATCAAATAATCACAGCGTGTGGGCAAGCCATGGGTGTCACACCATCCAAATATTGCTACAGGTAATGAAGAAATGTCACTGCTCCTTATAGTGGATCAGGCAATGAGTACCAGGAAGCCATCCAATTCTCTTAAATCACTTGAATAGTTTGACAAAAACCAGAGTGGCACCACCCACCCCATACCCTCCTAGCACCATAACCACTTCATTAACCTATGCTGATTGTATTGCCCCTTTAAGAGACAGCCATGCCCTATATAAGGCTGTGTCCTGCCCTTACCCCATGCAGTACCTGCTCTATACCCTGCACTGCCCCCCTCCTTGCTGTACAGTTTGGATTTCCGCCTCCTCAGCTGCACAGCTCCCTGTTTGCCAGACCCCCGATAGGACATGATCCTATTCCTTATCGCCTCCATGCTGAGCAGACCCCCACCCCCACTGTTGTCATAGGATCCCCAGCCCACTGCCCAGCCAGCATGCAGCACTTCCGCGTATGACGTAGCCACGCACGCACGCACGCACGCACGACGTTCAGCTGCTGGCTGCCCACTTTGACTCTTAATAGTCTGGAAGGAACTTTGCACGCGAGACCAGGAACGTCATCTGGTAGACTGCTGCGCGTGTAGTAGTTTGAGCCAGCGCGCATCCCGTAGAAGTAGCAAAAAAAAAACAGTGCATGTGTTAAAGCAGCTGGAGGCCCTATGCTTCTGATGGTGCAGCAGCTCTGGTGAGTCCTGGGTGACCTTACTGAACTAGCAAAGAACTGAGCATTGCAAGTGCTCCTACCTCCCAGTTATACTCCCCACCAGCCTCACATTCATAGCCAGTTACACTGTATTAATACATCAAGGTAAGGCTAAGGAAGGGATTTTGATCAAGTTAGCCCATCTATAGAGAGTTATTTACTAAAGTGGGAATTGTTAAGAATTCGAAGTGAATTTAAATATTAGGTCAAAATAGCAAAAGGTCTCAGAAGAGAATGATCTAAGACTGGATGGTTAAGATGGTGCCTGGGGACTTCAGATACCATAGCTACTTCATTAAGAGGTAATGGTTATGGTGCCAGGAATGAGCGCTGTCAAATCTGCGACAATATGAAATTCACCCTGAATTCCCAATAGGTCACACTTCAGCGACAAACACTGCTAATATGTGAGAATTTACAGATTACTTTGTAAAGATAGAGAAGTGGAAATTGCAGATGAAGTAGCTATTCGCCAGAATGTGTATTGATGGGAATTGTGAGTGAATATCCAACAATGCGCACTTCAGTCAATAACCCAGTACAGTAGACTGTTACTGGTTTCAGAGACCTAACAGGACCTAAGATTTCAAGCGCTGATTTAGTATCTCAGTGTATCTTAGTGTATTTTAGTGATTTGAAGTGGTAATGGTTCCTGGTGTTGGTTTTCCTTTGAAACCCTGCACACACCCTACCATAGGTGTAACTCCACCTCTGGCACCCTGCAAGAGGTGTAACTCCACCTCGAGCAGCGTTACTAGGACATCATTTAACACTACAGAACAAAACTTCATTAGCTGGCTAAGGTCAGTTTTTTTTGCACTTTGGACACCTGTCATCAGAACGTATAACAGGTGTCCAATGGACATGAGCTACCTCTCCCTACCACCAAGTCCTCCTCTTAGCTCGTCATCCCTGAAATCCCTTCCTTGCGGCTAGGGGCAATGACGTCAACAGAGGAAGATTGGGTTGCTGGTAAACTTGGCTTTGGTGCTGCAGGGAGGTATGTTAACTTTTTTTTTTAATTAAGGGACAATGATAGGAAGGGTTACTCTAACCAAAGACAATGTTTTATAAAACACTGTTTTTTGTTTGGAGTAACCCGTCATGTTTTTTTGAGTACAGTAATATAGGATAGTGAAAATGAGTGTGCTTATTAGTGGATGTGATTCATCTCAAATTGGCTCTGTATCCCCCTCCAATGAAGCATTTCATAAAAATAAAATATTTGTGAAATGCTCATAGAGGACTGTTGGAATTTAAGAAACATTCCAACGCAGTCAAAAGATAGAACAAAGCAGGGACTACTTTGTCTTATGGCAAATTCTCAAGTTGACAAATCGTGGAGCTACCGATATCAAGTTTTGTCACGTTCTACAGCCATCGCTAATGGATGTGGGAGTGAGGCATTATCTTACTCATTGTGAGATAATATCTGTGGAGGCTATATTGGGATCCTCCATAGACATAAGAGTTGTACTCTCACACATGTATGAAAGTACCGCAATGACGTGATCTCCTGGCAGAAGACATGCCAGGAGCTGAAAATCAAAGTAAGTAATTGGATTACTTATTGATAGCACTTTTTGAGCCAGAGCATGTTTTAGTTTGGCCTGCAAAATTATGATGACTTTATAGTGATTGATACCAGACAGGCGTAAGATGCTGAATACTAAGTTCAGGTGAGAGAAAGGGAATGATCCCTCTAAATGGCATGAATGACTGACACCCAGTTGCGGTTAAACTTATTTGTATCTTTTAATCTGCATACAGTAAAAGTCATAAACTTATAAAAGCATTAGCTTTTTTTTACACCAAGGTAATTGAGTATGCAGTTTTGGGAGGTTTAACAGTATTTGCAGACTTTCCATGGATAGATTTTCACAGAGTAGTAGAATTGGAAGGTGATATGATTCTTATAGCCGTTTCTATATTCTTTGTCTGAGTAAGCTTTATTAACGACTTACATTGTTTGGGTAAGGTATTTCTTGATCATCACATGCTGGCCATGTGTTACTTATTGAGTATTGTAGAAAGCTCTTCACATTTAATTACATGGAAGAGATGATTCCATTTTCTTGCCCTTTGTGGTAAAGACATTTTTTGCATTTAGCACAATTAAACGGCTACCCCAAGCACCATGACTTCGTCAGAGATTTGAAGTGGTCATGGTGCCTGGAGTCTGTATAGGAATCATTTCACTATTAAACAGAGAGTGTGTGTGTATGTGTGTGTGTGTGTGTGTGTGTGTGTGTGTGTGTGTGTGTATATATATATATATGTGTGTATATATATATATATATATATATATATATATATATATATATATATATATATATATATATACACACACAAAACCTGTATGATAGAGGCGCTTAAATATTGATAATATCAGGTGAGGTTAGGCTACAACACTCTATTGGGGACCCCTCTCACCCATCAACATCATGCAAAAAAGAGAAAGTGGGCTTGGTTGTGTCCTCACTGCACGTGACTGGGGGAACTCTGGCAGTCAGCTTGGAGGGACCCTCTCTGGGAACAGCAGAGACCAGCAACACGCGTCCGCATTACAGGTGGGTAGTTCTCCCAGTGAGTGCCAAGTTTCTCTGTCTTTTATACCTTTTAGCAAGTTTGTAACTTTTCCAAGATTTCTTATCAGTGCAGCCCAGCATGTATCTTGTCATGCGCATTAGGTCATCAGTATGGTTGATCAGGCCAGTCGTGACCACCCAAGGCTCATGCCAGATACGTGCGGTATCTTATTCTCTCTATGTCCCTACTCTTATCTCTCCATACATTTGTTGGCACCAATTCCCTCTGTTCATCACGTAGGCCTTTTTGGATATTGTCCAGACATGCTATGGAATATTCCAGGCAATGTTGAATTTCTTAGTGCGACACAGTTTAAGCATTTTATGCAATGTCATCATAGCTGAATTTCTTGGTGCGACACAAGCTGAATTTCTTGGTGCGACACAAGCTGAATTTCTTAGTGCGACACAAGCTGAATTTCTTAGTGCGACACAAGCTGAATTTCTTAGTGCGACACAAGCTGAATTTCTTAGTGCGGCACAAGTTGAATTTCTTAGTGCGACACAGTTTAAGCCAAGTGCCATCTTAACTATCTATGATAGATTAATTTGCTCATTAGTGATCAATCAATCATTCTTAATTAGTTAATTGGATTTTATCACAATTATCACAATATCGTAGAGATAATGTGTCAGAACATGAAACAATAAGTTTACGGTTGAACAGCCATAGATGTAATTGTTCTGTGGTTCTAATAGGTAGTTAAACTGTTTTTGAGTTTCAGCTGAAATCATTTGTCACAAGAAGACAATTGATATTGCATAACTTTCTGTAAATAAATGAAATCTTTATCAAGATTTTTTTTCATTCTGTTTCCCTTTTATGGTCTAGATTTTGATTGAGGGGTGATATTCAGTACCAAAAACGTACAGTGGTGCAAAGGATCAGACACGGCAGGATTTTGTGTTTTTTCTGGCATGCGTTGTTTAAACACCAACACATTTCATAAACTCAATAAAATAGTACAGTTACACTATATACACTATAAATATCTTAGATAGTTAATGCTGTTTGGCTAGGGCTGTGTTTGACTTGTGCTGGCTCTAATCTGCCTCCTTGACCGTCTCAGCCAAACCTATGGGGAAGCACTGTGGCTTACAGAATCACTTCTGATAATGTCAGCTGTAAGCAGGCAGATCAGGGGCAGAGGCAGCAGCTGCAGATTTGAATACAAGTACAGTTTCCCTATAAATAGGGAGACCAGGGGTGCTAGACGGTGGTTTTAACAATATAGGTTCAGTGTGATGGGCTAATCGCCAAAGTGCGCTCTGTTCGGTGCTACCCACGTGGAGATATCCACCGCAGAGAGAGGTGAGCCCTATGGAACTATGACTCGGCTTCACAGCCACAGGGTCCCGCTGGCCGCTTGGAAGTCTGTCCAGCCAATAGGAGAAGGGCCACCATTCAAACTGGTTTTGCATCCTTTCTCCCGATTTGTCTGGCGAAACACCTTCCCTCCCTGATCGCCGATTGGTGCAAATTGGTTTGCGCCCTTTTTCCTGATTGGCTGCGTGGTTTAGGCGGGAAATTTATATCACCAGCCGAAACGAAGTGATTCTGTGAAGCTATTTTGGGGTATGTACAGAGCCTCAAACCCAGACTTTCGACAACATGCATCTTGGGTCAGACATTGTTTGCAAGCCGACAGTCCGTTTGATCATATCAAAGAGTTTTTCTATTTTTTTATTTTTTTTTATATATATTTTATTTAAAAAAGAATCTATTTTGTTTGAAAACTTGGTGAAGGTATTTTAAATAATATTGTTGAGGTGACAGTTGTCCTTTAAGGAGCTACCAAGAATAAACAGAACATGATGTCTGTTAGCTAAAAAGAGAATCTGTTATACTGTAATTTCCTTTTAGATGTTGAGTAAAATTTGAAAAAACAAACAAAAAAAACGTACATTTGATGAAATTATTGAACACTGGAGCATTTTCTAACTCTAACTCTTGTGGCCTGCCTGCCGCGCGGAGTGTTGCCATGGTAACCGGTGGCAACGCTCTGACAGCCACGGGACTTGCGAGATTTAGACAGGGGAGCTGAAGGGAGCTGCTGGGAAGGGAAGATCTTGCTGGGCCCCCAGGACCGTCTGGCTTGTCATGGGCCCGGCGGTCCTGATTGGCAATATCGGTATCTTTATTGGCCGATACCGAGATTGCAGAGAATACTGAATATCGTCCGATAATATCGTCCATACCGATAATCGGTCGATCCCTTATAAAATTAGTAATAAAATAAAACATATACATACATTTAATACCTATTATAGGAAGAAAGGGGGAAAAAATATATACAAATTACAATACATATTTAAAATGCGAGTTAGTTAAAAATATTTTTTAATAAAACATGTATCCTAATAAAGTGAATAGGTGCATATTCAGGGATTTGACTTGTGCTTTCATTGTCTGGAATAAAGTACCTGTAAACATTAACAAGAAAAGGAAAGCAATTTTACACAGCAGCGCATATGTAATTACATGCATACAGTTTATCCACAGAATCGTATTGGACCATGCAGAAAAAAAAAAGGTGCTAGGAGTGGACTGGCAGAGTGGACAGATGTTTAAAAATACTCAAAAAAGGTGGCTTGTAGTTAACAATAAATAATTATATAAAAATATTATGTAAAAATCTCATAAATAGTTAAAAAACATTTTTAAAAATGGCTAATCATTTTTAAAAATGGCACATTTCAAAATCATTGCTCAAGCCATTCGGAACCATGGTGTTCAGTGCATAGATCCACTTCATTTTTGCCTGTCCTATTTTCTGGTTAAAGTCACCCCCCCTCCAACCACCCCCATTATTTTTTGAATTCCCATAAATTTCAGCTTTGTTGGGTCTGCATCATGATAGTCTCTAAAGTGCATAGACACTTGGTGTAGTGCACACTTCCTTTTGATGTTATACACGTGCTCACAGGTTCTTGTGTGTAACATTCTTGTTATGCGGCCTGTAATTAAGTCCACACGGGCACGTGAGCATGTATATGACATTACGGGAACTGCAAGTCATATCATCTCTAATATCATATGAACAGCAATTAGCTTCAAATTTATTGTAACATTTCTTTCTTTCCCGCAGTTTTTGAGCAGGCGTTACAGTTGCCACATTTAAAAAAAAATGTTCTTTAAGTTTTCTCCTGGGGCTTCTAAAATACCATCTGTGAGATTGGATACTCCTCTATGTACTATCTTTGGTCTCGGAAGTAGGATATCTTTTAGGATTGGATCATCCAATAGTATCTGCCAATAGTTATTTATGATCTGTCTCACCTTTTCATTATGTCCTCCAGAGTATTGGCATATAAATGGTGTTACATTAATAAATTATTTTTCAGCCTTTTTTCTATATTTAATAATTCTATTCTATCCTTATCTTGTACATCTTTAGTCGCAGTATTTAAAATCTTTTCACTATAACCTTGATCTTTAAAATCTTGGATCAGTTTTTAACTTTGTTGGATAAAAACACTTGTTTCTGCGCAGTTTCTATTCAACCTAGTTAGTTGGCATTTAGGTATGTTATTTAGCCACGGACTAAAAGTTCCTTTCCAAACCATAATTAAATGGTCTATATAACATTTGTATAGCATCAAGTTTGCAACCCAGCCACTGTTTTCGCCCATATAGAGCGATTCCCAATGCGCCATGAAAAGATTGGCGTAGCTGGAGGCAAACTTGGTGCCCATCGTATTACCACACTTTTGAAGGTAGTAGACGCCCTGGAACCAAAAAATTTTTTCCAATATAAATTGGATTGATTCCAGGATGAAATTAATCTGGCTCTGGGGGTAAAAGGAAAAGGTTTCTAAAATATGTCTGACTGCATGACTGCATTTAGTCTTGGATGGTGTCTAATGCTAGTATATAGGGAGGAGATGTCTGCAGACACCAAAAGAAAATCATCCTGCCATTTTAAACCTTCTAAGGTTTTTAGTACACGGTTAGTATCCTTTAGGTATGATGGGCGGTTTTGGACCAATACTCAGATAGTCTACGTGAAATAGCATCAATGCCCGAAATGATGGGTCTACCAGGTGGTTGTGTCACACTCTTGTGTATTTTTGGCAGAAAGTGTAAAATTGGTTCCCTTTGATATCTTGGTACCATATATTCGTTCTCCGTTTTATTTAAGATGCCATCTAGGAAACCTTTGGAAATTATACTTTAAATTTCTCTTTTATCATGGAGGGGAAGGGTCGGAATTTAATTTTTTTTTATATGTTACCTGATCTCCGAGGAGTATATACGCCTCTTCCAAATTAAAAAATTCCTATTGGTTTAATCTTTGTAATTAACTCCTAGTCATTCTCTTACCGCCTCTCTTTCCTCTCTCTCTTTCCTCCTGAATCTTTTGTTTTGAAAAGGAGGAGATTGTTGACTCATTATCCTCCTTCTTTTATGTAATAAAGGCGAGGAAGGGTTATTCCTATTTTCCAGATTAGGGAGTGGTTGAAATCTGTTGCTTACTGAAATATTATTAGATTCTTTTTGATATCTAAGATTAGAGTGATGTCCATTTCTCCTTTGGACCTGCCATCTCGGGGAATTGTATTTGGGATAATTTTTCTTAGTGATCTCTCCTTTTTTTGTAAATTTGTGTCCTGGTTATATTCCTGATGATCCCTTTTTTAAAAAACTGAATCTTTTCTTTGTTTTTTGAAATTAGATGCTCTATTAAATTTGCCTGCCAATGATCCTTTGTAAAAAGCTAAATCTATGGGCAAAAAATGGAGGGCACACAGAAATCAGTAATCTGTGCAATCAAAGTTCACGAAGAGTGATCTAGAAGTCTATTAAATTGTCCCAACTTGTTATATGTAACTGCAGATCCCCAACAAAAATTTCTGATGAAAAAGCAAAAAAAGGAGAAAAAAAACATGGGGAAAAAATATAATCGACAAAATAAGCAAAAAACAAGAAAAAAAAAAGAAAAAACTTTCTGTGTTAGGGTCTGGTCGGATCTCACCCTTAAAGAATCAAGGAGGCCTCCTGATAAATTAGCAATGAAACATAAATGATTCAGAGTCTTCAAAAAACAGGAAAGGGACCTGTCATATACTAAAGGGAGGAAATAATTTTTCTCCTTTTTCTATCTACACTTTATTAAAAATGTTATTTCCTTTCAAAACTCGATGAAAGGATTATTATATTAAAATAATGTTTTAGGTGACAGTTGTTGTTTAATGTATTTTGTTTTTCACAAAGCAGCCAAAAAAGAGAGGAGAGCAGTTAAAATCACCCTTCACTGTCCCTTTAAAAATGCTACTATAGCATGTTTGTTTTTTTGTTACTCTGAACCTTTTACGATAAGCCCACGATCTGGCTGTCAAAGCTCAGAAATATTAGTTACTGTAAGAATAATAATGTATTTTAATATAAATATATACTTGTATTTATTGCCTTTTTTTTTTTATACAGATATCTGCAAAATAGAACTAATTTGAAGATGTTCAGGGGACTTTCTTTTCCTCAGTTATTTCTTGCAACGTTTCTGGGAGTTGGTGCAGGTGTCTATATATACAAGCCAATCTATGAACAATACTACTGGGAACAGAAACGGCTGAAGGCAGATGTAAACACCGTTGACACTGTTGAAAAAAAGAATGAATAGAATAATTAGGGATTTTTTATTTTTTTACTACGTTGTACACCACAAAAAAAAGCATCTTTTATTATATGTTGCAGCATTGTGAGAGTGAAATATTTTTGATCGCAGTTAACTCAGCCTAATCATGGAGTTTGAATACTTTGCAAACAATCAGGCTGGATTTGGGCCATCCTTGACAATCTACATGCAACAAGTGCTCAAAGACTTACTGTTACATCAACAATATCAGATGTTTTTGTTTGCTTTATAATCTTGCAGATTTAGAATTGTAAATTAAAGATTTTACTGATTTCATTCTGTGTCAAATTTTAAATTTGGGAGACGCTTACATTTAATCTCCAAAAATTTCCAGTTTAACAAAGATGTACATCTTTGTTAAACAGAAAAACAAGATACCCTGCCTTGTATTACCTGCGAATACTTTTGTATGTATCTTTCAATTGCATTTTAGCCAGTGGGAGGCTAGTGAGCTGATGCTCTTAGCTTGTGGGAAGGCTCTTGCATTTAATTTGGGCCCAGAGGCATAAAGACCAGAAAGATGGGTGTTGTCGAGATGTCTAAGGGATTAAACTGTTCATTCATTTTTCAACTTCAAAGGTAAGATGATGCCGGGTTCCTCCAGGAACCATAACCACATTGAGATGAAATGGTTATGGTTCCCAGAGTGTCCCTTTAAGTGTTCTAATAATTTTATTTAGGGATGGCTGAGAATCAAGGGAAACCTGGTTAGGAATATCTTTGCTGCCAGCATGAGCCACTACTGATTTAGTAATGTTGTAAACAAATATTAACTCCTTAAAGACCAAATATTAAATTTTGATAACATTAGCATATTGTCCCTAAATACATGCCAGAATGAATTGCTCTAGTAATTGAACATTGACTATTATATGCAGTAATTAAATGAGTGAGCCCAGAGGCGGCTCTCTAATTAGGCGGTTTAGGCAGGCCGCCTAAGGCCTCAGCATCACCCTCCCTCACCATCAACCCCCCTCCTTCTCACATTACCCCCCCCTCTCACTCTCACATTACCATCACCCCCTCTCCCTCTCACCATCACCCCCTACTCACCGTCACCCGCCTCTCACCATCACCCCCCCATACACACGACACACTTCAAGCAGCTACCCCATACACATAGGGTCTCAGACAAAAACGCAAACATGCTCACAGAGAAATACATTTACACACAAGGATACTCTGTGTCAGACACACTCTCAGGCACATACACAGGTAAACTGTGCATCGATGTGTATATGTGACACTTTTTTGTTAGTGGGGCCTCCTGTTTGAGTTTCGCCTAAGGCCTCATAAAGTCTACAGCCGCCTCTGAGTGAGCCTTTCCATTTTGGAAACAGATTATGACACAGTAGAGCACCAATCGTCCTTATAGGGTTCATAGATGTGTAGACCAGTCTGATTTTATTCTGAAACCAATGGGAAAATAAAATTACTTGACAACTTTCAATATGACGTGATGAATGAAACATGGGGTCTTACCGAGTGGGATGTGAATGTATCGATTGCAGGGTTCTGCCACGATTACGGCAACAGGTTTCGGTGAGTAATAACTACACTTTGCAAAATGACTCTGTTCTTTAAAAATACTGAGAAATCTTACTTTTGTTATGGAGTATGTTGTTTCTTTTGACATAAGTGTGTGTTGAGAGGTTGAACATCAAAATAGAATAGTTTATTGAAGCAGTATCGATAGCAAAACTTAAGCTGGATGGTATTACTTTCATATTTTTATTTGTTCTACGAAGGCTGGTGAGAAGGCTGCGTTGCAACACTTTTAAACTTTTTTATTTTTCAGTAAATTGATTATTGAAGCTGTAGCTTTTAAAAGAATGGCTTACTACAAGCTGGCCCCATTTTATTTCTCGTAAACTCAGGTCAGCTTAGAAACATGAGTAGTTAAGTCACAGTCTGGTTTGCGCTGAGCTCACCTGGGAAGCGGCAAAGCCTTAATATTCACTATCAACTACACAGAATAGAAATGTACTATATTTTGTTTAGCATACGATATATTACATATATTTGTAAAGAACTTCGTCTATCAACAAGTATGGATTAACCCCTGCTTGGCACATTGCTGTATAAAACTGGCAAAGTATTTTATGTAGCTTGATACATTTGTGTACTGGCCTGCAGATGGCAGCAAAATCCTTTTCTAGAGTCTACTTCTTATGCAGCATTTGGTTGCTTCTCCCAGATGCATATAGGAGAAATAAACTTGCCAAGATTCTATCCAGGAGTTTGCAACGGTTTTCTCATGTACTCTCACTAGGTAGCTGATGAGCTTTATAACATGCAACCAATGCCTTCAAGAATAGGCCTAGACTTAAATTTATGAAGAAGTCACATTGGGGCTTTAACTCTGTGTCACCGCTACAAGATAATGCGATTGTCTGGGACATTCCAGCTAATAATGTTCCACACTCCTGCCTCAGTGAGTTATGTCAAATCACAATATTGGTATCTAAATCCCCAGCATTAAAGCAGTAATATAATATTTCATACAGGTAATCTGGCTGCAAACTTTTAGTCTTTAGTTTGTAGAGTTTTCTTTTTTACCCCAGCTACCCTACTTTAATTTTTTTTTTTTATAATTTCAGTGGCTGAATATAAAGATTCAAATGCATTGTTTTGATACCCTGCAGTGGGTAATTATATTTTCTAGATTTTAATTTGATGACTAAAATACCCTATTTTTTTTTTTTTTTCTTCAATGGGGTATGGCCTGATCTGATTGAATGGATACTCCAGACATTAGAGCCTCTGCACCATAAAGTAAATCTACAGTGTTGTGGTGCTTAGAACTGCCCTTTAAAAGCCGTATTTAAAATTGAATATATAGCATGTCCATTTTAATCAATAATTGTTATACTTAAAGTAAAACTTAATTTTCAGATGGTCAAAATTTCATTTAAATTGAGACTTTTATTAAAAAATAATCTTGTCTGGAGAAGTAGAATTTAGGACAACTTTTTTTTTTTTTTTTTGGCTCAATATGTCAAGGAGTCTTCCTTATGCATGATCATCACAGAACATAGATGATTAATAGAACCCTATACACCATAGCCAATTCATCTTGGTGTAGTAGTTATGCTGCCAAGTGTATATTTAGTGCTGTCCTTTTGTTTTTTGTCAGACTGCTTCTTAATGGTTTAACTTAAAATAATTAAATGGCACCCAGAGAGTCTTGGCCAAATAACCACTACACAGAACTTTGATGGTTCGTTTGCTTTCAGTGTCCCTTTACGGCAATCTTTACACTCTCATGGCCCACAAGCACTCATTTGTTATTGCCTGCAAAGGGTTAGTATAAAAGCAAAAATGCAATTTTTATATAAATGAAAATGGTCAAATACCTTGCTTATAGGTATATTCCATGCAAGGAATGGATATAAATGCATGGATCTGATACTCTGAATGTAGAGGGAGAGAGACTGATAGAAAAACATACAAATGAACAGAGGGTAAGGTATAGGGATTCAGAAATTGGAAAGACAAAATAGACCATAGATTTCATGACTTCAAAAGGTATATTTGACCTATGCCTTTGTGGTGTGAATCTAGTCATCATAGGTATGTTTTATGTGAAGAATAAAATGAAGTCAAAGTAATGAACAAAGGTGCAGTTTCTCATATGTAATTAAATGCACCTAGTAATAAGCAATTGCAAAAAACACGCCATAATATGCAATATTACACTGAATACTCCGTAATATGCAATATAGTTGCAAGAAGTCACTCAGCAGTATGATTGCCAAATAACTTGTACCACCAATATGTTCAAAATAGGATGACCTGGTAAACCTTCCCCCTGGTGCTTATTGCTCTCACCGGTTCATGGAACAATCACTCTTGTCCCAAAGTATAATTTCTCAAACAGTACATTTCTTCTCTTTTTCCTCTGATGTAACCTGTAATTACAGCTTGCAATAGTGTAATATAGTAACAGGGGCCACCACCAGTCTAGACATTCTCGCCTTTTGTGTGGACATGCACTCTGCCCCATAGAATAACACAGGATGCAACCCAGTCTATATAATTAACTTATTTATTCAATTCACAAAATATGTATAAAAATCCAGAATTCACAATTCTCTGTTTACGTCATTCCCTCATTTGTCAATCCTTGGTATCCCAAGAGAATGTGCACATATACATTTCTATATTCAGACCGTTCGGGATCAGCAATTCCATCTTAAATATCCATTCCATCTCCAAGCTTGCTTATAATTTACTCATATCACCCTTCTCTCGTCTTTCCTTAATCTGATCCTACCACTGAATATTAATCTGCTAGGGTATTTATTATGACATTGTGCAAAATATGTATATGTCAGATGTAATCTAATTTTCTTTGTGGTCTGGGTCTGCTAGTCCTTCCCATATACTGTAGTGCACATGGGTACTCTAAGAGATAAATCTGTGGTCTTATATTCCTCTCCGATGTTATTGGACCTATAAGTGAATATCCTTTTCTCATTCCCTGCAACTTATTTGCAAACTGTACACTTGCGGCATCTCTAAAAAAAGCCCTTCATATTAAGAAAACTGGGAGCATACTTTGAGTAAATTTTAAACTGATGTTCCTCACCACCCTAAATAAATGGCTGGTCTCGCTGTTAAAATATTATACATTTCTATGCCACCTTTTTCAAAATTTTTGTTTTGTTCACATGTGGTGAGTTTCTCACTCCAGCTATGTTGCTTCCAGTTGAAGATTTTTTCCCATTTTGCCATAAAGAAGTTAGCATTACCAATCTTCTAAAGATAAAATTGGCGATTTAAATAAAAAAAATAATAAAAAAAAAATAATAAAAACATGTATTTGTTTTAAAATTAACATAATTGCTTCAATTATAAAATCAATCTGTTCCTGATGTAAAAGGGACACTTATTTATAAAATATTTTACCAGGAAAGATACATTGAGATTTCTCTCGTTTTCAAGTATGGCCTGGGTCCACAAATCATTGCATTGTTACATTAGGGTACAACAAAATACAAAAACAATATTAATACACAATATATACAAAATTTAACATAGAACAGGCAGGAAATATATAATCAACCATGACACGTGCATTCTGTTTTGAGGTATGTAGAGAGGGATCTCTTAAATGACTTTAGGCTTAGGGAAGATTTTAAATTGTGCGGGAGGCCATTCCACAATTGCGGCGCTCTGTAGGAGAAGGAGGATCGGGCTGCTTTCTTTTTGTATTGAGGTAGACTAAGTAAAGTGCTTGTACTGGATCGGAGGTTATAGAAAGTGGGAACAGCTGGGGAAAGCATTTTGTTCAGGTAGGGTGGGAGTTTCCCAGAAAAGCTCTTAAAAACAAGGCTGGAAAGATGAAGGGTGCGTCTGGATTCCAGCGACAGCCAGTTTAGTTCCTTTAGCATGTCACAATGATGGGTCCTGTAATTACATTGTAGCACAAATCGGCAGAACGAGTTATACAATGTGTTGAGTTTATTAATGTGGGATTGCGATGCAGACGCATATACTACATCCCCATAATCAATGATTGGCATCAGCATTTGCTGTACAATCTTTTCCTTTACTGTAGGGCTTAGGCAGGCTTTGTTTCTGTACAGGGCACCTAATTTTGGATAAAGTTTAGATGCAAGCTTTTCTATGTGCAGGCCAAAAGATAGATTGGGGTCTAATATCATACCCAAGTATTTGAAAGAGTGGACTGCGGTCAGTGTGCCATTTGAATTTGTTTTGATGGATAGGTGGGGATTGTGTAATTTGTGTAATTTAGGTACTGTTCCAAAGATCATTGTGACAGTTTTGTCAGTGTTCAAGTTGCGGTAGATTGGATTTGCTCGCATAGATTACCGTGTCATCTGCGTACATGTGTACATTTGAGGATTGGCAGACATTAGGCAGATCATTTATAAATAATGTAAATAGTAGGGGGCCGAGAATGGAACCCTGGGGAACACCACACGTGACTGGGAGAGGGAGGGAGTCACTGTCAGAAATGGACACATATTGCGAGCGATCCGATACATACGATCGAAACCAGTTTAAAGAATGATCCCCAATACCTGAGTTTTCGAGTTTGTGCAGTAGAATGTCGTGGTCTACTGTGTCAAAGGCCTTAGCAAAATCAAGGAAAATAGCTCCAGTTAGGGCTCCTTGTTCCATACCAGTTTGGATGTCATTGCAAACTTTTAGGAGGGCAGTTGTAGTGTAGTGATTCTGGCGAAAACCCGATTGATCAGGGGTCAGATAGTTTAATTGTTGGTAGTACTCACAAAGTTGTGTATGGACACATTTTTCTAAGATTTTCGACAATACCGGTAGCAATGATATTGGGCGATAGTTAGAAACCAAAGTAGTGTCACCACTTTTATGGATAGGCACTACTCTCGCAGTCTTCCTCCAATATTTTCCTACAGGCTCTACTTTCTCATGTTTAATACACGTATACAATGCGTTATCGATAATATCACCACGTCCTGTCATTCTATTGTATGACACATGGAGGTAAGGTTTGCCTATAGTGTGTACAGGAAAAGAATGGTAAGTATGGAGGGCATTCAAGGAACACTCTACTAAGAATGTAAACACGTATTCCTAATGTTGGTGTTTTACTATTTAGAATGACAGTAATGACATAATAAATTGTATGCTTCTCCATAGAGTAGCAATTTGGGGATGGTGAGTATACATGGCTGTGTTATAAAGTCCTACTCACTATTAAGATTTATTGGTCCCCCTAAATAGAATAAAAGAACAGAAAAAAAAGCTGGATACCTGGATGAGGGCACTGTATATGTGGCTGCACATTTTGAGGGTGAGCTATGGCTTGTGGGGACAGCTCAAGTGAGAGAGAGAGACCTCCACAATTACCCACCTTCCAAAGGAAACCTTTGTCACAGCTCGTGATTGACTTGCACCGCCTGCTATGCCTAGGAGGAGACTGTCTTTCTTCTGTTGTGGTTTGACCCTAGCGTGACTCCGTCTATGCGTGAGACGTCACAGTCACACTACAGCCGCAGGGTAGGAGCAAGTCCAACACTATGAGGCGATGCCGATCGTCGCATAGTGTAATAAAAAACTAACGCACAAGATGCTTTCAGAAATTGGTGCAGGCCTTTTACCCCGCTGCCACGTTAAAGAAGACCTTTTTTTTAATCGTTGTTTAAGGGGGCTCACGTCATCAGTGGCCCATAGGGCCCACTTCCTTCGGGCAAGCTGACTCCCTGGTTAGTCTGCCACTGGCTCCTGATTTTGACACTCTCAGCCAATCAGCAGCTCCCTTTCCCTGGAAGTCCTAGGCTTCCTGTATAAAGAATCTCAGAGAAGCAGAAAGCTTTGGGTTTAAAATGTCCTGGAACAGTTTAAACCTAAAGGAAAGCTGGCCTGATCATTTAAAGAATGTATGGACAATTACAAGCCACACTTTGAAAAAGACCATCGGGTCGAAACGCGTTAGTGTTATTGCTACCTTTTTATTGTTACATTTATTTTTTATTGAGTTTGATTAAACCTATTTTTTATATCTTGGAACTCCGGATCTGCATATTATTATTCTGCTGACTCCTGGTACCAGTCGGGAAAATTGCATTAGCGGAAGGAGTGGATGTGCATCCAAAAGGAAATCTGAATATGCTGTTATAGTCAGAGCTATACCTGGCTCTGTAAATTGTGAGTTGGCAATTTTAAAACCACCAATAGAGTGACTGCATTAATCAGTATTATGCTATGCATTATCTTTTATATTTAGGTGGAGCATATGTGATATGAAGAACAAGTATCAATAGGTATTATATTTGTTATACTCTCGGTATCACACAAAATGCTTTAGAGCGCACCCTATCTGTATTTCTTTTTAATTACTGTGTCTGTGGTTTTTAAACACTGGGGATGTCGCACTTATAAGGAGAATCTCTGAGAACCCCTCACCTCACTAAGAGATTGTTGTATTCTTCATACCTGCTGTAACCAAGAAGGAATATCTTTATAGAGTTACAAGTCCCATGATGCACTGCCAGCCCCAGTGCTGTGCGTTCTAATGTAGAATGTCTAGGAATCTCCCTATTGGCCAGGCATGCTGATCCCGTACCTGCTCAGTGTTTACATGGAATCTACATGGAAGACCTGTTGCATGGGCGGGGCTTCTGTGACAACGGGCGGGGTTAGGAAGGTATTTCTGATGGACACGCCCATACAAGGCGGGGCTTGGCGCCGGCTCGGGAAATGATGTCCACGGGATGCGAGACCCTGTGAGTCAACCCAAAAAAGGCAAGAGCTCAGCGGCTGGGAGGAGGGGGCACGACTGGAGGTAAGCGAGAGCGGGAGATAGGAGCGGACAGCTTCCTCTCCCTCTACAGCCTAACTTTCTGTCTGGGACCATGATACTGGGCATGGGATGGGAAACCGATACTGGGCATGGGGGTGGCACAGAGACCCTGCTACAGGGCATGGGGGGGCACAGAGACACTGATACTGGGCAGCATGGGGGCACAGAGAAACTGATACTGGGCATAGGGGGGGCACAGAGAAACTGATACTGGGCATAGGGGGGGCACAGAGAAACTGATACTGGGCATAGGGGGGCCACAGAGAAACTGATACTGGGCATAGGGGGGCACAGAGAAACTGATACTGGGCATAGGGGGGCACAGAGAAACTGATACTGGGCAGCATGGGGGCACAGAGAAACTGATACTGGGCATAGGGGGGCACAGATAAACTGATACTGGGCAGCATGGGGGCACAGATAAACTGATACTGGGCAGCATGGGGACACAGAGAAACTGATACTGGGCATGGGGGGCACAGAGAACTGATACTGGGCATGGGGGGGGCACAGAGAAACTGATACTGGGCAGCATGGGGGCACAGATAAACTGATACTAGGCATGGAGATTGGGGCACAGAGATACTGGTACTGGGCATGGGATGGGGGGTTGACAGGATCATTACCTAATATCCCTGAGCTGGACATCTGCAGCCCTCCCTGATCCTAGACAAAAAAAAACCATTAAGAGAAGCCGAATTGCTTAATCGAGAGAGAGAGAGAGTGTACACACACTGAGCCATTATAAAGTAACACCTCCTTTCAAACCAGTTACTCATTTAGAAATGGAAAAACATCTGTCAAGGTTGGTATCGCTCTAGCCCTAAACCATTGAGAGAGAGATAATACTTAGTAGTTTATATCCAAATTCATGTCACACCCCAGGCTTGCCATCTAATACAATTTATTTACATTTCTAAATTGTAGGGGTAAAGTTCAAAATCAAACTAATTAAAAAAACAAAACAAACCCCCCCCCCCCCTAATTTCTATATCTATACCTATCTTTATAATAACTCTCAAAAAAGATAAAATATCACTCAGTCCTAGAAACGCTGGCAGTCACTTTGTCAGAACGCTGATAGCTATATAAATTTAGAAAGGAATGATCACATAATGTAAGTTATAGGTAATTTCCAATGTTTTATTCAGGAGTGTAAATTCCAGAAAAGTAACACTTCCCCTTTAAACAGCAGGTGGGTAATCTGCTTAATTGAAGGGGTCCAGCATGTCCTTAAAAGAAATCCTGGAATACTGCTCACATACACTGTGCCGAACAAGTTTTTACAGCTGTGTTCCGAGTATGTTTTTGGTACTGGAAACGATAAGTCTGTATATCATCTAAGAAAGCAGAAACATATCAGAGATTCCAGCTTTTAGACCCTAGGGAAATTGGGGGGAAACTAAAAATATTTATTCTCAAAAACTATAAATCTGTTGAAATTTCCCAGCTCTGCTATGTTCAAGCTTAGCTTTTTCAGTCTCACATTTGCTATTCGGAATAAATGGGCGCTATATAAATGCCAATAATAATAATAATTAACTGGAAGTTTAATGAATAACTGTAACGGAGAAGAACTAATACTACAAGTAAACCAGTGGACAAATTTAATTATTTTCAGATATTAATCAGAAATGGACATATTTAAAATCTGGTGATGAAATGGGACATTTATGGGTAACTGTGAAAGAAACTAGCTCTTATTTTAAATGCAAAAAGAGGTACCTGCCATTAAAGTTTGCATCTTATAGTGTTTTTTGGGTCTCCCTCCAGTTTCACCATAATAGAACCTTTCCTGTAGTTTCTGCACAGCAGGAGATTATGTGATGAATTGTTTTTACCCATGAGCAGTTTTATGCATCACTTGATGAGTGGAACTGATCAGCAAACTGATTCAGATTTATCACTGCATAGTAAAGGGCTGTGTTAACCCCTTAAGGACCAAACATCTGGAATAAAAGGGAATCATGACGTCACACATGCCATGTGTCCTTAAGGGTTTAAAGGGACACTATAAGCATCGAAACGAAGTAGTTTTGGTGTATAGATCATGCCCATGCAGTCTCTGCTCAATTATCATTACTATTTACTTGTGTCAAATCTGTGGCTTGCTATAGAGAAAGATTGGAATGGAACATGCGCAGAACGGAACATGCGCAGCAATTAGCACATTCCTCCACTCTGAACTACAGTTCAAAGCAAGTTAGGCAGCAAACACCACCAGCTGTCTGTTTGACATCCAGGAGATCTTACTATGGGGATTTCTAAAAGTTCCAATTTCTCTTGAAATTGGCACTTTTATAAGATAAGCCAGAAAGTAAACCAAGCTTGAGTTTTATTTGAAATTCATGGTTTGGGGGAAAAACTGCAATCAAGCACTCATAGCACCATAAACACTGCAATAGTCCATGGTGACTATGGTGCATAGACTGCCCCTTTAAGATCAAATAGTTTAAATGAGCAATTTCAAAATTAAGTTATATTTGTGTGCTTTTGCTATTTCGACAGATAAAACAGGCACACATAGCTACTGCTAAATTCTTTTTTCCCCTAAATAACATTTTTATTTACTGAAGCCAATTTTCAGTGGCACAAAAATGCTCCAAAACCATGATCGAAAATGTAAATATAATCAAATTTATATATTTGGTTTTCTTCAGAAGGCCCCTCCCTGATAATAATTAAATTTTAGATAAAAGCCTGTAGGGATTTACGTGGATATATCATTATATCGTGGCTGAACTAGGGAGGGAGAAGAGTGCAGTTTATTTTAATATTGGAAACACCCTGAGCACAGGCCATCAATGTAGTGGAATGAAAAAGTAGGGTATTTGTCATTCACTGGCCCTTGGTGTATAGATTTTCTAGTTGGTAGGATTAGTTAAGTAACACTCCGATTGTCAGCACCCCTGACTAGCCCATTAAGGAAAAACTTTTTGAGTCATGTGGTGTGATTATTTCTACAGTAAGAAAATAATTGACCTGTTTAGAATTATATTCACTCTAACTTACCAATACTGTAGTTGGACTAACAGAGGTAAAGGGTTCTGTAGGTAATGTTGTATATCTGATATCTGGCTAGAAACTAAATACATATATGAACGGAGTGCAATGTGCAGAAAGAGATCCTCAGCATATTTTTTAAAGGAACACTAAAGTCACCAGAACAACTACAGCTTATTGAATTTGTTCTGGTGATTAGAATCATTACCTTCAGGCTTTTTGCTGTAAACACTGTCTTTTCAGAGCAAATGCCGTGTTTACATTACAGCCTAGTGATAACTTTACGGGCCACTCCTCATATGGCTACAAGAGGTGCTGCCTAGTGTGCAGTAATGCCATTAAGTGTATCCTCCCTCTGCATGCAGACACTTAACTTTCCTCATAGAGAGACACTGATTCAATTAATTTCTATGAGGAGAAGCTGATTGGCCAGGGCTGTGTTCGAATCATGCTGGCTCTGCCCCTGATCTGCCTCTTTGTCAGTCTCAGCCAATCCTATGGGGAAGCATTGTGATTTGCTCGGACCACCACTTCTGATGATATCAGTAGACAGCAGGCAGGTCAGAGGCAGTTCAGGGGCAGAGGCAGAAACTGCAGACTTGAGTACAAGTAAAATTTTACTGTATTTAGGGAAATAAGGGGGGGCAGATGGTGGTTTTAACAAATAGTGTCAGGAATACAGGTTTGTGTTCCTGACCCTATAGTGTTCCTTTATCGCATTATATAAATCAGGGCTCGGCAGGTCACCATGTCGACTTGGAAGTTTGGCCTGGCACCTGGGATTGTGGGCCCTCTCAGCCCCCGAGGTGACTGGCTGCCTGAGATCGAAGGCAGGCTTGCAGGCAGCTCATGGGGAATGTGGAGGTGATGACAGAACTGTAATCTTCCTTCTCTGCGCCCTCGTGCGCCCCGCAGTGATGTCAGGAACTAGAATATAACGTCATTCTGGCCCCAGCATACTACACAGAGCACAAGGGCTGAGCAGAATAACCAGTTTGGGAAAAACAGCTGATTTGGAGAATTTGTTTTTGCTTTTTTTAATGTAACAGTACCATAGGCTACTACCACCTATTATTATTATTATTCCCTGTGTATTTGGTTACCAAAAGCGTTTAACATACTGATTCAGTGCAGGTGGGGTAGGTTGACCACAATGGATAGTTGACTCGGAGTGCGCTCTGTAAAAAAGGGGATTCTAAAGGTGACCGTGCAACACAAAAACACACTGCATTTTCTTTGAATCTGGTGTTTAGTTTCTCTATAACGGGGGGAAAAGGTAACTAGGTCAGATTGAAAAGATATTAGCCCTAAATCGGAATCAGGAACTGTAGGGAGTTAAGATATAATCTCCTTACATGGCACACCACTTTTATAATTTTAGTATCCCATTTATCTGTTCAAGGTTTAATTTTAATTTTAATCTTATTGAATTAGTTTATTGAAATACAACTGACAATCCCTAGATACATGATTTATATAGCCTGCACTACATGTCTTGTTGGCTAACTGTTGTATTAATTACCGGACCAGGTACTGGACCAGAGAAAGCACGGATATATTTATATCTGTAGACCTTAACACAACTTTTGCAATTGTTGCCAGACTGGCAAAGCTTTCCTGGGTAAATATTACTTCATCGCATTTTCAGCCAGCAAGATAAATATGCTGACCTGTAGCATGCAGCATCATATATGAACACGATTCACTAATTAAAGTAATTCCCAAAGGCACTGCCTTAATTAAGTAGTAATATTTTTCTGCTGTATAAGAATTCTACATAATAAAATGCAGCTCTTTTCATGTACTGCCAATCACCCTGAAAGAGTTTTTAATCCCTTAAGGACCAAACTTCTGGAATAAAAGGGAATCCTGACATGTCACACATGTCATGTGTCCTTAAGGGGTTCATGTGTACAGAAAATCCATGTTAGATTTGACAGGCCTAGCTTTTAGCCCACTTGAGTTCTTCTCTGGCCGGCTGTATGAGTAGGCCAGACCGGTGCTAGGCGTAGCAGGATGTCACAAAAAGCAGTCCAGTGCTATTGACACATGTGTATAATATGGTTTTCCTGTCCTACATGACTTTCAACACTCTACGTAGTTAAAACTGCATCTTAGCCATTTGCATTAAGAAATACAAATGTTGGGACATTAATTACATTATGAAACAGACTGCAAAGTGTTTGGCTTTGTCAGTTCTCTTTCTTAACCGCAACACTGCCGAGTTCCATTTTTTAGTAGCAGAAATAAAAAATAATCATATATAAATAAAATGTACATCATGTATGACAATCATGTGTAAAATGTATATTAAAGGGGCTCTCCAAACTCTGTGCCCATTACATCCTATTGTGGTTACGTTTCAGTGCTTATTAGAGGTCCAATTGTTTGTATGGAAAACAAGCAATGGACTGCACTATCTCACTACTGTGGTTACCCTCTATATTTTCAGATTTTTTTTTGTGATGACTTGAGCACACTTCTCGTGCTTTTGCTGTTAAATGCAGACCTTTTAGCACCTGTTGTAGAGGAGGATTTTTGGTGAGGCTAAATTACCATTAAAGTTGAAAACAATGGCGGGATCTCTTACTGAGAATTAATACCGCCACAGGTCTTCAATTAAAGAGGCCCTGTCACTTTTTGTCATGATTTGCAAAGTCCTCAGATGCTGGGTGGCCTGTCGGTGCAGTGAAGGGGAGATGTACTTACCGGATGCTATCCCACGCAGGTGCCGTCATCTTTTTTTCTTCAGTTCCTGGTGCTTCATCCGCGTGTGAGATGTCTATGGAGGATTCAGCGAGACCGCGGGAGTCTCTATGGATGTTGTCTCGCAATGAGTGAGACAATGCCTTTTCCCACAGCTGTCACTGTAATGGCTGGGGAAATGACAAATCTTAACAGTGGTAGCTCCACTTTTTGTCAAGTTTTCTTAAACAAAGGAAATCTATACAAGACAAAGTAGTCCCTATTTCAGTTAAATTCCAAAACTGTCTTTATGAGTATTTATGAACTCCTTTAATGTTAAATTGCTTTGTTCCACAATAGCCACAACAGCAAGGTTAATGATGGAGTGCAGTAATGAAAATGCCTAGCATATTTTGTTCCTGGGACATTTCTTACGATTATGACAAAACAATTCCGCTATTTTGGCGTTAAATTTTTAATTTACTTTGAATTCCTGACCATTTACATTTTGCTACATAACTCTGTACATTTCAAGTTTTTTGTAAACCGTTTTCAAACACCGTAGAGACTACACCCATAACCTCCCAGTTCATGAACACCACAACAAGCTGTTGTGGTTATGGTGCTTGGAGTACCACTTTAATATTGCTGGAATTGAGCAGATTCATTCCTAAAAACATTTATATCAGAATAATTAATAAAACTTTTAGTGCAGTTTTTAGTCCTGTTTTAAATAAAGCCCAAAATGTGTTATGATAACACGACTTCCTTAAATAGCGTGCGTGAAATGATAATGGTTATGTGTACACTGTTTCTGCAACATTTTGTTCTTGCAAAAGAGAAGCTTTAGGGCAAATAAATGTATGTTCTCCTTTAGTGCTTTAAATCAGCTGTCTGTTCACTCACCCACAAACCACTTTACATTGTTTCTCATATGTTTGCAATTCGAGCTCATTATTATTAAACTTATTACTCAATAAAGAACCAAACATTCTATTGTTACCACAATAGATTGGGAAAGATAAACTTATACAGCTTTTATATGATTTTCTGAAAGGTGTGATACACACAGACACACACATACACTGATTAGCAACTACACTAAATCCAGGTAAAGTGAATAACATGGATTATATCGTTACAATGGCACCTGTCAATGGGCGGGATATAAAAGGCAGCAAGTGAACTGTCAGTTCTTGCATTTCATGTGTTGGAAGCAGGAAACATGGGCAAGCAAAAAGATCTGAGTGACATTGAAGAGGGCGAAATAGTGATGGCTAGACGACTGAAGGTATACCAAAGCTTGTTGGTTTGGTATACTACATATATCGATATTAATATGATTGTGTTAGTTCTGACTTTTTGTAGGTCTTCCTGGATTTTAGATATTGAGGTTCCCCCTTGCATCTCTGTGGGGCAGAGATGGCCAACAAGTAGCCCCCCTCTGGCTGTTTTTATAGACTTATTACCCCTTTGGAGATTTGCTAATACATCTCTTTTTTACACAAACCAGAATATCCGAAATAAACTATCTTGGGTAACAACTGGAGATTCGATTACAAACTATGCTCATACAACGTGTAGGCCAGCCCTTACTTCTAAGTAGCAGGTTTTTGGCTATAACAATGTTTATTTTGCCCCGTCTCTGAAATTAAACCAGTCTGTGGAATACTTTCACCGTTGTAACAGGACCTATAGAGTTAAAGGGATACTATAGTGACTGGAATAAAAAGCTGTATTCTTGGCACTATCGCTCACGCTGCCCCCTTTTAAAATGAACGATTAAAAACCATTTATTTACTTACCCTATCCCAGCACTGGGTAGATGCTCCGCCCCCTTCGACGTCTCACAACAAATTAATGCTTTCCTATGAGGAAAAGTCTGATGCTGATTGTCCTCATGCAGATGGTGTGTACGTCCAGCATCAGATACCGGACCAAAGGTCCATTTCTATCCAGGAAGTGCCTCCATTGGCCTGGTAGCCAGCGACTGGAAGCAGACTTAGTGCTGCAATGTAAACATGGCAGATTCTCTGGAACGGCAGTTTTCAACAATGCAGCACTAAGTGCAATAGGGACACTGTACACAGACCACTTCAATGAGCTGAAGTGGTCTTGGTGCCTTTTGTGTTCATTTAAAGCTGTACTCCTATTGCATCCTGTGAGTCTGTTTGATCATCCACATGTAATATTGCCATATGCACAATAAGATGCTATTGACACACTTTGTACAAAAACATTTCTGATTCCATAAGTTGTCACTGGCAGGATTTCTGGTAAAGGCTGTAAGACTATGGTGCAATGTGTTGGTGAATGCTCTGCAAATTGCTGCAGTGTCCCTACAGTACTTTGTATCTTGCAGATCTTTTAAATGATAAAAATCTTATCTTCATGAAAAAAACTAAAAGCGACAATACCACTTGTTGGGTTAGGACAGAATGGAACCTGTCGAAATCTGATAATGTGCAGTTGTGGTAGACTTGTGTAGCTATCACCATATTTTGTAACTAAATCCCTATTATTTTCCCTAAAACCTGGAACTTCATACACTTGATAAACTTTAACGCTGGCTTTGAATGTAGTGTGTGGTTTTTTGCATCTCAAAAGGAAAGCGTTTTATGTAAGACATTATAGAAAGTATTCATCTCCCACAAAATCTAAAACGCAACCCACTTCAGAGGGCAACATCAATACACAAGGAAGATGGAAGATGACGCATTGAAATGAATAGATTGGTTATATAAAATGTTAATCAGTTTTACAGCACCACATTTGCCCTGAAACTCAAACCATTTTTTAAAGTGCAGCTGTTATGCAAAAATTACTGTGGCAAATTGAAAGGTTTATTACATACATTGTGTCATGTTCAGTTGCTTACAAATGCATAGGTGAAAGATTATTTTGAACGTAATCTTCAACATTTATCTTTTTGCTTCTAAAGTAATGTGTAAATGTGAACGCAAAAAATCTGTACCTGGAGTGAGCTTAGTGCTTCTGGTACAGAAAAGGATCTCGCAATCTGTTTTGAGGATGCATATATATATATGAGCGGTTTCCAGTGTGTCTTTAGTGCTGCAGGTAAATGAGTGGATTATAAAGTGTGGTTTGGACTGCATGTATGTGGGGTGATGCCACAGTGCTTTTAGGACTGCATGTACTAGAGGGGATCCAAGAACATGTTTAGGACTGCATGTATATGAGGAAACATAGAATGTGACGGCAGATAAGAACAATTCGACCCATCTAGTCTGCCCAATTTTCTAAATACTTTCATTAGTCCCTGGTCTTATCTTATAACTAGGATAGCCTTATAGTAAAAAACAAAGGGAAAAAAAGTTACCTGCGCCCTCTCCTTAATCCCTATGTATATTTAAACAAATGGAGGTCATTTAGTTGCTCCAATGGCCACTGGAGGGAATGCCTGCCTGCCAACGTCAAGGCAGACCCCCCTAGACGGGTCCTACTCTGACCCTTTACCTTGCTTCCTTGAGCTTCTTGGCCAAAATCTCTAATGACACAGAAAGGGGTATTTTATATATACCCCTATATACTTGTTAGCCCTTGATAGGGAACACATGGGATGGGCGGCAGCATTGTAACCTAGCTGTGTGATACAAAAAGTGAATACAAAAAGAGAAGTCCTGCTCTCACTCCCATCACTCCTGGGCGGCAGCAATGACCACCAAAATGGTAAATGTACAGAATATCAGCAAGTTATCGGCCTGAAAGTTCACAGATTATCGGTATCGGCTCTACAAAAACAATATTGGTCGACCCCTAATACACAATCACAGACCCAAACACATACAGACATGATTACTGGCATACACACACCTTTAGTGATTAAGAGGACCACCCAGGCTCCCTAAATTGCTCTGGTGGCCAGTGGGTGCTGTTGTGATGGGATCACTGTGATCTTCCTGCACAGGTGCCTTGCGAACCAGTAGTGGTGGTGCCAGAATACCGTCGCCTGCTGGCTCAATGCAGGGCGCGTGAGAGAGGGAGCTGTGCAGAAATAGCACAAAAGGTAATGGGCTTCCTGAATCCCTAGCCGGACTGCAACTGGGCCGCATTAGTAGCTGTTCAGGGCCGTGGGTTTGACACACTTGTCTAGCTAGAAGATAAATCTCTCACAACTTGCAAACCCGACTATTAAAGGAACACTATAGCATTAGGAATGAAAACATGTATTCCAAACCCTAACTATTTTGGTGTCGGCCCCCTCCCCCTGTGGTTTAAAAGGTGAATTTGAATTATCTTTACCTTTATGGATACAACTAAAAAGCCACTGCACCTAAACTGCTTTATTGAGATGAAGTGGTCTGGGTTCTTTTAACCAGCGAATGTGAGTTTACTGGCCAGTTGGATCTGTTTACACTAATAGTGGTTATGCCGGCTGCTACTAGGTGGAAGCAATTTGGTATTTTCTTTTCATTTTCAAGTTTTTTTTTGTTTTTTTTTTATACATCTACATCAACAATTCTTTTCTGCTTGTAAAATCAGAATGTTCTGCAAGACTTATAAACAGCCAAAACTGGATTTACATCTGAAAATACACTGAAATAACCCTTGTTGGAAATGAATTCTTCAGACTAAAATAGCAGAGATGATGAAATTGTTGCTCCGTTCAGCTATTTTTGACTAAAACTTGCTGCTACCTAATTCATTTTTCCCAATTGCCATTTTATTGAGTATAAATATAGGGTCCAACATCAAGACTATGAGCTTGTTTAAGCAGGGTCCTAATCTACCTCTTGTTCCGCTATCATATTGGAACTGTCTCATTTATTGTTAAATCTCCCCCCATTCAGAATATTGTAATGTGCTGCGGAATAAGTTGGCGCTATATAAATACCAATAATAATAACCAAGTTACTTTATGCGATAGTTCACCTTAAAGGGAATTTGTTGGGAATTCGAAAATCTTGACTATGATTTCCTAATTGGAAAAATTATATATTCCATTGTATTTTGGCCTAAGACCTGAAATCCCTATAAATTCATGCTGGGAAGGACCCATTGGACCTGAAAGCTCAAATGCTTTGAGGTCCAACGGGTCATTCGCAGCATGAATTGCCAAATGCTTATAAAATGTGAACCAATATTTGGTATTTACTTAATAAAGAAACCTCTTGAGTTTGCATGCTGGGTAAATATGCACTTGCCAAATGCACACAAGTTCAGTGACGTAGTGGTCCAGAATGGTAAAACGGTAGAATTTCTGCATAGGGCTGAAACAATAAGAAATACCTACCAGAATTTGCAGAGAGTGCCATCAATTTTTATCCTACTTGATTTTTGATATTGGTGTGACGAATACGGAAATATACCAGATTCTAATAAGAGATGTGGTTGATTCCATAAGTTTATGCTAAAGCACATTGGGACTTATTATTTTATTACTACTAATTAAATAGCATAATTTTTTTTTTAAATATATATTTTTTTCCGATAAACCCATAGCTCAGATAGAATCGATAAGATGCATATTAATGTGCAGTTTTGAAGATGTCCTTTAAAAAAAGTTTGTTGGCAAAGTTTTATGAGAGTTGTAGTCCTAGAAGAGCTGGTAGGCGTAAATTCTGGCAACCGATGTCTTATTGCAAATGATTAATACAGCATTCCAGCTGTTTGCTCACAGGCAAAGGCTTTTTTGCATTACTAGCCTCTGACAGTTGCTTAAATATTAACAAATCAGATGTTCTAATCAGCTTTGCAAAATGAGTTAAAGACCCAGAGCGTTATTAATTCAAACCGCCTGTGACGTAACAGGATGCTGTGGTGCAGAACTACAGCCTTGTGCTTGACTTTCCATAGATAAAACTTAGCGGCTGCCATCAAGTGATCTGTAGTGCTTGTCATTATTGTAACTGACTTTCAGGGTTTTGGGGGATGGAGGGCATGTCAAAACACTTTGTTAGCTGGGTAAGGATTATAGCTGTATCCTGTTACTGGTCACTTCAAAGAATTATATTTTAAGTTAACTTGTTTTATTTGCAGGGGCACAAAATACTCCCTTGCGTTTGAAATACTTTGTAGTCTATATCAGTGTGTGTTTTCAGATAGTAAGTACCACAGTGGTTTGAAATACTGAATACAATTTTATATGCAGTTGTGTGCAAAAGGACTTTTAGGTTTCTAAGAAAAATATGTTTTATATATTGTATATGTATATTAAAACAAATCATCCCATTGTACAGCGCTACAGAATCTGATGGCGCTATATAAAAAATTAATAAGAATTAAAAAAAACTAAACATGAAAGTAAAAAGGTAAACCCATAGATGCCTTAATACAATGAAATATACCAAAAACATATTGAGGGGGATTCTGTAAACAGTGAATTGATCTGAAATGTAAACAGTGAATTGCAAAATTTAAGCCAAGGTAGCGGCACTATACATTGTACAATTAAGCTGCTTGTCCAACTTTGTCCTTGTGTTCTCTCTAAATTTCTCAGGTTGTTTTTCAGTTTAGTGAATAAACAGCCTTATGTTCTGTCTCCTTTAGAATGTTGCGCATGTGCAGTCAGATAATTGGGCCTCTAACAGTCAATTGTGTTGAACTGAAAAGCAAACTGTGATATACTGAGAGCAATAGTTAAAGGATTACTTTAACCCACTAGAGCTGGGGGACAGTTTGGTCACTATCAACATCGTCATCCTGCTTCTGTCGCTCTCAAACCTGTAAAAAAAAAAGTTTATTTCCCTGGAATCCAGCGCCGGAGAAGCCCACGATTGAACTAGTTGTGGGCTCAGAACACGTAGGGAGGCAGGTTTTTAAAAAAACAAAACACAAAACGGAACAAAGTTCTGGGCTGCCAATGTAACATGTGCTCAGGATGCAACTTGTCTCAGCACACAAATGGTAATTACTCTGGAATAATTACTCAAATAGAAACACCGCACATAGAGACTCTTACCACCATGAGTTCTTAAAAAAGCAGAAGTGGTCATGGTGGTTGGAGTAATCCTTTAAAGATCTTCTTGTGCTTCTTGTATTGAATTGTTCATCCACATGTTATGTCCATGGGATAAATCTCATATACGTAACACCTTCTCCTACAAAAAAGTAACTACACAAATGAATCTACTTCTGTAGAAGAAATACAAAATTCTCAATAGTTGCAGTTATCGAATTTCTGTTAAGATGATGCACTCTGCATGCAATTCTTCAATCTGTTTCTTGAATTTGTGATACATATATGGTGTGAGTTTTTACCACCAAATATTACATAATCCTTCTTGCTTAAACAGCTTTACATATTGTATTGCCATCATTTTGTGTCTATCTTTTTGTGGTAAAAACCAGAAGAAGATTATGTAACCCCCTCCCACCCCCACACACTTTATTTGATTTATTAATGCACTATTTATATTGTTACTAATGTTAGGTGGCTGGCTTTAGGAGAACAAATTGTGAAAAATGGTCGTTGATGCCTTTCGCAAACAAAATAAAATATGACAATGTAGATGCATATTACGTGTTTCTAACTGTTGTAAGTGTTCTTTGCCATTCAGGGGGGGTATTTGTATATTCGGGGGGCCCATGGCCAAATTTCTGTATCAGTCCGGCTTTGCCTTTATCCAATATGCGTAGAGGAGTCAATAGTGTGAACTTGTGGGCGTCTGGTTGCCCAACCAGTTATTTTCCCCATGTCTTGTACTGTTGGCATATGTGGGGCTAATGAGGGGTTTAAAACGTCACTTGATTATCTCAAATTTTCCTCACTTATAAACAGCAGGTTAAAGAGTAACATACCCCTACACCCAGTGTACAGTTTGAAGTTAGTTAGGGATAGGGCGGCATTTGACCTCTTTCCGCCCTACTGTGCCCGCAATAGTCCTTTTCCATCAGTTATGCCAAATCGGTGTCCGGGTTGGAACCTCCAGCAGGACTTGTGCTGATGCTTTATATTTTGGAGGAATGCGTAATCCCCGTGTGAACCTCTAGATATGTGTTTCTTCTGTGAACTTGTCTTTAAATGAAATATATTGCGATAACGTAAAGTGACACTGACACCCCTCCCCCTCAACACCCCTGCAACACTCATATTGACTGTGTTGGGATCCAACCCCGTCAAAAGACATAAACCGAGACAAATTAGGGTCTAAAGATTTTCTATGCCGATGCCCCAGTATTAACAATGTATCAGGAAGATGTAACTTTCTAAATGATCTATTTATACTTAATTATTCACTTACTTTGAAGACTCCAACACCTGGTCAAATCCCCAGTGCTGGTGTTTCAATTCCTGAAATCAGTAAAATAGAAGAAATAAAGTATGTACGCCGCATCATTAATGCAGCAGGTGGATGCATTAAGACATAAAGAAAAGCATTCCTAGCTGTGCCTGTTTAAAAAGAATAGTACAGACGGGTCATAAATCCACCAGAGTACAATGTAAAGATAAACTTTCCAAGAGAAAAGACAGTCACTCAGATGGCCGCTAGAGCTGCTTGCTTGGTCAGTGCTGCACAATGTTCAGCGTCTCCAGGCTTTGCATGAAGGTTCTGAACTTTCCCCATAAAGTATTGAGTCAATGCATCTTTATAAAGAGATGCTGATTGGCGCAGCTCGGCATTTTTCTGCGCATGCGCGATAACCTCCCAGTGCTTTCCTATGGGAAAGCATTGTATTGGCTGTGATCTCAGCCAAGGGGGTGGAGCCAGCACTGGTGGACCCACACTGTGCTGGAAAAAGGTATGTTTTAAGGAGGGCTGCGCTTTAATCAAACAACTTTTTTTTTTTTTTTTTTTCTCTTTAAAAAACAACTTTCTCACCCTCGTTTTCACATTTAAATAATTTAAATGGACTTAAATGGATAACATCACTCCCATACTCTTGAATCCTAATTTTGAAAAGTGATTTTAAAAATTGTCTCTGATTGGCCAATTACACTTTTGGCGCAATTTTCAAATTAACATAGCCCTATTTAAACAACCCCTGCCAGGTTACTACTTTTATCCCATTCTGAAGAAGCCACTTATGGTGAAACGCGTTTATGGTTATTAATTCTGTATTTTACTGTGTATTTTAGATCAATAAAAGTTTTTTGGCTACTTTATTGTACCAATCCTCTTTTTATTGTACTCTTTATGCACTTTAAACAACTTTTGTTTACCTATTCCTGGCATTTTAACCTTTCCTGGTTACTTTTACTTCCACTGGCAATTTTAAAGTTTCAGTACTCCAAGAAATCCTAGGTGGGGATCATACCACCAGCGCCTATCCATAGAGCAGTACCTCTGCTCTATCTTTGTGAGTATTATTTTATTTTCTCTACTACTCTCTTAACCTATCACAATTGAGAGCACTATTGCTGCTTTTTATTCTTCTATATTGGAGCCTTGGATCACCAGACGGTGCTGACGGACGTATCGCCGCTACATATCCTATAAGCGGGGATTATACCGCTGTACGCTATCCACACCAGAGCTGGCCATAGCTCCCTCAAATGTGAGTTTTTTACCTCTTCTTATCTGCACATTGAACCACATCAAAATTGAGAGCACTATTGTTGCTTTCTGTCTTTCTTTTCCGAGTTCTGGACTACCAGACGGTGTTGACGGAGACCCCCTCCCTACATATCCCATAAGCGGGGATTATACCGCTGTACGCAATCCACACCAGAGCTGGCCATAGCTCTCTTGAATGTGAGTTCTTTACTTTTTGTTACCTATCACACCCTGATCTTTCATACTATACCATTAGTCGCCTCTACCTCTCTTGTATTTACATATACGGAACGGTCTACACTAGACGCATCCACAGAGGAACTCTATCAAGTATCCTAGACCATCTATTGGCACCCTAGCAATACTTTACTGGACTATCTACCCTTATTTGGCGCAGCCCTTCCATATCTTTTTGTATCTATCCACCGAAGGACCCGAGGGGTTTTCCTTCATTTGGGTTGCTGCCTACCTTGACTAATTTTGTGATTACTAGCGCTGAATTCTTTTTGTGTTTATGTTTTAAGGAGGGCCCAAGCACCTTACTTTTTTTTTATTCATTTTTTTATTTTTTAACACTAGACGTCAGTAATACATGTTCTTGACCCTATGATGTGCTTTAAAAAAATCTTTGCATTGGCTAGAAGTGAGGATGGATAAAAATCCTAAAATCCTAGAGTGATCCTGAACAAGTTTCAAATCTATATAGATACTTTTATCAACATGGATAAAACATGGATAAACAGCGATTTCCCACTATTAACATGACAGTAGTGTGGTCAAAATAATAACATAGTGTTTTTTTTCAACAGTCTTTAAAGTAAGCACAACATTTTTCTTTACTGTCTCTCTCACTATTTTAAGGTTTCCTCTGGCCGTCCCTTCAAGCTTACTAGAAAACGTATGCTTACATAAACACGATTACTTTGATCCAGACGTGGGAAGTATTTGCACAAGGTGCTGAATCCAGCATTGGCACACCACACCTACATTTATTCTGGTAGACAAGGAAGGTGCACAGTGTGGGGACATGGCAGGACTTTTCCCACGCTATTTGCTTGAGCGATCTAAATTAACCCCTCCATCCCCTGAACAGAACCATGTGACTGGAACATTCTAAAATGAATGTATTAATAGGTTACATATTCTGGTAACATTTCCTAAAATATGAATGAATCTTAAAGTGGCATAAACAGTAAAACCTATTGTAAAGGTTATGGTGCTAGCAGGCTGTGAACGGAGTCCATTTGGTTTTGTCAAACAGTTTTTTCCCCCCTTTTTCCAAGCAGTATGATGAAAACCAGAGTATGTTCCAGCACCACTGGAAGGGTTAATGGCGGTTTGGCAGTCCTAAAAGACATGCAGCTATTCAGAACTTCATAAGTGTCATATGATGTTCCAATCTAAGGGGTTGGGCTTCGGGTGCTGGAAAAAAAAATCCTCCAGTTTTTGTAAAACCACTTAAGAACTATTTGGAAAAAAACAAAAGGGACAGCCCCTGCAAAGTAACCAGTCCTTAAATGACCACTATAGGCACCCAGACCACTTTAGCTTAATGAAGTGGTCTGGGTACCAGGTCCATCTAGGGTTAACCCTTTTTGCTGTAAGCATAGCAGTTTCACAGAAACTGCTATGTTTACCTATGGGTTAATCCAGCCTCTAGTGGCTGTCTCATTGACAGCCGCTAGAGGCGCTTCCGCGCTTCTCACTGTGATTTTCACAGTGAGAAGATGCCAGCGTCCATAGGAAAGCATTGAGAATGCTTTCCTATGGACTGGCTGAATGCGCGCGCGGCTCTCGCCACGCATGTGCATTCAGCCGATGACGGAAGAAGAGGGAGGAGAGTCCCAGCGCCGAGGGAGCCCGGCGCTGGAGAAAGGTAAGGAATAAACCCCCTTCCTCCCCCTTCAGCGCAGCGGGAGTGGGACCCTGAGGGTGGGAGAACCCTCAGGGCACTCTAGTGCCAGGAAAACGAGTTTGATTTCCTGGCACTATAGTGGTCCTTTAACCGTAGTAGTCATAGTGCCTAGAGCATTTCTATAAATGGTTACTCCAAGCACCATGACTGCTCCACTGTTTTCAGTATGAAATATTTTCTAACTCCACCTTCAGCGACTTTCATTAACCAGCAAGACTTCTAGGCTGGCTAATGTAAATTCTTTTAGGAGGCTCATTCACTTGTGAGAGTGCTCTGTTCCAGTTTGGATAGTTTTGCTTGAATTTTGTTAATTTATTTTGAATTCCTGACATTTCACTCTTGTGTGAATACCATGTTCATTTGCTTGCCAGTTGGCCAGAGCGCTCAGTTTAAAAAAAAAAAAAGTGTAAAGCTTTATATCATTCTATTTGCTCTGACCAATAACTTTTAAGGCAGGTGATTACATTTATGTTCTGATTATTTAAAATCGGAGCAAATCATGATTTCATTCCTTTTTATTTCTAATTTCTGTGTAATTTACATTTTGAGCACCTTTTTAATTTCTCCTCCAACCTGTGGTCATGAATTCAGTGAATGAATGCAGTGAGTCAGAAAGCATGCTCTGAGCACATATTCTGACGTTTTCATGCATTTCCCCGACTCACAAGTAAAGAAAGAGGCGAGATAAACTCAATAAACGGGCATTAGTAGGACTGATCTTAGCTGATGCTTGTTCGGGTCTGATTAAGACATCCATTCATTCTTAGTCCCAAGTCTCTTGTAATACAACATCTCCAGTTACATCATTTGTAACGGAGCCCCTTGAATTCATCATTTGGAGCTAAATCTTCAGTACAGTGTGGAAATGTTTGTGTAGTGGGTGGAAGTTTAACCCCTTAAGGACCAAACTTCTGGCATAAAAGGGAATCATGACATGTCACACATGTCATGTGTCCTCAAGGGGTTAAAGGAACCCTGTAGTGTTAGGAATACAAAGCTGTATTCCTAACACTACAGTGTCCCTCTGCCTCCTCCCCCACCGTGGTAATTAAGGGCATTTACCCGATTCCAGCACCAAGGTCCATTGACCTTGGTTCTGTCTCCACTGACGTCATCACAATGAGGTGTCTTTGTCACTTAGCAACATCCGTTCAATAGAGTTACATTCAGAAACTCTGTATAGTATTCTGGATATGATTTACATTTACATTTCTAGACTCGATTAATTTGAACCCTTTGCTTTTTATAGGAAAATAGAAGACGTGTGTAATAGATCTCTACAGATCAGGCCAAAGAATCATTTACTTTCTCACAACGTCACTGTGTATATAGTTTAGGTTTAGTTTAGAGGGTTTCTAAAAATATGAACTAAATTTTAACTAAAAAGATACTTGTGTTTGATGCAGAAACACAGGCTTTGCAGAATCCGTAGTTAACTCTACAGATAATTGAGTTATGACTCAATTTTCATTTTCTCTATAGCACTGCTGAGATTATTCCACAACGAATGCTATTCAGTGAAGTGAGAATTCAAGACGGATTCAAATTGAATTTCAAAGGCCAAACTTTTTATGTCCAAACGAGCTGAATGGAAAACTTGGATAATTTTTCCATTTTGGCTATTGTAACCTTTTAAATTTGAAATTCACTTAGAATTTTTTCTCTTTGGTTAATAACCCTGTATATGGTCACATAATGGCTTATTGTGGGTCATATTCAACTGCCCGCTTTCTAATGTACAAAAATAACAGGTGAATCACAGTTACAAGACAAAAAAAACTAGTAGTAATTTTAGAAAACTCTGCAGACTGGAATGTGTGTGCATGTATGATTTTATTTGGGGCACTTAGGGAGAAGCAATTTCATGTTTTGTCATTCAGAATGCATTCCACAGAGGGAATGAATTGCATTGCTAAGCCTGTGAAAGGAGAATCATTTGACCAGTCATCAAACCACATGACAACCAGCTGAGGAGAATTAGATGGACTTTGTAGCAAGAAAGAATTACTTCTGTGCATTTTCATTTTCTGCGATTTCCTGCAAACTCCTAAATCAGATGCTTTATTTGTGATGTATCATTTGCACATCTCCTACTAGGAACAGAGAAGATCCCATTTCTGCAAAGGACATGTCCTGTGAATACTGACTTGCCTACGGTTTTATGTACTGAAGCCAAGGACCCCAGGAACAGTATCCTCCTTTGTGTACCCAGGTACGATTTGCTTATCCCGGTTAGACTAACATTTGTGTGTAGATTGCTTTATGCTTATGTGGACATTTTCTCCTGTTTGTTCTCTAAACACCGAATTGTACCGCATTGAAAATCAAATGTAAAAATTCAGGTTAAAGTGGCCGAGGTGGGACTAGAAGTAGGAATTTTCTAAGTCGGCTATTTTGCCCAAAATTATGCAATTTGGTTTTCAAATATATATTTACATCTGAAATTAGAAGAATAAACGGACTGAAAAATAGCATTCATTTGAAAATACGTTTCTATTAATTAGGACTACCAGATGTGAATGTTTTTGCAAAGTCATACATTATACCTTTTAATACTTGTCATTTTACTTTGTAATTATGAGCTTTATAATATAAATAGTATTTTTACTATGATTCAGTATATTAGGTGCCAACTTAAACTTAAAACTTAACTTAAAATCTGGGTTTTTGGGGGGTTTTTTTTGTGGGACATTAGAATCTATAGGGGAAAAAGTGGCTTTTCTTTACAGTAGTTTATTCACAATGTGTGAATTGCTGGGAATGCAAAGTAAAGTTAAAGTGTTAGTCTAGACTAGCCAAGTTGAGGGTAAAAAAACTTAACTATATTTTCTAGCCATTCCTACCCATGATCTAGATTCTTCGAAATTTAAAACACCAGATGCAGCGTGGGCGTCCGATGAGACCCAGATAAGAATCGAACTGTACTAATATGTTCCATTATACTGGGACAGTGTCTAGCACAATAACCACTACATCAGTCTGAAGTGGATATGGTGCTTGTCATGTTCCCTTTAAGGGAACATGTCTAAGGGCCAGAACAACCCATGCTCTTTGGAGCACCCCTCTCGATTCCCTCTTTTGCTTATAATTGACAGTTGTCAAAACTCCCTGTAGCTTTCAGGTGTCCACTCACCCAAATACATCACCGAGAGAAACTGTGCCCATACCCATACAAGTCTTTATCTCATCGGATAGGCTTTCTCTTAGTATGTTTGACAGATGCTGTTCTGCCGTTTTGCGTCCACGTGACCTGAACTTTAGCTTAATTTATGAAAAAAACATCAGTGGGGTAGTGTATGCGAAGGCTTGCCCAGAGCACCTGCCTTATAAAGACTTCTCATAGAGCTGCATAGGGAGTCTGTGATTGGACAGCCACAGACTGTCTAGGCGGAGATAAAGGGGTGGGCTTGCAAAGGCTGCGGACAAGAGAACTATTCTTGGATATAATCCAATGTAAAAATGCATAATTGAATGCATGCATGTTTTCATTTGAGGCTTTTCTTTTTTTTTGTATTTGGGCAGTAGAGTGTCCCTCTAATAAGGAATTATTTTCTGGCATGACTGGGTGTGGATTATTAGGCAGGCAGGTTAATGGTGCAGCATTCTGCAAAACATTTACAGCATGCAAACAAATACAGCATAATAATGAGGCCATAACATATCCAATAAATTAGTGATGTTGGTGCTCTATTGTCTCTTAAAAATAAATACACAATAAAAAACAAGGTAAATTTGACTTTTAAAGTTAATAATGCTACTGAGAAGTGTCAGTAGCAGACAGACCCATCCCTGATCAGAACGATGCTCCTCAATTAGTAGCCTCTTATTCTGGTCCATAGGCAGTGGTGGGATTCACCGCTGCTTCTCACCAGTTCGTGTGAACCTATTACTAAAATGTAACAAGTTTGCCGAACCAGTGATTAACCTAGCCGACAGAGGACCGAGGGCCAACAACAGGAGGGGGCCCGGCGGCTTGCCCTGTATGCGGCCGGTTGCAGGGCCCCTCCGTGTGGTCTGCAGAGCTGCAGACCATGGAGCAGAGATCTCACTATCCGGTGGAGCTGCAGACAGGGAGGCTCTGGCGGACTGTCTACCTACCCCACTGGATCACCAGGGAGGAGGAGAAGACCACTGGACCACCAGGGAGGTGGAGACCACTGGTCCACCAGGGAATGGATAACACATTAAAAAAAAAAAAAAAAGGTATTTAACTAAGCCACAGCCTCCCCACATGATACCCCCCCACCATTCCCTCACACTACCTGCTTCCAGCTGTGTCACCATATCCCCCATTGTCACCACTTCCAACACAGTCACCATCCCCCCATTGTCACCACCATCACATAAATGTTTTATTTTTTATTTTTTTTCACGGGTTCTGTGAATATATCTAACTTCCAACTGATATAAATATTACCTGTTGCTAGAATTAACAACCTGGGCATAGTATGCCTATACACGAATACATCACAATATACTCTGCTCAAGTGTTTGCCACTGTCACCATTCCCTCCCTGTCACCATCCCCCATTGTCCACACCTCAAACACAGTCACCACCCCCCCAGTCACCACCCCCCATTGTCCACACCTCAAACACAGTCACCATCCCCCCCCATTGTCACCACCACCACCACTGTCAGCACTTCCCCCTCACTGTCACCACTTCCCACACTTTCACCACCTCCCACAAACACTGTCACCATCCGCCCTACTATCACCCACACACTGGCCCCCTGCCACACTATCACCATTTACTCACTGTCACCCTCGCACACACACTGTCACCATCCCCTCACATTATAACTCCCCACACTGTCACCATACCTTCACACTGCCACCATTCACACACACTACCATCCCCTCATGCTACCATCACCCTCACTGTCATCCCTCCCACTGTCACCACCTCCCACACTGTCACCATCACCCCACACTCACCACCTTTCATATTGTCACCATTCACATACTGTCGCCCTCCCACACATACTGTCACCATCCAACAAACCCTATCACCCACACAAATTATCTATTCAACACACTGTCCCCCTCATGCTGTCACATTCCCCACACACTCTGTCGCCATCACTGGAGGCAGAGAGATGGCACGGGGAGGCTGGTGACAGAGATGGCACGGGGAGGCTGGTGACAGAGATGGCACGGGGAGGCTGGTGACAGAGATGGCACAGGGGGGCTGGTGACAGAGATGGCACAGGGGGGCTGGTGACAGAGATGGCACAGGGGGGCTGGTGACAGAGATGGCACAGGGGGGCTGGTGGCAGAGATGGCACAGGGGGCTGGTGGCAGAGAGATGGCACAGGGAGGCAAAGGGCAGAGAGATGGCACAGGGAGGCAAATGGCACAGGGAGGCAAAGGGCAGAGAGATGGCACAGGGAGGCAAATGGCACAGAGTGGCTGAGGGCAGAGCAATGGCACAGATGCTGGTGGCAGACAAATGGCACAGAGAGATGGCACAGAGTGGCCCGGAGCAGAGAGTTGGTACTGGCAGATTGTTTTGAGGCACATGGCACTAGCAGACATTTTGGAGCCACACGTGGCTCATTGGCATGATATACAGAGTTTAAGAATTTACTGCTCTTTGGCATGATATTCAGGATGTGTGCATTTACTACTCATTGGCATGATATACCAAGTTAATGTATTTATTGCTTCATTGGCATGATAAAACTAGTTTATGCATTTGCTGCTCATGGGCATGATATATAAGGTTTATGCATTTATTGCTGGTGGCAGAGAGATGGCACAAAGAGGCTAAGGGCAGAGAGATTGCTCAGAGTGGCAGAGCAATGGCACAGAGATGATGGTGCCAGAAAAATTACACATGTCAGGGGTCGTATTAATCGGTATAATGTTCAATTCCTCCTCTTATACTGTTCGTATGCAGACACAGTTATCTGCAGCTAAGGGGCTAAACTGTTTAGTAGTTAATTATTGTATGGGAAGTAGACAAGCACTTGAGCAGAGTATATTGTGATGTATTCGTGTATAGGCATACTATGCCCAGGTTGTTAATTCTAGCAACAGGTAATATTTATATCAGTTGGTAGTTAGATATATTCACAGAACCCGTGAAAAAAAAAAAATATATTATTCAGTGTATGCTTCAATGTTCGCAAAACCTGGTTGTGAAAATATCTTTTTTTTTTTTCATAACGCGTATTATTCTCTAAATATCTGCATGTTGCAATACTCTGGATGGTTGCCTTACTAGTGTTTTTGATTTGTTTGTCTTTTTGTGAATCAGGTTTTTGCAGGCAATTTTTTTTTGTAAAAATATTTATATTTGTGTGTGTGTATATATATTCCATAATGCACAAATGCGCTCTGAGCTCGTGAGAACAGTCTAATAAAATGTTTCTCTATGACAAGCATTTGATTGGACGACAGAGAAGGAAGCAGTGACGTCATACAGTACTGTGAAAACCAGCAAGTGGCTTAGTAATTACAAATGCCCAATAGAACATTGTGTAAAAAAAAAATAAAAGTTTCTTTGCAATGATCTGGAGTAATCCTTTAACGTGGGTCAGTTTTTATACTTGTTTGCTGTTCTCCTCCAGTCAATATTATAGCATTTACTGGGTGAATAATGAGAGACTGTCACTGTTAGAGAAATGACAGTTCTCTTTAATTACACATCTGAATGAAAAACCTTAATAGTTTTAAATTGTATGCTATTGTGCTTTTATTTAAAGCATGACCCTTGGTCTCTACTGATTTGCAACCTGCCTGTGAAAACTAAATTGAATTCATAATAATTCTCCCTATGATAAATATCCGTTTGGTCTATTGCAAGCGCAAGGAAAAACATCCATAGTCTGCTTTTTGTTTTGTTACTGTTTTGCGTATTTCTGTATTTTTCCACATGAATCTTCCAGTCTTCAGTCCCTGACGTCTGAGTTTCCAGATCACAGGATCGTGCTGTGGAAAAGGGCTAGCAGAGGGCTGTAATGTGGGAAGCACAGTGTGACCTAATGTGGGATCTAGACTCCTACACATGGACTGTTCTATTATGCCTGGATCATTACCCAGTTGAAGCAAGGCTTTTTCTTTGGTGTATAACTCGTTAAATAGCGGGATGGAAACTAATGACTGATCTTTGGCAGCAAAACATATATACAAACATGTTTCAAAGAAAACCTTATTCAGCCTCTGTCTGTTTGTTACACACTGGTTTTAAATTAAACTTCTTTCTAATTTGTTATTGAAATATAGGAATGGGACTACTTATGCAACTTTACGATTAGGAATTCTTGTAGACCGATTTCATCCAGAGTCTTCGTTTGGCTGTGTGAAGCTGCCCCCCGCCCCTTTAATTGGAACAAATAAAACATCCACTGTGTTAGTGCTACATTTGTGTTTTGTGCTGTAAAAATAAAAATTTCTGTTGCTTTTATTATGATAATAGCAATCGTATTTTACAATATTACCGATTTTAAAATAAACGTCACAGTCCCCCTACAACAGCCAAAACACATAAAACTGGGCTAGTTGGTTAGTGCTGTGTTTGTGCCGTTAACATTTTTCTTTGTACTGCTTGTTTTTTTTTTTTTTTTATTCTTTACTTTTACTGTGCATATAAGTACAATGAAGCTTGCAGTACCACAACAGTAAGTGCAAGCATCACAAATTCAAAGGAAAACATTGGCCTGGTATTCAAAGAAACTGCACAATTTTATGAAAGTAAAATTGTTAGTCAAACAACGTTTTCTAATAAGGCTAGTATGTCAATTATATTGAGTTGCTCTAGAATTATCTAGATGCCTACATATGAGTAATGTAGATTATAAGACAAGAATGCAAGATAGTAATTATGTTAGTGGAGGGAACAGTAGAGTTAGGCTAGACTGGAGTGAATAAGTTAGTCAAGTTAAAGGGATCCCATGGTGCCAGGAATATAAAGCCGTTATATAGGGTTATTAGGCCTCCCTCCCACAGGCTTCAGCCACTTACCTAAATCCAGCGCCGATGTCACTCGGCGCTGGATCAAGCTCCGTCCACACAATGGCTGCGCGCTCTTTAGACCTCCCCATAAGAAAGGACATCCAGCGTCAGTCTGTTTAGATTCTCTGGAACTGCAATGTTTTACATTGCAGCACTAAGTGCAAATGGGTCACAGCACCCTGACTACTTCAATTAGCTGAAGTGGTCTGGGTGCCTGGAGTGTCCCTTTAAACCATCTGACAATGGGATTAACAGTAACAATACACCCAAGAGGCCCCCTTTCAGGTATTAATCTCCTGGCTGGGACATATGTAACAATCTCAGAACCAGAAAATTAGCTTTGGCAAATAAAATTAAAGAAAAGTAGGAAATAAAAGTTAAAGATAGGAGGAATGAGAATCTGGCAGTAAGAGTCAAAGATTCCGGTTACCCAATTCCCTAGTTCTGCTTCGGTGTAGCAGCTGCCAGGCCTGGTCGCCCTGATGTGGACCTATGGAACATCAGGCTGAAGTGTGGAGATGGGCTATGTGCTAGCTTCGGACAACCGCAAGACACTGCAGGCAGTTGTGAAGGAGCAGGATAGGACCGCTTGTGTCGGATCAATGGTATGTTGCGTCTGTACCCTGCATTCTTAAAGTGACCTGGGCGTCTCTGCTGTTGTCTGGTCCGTCTTGGGCCCCGAGCTGCCCTCATTCGCCGATAGCTCAGCGGGTGCGGTCGAGTTACTAGAACCAGTAGCCTATGTGACTCACGTCTGCATGGGCGGTCGGCGATCTTCATCCAGAAGGTTTCGTTGGCTCTGTAGCGGTACTTACCTTACATGGGGGCCGGCCGAGGTCCTCACTTCCCGCCGCGCGCAGCTCCCAAATGAAGGCGGGCACGGACCGCGAGATGCGGTCACGTGTTCCGCCTAGCTCTTAAAGGGGCAGTGGGAGCCAAAAAATGAAATGTGCTCCCATTGGCCCCTGTCATCCCACATTCCCCAGACACTCACATTTTGGTGGCGTGGATATGACAGGGGCCAATCAAAGTAAAGTTTAGGGTATTTATACTTACCTCTCCCTTAACTCCCTGCCCTATCGTGGTTTCTGTTTCAGTTCCCTTTAGCGCTTTTTGTGTTCAGTTGTGATTTTCGTGCTTGACCTTGGCTTTGTATCTGACTCCGTTTATCTCTCTATCCCTGTTTTGTCTTGTTTGCCGGCTTACTGTCTACTGTGTACCAGACCTTGGCTAGTTTTTGTTCTCGCTGTCTCTTTGTTCCCTTGACCTCGGCTTGTTCTTGACTCTGTCTATTCTCTGCTATACGGCGAGTCCGGCCATTCTAAGGTCCGGTAAGTCGTATCTGCTCTATCTGTCGATTGTTGAACTAAATCCTGCGTGTAGGGGTAAACTACAGTGACAGGCTCCATGAGTGTTTGGTGGTACTTTACGTAGTTTGCGCTTCAAGGCCCCCTGCTGCAGTCTTAGCCACCTTTGAGGCCTCGGTCGTGTAGTGGTGGGTGCTGGTCGGCTGTCATGATGCCGGGCTGCTTGCTGACGGTATATATGTGGCTTCTGCCCAGAGAGGTTAGTAATGTGTAGTGGGGCAGTCGGATGTAGCCTGTGCCCCAGCTTCCTCCAGAACATCTTAAAGTGTTTGTTCAATTTTGTCAGGATGTCATGTGCAGCGTCGGCGAGACCCTCTACACTTGCAGTGTTCGCCATCTTTAGTGAAACTCTGTGTGTGTTCTTTGCCCATGTGGCGACATCTAACGCTTCAGCATGCTTGGGGTAGCCTCCTCTAACCCTTTAAGGACACAACTTCAGAAATAAAAGGGAATCATGACAGAATGTTTGTCATGTGTCCATAAGGGGTTAAAGGCCAACATGTGTATTTTACAATGTAAGTACCGGTAAATGGAAAAAAATAGTTAGCAAGGAGGGCACACTATAAACACAATGGAAGCAAACCCAAGCTACTACAGGGATGCTGACACAATGGCTCTATGCTATTGTATACTTTTATTCTCTTCATTCATTTAGATATGCAGAAAAAAATGGTGTAAAATAAAAAAAAAGCATTTTTATCAATGACTCTCAGTGATGATTGATTTTCTAGCTTTGAGTATATTTTTAAGAACTAATACTATAATGATTTCAAGTTTACTTAGATTGTAGTCTAGAGAAAGAAAAGGACAGCCCATAACAAGAAACCAAATTTTATTAGAATAATATACATTTTAATATACAAGTAGGCAAATCTATACCTCAACCAAGAATTCATAGATCCCAATGCTACTAATGAAAGTACAAAAAACAAACACGCAGAGTAGAATAATAGAATAATCTATATCAGTACACAAATAGGCATAGATCCTAGATGTATCAGACTGAATGGAATAACAAACAATATGCTATACATGAATTGAAGTCCTAGTGTATATACAAAGAACACAAGATATGCCAAAAACAAATTTTGGGAATAAAAGTAATCAAAATTAATATGCATAATGAATGAAGTTTCAAAGAGCTACCTGTAAAAATCTCCATGTCTCAAATGGACTCAATGTTCAAAAAGGCAGGCTGACCTTTAGATCCTGTATTATTTATTTATTTATTATTTATAAAATATTTTACCAGGAAAGATACATTGAGATTTCTCTCGTTTTTTAAGTATGTCCTGGCGTTCTGGAACACAAATGCGTTCCAACATAAGGCTCATAAGTCCGAGCACTAAAACTGATGTGACATCCGGCGTTACAGACCATCAGTCAGTGTACACGTGCTCTGTTGACATGCTGTTCCCTTGACAAAGGCAGTTTTGCCAAAACGTTGGTATTTCTTTATTTCCTTTTGCTTTGGTGTCCCTTATCTCTCTCACACCATCATCTTGTATTCTTGTATTTTCCGTGTTCTTTGTGGTATGTATTTAGACTGCATTTTGTTGTCTGAATATTTATATTTATTATTTTATGTCTATATATATTTTTTTTTTTTATGTAGAATTTGGCCTTATCTTATTTTTTTGGTCTTTTTTTCTGCATATCTTGTGTTCTTTGTATATATACTAGGACTTTGATTCATGTATCGCATATTGTCCTTGTTATTCCATTAAGTCTGATACATAGTGGATGTATAGATTTGCTTATTTGTGCATTGATATAGAATATTCTAATAAAATGTGGTTTCTTGGTACAGGATGTGCTCATCCTTTCTTTACAATGTAAGTAAACTTAAAATCATTATAGTATACGTTCTTAAACATGTAGTCAAAGCGAGAAAATTGATCATCACGGATAGTCCTTGATAAAATGGATCTTTTTTTTAATTGACACATTAATATTTGTTTGTAAAATATATTCCTGTTTTGTAAGTGGTTTTATGAGTTCTACAGAGAGGTGCTTTTGCTTCTGTAAAATGACTGAGTGGAACAGTATAATATATTTTTTTTACCATATTACATGTTTTTTATTGTGTCACTGGCAACTTTAGCAATGAAAGTATGTAAAGATGATCACAAATGGCATCATATCATTGAGCATTAACAAATCTGTAATTTTTTAATTGACACTTATTTCATTTTTCATGTTTCAAAGTAAAAAAAATAAACTATTTAGATTCCAATTTAAGTGCTTATTTTAAAGCATATTTTGTCCCCTTCTAAGGACTACTAAATGTGTAGCATTTAATTTGGGGCGAAATCGATGTCAAAGATTTTAACGGCACAAATGCTTGCTGCACTAACAAAACGGTCCAGTTCCACGTGTTTTGACTGTTGTAGTCAAATTTGATCAAACCCTGCGCACTTTGCAATCCACATTATTAAATTAAAAAGCAAATATACCATTTATTTGGGTGACCTTTGACCTTAATTTAATCGGTAATGGCTCAAAAAACTATTTATATTATCTTAATAAAAGCAGCATAAATCTTAAATTGCATGATTTAAATAATTTGTTTTTATTTTAAACAGACTCATTGTTGCTGGCTGGTATAATTTTAACATTTTAAACCAGATGAAGATTCCATATATAGGATAATAATGTTTGAGATTAGTTAAACCGTAATATCAAAACTGATTTTGTTATGTACGATATAATACATAAATAAAGAAGAAATTATTGCAAAATGAATTATCTTCAGTTTATTAGGTTAGTCGCTCATATAGAAAAATAGAATGTGACGGCAGATAAGAACTATTCGGCCCATCTAGTCTGCCCAATTTTCTAAATACTTTCATTAGTCCCTGGCCTTATCTTATAGTTAGGATAGCCTTATGCCTATCACACGCATGCTTAAACTCCTTTACTGTGTTAACCTCTACCACTTCAGCTGGAAGGTTATTCCATGCATCCACTACCCTCTCAGTAAAGTAATACTTGGAGAACAACTTAAATTGAACTAAAACAATATTATACAGCATATATATTCTTATCAGAATCAGTGTTGACTGAAGTGGTTAAACTCCTTGAGGACCGATGACGATCCTTAACCGTCATAACGGTAATATTTACTTATACGATTGGCGTTGCTCCCGGTCTGGGGGGACTGCCTGACAGCCTGGGCAGTCCCCCTCAGTGAATTAGGCCCCGAATTAAAAATTGTTAATAAATAAAATATAATTGTGTGTGTGTGTGTGTGTGTATATATATATATATATATATATATATATATATATATATATATATATACACACAAAAAGATAAGTACTGCGCTCACTCCCATCACTCCTGGGTAGCAGCAACGACCACAGTACATCAACCGCAATACATTCAGTAAAAAACAAAAGAAAAAGTTACCTGCGCTCTCTCCTATGTATATTTAAACAAATGGAGGTAATTTAGTTACTCCAATGGCCATTGTGTATATGTATATAATATATGTCTATATATCTTATATATGTCATACTAAGTGTATTTTTATATTAATGTATACAGGTTTTGCACCCCTCCCTGTCACAGGTGCCTCATCCCAGGGCCCTATTTAGCCTTGTACTGCAGAGAGCCCCAGATGGAATTTTTTTCCCCAAGTAGGTTAATCTCATAAGAGCAGACATTAGGCTGTTAGTGTAGGACCTGCCAAAGATGGGGTACATTGACGTTGTGGCAGGCTTATACAATGTATGATCATATAATGTAACTAAACCCCCATTATTTTTGCCTGGATTAGGTGTTTTTAAAAAAACAAATAAAATCTTTCAACATTGAAGTTGCTGTTTAGTGGATAGGTGAGTGCGCTGGATCTTGTGTAATATATATATATATATATATATATATATATTGTGTGTGCATATAGGCAACCCATTAATTAATCTTAGGAGAGCATTGAATCAATGCTTTCCTATCGGATTTTAGCTGACCCTGGATGTCCTCATGCATAGGACGTCCAGCTCCAGACAACTAAAAGCCGCCTATCGACCCTTAATCGCCTCCAGTGGCTGTCTGGTAGACAGACAGCCACTAGAGGTGGAGTTAACCCTGCAAAGTAATTATTGCAGTTTATCACTAACTGCTATAATTACCATTGCAGGGTTAAACGTATAGGGACACTGCACCAAGACCACTTCAATGAGCTGAAGTGGTCTGGGTGCCTACAGTATCCTTTAATATAAAGTTGTGTTGAGGTTGCTGGTAACGGTTTCTTTAAGAACATTGAAGTGGGTTAAAGGTTATCTATGTTGTAGTAAGGCATGAAGCCTGTTAGTAACAAAGTTCTACAACAGTAACGCAGCTGGAGATCCTATTTGTGTCAGACTGACATGTTTTAGATATACTGACCAGATTTGAAACTGATGATCATGTGTCCCTATTACAAATGTGTAATTTGGTGTTTTTCTGAAATATGTTAACGCCTGAAAGCAATTCTGAGTGGGGGCTGGAGGATGAAAGCGTTTCACCCCCTCCTTCTCCATTAAGTGATGGAAAAAAGAACCACAATAATTGACAGAGTGAAAAAAAGTCTAATTATTAGCCCTGTGGGTAACTGAAGGGCATGACCCATCCAGTGGCATTTAAAAGTTTAATTACCCTGCATTAAAAACTGATGACCCCTCCAGCAAAGACGATCACCATTGATGTGTGATTACAAAAGGATACAATCAATTTATACAGCACATTATCTGACATTCTGCTGAGCAAAATTATATAAATAGTTTGAACCTACCACACCTCCATAACAGGTGTTGGTTTTAATTCGTTATTTTTATAAAAATTTGTCTTTGAAATTACTTCTCTTTTTCCATTATGGGTTTTTGTGTGTGTAATGTTTCAGAATTTTTTTTTTTTTTTTTTATAATTTATAGTAACTTAAAGGACCACTATAGTGCCAGGAAAACATACTTGTTTTTCTGGCACTATAGTGCCCTGAGGGTGCCCCCACCCTCAGGGTCCCCCTCCCGACAGGCTCTGGGGAGAGGAAGGGGTTAAACTTACCTCTTTCTCCAGCGCCGGGCGGGGAGCTCTATTCCTCCTATTCAGCTGAATGCGCATTTGCGGCAGGAGCCGCGCGTGCATTCAGCCAGTCCATAGGAAAGCATTCGCAATGCTTTCCTATGGACGCTGGCGTCTTCTCACTGTGTTTTTCACAGTGAGAAGCGCGGAAGCGCCTCTAGCGGCTGTCAATGAGACAGGCACTAGAGGCTGGGTTAACCCTAACATAAACATAGCAGTTTCTCTGAAACTGCTATGTTTATAGAAAAAAGGGTTAACCCTAGATGGACCAGGCACCCAGACCACTTCATTAAGCTGAAGTAGTCTGGATGCCTATAGTGGTCCTTTAAAGGAACACTTCTTTTGGATCCACAGGAGGCTGTGATCAGTGCCCAGCAGACAATGGGTGTTTGCAAACATTTTGGCTACTTACCATAGGAGGGAGCTGAGGCACTCCTGGCCCCATAATAATTGCAGTGGGTTGCCGTGGTTATGGTGCATTGAGCGTTCGATCTCTCCTTACAGAAATATGTAGGGAGTCTGTGTAAGTGACATAAAGGGAAGATGTAACTAATGCAGCAAAAACAAAGGGATTTTACTCCTCAATGGCAGGGAATTCAGCAGTGAGACTGCAGGTGCATGATCTATACACCAAAACCATTAAATAGAGCTAAGGTTGTTTTGCTGACTATAGTGTCCCTTTAAATGCATAAAAAAAAACCCAAAACAATGTATGCAAATATTTACGTTGATCTATTACTACGGTAACAGTTCCTGATGCACTGTGAAGTAAACAACGAAATAATTTAACCAGCTTTTCACATGTACATATTACTATGGTTACATGTCCTGATGCAACGTTGTGATCTAATTTCCTGTTATGTTACATGTATGTTTATTTATTTAAAAGGCACTGCAGGCTAGAATTGAACCATTCCTTTTTAAAACCTATTATATAGATAATGTATTTACAAAATATGCAAAAATAAGTAATAGAGATAAAGTTAACTTGTTTCACCCAGCACGGCGAGGGTTTAAGTGTAGACTGGATGCTAGCCTTCTTAGCAGAGTGTAGAAAAGTCACAGTTACTAGCTTACACTTGAGATAACTCACACCTATAAATCTGTCAAACTTCCTGTTTCTTCACACATTGTATCGAGGTGTTCCCACAGGTACATTTCAAAATGTTTTAGAACAACTTTCATGATGCTTTGCTATTTTCAAAAGAGGAATGGAGGAAGAAGACCGGCTTACATTGGAGGTAGTGTAGTTAACCAGTTCTAAAGAGATATCTCTCTAAGCACCATAACCACTTTATCTACTGAGGAGGTTATGGTACAAAGACCTTCTCCTTGCAGCCTTTTCTTTTACAAATGATGTGTTCCGGAGAGAAAAATACCTTTCTTTTATTTATTTAGGGGATCATTCTACCAACGCTTTACCAATAGAGCAGTACTTTCTGCTCTACACTTGTGAGTATAATTTTATATATTTTATATCTCATTCTTTACAAATTGAGAGCACTATTATTGTCTTTCTATTATACCTTGGAGCTTTGGATACTCAGACTGGATTGACGGATGCACCTCTTCATTATATCCCTTATGCAGGGATTATACTGCTACACGCCCTTCACTCCAGAGCTGGTTATATGGCTTATTACATTACTGGCTGTTTGTCGTATCTCCCCTTTGTCTCTCCACATATACAGATTTTTTTAACCATCTGGACGGATCAACTCCTGAGGATTGCACCCCCATTTTATCCTGCTATTTTAGTGAGACTTTTATTTTTCACCATTCTCTCTATTGGCACAGCCTTACTTATTGTTGTATTATCATCTAGACCAGGGGTAGGCAACCTACGGCACTAGTGCCATGCACTGCACTCGAGGTGTCTTTGCACGGCACTCAAGGCTGCTAGAGCCAAACAGGCTCTGGCCTATCAGGAGTCCCAGTAAAACTTAAAATATCTGCTAATACGAAAAGATGGTGAAGGACAATCCTCAATTTAAGCATTGCCGCACATAGAGGAAATGATCTCAGATCACTTCCTCCAAGCACTTGTGAATGGGAATCCACAACGTAGTAGAGCAGCCTGCAGCTGCAGTTGCAGCTCCTGTCTTTGACCTGTACTAGGCCAGCCTGGTCCCCACTGGAACCCAGGGAAGCCAACCATACTGCTAAATATACACAGATATTGTGGATCAAACCAAGTGTTTATCTGAGTATCTGCTCCTTTCCAAATTGTTAAAATAAATAAATGTGTGCACGCTCTGAAGTAAATTACACTGAGACACAGGTATCAGGTTAATGAAAAACTTCGGAATGTTTATTCAGGGGACGGCAAGCCCCTTATAAAGGCAAAAATACATCAAATGCAAAAATGTAGATAACAGAGAGAATACATCTTTAATTGGTTAGGTGTTAAGTGTCTTATCTAATGCACATCCTACGAGGCGTGATGTCACCATCATCCCGGGATTTTACTCCGGATGTAGGCGCCATCTTGTTACACAAGGTAGTTAGTCGGTGGGAGGGGGTGCTCTAGCAGCCATTTTGAGTAGATATTGAATACAGGTATACACAGTAAATTGACATTTTACTATCACTAATTTACATTCATAACACAGAAATGAAGAATAACCCTCCCCTTATACAAATAATACGAACAGCCCACACACAAACATAACCCGCTAACAATCCACATACATGCACACAACCCCACATGCAATACCCCAAACAGCCCACACACACTACCAAACACACACTGTGACATATCCATCCACACACAATTCCACAAGCAGCCCTCATACACAGCCCACATTCATATGTATCATACACAATACCATAAACTACTAATGAACATATACAATATAATAGCTAATATACGCACAAATACAACGCTGCAAAGCAACTGCAGTAAAAATAACACAAGCAGAATACGGCAGCATACACACCTCAAATTAAAAATATAGGACCGGCACGCTACGGGACATCACAATCCTATATCGGCACAGTGCTGCTAAAAGGTTGCCTACCCCTGATCTAGACCTTTTTGGTCTGTTTCTTATTGTATACCTATTGTTACTAGACTTTGGCGCAGCTCTTACCTCCTTTTTATTATTCTATCTTATTTATTTAGGGCTTACTCCATGGGCTTTTATTATCCGTTTTGTGCTACATATGCATCTGGTTCTGAAATAAACGAGAAACTGCACTCAATGCCATCCCTCTGAACCAGGGTGCAACTAAACCTGGACCCAGCACCAGGTCTCAGGCACAATATGCACAAAAAGGTTTAGGCACTCCAAGGTCCAAGAAGGCACCTTTATTTGAACCAAATGAGAAAGACCTTATAGGTCGAAACGTTGCTGCTTGTCATTTGGTTCAAATACATTTTTCCTACTTCCTTCCTCTTTGTTCCCTACATATGCAACTGGTCTTAGCACAGACAGCATTCTAACACCAGACGCCTTGACCAGGTTTCCCAGCTGGAGGAGTTACACGCATGGTGGCAAAGCTCATGGTTTTTCAGTCCCATGTAATTTAACTCTTAACTCATTGATAAAAGATAACAAAACCCATACATTAGTTCTGGGGGTTCACCATTGTCCTTCCTAGCAGTGCTTTTAGTTTAGTTACTTTGGCATTCGATTTGGAATTCCCAAATAGTCACACTTTAGTAAGTAGCCTTGTGAGAAAATAATTGGGCACATTTTTATGAATGCATATAATTATTAATGGCGACTTAAATGCAATAAAAATATATTTAACTAAAAGCTGGTCCTTATAACTTCAAAGATTTAAACATTTTTTTTTTTAATTATAAATTCATATATAATAAAACATATAAAGAGTTAAAGCATATCAGACAAAGTAGATACATAAAACATAGAATAGAAATTGATATAACTGTCAATTATTGTGACTGCTAGTTTTAGATTTTACACCCTTGCCATTTAATTTGTTCTTTTTTTTCAGAGGATCTTGACAGCAGCTAATGATACATTGATTGAAAGTTGCACTAAGTGGCCATGTGCCAAATTCTGTGAATAGGGCACTACAGGGACCCACACGTTGGGTGCACAATGTGTAGGTTAGGTTACAATTTTTTTATTTTTTTTTAAATAATTGCTTTTGGCCAGCCTTTCTGTCTAGATTTTTTTTTTCTACTGTATTTGAAATCTGATAAATGAACTACAACTCCCAATAACCCTTGTTGTGCACTTTCCTACACTGCTTTTTATGTACACTCATTAGTCTATGGGAAGTAAATTGAGCATCACCACCTGATTTGTGAGATTTAATTTCAGATGGTACAAATCTTGGCGATTTGCCGCAAGTGTGATTATTATTATTTTTTTTTTTATTTGAACGCATTGTTTTTGCTTTCATTTTACTGCACTATCTATACAATACATTTTTAAAAGTGTCAAATTCTGCCCGGAGTGTCTTTGTAACAACATTACTTAAAGCAACCGATTCGCTCAGTTGTTTCTTTTAGCTGATGGTTGTCAGACCAGCTGCTGTCAGTATTAGCTTATCAGAACATCAGTTTCTTTCCAGTTACCGGAGCAGGTGACGATAATTATAGAACAATTGGAGCAAAGGCTGCTCTGTGACCTTTCAAAATGATAGGTTTTCAGTGTCTGTCCTTGTAATTAGGGAGGCTGTGCTCGCATGGTAAGATTTGTATCGATTTGTTAGGATCTTGTTTCAAACTATAGGAGTATTTTGTGTTTACATTGTTTTTTGCTTCTGCTATAAATATATGTGTGGTACTCAATTACATTGTATATAGATTCAGTCTTATATGTATTGATCTGGTAATAATCTGTCTCCAGACAGTAGTATAACAAGTTGTTTACACGTAACCTTGGCTACTGCACTGCTCTTTGCATGGACTCTGATTTTAAAGTGACAGTTTTAGAGAGTATCCATTCCTTTTCTTCATTTATTATCCCCCCCCAATTTATCCCCAAAATAAATGGATACTCCCACACGTTCCCTTTTTTTAGTGCGTGGTAGAGAATGCATTAAAAGGAACAGTTGATTGAGACTATTTTTTTTTTTTTTTTTTAATTATCTGTTTCTTCCTGTCTCTTTTAAGAATACCATAAAATTGTATTTTGAAAGCATGTTTTCTGCCTTTGTACAGATAGCAATGGCAAACCACGGCACTGCAGATATATTTTAATTACATTTCCAGTGATGTACAGTCTGCAGCCTTCAAACTGAGATAGCATTGAGGAAATATAAACATTTGCTGTGGCTATCTTACAGCAGCCCAGTCACCACCCACCTACTCAACCCCAAAACTTGAGCATGTCGTTAAGAAAAAGAACTTTATGAAATGCTCATAAAGACTGCTTGGAATATCATTGAAAGATATCATATAACAAATTTAAGGGGCTACTTTGTCTTGTGGTAAAATCTTTCCTTGCAAAACGCGACAAAAGGCAGAGCTACTGCCATTGAGTTTTTTCACTTCAGCAGTAGCTCCGCCTTGTTGTGGAAATAAGGCATTGTCTCGCTTATCGCAAAATATTATCTATGGAGGTTCCTGCTGTAGACACCAGTGTTGTACTCTCAGGCATGTGCAAAAGTACAGCAATGACGTGAAGCACCAGGAGCTTGAGACTGAAGATGTCAGGGAACAGTATCAGGTAAGTACAACTCACTTCTGCTACATCCCCCAGGCCACCGCAGACCGGTGTTGGCAAAATATGCAAAGACCCCAGAAGTTGACAAAACCACATTAAAACCATTGTCACTGCATTGAGCTGTTGTGGTTATGGTGCTCAGTTACCCTTTACGATGTTTATTCATGTTCCCAGCCTCCGATTCCTTCTGCTACGTCACTTGATGCGTGAATCAGCTGGAGTGGAATTTACCAAAGCAGCAAGCGTGACCTTACTAAACATTTTATGTACGTCCTATATGGCAAAAATACTTGCAGAAATAAACATCATAGCATGATGCAGCTTTCTCCTGGTTTTATAGCAAGTCCAACGCCTTGAAACACACCTACGCCACGCTTTTACAGTTTCATTAGCTGTGGATGGAAATATATAAGGGGCTTATTATTTAAACTGAGAACTGTAAATTGGAAGCCAGAGTAGTCCAAAAAGAAACATACATTTCTCTTGTTAGTTTTCCACAATTTCTAATTTATTGAACAGACCCTGTAATCTTCCCCCCCCCCCAAAAAAAATAAGGAAAAAAAAATTATACCACGATGAATAAGTATCCAGAGGTAAATGTCAGACGGATCAATACGTTCTGGCATAGTTTAGGAATTTGATTTGCTTGCACCACCTGAAACAGATTTTTGCACAATTCTACTTACGAACCTCTCTCTGATTGGCGTGTCAGCCAGACAATTAAACTGCATTGCAAAGAGCCAAGCATTTGTGTATATTGTGGCTGCTTTAAATGGCTACAAAGTTTTGCAATAAAAAATAAAAATATGTTAAAACACATCAACGTGGCTGCAGAGAATGCATTTAAATGATCGTTGTTCCTGGTGTAAGAATAACCCTGTCTATTTGTAGGGAGGGTGACGTTTCCACTTAAAAGGGAAAGGAACTACCCATTTATGGACCAGTACAATTTTACAGGCATTAGGCACACCTACAGCTAGCTGTACAGACACTGTCATTTGTACAAGCAGGTGACACGTAGGCTGGCCGAATGTGTGCTAAACAGGTGGAGCAAGTAAGCACGTCTAACTAAAACATCCACCTTAGATTACAGCCCAGCTGGGATTTACCTGCTGGTTTCCTTAGTGGAGGTAAGTTCCAAAGATTGCTTAATAGAAAACTGCTTACATTGTGTTTGGTTTAACTGTCAATTTGTGGAATGTCCTTGGAGTCTGTGGGGGTTCAGAGCAAACTGCGGATATTACACTGTGATTCTAAACCCTTGTCTTGATGTGTTTAACATATATGCATATTTTTTAGTCTGGCCAGTCCACAGTCTTTGCAGAGTGTGATGTGCTTGAGTGAACTGTGCAAACAGTTCTGAATAAGGACATGTTCACTTATCCAAGGATGGATAGAACGCTGGCAATCAGCATTTACTTACTGCCTACCTGTAGTCTAGAATTGCCACATCCGCAGTGTTTTAGTGCGGCACATAACTTTTTTTTACATATTGATGGGCAGCACTTAAAAAGTACTGCCCTGCAGTATGTAGCATTCAAATTCTGTGATTGTGAAGTCATGGGCAGGGTAGCATTTTGATTGTACAAATCTATTTCAATGTTTGTCTGAGCCTGGTTTTTTGTACCCAGCAGGCAAGAATGTGTCTGTATCTATTGCATACTTCAATCGTTTGTGGTGTTTGTTTAAAAAATATTACTCCTTGATAGCACTCTGCATTAGTACATTACATTTTTTTGTTTCTTGAGGACTGATGTTTGGGATAGCCTGCTGTAATATGACAGTGAGCCAAAGAAGAAGATCGGAAAAAACAAAACACCCAAACAGTCGTCTCTAATTATATACATTTAGCCAATGTCTCCTGGCCCTAGGTTTGTCAGGTACAACATGGGTTTTCTCGAGTATATGCTTCACTGTGTTGTATGGTGAACTAGTCAGGTTCTGGATTGGTTAAGCACGTCCGAATGAAAACCTTTCGACCCTGGTTACAATATTCAAAGCCTATTAGCACCATAACCACCACAACCGTAATCTAATGGTTAGGTTGCTTAGGCTGTCCTTTTAACAGTTTCTTTTCTGCAGCAGCAATTTAATTCTACATATTATAGAACAACTCTCTTCGGTTATCACACATCAACACAATGATAGGTGTCTTCAATCATCAACTAAGCTAGCACAAGGCATGTTATTTTGGAATGCCATTTCTTTCATGACTTGCCAATAACCTGCTGTGGGTAAATTAACTACTGTATAGCATTAAACATTTAATTTTCCCTTCCAAATAGAAGTTTTTCACACCTTCATAAATCAATGGTTTAAAAACCAAAAAATCATGGATTTAACAAGTCCAGCAATGGCTTGAGATGAACAGGCAGTGAATTTCAAATTAGCCATTCTTAATAGGTTGCCGGATAATCCATCCTGCTCTCCCAAGTTCTATTGCCATGTAGGATGTAGAACTCCAAAGCTGCTGTCCGAAAATAAATTCATTAATCAAAAAAGGAATTGTGTAGAATATAAATGCTACAGGACAGTACTTTTCATGTGCTCATCAGCCTACAGAAGTGATGCTTGTGTTAAAACAAGGATAGATCTGGCTGCGTAAACGTTAAATTGACAGATGGACTTTATCACACTTGTTACCATGACGGAGTTATTTGCTAAAGTGAGTATTCAAAGTGAATTTTTTAAAAATTTTAAGGCCAGAGTAGCCGCACTGAAAGCATAGCAGACCTTGGAGAATTTTTCCAGTTCGGCTGTTTTTTACCTAAAATTTTCACTTTAGTGGGTAACCATGTGTATGTCTTTTCTTCTTTGTGATATAGCAAACCTGCTGAACCTTGTAAATGGATGCTAGGTTAAATGGAACTATTCGTATTTGGATCAGGAATGTGTGCTACATGTATGAGTCTTGTGTAAATGGTATGCATACCAAGGCAAGGTTCTGTCATTTTGGGATATTTTTAGGTATAAAGCCTTAGTTCATAGTTGCTCACACTCCCCCAGATGCAAAATAACTGGTACACAATCCTGGCACTTAAGGTGTTAAATGGAAGAATGCTAGGAATAGCCTGGGTGTGTGAAATAACTAGATATAAACAAAACGAATATAATTCATGATTCATGTAAAGACTGCATTGGGTGGAGAAGATTTCTTTATTTGTGCAAGGAGGGGTTATATATTCATTGTTATGGGTTTTATTTCCATAATAGAAATATTGTCCCATACATCAGGTGATTTTAAACCAATTCTGACCTCCCATTGGGTTGGGGAGGGGATAGTTTAGATGTAGAGGGGTTTGAAAGCAGAGGACTAATCTAAAAATAGTTCCCAGCTTTTGTTGAACATCATGGAACTTATAGTTCTACACGAACACTGACTTCCCCATCCCTAATTTAAAAAGTTTGTTGAAGATCTCATACACATTTATTACACAATTAAAAGTAAACTGTCTATACTATACTTTTTTTTTATAATTTTTTTTTTTTTTTTTAAGTTCTTAATGATATGTAGTCCTCTCAGAGAAGAGCTATAGGGACTCACTATTTCACAGATATGCTAATGGTTACCAGGTCAGCTATGCATTCCTGGACACCTATATTGTGAGAAGAACAGGAGTGTGTAGCATTCGTGTGCTACAGAAGGGATATGGTGGAATACAAAGTAACTGCCTTAAAGGAACATGCAACTAATTTATTTTAGTAGACAAACTCCCAAAGAAAGCATGCATGTATGCAGTGGCGTAGCGTGGGTTGTCAGCACCCGGGGCAAGGCAAGTAATTTGCGCCCCCTAACCCGTGGATTTTAGCACTCGAGTCTCTTCCACTAGATTAGTTAAAGAAACCCTTACCCCCCAAGCACATGTATTGTTTGTTATGAAAATACTTATGTAATTAAAGTAAAATGCATCTAAATACAAGTTTATTTTCCAACACTTTATTGAGTGCGAACATGCATTACACACATTCTCCACATTTTCAGCAGGTCTATGAATACAAATATACAAATGTAGTAACCTAGCATGGGCCATGCTATTATATGTCGTCTCACAACCATCGTAAACGACAAAAAATATCAAGAACAAAAACTAAACATCAAAATGGAACCATACCCTGGAGATGATCCAAGACTGGGCTAGATGGAGCCAACTTCCTCAATCCTGTACCTCTAATTGTAATTCTTTAATAGAAGTGCAAGATATCAATCTGTATATAATATACAGATTAATTTAAATTCGCCTGCTTTTAATTAGTGCAAATTTTTCAACAACGGAATAGTGTTTCTTTAATGTGAGGTAAATTAGAGATTAGTGCCACAAATAATATACTAGATTGCCTACTTACAACGAGATGAGGATGATGATGGGCTCTAGCTGCAGTCTGGCTCCACTGGTCTGGTGTAGAACAGGCTCTCTGGAGGCTGTTTGTAACTGTGGTCACAAAAATCAATATACTAGGAGAACAGGAAGCAGCTCCATTTTTGGGGGGCCCTTTACACAGCTCAAGGTCTGGGTCCCAGGGTCCACCTTCATGTTCCACCAATGAGTTTGTTCACAGGGGGTGGAGTGTGTAGGGGATGTCCTGATATGTGTGTAAGGAATGCATTGTGTGAATCTGTGTTTGTATGTGTAAGGGCTGCAAGGTGTGTTTCTGTGTATGTACAGGATGCAGTGTGTGCGTGTGTAAGGGGTGCATTGAGTGTGTGTAAGGAATGCATTGTGTGTTTCTGTGTGTGTAAGGGATGCATTGTGTGTAAGGGTTACATTGTTTGTGTGTGTGTGTGTGTGTAATGCATTGTGTGTTTTTCTGTGTGCAAGGGGTGCATTGCATGTGTGTGTGATGGATGTCAATCTCTCCCCCCTCCCTTGTTACTCTCTTCTCCCCCCTCTCCCTCCCTTGTCACTCTCTTCTCCCCTCCCCCTTCCCACTCTCATTGCCCCTTCCTCCCCTGTAACTCTCACCCCCCACCACCAATTTCTTCTTCTCCCCCCTCCCCTACCAATTTCTTCTTCTCCCCCTCCCCTACCAATTTCTTCTTCTCCCCCCCTCCCCTCCCCATTTCTTCTTCTCCCCCCTCCCCTACCAATTTCTTCTTCTCCCCCCTCCCCTGCCAATTTCTTCTTCTCCCACCCTCCCCATGCCAATTTCTTCTTCCCCCCTCCCAATTTCTTCTCCCCCCCTCCCATCCCAATTTCTTCTCCCCCCCTCCCATCCCAATTTCTCCTTACCCCCTCCACTGACAATTTCTTCTCCCACCCTCCCCATTTCTTCTCCCCCCTTCCCTCCCAATTTCTTTCTCCTCCCCCCCACCTTTGTTGTAGCGTGGCCGAGCCCTGCAGCATGATGGTCCGCGGGTACAGGTTGCTTTTGTTTCCTGTACCCGGCCGGACTAACAAGAAGTGCACACTGAGTGTGCACTTCCTGTTAGTCCGGCTGGGTACAGGAGACAGATGCTCCCTGTACCCGTCGGACCAGCATGCTGCAGGGCTCGGCCACGCTGCTACAGAGGGAGTGACAGGAGGGAGCGCTGAGCGTTTCCCTCCTGTCAGCCCCTCTCCTCAGGTTGCGCCCGGGCACCGCCCGGGCAAAGCTGCAGCCGCCTGAGGCTCTCTACAGAGCGCTCAGGCGGCTGCAGCATGGGGGGGCCGCCCCTGAGCGCGCCCCCCCAGATGTTGCGCCCGGTGCGGCCGGCCCCCCCTGCACCCCTCACGCTACGCCTCTGCATGTATGTTTTTTTTTTTTTCTTTATGCTTGTTTTTGTGGGGTCCATGAAAAACAGCCTGCAAAAGCTGCAGACCTGCAGTTTGCAGCCTTCTAAAGCCCACACACAGGCATTCAGTTTGTTCCAGGGAATACACAGATCAGTGGCTCCTCATTACTTTCCCATGTTCTTAAGAAAAAAAGGGGAAGGCAAAAGCACTCTAGCTTAGTAAGCTTCCTGCTTCTGTTGGCTCTGTGGAACGAAGGGAATTGGAAGAAACCCTTCCTGGTGGTCCTGCCCCAAAATATAAAAGTGCTGATTTATGTGGAAATTTGCAATTCTATAAACAGTCAGGAATATGACAGACTGCAGAATTGCTTTGTGTGTCTCCGGTGTTCCATTAATTGAATTTCCTCCTGAAGCAATTACTATGTGTAGGAAAAATAGCAATCTGCCAGTCCTTGACACACCAGAGATATTGACATGGGCATATTTTTTGATGTGGGCGGGGTATTTCCTGAAAAGTATACACCTGCATATCGACTGAAAGTCAGGCCTAGGGTACTGGAAAGTACGATCGGAAGGATTGCTGTTTGTTTTGTATTTTTTCAAATATCCTGTAATTCAATGGACATTCCTTTAAAAAGCAAAAATTAGAGATTTTTCATTCCTTCACCCCCATAAATGCTATGTTTTTACTGTAGTGTGTAGTGCAGTAGTTGTTGGTTTAAAAACAAAAAACAACCCTTACCTAGGTGTGTTTCTATGTGCTAACAAGACCAGGAAAATTGGTAAATTGTATGGCCCTTTCTACTACCTAAATTTGTTTGCTATTTAAAACTATGCTTCTTTTGCGCTAAATCATCAGTACTTAAATAATTTGTGATTAAATAACAGAGGATCAGTAGAATGTGGTCATTGGCAAATCTGCAATTAGAGGTATTTAAGTGTAATTTTGAGAGCACTATAACAACTCAAATTATAGATTTTCAGGAGATGTTAGACGTTAAAATAATATCTAGAGCTTTTTAGCAGCCTACAAATTGCTCTAATTCATGTTACCCCACCCTAGAAACATCCCTGCTCTTGCCTTGCAGCATTCTGTTTCCATGGTAACATTGTTACTTCATGATGCTCTGGGTGGGCTGCAAGTCCTAGTGTTGTCCTTGTACATGGCATTGCGGGTATTAATGTATATGGAATACTTAGACTGTCACAGCAGCCAGAAATAAAATGCAAATTAAATTAAAATGGGTCCAGATTTTAAAAAATAAATAAAATTACAAGTAGCTCAGCCCATGTTTAACCTTTGGCTAGCTCCCCAGTGATGCAGATATCTAGATTGTAAGCTTGTTTGAGCAAGGACTAGTTCACCTCTTGTCTCTTTTACTATCCTGAATGTGAATTACTTGTCAAATATATCCATTCTATTGTAAAGCGCTATGGAATGTTAGCGCTAATAATAATAATCCTTGAATAAAACCTGCTTCTCTGTGAACAATACTGGCCATGTTTTGCATTCTCAGTCTGTTTGGTAAAGGTTTCATCTGTTTATAGTCCGGTTTATACACCAGAAGCCCAAATCACACCATTTACTAGACTGAGAATTCAGAGTAAATTTCAAATTTAAGGCCAGAGTAGCCAAACTTAAAGCATAGCTGACTTTTCATTTAATTTTTTGTGAGAATTTTTCCAATTTTGCTATTTTGACCTTTAAAGTGAACCTGTAACTGAAAAAAAAAAACTTGCTCTAAACCGCTTCCAAATACATTAAAAACACCATACATCATAAAAGTAAATGGTGTATTCAGTGTGAAATCGGAAGATTTACTTACTTTTTTCCATTCCTGTGCCTCTTCGTGGGTGTTATTCTTCATTTAACACCCACCTCCTGGCTGTACTTTTCTCTGTCTGTTCTCCACCTCTGTTCTTGTTAACGTTAAGTTAGCATGCAGGCTTCATCTCCAGCGTTGTGGAGTCGCAACGTGGTGACGTTACTGCTTTCCTATACTCTCTACCCAAGTTTCCATAGCAACCACAGTGCATATGCTGTGGGTGGAGAGCAGAATGATCTCCTCTGGGTCTCCTCTGTTCCCTTTGAATTCACCTTGAATACTCACTTTAGTGAATAACCCGGTCTATTTCCCTATTTTCTTCCTCTCCTAATTTGACATGCACAGGGTTATTTACTAAAATATCAGGAATTCTCAGGAAGTTTTATTTAAGGCCAAAGTAGATAAACTAGAAAAATAGCTCAACTGGAAAAATTCTCCAAAGTCTCCTATTTTGTACTTGAAATTCAGTTCCCGACAATTCTACCCTTAGTGAATAAAACTGATGGTAAATTCGACGTGTGTGGAAGAAGCATTGAAAAGATCCAGCTCTGTCCAATGTTGTAGCGGCCTTTGCCATGATCCTAGGTAGCTAAATGTCATGCTGTCATCACAAAATGACTCCTGAAGTCTGTGAGCCAGCATGGCACATCCTTCTTTCAGCACTGAGAGTTCTGTACATCCTTTCTGTCGCTATAGCAATGGACCATGATGGCATTCTGTCACTGGGCTCTAATGGTGTTAATATAGCTGTAGTTATGCAGACCGATGTAGATAATTGACCCAGTAGTGCTTTATTCAATACATTTTGATTTGTAGAAGTTCGGGCAGACTTGCCTGTTGGGCTCTCAGTCATGGACTAAGGACAAAACACCAAGAGAAGGCCCAGCAGCTTATCTAGAGTGCGACAGTGTGTGGGCCCTCTATACATCCTGCCCCACCCTCACACAAAGATAGCTGCCATCTTTGCATAGTCGTACAGGCTCTAAAGGCAATACTTTGCTAAATTCCTGTTCTTTTGTTTTTGACCGGAAGATTTCAAATCCCTATATTTTGGCCTAAAACATTTTGTAGGATGTAGGCTGGCAAAGCATCATGGGAGTTGTAGTGTCGGGAATCTTTTTTTATGGGCACCAGAGTATGTGTTCTTGTAGGTGCTGCTTTTACTTATTGACCACTATCCCGGATCTCTGTGGCTTTCTAATCATTATTTTACAAAAAGTAATGCCTGTTCTATTTATACTCAAGATAAGGAGGGCAGATATCTCATTTATTTCACTGCTCAAGCATATTAAAGGAACACTAATTAAAAATATAAATATATGGGGTGCTGAAACAGACTCCCTCCTGCAGCCTGATTGAGATCTTGAGAACTGTCTAACTGCGTAAAGCAATTGCAGACATATGGTTCATGTGTGGTATTCGCTGCAATCCTCCAATTCAGTGCTTCTCTACGACACACTAGTGAACACACGCACAGCAGCAGTGGACGTAAAAATAGATTTCATTTGAATCTATTTCGGTCCAAAGCTTGTAGTGTGCATCTGCTCGACAGTCTGCAGAGGCATGGTTATTGCAAAATGTAAACTGTGCCATTTCCCAAAAACAGCAATGTTTTCAACATCAAGCCTGTGGTAGAAGCATCAGTCTAAACGTCACTTTATTACAATTACATCATTTAGGTGGTCAGAATGCCTTTTTGCTGGGTTTCTCATAGTTACTTTGCCAGAACACTTACTGTGGTGCTTCCACTGACATTAGTTGAACCAATGCTTTACATTAGTGACATACATGTAACTTAAAAGCAAAGCTAACAACAGTATAGAGTCTCTAACTTCAAAGTATTTAGAAGACATTTCTAAGCTCCACTTAAGGCTCTTAGATTGTTGCTTAACTTGTTTTGTGACTCATAGTTAACTATTAACCATATAATTATGAGACTGTGGTATTTTATCCTGCTACGTACTGCACTACTGGTTTAATTTTAATTTCTGTGATGGTTCACCTTTTCTATTGAAAATCCTGTTGGGTTGGGCATCCATCTGGCACTCTTTGAGATGGGGCCATCCTAGTGTTGTGGGCATAGACAGGCTATGGAATTCTACTATGCTGTGCTTGATCATGTTTAGTGGAAGGGCTACACAGGGTTTGTAGAAATAGATTTCCCACAAATGATAAGTAGAGAATTGGAGTCTGCTGTAGTGGTTATGGTGACAGGAGTGCACTGTTGCTATCCAATAGTAAGCTGTCAAACCATTTTAGCACTGTTTGACCAATAACGCCAACTTTTTATTAATTTTTCTTCTAATAACTCCCTATTGTTCTTTAAAAAAAAAAAAAAAAAAATTACAATGTCTTTACTTGTATCCAGTGCCCGGTGAAGCTTCCGACGCTGCGCACCACACATGAGTGTTGTCATGAGTCATGCAGAGGTCCAATCAAAGGCTTCTCATAGAGCAGCCTTTGAGTGGACCATTTAACGAGCTTGAAGCGCATGTGCGCGCTTGGAGACAGCAAAGGAAGAGGGAGGTAGGGTGGGAGAAGAAGGGGAAAAAATAGTGGACGGCATGATGAAGCAGGGAGAGGAGCATTAAAGGATGGAGGGAAATGCTTCCCCTGCAGAGGCAGAGAACGTTTGTTGCCAGTGTGCCGTGCGCTTTGACGACAGAAGTAAATTATACACAGAATTTACATTCTGTAGCCTGGAGCAGAGTTCCAGGCTCCCAAAGTCATTTGTGGGGGTTGTAACTAGTCCCTAGCACACAATTGCAAATAACTCCGGAGGTGCAGCATTTCAAGCATATACTCTGCACAACTAGATTCCTACCACCGTGACAACTTTTAAAAGCAGAAGTGGTCATGGAGGTTGGAGGTAATCCTTACCACTGGTCCAGCAGGAGAAAGCAGTTGTCCCTTTAGAGCAAAGCATATCGAATTCATGGGCTGAGAGAGCTCAAATGATTCTCCTAGAGAAGACTGAATGCAGCACGGTCACCCAACGGGACCCAGGTAAGTTGTTAAAATGGTGTGACATTTTACTCTAGGATGGCGCCAGAACACTCCAGGCACCATAATTACTACAGTGCGGTGTAGTGTTTATGGTATTTGGAGTGTTCCTTTTAATGTTTTCAAATCTTCACAAAGCCCCACTGGTGAATCAAATTGAAAACAATATAAAAATAATAAAATATTCAGTGTACAACACCATACCGTGCAGTAATTCTCTACAGATCTGGGTCTTCCATGGAAGGTGCTTTGTTTGTTGTAAAAACTGCTCCACATGTTTTGTCTGTGAGGCCATATGAAGATTGTATTTGTCTTCCCATTTACTATTATTTTTAGTGAAGTTCAGTTACATAAGGCTTGTGCTCACCTAATGGAAAGTATTTTATTTGTGTGTATTAAGATGCATTTTATATTCCATTTGGAGATCTGAGGTACAGATGTGTCTCTCGGTCTCATTTCAACCATGCATAATTGAGTTCTGTTGTGGTTTAAGTTTTATTTATGGGAAATGAGGTTTGCATGTCTGTTCCCTGATCGCCTCTCAATATCTGTGTTTAATAGCATATTTCCTATGCCAGACATTAGCTTTAATGATGATGTGACAAAGAACATGATTATAATTTATGTTGGATGTATAGACATCATGGTATTCTGTTAAAGGTTGAGACAGCTGTAAATGATACACACAAAATAAAGATGAGACAAAGTCAGAAACTCAAACATGTTATGAAATCTGGACTCACACATTAAAGGGACACTCCAGACCTTTAGAGCAATTTAGAATAGAGGCCCAGCAAATCAGAACCCTTTCACTGTGAGAACAGACCAAGCAGGTGTCTAGAGCATATGTAGCTCAACCCCCAGCAGAATTTCTACTAATCAGAAGCTCAAGGCCAGTTTTCACATTATGCAGAGTTGGCACCCACCCACAGGCACATGTCTTGTAGGGGCGCCTGTATTCAGCACGCACAATGTACGTGTTGGATGTTTGGTGGGCTACTGTGGGAAGATAAGTACCCTGAGCCTTGGCCAGTGCCCTGTGTAGTCCAGTCAGACTCCTATGCTTAATAGCAGAGCTGCTATCAGGGGCAGTTTTAGAGGTGCTCTACCAGCTCCTCCAGTGTCTGTGTGTGAGGCTGGACAGGAAGTGGAAGGGAATCACTTCCCATCTGCCCACTAACAGCCTCTCACACAGGGAGTGCCTTACAGGAAGATCAGGGACACCACAGAGTGATGCACCCTTCAAACTCCACATGTCCAAAACAACTCATTTTTTCCCGACTCTAAATTTAACCTCTCCCAAAACCTAAACCAACCCTTTCCAAAATGTAAACACTCAACAAAACAGAAAACCTTTAAAGGACCACTATAGTTCCAGGAAAACAAACTCGTTTTCCTGGCACTATAGTGCCCTAAGGGTGCCCCCACCCTCAGGGTCCCACTCCCGCCCCGCTTAAGGGGGAGGAAGAGAGTTAAACACTCACCTTTCTCCAGCAGTGGGCTCCCTCGGTGCTGGGGACTCTCCTCCTCCTTTGGTCGTCATCGGCTAAATGCGCATGTGCGGCAAGAGCCGCGCGCATTGAGCCAGTCCATAGGAAAGCTTTCTCAATGCTTAAAGTTGCAATGCTTCTGTTTACTCCCAGCAGATACACCTTAATTCTACTACCATTGCCTGGAGGCATGTGTTGTTAAGATGGAATTATTCACAGTATAGTTAATAGACCAGTTAGTGCAACATTTACATATACTCAGCTATCCGTGGGCTGCTATTTTACACCATTTTTTCCTTTGGTTGTATGAAGTGAAACCCTGTGGGTGCTAAAACGTAGCCACTATCTAGCAGTTTTCACTTTATTGCACCTGTTGTAACATTGCATAATTGCATTCCTGACTCTATAGTGTTCCTTAAGTAAATATGTTTAGCTAGATCTGAAAAATACAATTTAACATTGAAATGCATATTTATTTATTCACTTCTATCCTGTTACGGAGTTAACTCCATTTTATCACCCTGACCATCATTGCGTTTTTCTGTCACTGAATATGGGAAGTGGGAGAGCAGACACAGAAGCAATCGGAGCTAAACTAAACTGAGAATTCAAAGTTAATATAATATTTTTTGTGCTGGCCGTTTGTAATTTTTTGCATTTAACATATTTATAATGTTGCAGTTTTTTTACAGTATAATTGAAATGAGTGCATATTTCATGTCATGGTTTCCTCTAACTATAGAACTACAGAATATGCATTAATTGCTTTATGATTTTTGTCTGTTGTGTTTTGCAGGTCACTTTTCAAATTCCACAATGTTTGATGGGGATTATGATTACCTCATCAAATTTCTAGCGTTGGGAGACTCTGGCGTTGGAAAGACTAGTTTCCTCTATCAGTATACAGATGGAAAATTTAACTCCAAGTTCATCACGACAGTGGGCATTGACTTTCGGGAAAAGAGAGTGGTAAGTACCCTTATCTCACGGTTTGTGTTTCAGATCTGATCTGTTATGGCTGAAACCATTACGAAGCCAATCAGCCAATACACTAGGGTTGATGAGTAAAATTTCACATGGGAAAACATGAGGCTGTTTTCTACTCTGTTAATTGTGTTATAGGTAAAAGCAACAGAATGAATGTTAATTGATGAATTTATTTTTTAAACAGATAGTGTACTTGCATATTAAGTGTCATTTAATTATGTTGGTTGATGCCTATTTTTTGCTTTTCTGTGGTGCTAGATTTCTCTTCTGACATAGTCCTATTGCTGATGTTTCTAGCTCAATATACCTGAAAGAAGTTATATCTTAGGGGTTACCTCCCAGATATTGTGAATATAGAAGAATATGGCTGGCCTGACTCCTACGTTTTGGTACAGTTCTGTTCTGCTGAGTTTTTTTTCTTTTGTGTTCTAAGGCAGAAGGGGGTTGTTTTAGTACCCTTCTGCACGTAAAACGTTTTTCAATCTCACTCTGAACAGCACAAAATGCCTTTCTAGGAAACTAGGCATTCCCCTTTTTGTGATTTGCGCAATTCCCCCTATTTTTGACCTTGCCAATGCCTTGTACACTATGTGCTGCCATGTCATGTGTATGCTACACTACTCCAAATGGACTTTTACAGGCCAGCAGTGTGGTCATGTCTTTTTGACTTGTGAAAGCCCATGAATGAGTCTACTTGAAAAGTTACACAGAAAAAAGTATGTGGTTTGTTTAGAACCAAAGTCAGGAATGATGCTGCATGCCTCCCTTCTCCGTCCCCCTTGGAACCTCCAGGAGCTACCGCATCAACCTGGTACCTCTACTCGCAGCCTGAGTTTCTTCACTGACATCGCCCAACCAACAACCAGCCACTGGATGTAGCGCTCCTAACCTCAAACCCAACCACTAGGCAATTCTTAGTGAAGGAACAAGACAACTGGTTTATTGAACAGGTGTCAATGTGTCAAATAAAAGTTGGACAAACAAGAAAACTATGCTGCGACAACATGGGAAACTGCAGTGACCTGGTGGGAACCAGTAAGAGTACCAACCAAGTATCCACCACATGTGCCAGGATTTTGGGGTTAAGGTGGATTAAAAAAAGCAAAATGGACTGAGGGGGATGGGAGCCAGTTTGTGTGTACACTGATGACAACCTGAAAGAGGGGAGGGGATTTCTACCCTGCGAAAGGTTAGAATTCCTGCTACCATTGAGTGGTGCAAGATACACTGGAATGTCAGCAAGCACTTGCAACGTTATGTGCGACTCCTCGGTAAAGTTCTGGGAAGTTTACAAACTGGGATTGGATCCTTGCTGTCGTGTAACCCATCTTCTCACCATACAAAACCATACCTCGTTTGAGTATAGCATGTGCCAACGACATTGCGATCAATTGTCTAATATTTATATAGTCTCAGTGACCTGAATTAAAGGGTCACTCGGACAATCATAGCACAGTCAGCTATAGTGGTTATGATGCTAGAAGTAACCCCAGCACCATTTCCTGGTAATGGCACATGTTTTGCCATTATTAGCCCTGTTACCTTGGTCCCACCTGGTGTTGGATCTCCACTGTATGCAGGTTTATGACATGCAGCTTCTGTAGAGTGGATTCCCAGAGTAACTTATCTATTCTTTTCCATATTGGTCTGCTGCTGTCCTAAAGAGCCATACTCCACTCTTCCCCCAGTTCTGCTACTTTTCCACCTTGTTTGGTGGCTGTCACCATTGCTGTCCTGTTCTGTATTTGTACCCCATCTCCTCTAGACTGCTCATTTGAGCAGCGCCCTCATCTACCAATTGTTCCTGTGTCACTGTGTAATTGTCTCATTTATTGTAAACTTTCCCAATTTCATAATATTATAAAGTGCTGCGGAATTACTGGCGCTATATAAATACCGATGATGATGATGATGATGATAATAGAGCTGTATAAGCAGGATCCCAGTCCTGCCAATTAACTATTCATTCCATCACCCAATAAATGAGCATTTGTGCATAGAAATCTGCACAGAATTGACATTAGACAGCCTGGAACTGTTCTGGGCTGGCTAATGATGTCCCAACATTGCTGCTGAGTGTGAAGTTACACCTCTGGCAGCAGTGGGGTTAATCTCTGTATGTGCAGCGTTCCATAGAGAAATGCTGCACATGCAGACTCCAGACACCATGACCACTAAAATTAACTGAAATGGTCATGGCACATGAAGTAACACTTTCATAGAATCCACTAACCCTATAGACACTTGCCCTCATTTGGAAAACGCGTGCATGGTAACAAGAAGCGCGGGGGGGGGAGAATTAAAAAATACAAGAATTATGCTCAATCAGATGGAAAGATCTTTGTCTTTATATATATTTTTTTCTATACTTGTTCTGCTGTAATATTGAATTGTGAAAAAAGTATTCCACCCACAGAAAATCAGTGAGAGAAGGTATATTGTGCAAAGTCTCTGTAGGGGTGGAATTTCAAGTTTTTCTTTAAAAATGCCTTATTATAAAAGCTGTTCTTTTACACATGAATGAATATACAACATACTTTAATGCTTATTTGTATTTTTTATTCCTCTTTGAAGAGAAAAAACATTGCCTCATTGTATTCTTTGACATTTTCCGATCATTTCATTATCTACGGGTTGTACAGGTTTAGTAGGTGTACTGATGCAGAGAGTCCTGTGCTATGGTTCTGACGATGCCTATTATAGCCTGTGCAGGATGTAATGACCTTTTTAATAGTGTGAAGCTAGGGAAGGCAGATTTATGGTGTTAGTTGAGAATGCACTGCTACTCATATCACTGACAGCCAGCAAGTGCCTGGCTTATCTTAAGAGGCGTTGTTGTCCAACATCAGCTGTGTGTGAAAGGTGCTTACATGTAGGCGTATAGTCTACCGCTGGATACTTGGGGGACATTGCAGCTGTCCTCTGATAAGCAGAGATTGATTGGTATTAGAGTCATACATCTGCCATATACATGTCATCTATTATCTGTGGAAATGGTGCATCATTATCCTTCCACACAATTCTGTGAGAGTCTGTTTTGTAAGTTATGGTTACACCTATGAATTACATGTAACTCCAGCAATGAGGTATAAGGAACTGTTCCCAGTTTGGTACATAGCATAAGGTTTCCTAATACATTGAACATTGTGATTAACACAGTTTAACTCCTCTTTAAATCTCTACTATGATTTAACTATTTTACTATTGAATATATTTGACTCTCTTAGTCCTTTTATGTGAATACTCCAAACACCATAACCACAATAAATCTTTTCAGTGGTTAAAATGCCAGAACTTGTGTCAGCCCCCTCCAATGTTTTAGAACAGTTTTGACTTTTTGCCTGCTGACAGTGGAGAGCCAGAAGATCTGCAGTGCAGGGTTTAGCTCATGGGTTGAGAGCGATCAGCTGATGCTCTCAGCCAATGACCTAGCCCTGCATGGCTTCTTCTTAGGGGCTACTGAATTTCCATCGTTCGCACTGAGTGTGTAGTGGCGCCTGCGTACCCCAGGTAAAATGTCAAACCGTTCTAAAATGGTTTGACTCCGTTCAGAATGTGTGATGGAAATTTGGGGGAGGGAGGGGAGGTGCAGGACACTTCAGGCACCATAACCGCTAAAGAGAGCTGCAATGTGTATGGGGCTTGGAGTCTTCCTTTAAGTGCCATCTATGCCATTTATGTTGCTTTGCAATGTGCTGGCATTATCTCTGACGCTCTGAGCGTTGAAACTACAGTACTTCCCAACAACTGACAACTTATCGATAACTGAAAAAGACATAATCTCTCCACAGCTGCTTTATTAGTTAAACAGAAGTTAGTTTAGACTGTGACACAGAGAATCTCCATTCAAGCTCTGATTGATCCCCAGAGAATGAAATAGTCTGAAGTCTGCGCTATATTTGGCAACAGTTGTTCATTAAGTATTGAATAAAGGGAATTATATGGTATCATTGATATTAGAATGTCTTCATTACTTTAGACCTATAACCATAAAATGTATGGCTTATTATAGCAGAGAGATTTATATTCTTGTATGTAGATTTTCTGTCTTGTCTAAAGTTGTCTTTTCTGCTGAGTTGTCAGTACATCCCACACAGACAGAACATAGGGATGTAATAAAACAAGAAATAAATGCAACCGTGTAACTCGCGTTAAAGAATAAACCAGCTTATTTACTAAAGTGAGAATTATTGAAATGCCAAATTTAAGGCCAAAGTAGCTAAAATGGAAATATTGTCTAAGTCAGCTATTCTTCCAGTTTAACTATTTTGGCCTTAAAGGGACATGGTAGACACCCAGACCACTTAAGCTCATTAAAGTAGTCTGGGTGCTGTGACCCTTTTGCACGTAGTTCTGCAATGTTAAACATTGCTGTTCCAGAGAACTGTAATGTTTAAATTGCAGCTCTAAGTCTGCCCCCAGTGGCAGAGGACAGCAACGTTTCGACCTGCCCCCAGTGGCTGTCTACCAGACAGCCACTGGGGGCGCTTCAGAAATCCCAACGTACTTTTGGTCCATTATCTGATGCTGGACATCCTCACGGGCTTCCAGCGCCAGATTTTTCCATACAGAAAAGCATTGAGTAATGCTTTATTAGGGGGAGGTCTAATGCGTGCGACCATTGCCGCGCATTAGGCCTCGGGGGAGGAGCGTGGGTGGAGCCTGATGTCCATCTGCGCCGGATTCACTTAAGTGGCTGAAGGGGGCTTCTTGGGAGGGGGGTACCTATTAACCCTATAGTGCCAGGAAAACGGCTTTGTTTTCCTGGCACTATAGGATCCCTTTAAATTTGAAACTAACTTTTACTAACAATTTTCATTTTTTAGTAGATAACCCTAAAAGTGTTCCATTAGTGGCCAATAAACAACTCGCAAAAGATTTTTATTTTTTATTTTTTTTTATATATAACACAATGTAGTGTTCAACTCACAACGATCAAATATATGATGAAAATAAAAAGACATAATATTACTACAGGTTTCTATTCTTCCCTTTAGTTATTTTTATAAGAGATCTCAAATCTGTGAATAATGGCAATTCTAGAAAGTGCTTTTATAGAGATACTCCTTGTGGTATGATGTGGATGCTGAGGATAAACATTGGTGTAACTTTTATCTGCGTAATCTCAGCTCCCCTTTTATCCTAGTCAAATAACAAGTGGTGAGCGAGATGTTCTATTGAGCTTACGTTACACATATCCCTTGTATATACCATTTAGAATGTCTGTCTGGTTGTAAACCTGTTTAGTTTATGTATAACACTGTTTTTCTTTTCACAGGTGTACCGATCAAATGGCCCAGATGGTACTGCGGGCAGAGGCCAGAGGGTTCACCTGCAGCTGTGGGACACTGCAGGGCAGGAACGGTAAGATCTGTTAAATAGATGTGGTTTGAGAATCTTCTTCCCCCCTCTGTAACTTAAATGAAGCGGTTTTATCTCTTTGGGGAGCAAACTGTGTAATTCGGTACATATACTGTTGGACTGCAACTCTTGTTATGCTTGGCTGATATTTTAGTGGTTCAAAAGTGAATTAGAAGTTGCTCACTCATACTTTCCCTATTGTATTTAGGGGTATGACTGTTGGTAACTCACGTCTTTCTTGTGCACGGTTTGCCCACATATAGTGTGAAATTCTCTACACTTCTATTACGTTGTGTCCTGAACAAAATAATTTTTTCCCAAGACAGAGGACACTTTTTAAAATAAATTTATTTTTTTTAGTTCATGATCAGAGAGTTGTAGATAAATTGTATACGCTTTACTTGCAAAAAGCACAGCAAATGTATAGATTAAATTATATGCAACCTTAAGTTTGCATACTGAAGGCATCCTACACAAGAGTGGGGCAACCACAACTGGATAAAACAGCTGTGTATGAGCACCAAATCAGTGGGTTTTAACCAGGGTGCTATGACAATAAATACAATACTACGAAAGAAATTCCCCAAGCACTCAAGGTGTTAAAGCCGCAGGCAGTTTTAATGAAACAAAAAGGACAGCAATGTTTAAACCTGTCAAGAGGTCTTTTTCAAGCTTGAAAAATACCTCTTCGCAGGTCGAAACGTTGCTGTCCTTTTTGTTTCATTAAAACTGCCTGCGGCTTTAACACCTTGATTGCCTGGGGAATTTCTGTCATTGCGGGATTGCTGGTAATAAATACAATACTATCTAACAAGCCATTTATAACTCTGTTTGACCAGAAGTATTCATATGTCTTTAGTAAGCCTTCAAGGGAATTTGACTATAAGCTGCTGATGAAGATGAGAATATCTTGTGTGCCTTTGAATTTTTTCTCCCATTTAAATTTAAATGGGAGAAAAAATTGGTTTTAAAAAGGTCTGTGAACCACTGCCCCAATGGAGGAAACTTGACTAGCATTAAATATTGATTACATTTCATGTTAAAGTGACACACAGCCATGCTAGAAATGACCCTTTAAAGTCCACTGTATCAACAACCACATTGATTCTTCTTAAATGGAGTCTTTATCGGGGCATAAACACAAATTTTCCTATAGATCTTTTTTTCTTAACCCTTTAAAGCTTTTTAAATTAACTTTAGCTTAGTGCCAGAGGCTATTCATTCTGCATTTTCTCCATGATGATTATTTTATCTTTTTATATGATCTTTAAATCTAACATTTACTACTTCACTAATGAATCTGCAGAATATATCACTAATTATTTCTATGTAAAGATTTAATTCCATGCTAGAGTTTAAAGTTGTTGCATATGAGCTACTGCAAACGTGCAATTAGACGTTCTTACCTCCCTAAAGATTGGAAAGGCTTGATATTGATAATGTCAAAGTGTCAATTCCACATTTTGCAAGACGGCTGGAGAGGGCACAAGCTCTCTATTGTCCGTGTTCAAACAAGTATAACCTATCCTGATGTTACTAGCATTTAAAAAAATAAATAGAACATGAGTTTTATGATGTTGGGTCGATGCTGCTGGTTCCGGCACTGCTGAGACTACATACGGAGCCCGTGTGTTTGTTCCGTACATGAAGCGCATCCAGTCCCAATACATAGATAAGGGTTGACAGTTCCACATTGATACATACAATGGGATCTAGGTATTGTTGCATTTGAACCAGAAGATGTTTTTTGATTTTACAAGCTTTTTATGGACTAACCATGCCATTCTTATGCCTGCATGGAGTGAAATTTTGGGAGTAGGAGAGAGGAGGCTGGAAGAGAGCAAAGATGGGGATAAGATGAGGAAAAATCGGGTAGGGGAGACTGCTGCCGACAGGGTAGGGATAACATCCGAAACTACCACGATCATATGTTGCCCCCATTGTCCTATTCTCATAGAACCCGCATTTTCTAAAACACTGTTGATTGAGTGATTTCTAATGTGTGCGTTCAGTTTTCCATTAAGCAATTGTCCCTCATTTTTAGTTTTAGTCTCTCGAGATCGGGGGTGTCTCATCTTTTAATAGGGGGTCGGTCTTTGTAGAACACTGGAGGCAAGAGCCGTCACCTCGACCCAGTACAACTCTACTGTTTGGCACCCACATGTGGTGGTAAGCGCCCCTATTGCCTCAGTATCTCCCACATTTGTCTGTCCTTGTTTTCCCCATGCAGTGTAGTATTCCAACGAAATAAAGTTTTGAATCACTGTTACTGTAATGTTACACAAATCAAGGTTTTGGCATTAGCTTCCAAGATCTCTTCCAATTCCCCTCCCTCCCGAGTCTGTCCCAGATCTTGTTCCCATAACTCAGTGTATTTTAGGTTTACCCATTCGTTTTAGTGAGTGCACAGGTGTGTGTAGATCTGTGATGTTAATCCTTTCTGAGGTGCCTTGTAAGTACATAACCTTTCAAATAACGTTATGAGGGTCCTGGCTGCCTCTTTTGTATCGCCAATGTTGGCTCTTAGTTGTAGATATCTAAAATAATCTCTAGGAAATAACCTGGTTTTGTTTTGGTGTTTGAATGGGATAAAAGTGTTTTCCTGAAATAGGTGGCTGATCCATTGTAGTCCAGCATATTCAATGCTATTACAGTCCTGCATATTCAATGTAGTCTCTGGGTCTCATACCCAAGAGAAATGCCCTATGCCGTAGGTATGGAGTCATAGATGATGGGGTCAAGGTCAGTGAGAATCTATTTGTGGTAGCATCCCATAGTCGTGGGGAATTTTAAGATTGCTGGGCAAGAAGTGCATAATATTGGTCCTAGTCCTCTGGCTATTCTGAGTCTATACTGTATGATGCACACTACTGTGTCGTTTGTTCTGCCAGATGAAATTATTTATAGCCATCTGTAGGCCTTTTTTGGTAATGGGGATCGGCAGTGACTGAACGTTCGTCTGGGGAGAATATTCATTTTCACTACATGAATATGTCCTATACACAAGTTAGTATTCTCATCACAAGCTATAGGAAAAGAAAAAGGGGTAGATATGGGGAAGATCAACTAAGCAGTGCTCTAAACTGGACAAGTTCTACCATAAAATACCCAATTAAAATAAAGTCACAAAAAATAAATGAACAGGATACATCTGAACACCAAACCAGGAGTTAAAACTCAGGATGAATAGGAGTATATAAAAATCAATAATAAAGAAATTCCAAAATAAATAAGTGTGTCTCTATATGAAATGTCCAAACTTGTGTTCAAATAAACTCAATAGTGCATCAGTTCTCACTGTCCAAACATGTAGCAAAAAAGTCAGTATATTGTAAGATATCACCTTGGAATCATATCTCAGACACTAAGTGCCTAAAATAGTACTCTGCCAATAAGTATAAGTATAGCAGTGATTCATAAATATCCAATTCACTTTCAACCATAGAATAAGGTAGTGAACAACAGGAACATGCAGATATTGAGGATCATTAGGATCTGCATGGGACACTATAGGCATCAAAACAACTTTAGCATAATGAAGCAGTTTTAGTGTATAGATCATGCCTCTAAAGTCTCACTGCTCAAATTTCTGCAATTTAGGAGTTAAATCACTTTTTTTTTTCCTGCTTATGCAGCCCTAGCCTCACCGGTCATGGCTGTCACTGACAAAGCCTGCATGAAAAAATTGTTTCATTTTTAACCAGATGTTTATTTGCTTTAGACCAGGCTTCCTCAAACTCCGGCCCTCCAGATGTTGCTGAACTACAACTCCCGTGATTCTCAGGCTATCTATTTCATTCATAGAATCATGGGATTTGTAGTTCAGCAACATCTGGAGGGCCGGAGTTTGAGGAAGCCTGCTTTAGCCGTTTTTTTGCGGCTCTGTAAATTGAACTTTTATCATACACAGGTGGCTCCTGCAAGGTCTAGCAAGCTATTAACCGAGCAGGAGATAAGAAATTTTAAATTAAACAGAATTTGCAATAAAGCAAGTATAAACATTAGATCTCTCTTTACAGGAAGTGTTTAGGAAGACTGTGCAAGTCACATGCAAGTAGTTGTGTCTAAGGCTGCATAAACAAAGTAATTTAACTCCTGAATGGTAAATAACACCAAAACTGTTTCATTAAGCCAAGGTTGTTTTGGTACCAATAGTGCCCCTTTAAGGGTGTGACAAAGGTTGCTAAAACAACTGTTACTAAACGATTATAAAAGACAGTCGTGGATGCATTGTCATTTACATTATTTCCCGGTATAAGAAATCCTAGCTGCTTTACTGTGTTTATGGTATGCATGTTATGGTATCATACATCACATACAGTATAATAGATACCCAAATATAGCCTGGCTAGCCTGGAAAATAAGATAACATTCACCAGTGAAGGCGTGTCCAGTCCTCTTTGTGTTACACATGTCGCTTGGAATAAATGTATACCTGGTACAGTGCTCAAAATGCCAGTTTTTCTTTTAAGGCTCCTCCAACCCACTATGAAAACCAAAAATTTACACCAAGGGGTTGGCAGATATACTGTTGATTCCTATAGGTTAGCTGGTGAAGTAGCTCACTTGGTAAATTCCCTGACTACAAAGCCTGTAGTCAGGGATGCAAGGTTCTCAGGTTCAACTCAGCCCTTCATCCTTCCGAGGTCAATAAAATAAGTACCATCAATTGGGTAATATCATCTATTACTATTCAGCTGCCAATTTGGTTAATCCCGAGAGCGCTTTAAGTCCTACTGGGAGAAAGGCACTATATAAATTCACATCTATGGTGTCGAAGTTTGGCAGGAAAGAAAATCAATTTTGCCTATATCCCCTGTCACATGGAGGTTTATATGAGTAGCCAGAGTATAATTAGATGTTGTTGGCATGCAATTTTAATACATTACATTTTTAATTCTTTCTTTCTTTCCTTTTTACATTTTTTTCTTTATTCTTTCAGATTCCGCAGTCTGACAACTGCCTTTTTCAGAGATGCAATGGGTTTCCTTCTGCTTTTCGATTTAACCAATGAACAAAGTTTCCTTAATGTTAGAAATTGGATAAGTATGTCTTTTTAAAAAAAATTTAAAAATATTATTTTATTTATTTTGAAAACTAAAACCCCATTTAGGAGCAATGTAATGAAAATACATATATCTGGCTTTTAATTCTATGATTCCGCTGCTTTACCTTGTCCCTCTCTGTATGGATATGTTATGTAATAACTGAACTGTCATAGTCTATTTGGAAAGAATTATTATTCAATTAGTGCTTGTATTACAAAATAGCTCTTATGTTTGCAGACTAAGGCTTGCCAAGAAGCCAGCAAATTGACTTGGCTTTTAATCGGCCATTAAATGGAAAAGGAAACAAACAAAAATGTGCTTTTTCGTTTTAAGCTAAAATTCCTATTTTTTTTTTATTTTTTTTATGTTTTGTTACTATAGCTGTAGAACACCTGATAGAATCTACATTGTCTATTAACAGGAAATGTAAAAACTAGGATAATTTGCAAGTCCGAATTGAATAAATGCACAGATTTAGGATTAGTTAAAAGCCCCTCTGACAAATCACAAATAGGTAAATTCTGACAATTTTCTTCATGTATGCCCCTTTAGACATGGGGAGGTCTGTTTATTTTCTATACAAAATCCAGCCCATTCACTCAATAAAATTCTTCTTATACTGTATTTAATTTTACACAATTTCTTTCAAGAGTTAGAACTACCTTATCAATTGGCTACTGTATCAACACTTTCTCTTTATCTTGTTTGTTAAAGGAAGCTCAACTTGTTTTGTGGCTTTTTGTGAATGCTAAGGGGGAACACCCTTCTCTTCTGCAAACATCTTGCTGTCTAGCAGAAACTGTATTGATTCCCACCCAAGATCAAATATTGCACATTTGTTCTGGAATGCAGCGATTCTACATCGCAAGTTGGGTTAAAGTTTAGGACGTTAGTTTATTAAAACAGCTAACTAAGCGAACTGGCCACTATTCTGTAAACCCTAAAGGAATAACCCTTAACCTTTTTTATTGTCAAGAACTTAAATAATGCAGACAACTATTTTTATTTGGAATGCCTAACATAGTATGTTTTTACACCTGTTCTCCTCGTCTTACCTTACACAACTTGCTTTTCCACAATCATTTCAATCTAGCTCAATTTTCCAGTGAACTCCCATCTGGCGTGTCTTGCGTTTGTTTGGTTCAATGACATCCCCGGATAACTTGCTCTGTACTTTGAACTTGCTGTGTCACCTTTAATACATTTATTTGTTTTTATCCTATTGTACAGTGCTCCGGAATATGCTGGAGCTATATGAATATGTACACAATATTTGTTTTGCAATTTTTTTTATTGTGATCTGACATATCAGGGGTGTGGAATATTTAAAAAAACAAAAATAAAAAAAATTCTTGTTTATTAGGACAGGCTCCTTGGCCTGGCACTAAATTTAATATAACTTTCAAAATTAAATCTGAATAGAACAAGTCAAACACAGCCCTGACCAATCGGCATCTCCTCAGAGAGGAATTGAATCCATTTGTCTCTATGAGGAAAGTTCAGTGTCTGCACACAGAGGGTGGAGACACTGAATGGCAGTGCTGCACACAATGCAGGACTGTCCCAGGAAGCACCTCTAGTAGCCATCTATGGAGAGGCCAGTGGAGTTATCCCTAGGCTGTAATGTAAACACTGCATTTTCTCTGAAAAGACAGTGTTTACAGCAAAAAGCCTGAAGGGAATGATTCTACTTACCAGAACAAATGCAATAGGCTGTTTTTGTTCTGGTGACTACAGTGTCCCTTTAAGTAAAAAATAAATAAATAAAAATGGTTGAATCTGACACACTGCAACGCATACCCACAAACACACTCTCTAACCCATACTCATACACAGACTAACACACTGAGCCATTTAAACACAAACTAAATCTGACGAACATACTGTACAGCCCAATTCCGTCTGTCTCATTACCAGCAACTTTTATCCTACATTCAGTGTGCAGCTTGGTCCCTTGACTTTTCTGTCCTCCATGCACAGAGTGTTGGCCACTGGGTTATGATGTCATGCTGCATCCCTGCGGCCATGAACACTGTGCATCGCGAGAAGTGGCTCCTGTCCTTGTACCTACCCATGACTGGCAGTCTGCTGGCACCCCTATTTGGTTTTAGGAGAAGCGGACAATCTTTACACCTCACAAAATACCCCCTGATCGCACAGCGCCCGGAACTGCATGTCCCCAACATTGGGTTTTTATAAAGTCCACATCCTTGCATATACTAAACTAAATCCTGCAAAATTCTGCTATTACTCTTATCAGTGCCATAGAGGTGCTACTATAGGTGCATTTTAAACCTTACAGTGATGAGTCTAACATGTCCTACTGTCCCAACTCTCTCAATGAAAATTAGAAGCTTCTGATTGGCCAAGCTTTTTTCTGGAGTGGTTAAAGACTGATGATGTAATGTGTGGGTATTTACACACTTAACAATTTAACGTGGCCCTCTCAAATAAGCCAGCTGTGTTTAATTTAAAGGGACTCTCCAGTGCCAGGAAAACAAACTGTTTTCCTGGCACTGCAGGTCCACTGTCCCTCCCACCCCATCCCATGTTGCTGAAGGGGTTCAAACCCCTTCAGTGACTTACCTGTATCTAGCGCCGATGTCCCTCGAGGCTTGGTCATGCTCCGTCCACGTTCCTCCCCGCCGACGTGAGCCGGCAAGGGAGACCTATTGAGCATGCGCGTCCGGCGGGGGAGACCTAATGCGCGGCAATGCCGCGCACGCACATTACACCTCCCGATAGGAAAGCATTGAATAATGCTTTCAATGCTTTCCTATGGGGATTACGGTGACGCTGGAGGTCCTCACGTAGTGTGAGGACGTCCAGCGTCGTTATAACACACTTTTCGTGTTCAATGAACTAGAAAAGGACTTAACCCTCAAGGTAAATATTGCAGTTTATGAAAACTGCAATAATTACACTTGCATGGTTAAGGGTAGTGGGAGTTGTAACCCAGACCACTCCAATGGGCAGAAGTGGTCTGGGTGCCTGGAGTGTCCCTTTAATGGCTGTTTACAGATGTTCCTGAATGTGTTTACTGTTTTACCAACTGGTCAATAAACCTCATATTATGGGAAATTTCAGCATAATGTGAAAAATGTGTTCATGTGCTGAGAAAGATTTCACATCCTCCCCTAAGGCTTTGTTCTGGAGTATATATGCTGTAAGTCCATGTCAGGACAGGCCCTCCAGGCTTGTTGAGTTCTAATATGGTGTGAACTAGAAAGACAGGAAGGGGAAGTTCTATGGAATCTTCTAATAAACATACCTTGTTCTTCATACAAGTTTATTGGTGTATGTATACATAGAAGGCTATTATTTGCTTATTTTTGAAGCAATGTGGTAGCTATTATTATTTAATTTATAAAGTGCCAGCAAATTCGGTAGCACTGTACAATGGGTAATTGTAACCAGACAAATGGACGTACAGGAATGGAGGGGTTGAGGGCCCTGCTCAGTGAGCTTACATGCTAGAGGGAGTGGGGTATAGTGACTCAAAGGGTATAAGTAGGGGTAATGAAATGGGTTACTAGAAAAGTATTCACTGAGAACCTAGTAGGCTTTTTTTGACAGTTGCAGGAGAGGAGTCATGGGGGGGTCGGGGTGATGAAAACCCGCTAGCAGTTTAAATGATATGCTTTCCTGAAGAAGTGAGTTTTCAAAGATTTTTTTTGAAGGTGTGGAGACTGGGTGAAAGTGAAACTGAGAAGGGAAGGGAGTTCTACAGAAAAGGTGCAACCCTGGAAAAGTGTTGGAGGCGGGCATCAGATGTGGGAGTACAGACAGAGGATAGACGTTCTTCGGCAGAGAGCAGGGGCCTCGACGGGACATATTTGTGTATTATGGAGAATAGGTAGGTTGGAGCAGCATTATGTAGGGACTTGTAAGCAAGCACCAGAATCTTAAATTGAGCCCTATATCTAACTGGAAGCCAATGTAGGAACTGACCGAGGTGGGAGGTGCGGGCGGACAGGAAAATGAGCCTTGCCACTGCACTCATTATAGATTGCAACGGTGCAATCTGGGAACACGTAAGACCACTAAGAAGGGGATTGCAGTAGTCAAGGCGAGAAAGAACAGTGGCATGGATCAGCATCTTAGCTGTGTCTGGTGTTAAAAAAGGCGGATGCGTGCTATGTTTTTGAGATGGAAGCAGCAGGATTTGGAGAACGACTGGACATGAGGGGTGAAGGAGAGGTCAGAGTCAAAACAAACACCTAGGCAGCGAGCCTGCGAGGTAGAGGTGATGGTGGCGCTGTTGACTTGGAAGGAGGAAGATGAAGAGCCAGAGAATGAAACACTGAAAAAGCGCTGGGAGAGATGGGAGGAACACCAGGAGATAGCAGTATCCCGTAGACTGAGATTACGAAGAATGAGAAGAAGCTGTTGATGATCAACAGTGTCAAAGGCAGCAGAAAGATCAAGGAGAATTAGGATAGCGAGATTTTGCAGCGATTAAATCGTTGGATACTTTGGTCACAGCTGTTTCAGCAGAATGACGAGCACGGAATCCAGACTGAAGCGGGTCAAGCAGAGAGTTGGATTCAAGGAAGTCTGTCAATCTCTAATACAAAACTCTCTCAAGGATTTTGTAGGCAAATGGCAGTAGCGATATAGGGCGGTAGTTGGATGGGAGTTTGAGTCAAGGTTGGGCTTTTTCAGAATAGGTGTTAGGGTTATGCCGGAGGAAAAGGAGAGATGGAATATTTTAGTGAGAGGGAGACAGTGCGGGTGAGACATGAGGGAATATGATCGAGGGCAGAAACCTCTTCCGTTGTAGTAGGTGCAAATGAGATCTCTTCCTTGATTGTAGAAATCTTCTCAGTGAAGTGAGTTGCAAAGTTTGAGGCGGACAAGGTAGAAGGACTAAGGGGAGCAACAGGGTATTGAAGTAATTTACTTTTGCAGAGTGTAGGAGCGCAGCATAAATTTATAGTGGAGGAAGTCAGGTGCAGAGTGAGACTTTCTCCAACAGCATTCAGCAGTTGTTGAACATTTTTGGAGATATCGGGTAAGCTTGGTGTGCCAGGGTTGTAATTGGGAACGCTTTCCGCATTTAAATATAGGAGGTGCCATGATGTCTAGTCGAGAGGAGAAAGTGGAGTTGTTAAACTACTTTTTTTTTTTTTTTTTTTTTAATTAGAACCAGTTGAATAGTTCAAAGTACCATTTTACTCTGCAATACACTCTAAGCGCTAGAGCTTGTTATAGTGATTATGGTGAAAGGAGTCTGCGCCATAACCCTGGTTTGCATGCTTCCATTTAGGAGTGGTTTGGGGAAAGAATGAGGTCTCTTGGCACCTACAGCCTGTACCCTTTTCTGTGACTCTGCTGATGTAGAGATGCATTAGTCTATCCAACTCTGGTTGGTAATGATGGACTTAAAGCTCTGGACTAACCTGTCTCCAGAGTTCTAAACCTATCATCCCAAAATTGGAAAATATGTTTACTTCTGGCATTCGCTGAGCTGCAACAGATGAGTTGGTTGAAGGTGCCAGAAGAATCCTGTTTTTATATCCCATGAAATCTGTTTGATACTACTTGGAGAAAATAGGTGGAAATGGAGAGGGACTACAAAGGCATGAATGCAGTAAAACCACAATTTAAGTTGTTTTGGTGCCTAGTGTCCCTCTTACCTTTTGATCTACTATTTCAGATACAAGGGTGGTGTAACTCCTATGTCCTTGCAAATATGTAAAATAAAAGAATAAAACTGATGGTGTCGTATGTCAAATACAATGATAAAAAGATAAAAGGAGATAATCCACTCAAACTTTTTGGGAGCCTGGGTGTAGCTCCAACCTTTGTGCTTGGGCGGATTAATCCCGGCCTAGGGATATGCTGTGGTCCATGGGTCTGCAAATGGTCTTCCTCTTACAATATCCTCATAGATATGTAGGAGAAAAAAATAAATAATATGGTGTAGTATGTCAAACAAAAAAAAAGAGTAAAACAGGATAAAAGATGTGCACTCACACATTATGGAGAGAACATCGGCTCTCCAGATATGGCTTGGAGTGGTATGATCCCCACTCTAGGATATAAAAGGTGCTTGGGCCTCTCTGTGTGTAAACAAAGAAGAGAAAAAAGAACCAAAATAGTGTGTATCTATAGAATTAAAATCTGAGCTGTAGAATAAAACTGTAGTCACACTCTGTGGAGCAAATGAGGATTGCTCAAGCCAATAGGCGTAGGTGTTTTTTTTTGTCCCCACCAAAGATCTAAGCATCCAGAATTACATCTCCAGAACATGAAAATCCTACGGCAGAGTACTGTACTTTTTATGGGACCATGCTGATCGCCGCTAGATTTATGAACGCTTAGATCCTTGGTGGTGACAAAAAAAACACCTAAGCCTATTGGATTGAGCAATCCTCATTTGCTTCACAGAATGTGAGTATGGTTTTATTCTACAGCTAATATTTTAGTTCAGTTTAGACAAAGAGAATAAAAACACAATCGTGTTCTAACTGTAAAACTAAAATAAAGTCTTATAGGGTGCCTCATGATGCTATAAAATGAAAGGCTCATAGGTATCGGTCTTAAAAAATGGCCAGTGGATATTATAATAATAATCGTGCCTCATGAGAGAGCTGCAGGATTGATAGTGAGATGAGGTAAGATATGAGAGAGAAGCAGTACACTAAGGAGGCAAACAATACCTTGCCTGCTGGAAAATACAGCATCCAGTCACCTCAATCAAGCAGAATAGCCACCTTAATCAAGCAGAACGGCTTAACAAATTTTTCTCATTGTTTTATTGTATTTTTCTTATCACTCTTCTGAAAATAACACAAATCTCATGGTTCAAATTGAATGGGTTGTTACCTAAACCATTCCTACATAACACTCCCACGCTACATGAGATCTTGTGCATGGCTCTCTGGTCTAGCCATAGTTTTTATTGATGAATTTATATAGAGCAATGTTTAGTGGGTATAAAAACAGGCATGTTTGAGTCAGTGCAGTGGGGCATTTTGTGTGCCCATGACAATATTGTAGCGGGAGTAGAAATTGATAAACAGTAAGGATTACACACACTTTCCCCATGACACCTAACCCATGTCTATCCTTTAATTATACGAACTCTCCACCCAGCATGCGACACATTCTCCGTAATCATCCCGAGCACTGCCTCTACTCAAAGTGTCACTGGTTTCAGAGGAGACCTAGTGTCCCGGGTTGGGGACCGAGGTAACAGGGCAAAATGGTTTGCCAATGGCAAATTGCAAAATGTGCTTTAAAATACCCAAGCTGTGACAATATAGAAGATTTCTATTTTTTTTTTTTTTCAGATCCGCACTTTTTGTCTAAATGTTGCAATTTGATTTTAAGTGGAATAAAAATTGTAGCGTAAAGAATTAGCCCTCCCTGAATAATGTACTTTACCCCCCACCCCCAGTTTACACTCATTGGTGGTCTGTACCAGTGGAGGCAGATATTATAGCATGCAGACGTTAAAGGCAGGAGTAGATCAAGGGAACCGATCCACCTTTGGTATCAAAGATATTTAATCTGCATTGATGATAAGCTCTTCGACTCCTAAATAATATCCAGTAATGTTTTTGCAATTTAATGTAACAAGTAGCAAATGGAAATATTATTTAATTCCAAAAATGTTGGAATTTTAAATATTAAAATGTATATTGAGGTTTATATAAAGGAGACACAAATGTTGCTTTTAGCATTTCTGTAGGTTTTGTAGTTTTAGTTTTTTGTTTTCTGTTTTTAGTACTTTAAGTAGGTAATGGTTGGGATTATTCTAATTACATCATATCCCTACATTGCTTACTTAGCCTGCACCCATCCTCCTCTTCGGCTTAAATTCTTTTTGACATGGTTTTTCATTGTGAGGATTTGCACTCCTCTGTTTCTAATTGTTATATAAATAATGAAAGTTTTATTAGCAATGGTTTATTTATTGCCATGTTTGGCAGATAATAAAATATGGCGAGATGTCATGCAGTGCTGTGAGCTTGTGAAACAGTCTGGGAAATGATCTAACATAGGCTGAAATGTCCTGCATTGGTTTCACCCACGCAAGTGTGTTTCATGATGTGATGGCGGTGCACTATGTAAATAAGGCTTCCCCAAACTCCGGCCTTCCAGATGTTGCTGAACTACAACTCCCATTATTCTCAGCCTATCTATTTCATTCATAGAATCATGGGAGTTGTAGTTCAGCAACATCTGTAGGGCTGGAGTTTGGGGAAGCCTGGTGTAAAGGAATAATGCAACAAAAAGAGTTTTCAGAACACCAGTGAAGTGGTCATGGTGCTTGGAATAACCCTGTAAGGATTTTTCTCTGGAGGACCTGGTTTTCCTACTTATTGTGATGAGCAACCCCATTTGTCACACCCGTAGCTTATGAATACTCTGATAGCCTAAGGTGCTCTGACTTAGATGGTGATCCCCTCATACCCAGCCCTTTCTCCCCATTACCCACTAATTTCCTCCTTTGCGTTCTTCACTTTATTCTTCAGTCATATTCTTTATTCTTTCTGGTACGCATTCCTTGAGGTCACTATAAAATGTACCTAATCATGACTAAGATGGGCAAGGTTGAGATTATCTGTTATAATTAATACAGTTTACATGAGCTGGTGTCTTGTTTGCTATATTATGTTCACAACCATTTCTCTTGATTTATTGTGACTATGTTCTCTTTTTGTCTTCTTGTCCCTTATATTTATTTCTTGAATCAAAGTAAAGATTGTCTCAAAAAAAAAAATACTACCAAGGATGGAGTTACACATACAGCAGTTAAGGGGTTCATCTGGGTATGTGCAGCATTTCAAAGCAAAATGCTGCACATATCACATCACTGAAGTGATCACTGTATTTTTTAATTTAATTTTTATATATAAATATAATATATTTTTTCTTAAATTGTTGCTATTCTATGTTTCCTCTCTCTCTCTATATCTATATATCTTTAATTTTATTTTTTTTATCTTAGTATTTGGTAAATCTGCTAGAGTATAAAATAAATAACATAAAAGAAACAAACGTAAACATACTATTACTCATTTTTTTTTTTCTTTCAGGCCAGCTTCAAATCCATGCATACTGTGAGAACCCAGACATTGTGCTGTGCGGAAATAAAAGTGATCTGGAAGATCAGAGAGTGGTAAAGGAAGAGGAGGCCAAGGAATTTGCAGAGAAATATGGGTGAGCCATTTCCTCCTGTGTATTGTTTAACCTGGCACACACCTCCTCTGCACGGCCAGAGTTATATATTATATTCATATTATCCCCTGCTCTGTCAAGTCATATAGAGGACAAAGCTCTTTCCAAAACTACTCTACAAACCTACATGCTGCATGTAGAATACATACACATGGATATTCATTAAACTCAAAATTTGATCAAATTAGCTGTTATATGAATTTTTCCAAAGCTGCTATTTTAGAATCAATTTTCCATTCAGATTTTCTTTGGGATAATTTTTTTTTATTTTTTGGATTTGTGTGTATTACATGAATGTTTTAGAGGTAGAAAAAAAAACGTACAGTCATCATATCCTATTTCAGCACAGAATCAATAACAATTAACTTAATATTTGACATAGTAATGCTAGTTATCAATCGCATTGCTTAATAATGGTATACCATGAAGTTAAGGCCTCATAATTGTGCCTCCGTTTTACAGCTGAAATGTGCGACTAAGCTCCCAGCTATTCGGGAAGGTGACTGCAGGAAGTAGACATAAGAGATAAGGGTGAAGATATAGGTGTGACAGATATTTATTTGGAAATGTAACTACCTGAGAGAGGAGTGGGGTGCAGCTGATAATGCAGTGAGGGAACAGAATTACCCCTCTGGATCTCTTGGCCAAAGAATGGTTTGTAAAACAACCCAACAGAAATTGGTACATCTTGGACTCCTCCATTACTCAGTGTATCCCATACAGGGTGCAGTTAAAGAAGGCAGTAGCTAGAGGATCAGGGGTGAGTGGGTAGAATGAAGAGAGTAGGGATAAACTAGGATCCCAGTAGACTTGGCATGTCCACCTAGGAGTAACGTGCCCCCCTTTGGGAAATGTTAAACTTAAGGGACATTGGCAACAGGAAGTAGAAATGACTCGCCAATGCATGCAGAGAAAGCGTCCTTCGGCCGGTCTAAGCAGTGAAGTATGTGTTATGTAACTGTGTATTCGATTAATAATAGTATAGTATGGAGAGCATAAAAAATACCATGCGTGAAAGCCTTCCTATTGTTCCGTAACAGAAGTCGCAGGATGCAACAGATTTGTTTCTCCTGTGAGTCTAGTGGTAAACTAGCAGTGGGTGGTACCCTTATTCAGTTAATTATGATCCAAGGAAAACACTGGAAGAGATGAGATGAAGTGGTTTTAGTGCCATTAGGGGTCCTTTAACTGTACTGCCCCTAAAATAGTTTTTAATTTATTTAATACCTTAATTTCAGCTTCATGAAATATACATTTCTTCCCTCTTCACCTATTCTAAAATAAGGTCCAGCGCCATAGAATGTGTTATGGCTTTCTAGAGTAATTATAATTCATATTGAGAGTTAGCAGTGCTTATCCCAGTGATGCACAGATAGAGTATTAAAATACAGCATAATACCATTTTTCTTTTTTTGTATATTGTAGGTACTTTTCAACCAAACGTTTTTGAATGAGAGAAGTGGAATGAGATAGCTATGTATTCTATCTGTGGGTGCTGCTGGTTGATATAATAAACCCTCAAAGCTGGGTTAACAATTAATCAGCAGTGACCTTATTTAATATGGGAAGGAGAGCCAGAAATGTGTGTTTTTATTTCTCTGCTCTGTGGCACTGAGAGGACCATTAAATCTCAGGCTTTAACGAGGTGAATGTGCCAGTTTCACATAAATGAATATGAAAGGTTAGTAGACAAGTAAGGCGACAAGTAAGAAAGAAAAACAAACACATGTAATTAGTTTAAGCCACAATATTCTGGTTAAATGAAGATGAAGTGGGTTTATCCTTTTACAGTACACCTAGAAACATAGAATGTGACGGCAGATAAGAACCATTCGGCCCATCTAGTCTGCCCAATTTTCTAAATACTTTCATTAGTCCCTAGTCTTATCTTATAGTTAGGATAGCCTTATGCCTATCCCACGCATGCTTAAACTCCTTTACTGTGTTAACCTCTACCACTTCAGCTGGAAGGCTAATCCATGCATCCACTACCCTCTCAGTAAAGTAATACTTCCTGATATTATTTTTAAACCTTTGTCCCTCTAATTTAAGACTATGTCCTCTTGTTGTGGTAGTTTTTCTTCTTTTAAATATAGTCTCCTCCTTTACTGTGTTGATTCCCTTTATATATTGAAATGTTTCTATCATATCCCCCCTGTCTCGTCTTTCCTCCAAGCTATACATGTTAAGATCCTTTAACCTTTCCTGGTAAGTTTTATCCCGCAATCCATGAACCAGTTTAGTAGCCCTTCTCTGAACCCTCTCTAAGGTATCAATATCCTTCTGAAGATACGGTCTCCAGTACTGTGTACAATACTCCAAGTGGTTTGGATTTTATATTTCACACTCTCCTCATAAAGGGGAATTTTCTTGTCTCCATAGCAATCTATCCTGAAACTAAATGCCTCCATCTTAGTTCCCTGTGAATCACTGTTATAAACTCTCAACATACTATGTAAAATAACAGAGAAGGTTCAGATAGCAAACCTTACTGTTGTTTTTACTGTTTGACTGAACTGTCAGTTGTAAAATGTTTAAAAGGGAATGGAGCAATACATGAATAACTGGTCAACACAAGTTATGTCTTTCGATGTTTTATTCATTGATGTGATTTTTCAGAAAAGTCATGGGTCTCCTAAAACGTGGATATATTGTATGGTTAATCATTGAAGTTATCCAATTTGCAACACTCCTGAACATCGGAACATTTTCTGAATATTCTACAGGGAGCTACAAGGTTCAGTAACAACTAGAGCCCCCATTAAAATCAATTGAACGCTCCACAGACACTGGCATCGACTTTCTTTATGAAACTTGACAGCAAGCACAAAAGAGAATAGAATGTTCCATTATTATCACAGTGTGAAGGAAAAGAGGAGGGTTATACTCCATGGTAGTTTACTACTGCAACCAGTTAAGCCACAGTCACCATCTAGCGGTCACTTTAGAAACGTTTCTCTTACAAAGCGTTAAATCAATGCTTACATATGAGTATACTGGCAACTGCACATAGCCTTGGCGGCTGCACTTTGGGACTCTCACTGTCGTTTTGCTGTGGCTTATTTGCTAGGGTTGGCTCAAGGAACAGAAAGATGCAGGTGTCTGTACTTTATATCAAAATAAAAATTTTTGTCCAGTCACATCTTTACCCGCGACTCTGCTGCAGAGAAACTGGCGTTTTAGCATTATTGCTTTCAAAATATATTTAACTTCAAGTTTCCCAGCGATGCATCATTTAATGATTTCTTGTATAATGCCATCTTGTGGCAGATTGAAGGTATGACATTTTTGTTTCTTAGAAGAGCACAGACCACCACAATATACCATGAGCTATAGCTGTCATGAAAGAGGGACTGTTGTGTTCTAATGCATGCATCAGTTACATTATGCTAGTAGATGTCACTGGTTTAATGAACTGGTTTTATTATATGAGGACAATTGCTCCTTTATCATGGCATCTATAGGCATTCTCCTAACTATGATGTAGAAATAGGAGACCAAGAGGAAACGTTGTTGCCAGTTTTAATGCTAGATGGTATTTTTCTTGCTCAGCACATACAGTGCATAAGTAACTTGTCAACAATGTCAAAGTGCCCCATACTTGTGGACAATATGAGTGATTTCAGCTGCATATCGCTAATGTCCGTAATAAATAAATGCACACAAGATCTTACAACTAGTTGTGATTGTTAAATTCTCCACTGCCTGTAAAAATTTATATTTTTTTTATGTATTTACTTATTTTTTGGATGAAGTGTGCACTTGGTCTTCAGTAGACCTTTCCAATGAAATAAAATTCTCAACATTTTTAACAAATATGTTGGTTTTTAATAAATATTTTATTAATCCTAACTAATGGGTCTCCTTTCATATGAAGAAAATTAACATTTAAATACCTGGCTTTTTGGTACTTTCAAGATTAAGGTTGAATTATGAGGAAATAAGCCTCTGTGTGTACCATTTAACACAGTTCTTTCCTCCATCTAAATCTAATTACCCGTCATAATGTATTTTCTTTTTATTTTGCAGAATTGCTTATTTTGAAACAAGTGCCGTTGATGGAACTAATGTCAACAAAGCCGTAGATACTTTGCTGGACCTGATCATGAAGCGCATGGAACGGTGTGTGGACAAGTCTTGGATTCCCCAAGGGGTGGTTCGGTCCAATGGCCACAGCTCTACGGAGCAGTTAACTGAGGACAAAGAAAAGGAGAAATGTGGCTGCTGAGACATCCCTATGTTAATAAAAATTGATAAATATGCCCCATTCAATAACCCCTTACCTTACGTACACTTTTTTTTTTTAGTGTACAGTCAAAGTTTTCTGTATGAGTTCTGCAAAATGCGCTCATGTTTAAATGTCTGTTTGCACACAGCGTGTACTGTTTTATGAAAAACTAAATGGTCATTATTTCAGAACTTAGCCTAAGGAGTGATTGAGCCAGCCTTATTCCAGCACTCAAAAAGGTTAATACTACAATACTGAAATATGTGCAATATCCGTTTTATATGCGTCACAATTACAATCCTCCACATCCTTACTCATAGGCATATCAATTGTTGGGAAAGAAAAAAAAAATAGCTCATTGTGAGATGTTGGAATATAGCATTTTATCTCTGGAGGTAGTGTTAGACTGGCCTCTTGTAATATAGGAAATATTAATCCCCTGTTCCAATATTCTTATATGAACCAGAACCAGCCCATTTTTTTATGTATGTGTGCACATATATACTAATGCATAAATTTTATGTAAAATTTCTTATGTTTCAACAGGAATTTAGGGCAGAATAAATACCAGCACAATTTCATCAGGGCTGGGGCTAAGCGATGAAATTGTATGTGCCAAGTGTGCTTTTTGGGACTCTTTTTGGATAGAGGCAGTTCCATTTTGGTCCTGGTGAGACATGCTTCACAGATCTCAATGTTGCGTGATGCCTAATTCTAAATCTTGGGTTGGAAAATGTTAAGTGGATAAAGATTTCAGTTGCTATTTCTGCTTCTTCCTTTTGGTGTTAAAATTGGTGTTTCTGGTTTTCTTTCTTTTCATTTTTTGATTATTTTTTTCCTGCCATCTGTAACTTTGAAATAACGTAAATTTGTGACACATTTGTTGATACATAAATACAAAAAAAAAAAAAATGCCAAAACAAGTTCCTTAATAAAATGTGGTGGGTTTGTCTTTTTATCCTTTCAATATCAGTGGCCATTACATTATGGGTCACTCACCACTCATCTAGCACATGAGAGGTAAAATTAATTAAACAACATATTGCATGAGTTCAATAAATTCTGATTTTTTTTTTTTCCTCTCTATAACACTGTAGTTCGTAGTATTACAAACGTAAGCCTTGATTTAATATTTTTGGACACGCTTTTTTTAAATGATAGAATATTTTTGGACAGACTTTTAAAATTTCTCAAAATATTAAAATATGCATAAAGTATATCCTACATAAAAAATATTACAATAGTTTTCATAGTATTGAACCATTTGAAAAGATAATCCAAAAATTTTACACTGCGGCCTAACACTTAATAAAAAAATATACATTTATATATAATGCAATAACCTACACAGATGTATAGAAATGGCATTACTGTATCAAGTGGTTTTGCAGAGAAAGTCTCCTTTACTAAAATCACTAGGCTGTGTTTATAGAATTCCTATGCCAACACTATATAACGTACCATCATGGCATTTCCTAAATACGCCCGTGTTCACACAACAAACCCCAACCACACTTTGCAGGAAATATTTAGCAACATTCTTCCCTATGATCACATACATAGCATGTTACTGTCAATTAAGTGGCCACAGACTTTATCATCTCCGTGGCTTTTAAAGCTCTGTTTGTCCAGACTGGGTTAGCATGAGTGCTATTTTCTGTGAGGCTACAGTTTGATTGTGGTCCCCAGGGCAGATAATCACACACAGTAGAACTGGCCTTAAGAGGCTGTAGGACTACATGCTATAAACTCTGTCTTTTAGGCAGGAAATAGCAACAGGATGTATGGTATCAGAGGTTTTACACTACTTTATCATGTTCCAGAACTGATGTGACAGATATTACTGTATGGTTCAGAGTAAAATATCTCTTCTCTATATTGGTTAAAACATGAGATCACTTATCTAAGAAACTCGTAGTGCGTATTGATGATGATGGCGTTTGTGTCCTTATTTGGTGGAGAAGAAATACCAAAGACTAAAACAGCTTAATTTGGATGTTAGTGTGGTATTCCAAATGTATCACATTTCATATGTCATCTTCATGATTGTAGGTCTGTCCCCTATTCTTCAGTCATATTAATGTATTTTATAGCTTGCTATAGACTTGTGTAATGGGTAAATAAGAAAATGTAATCCAAAATCCAAGGTGCCAACAAAAAACATAACTTCATGGCTTGCAGCTACTATGGACTGTTACACCACCAATCTCGGCCAGCATCTTTCTTTTCTGCAGTTGCCAGACCTTAACTTTCATCGCAAAAACTGAAATGTGTGTAAGAGTTATAGAATCAGTCATATTTTATTTATTTTTTTTAAATAAAAACAATGAATTTTTGATAAGGTGGTAAAGCAGGGATGGCCATCCAAGATCATCTTTCCAATTTTTGGCCATTGACGGCCGTTGCTGAGATGTTAATTTCAGCAGTCTGTCTGCTGTAATACATCTAATAGGTGAAATAGACAAGTGCCTTTATAGGCCAGCTGTCCAAAGAGTAATCTTGTGTTTCTTTCACTGTGTAAGAAGTATTTAAAAAGATTTCACTGTGTCTGTAAAGGTTAGTTAGATTTTGCACAGGACCAACTTTTTAATTGGGACAGCCTAACACTTTAACTATAAGAAAAAGGTTGTTCTTTCTTGGTTTTGTTTTTTTTTATGGCTTGAAATTAAGGTAAACAAATAAATAAATGCCATATTTTTCATGTTTGACTTTGTATAAAACCAAATCTTTAACAAGATGTATTACTACTAATTGAATAATTAAAAATATAATATATTCTGACTTAAGTGTTTTACTTGTTTTTAAATATGTGTATGTATAAATATATAGTGTGTGTATGTAAGTAGAAATATATAGTGTGTGTATGTAAGTAGAAATATATAGTGTGTGTGTGTGTGTGTGTAAAATGTATGTTCATGATTTGCATAACAATTTGGGCAATATTCTAATTTCTGACATTACAGGGCTAGCGGTGAGATAGATATATCGATCTATTTTTTTGGCTGTTTAAGCCTAAAAATTAAAATTAACTTTTTGAATTCCTGACAATTCACAATTTAGTGAACAACACTGTTACAGGGTTAGTCCAACCATAGTAAGCTCTATAGCCCACTGTAGTGGTAATGATGGAAGGAGTACTCCAGTGCCATTTCCCAGTAATGGAGCAAACCATTTTTGCAACAGTTTGCCCTCTTACCTAGGTCAAAACCGTGAGCCGAGTTTCCAGTTCAGCAGAATTACGACATCTGGCTGCTGCAGAAGCGGGATCCTACTGCCCACTGATTAACCGAGAGTGTCAGCAGATCACTCTCGGTCAATAAATGAGCGTCTGCATAGAAATATATTGCTGGCATTAGCCAGCCTAGAATGGAAATGGCTAATGACTTTTCAATAAGGCTATCAGAAGTGGAGTAACATCTCCGGCAGCAAAGTGGTTAAACTTGGTATGAAATGCTGCACTTACAGACTGCAGGCACCATAACCACTTCAAATCTCTGAACTGCTCAGTGTTTGGAGTAATCCTTTACTATATAACACCACGGCGTAATTTATTATCGTAGTGTATAACCATGTAAGCTGTTAGCAGTGCCTTGTTTTGTTTTTTTTTTGTCTCTGTGTGTAATTATGTACTTTATGCTGCCACAACACAATGTTACCAGGTATAAACAGCTCTGTCTGCTACAATTGTGTCTAATCTTATCACTTTTTTTTCAAGCATCATAACTACAGCGAAGGAAAAAGTATTCGATACCCTGCTGATTTTGAACATTTGTCCACTGACAAGTGAAGTTTGACTTTTTACCTGGGGCCCTGATGGGCTCCACTACTGCTCTGTGAGAAGTTCTTGTTACTGAGCTAAGCTTTGCTGTGCAGGGCTTATCTCCAGAGTGCTAATGGAATCACATGAGTCGGAGCTTCCGCTCTCACTGAGCAATAGTGGAGGCACAGAGAAATGTCCCACCGACCCCAGGTAAGAAATCACTAAGCCGGTCTAAACTGGTTTGACTCCTTTTTAACACGTCAGGGGGTAGGGAGCCATAAGCACTATAGCTCATGTACAGTGAGGGGGGAAAAAAGTATTTTCCCCTCTGCTGATTTTGAACGTTTGTCCTCTGACAAAGAAATAATCAGTCTATAATTTTAATGGTAGGTGTGTTTTTACAGTGAGAGACAGAACAACAACAACAAAAAATCCAGGAAAACACATGTCAAAAAAGTTATAAAGATTCCATTAGCACACTGGAGATAAGCCCCGCACCACAAAGCTTAGCTCAGTAACCAGACTCACAGAGCAGTAGTGGAGCCCATCAGGGCCCCAGGTAAGAAGTCAAACTGTTAAAAAAATGGTGTGACTCCTTACAATAGCGGGGTACGAGGGCTCTCCTGGCACCATAACCACTTCAGTACACTGTAGTGGTTATGGTGCTTGGAGTGTTCCTTTAACCCCTTAAACACGCATGACACATGTGACATGTCATGATTCCCTTTTATTCCAGAAGTTTGGTCCTTAAAGGACCACTCTAGGCACCCAGACCACTTCAGCTTAATGAAGTGGTCTGGGTGCCTGGTCCAGCTAGGGTTAACCCCTTTTTTTTTATAAACATAGCAGTTTCAGAGGTAAAAAGGTAAGTTTTTACCCCCTTCCAGAGCCGGGCTGGAGGGGGACCCTGAGGGTGGGGGCACCCTCAGGGCACTATAGTGCCAGGAAAACGAGTATGTTTTCCTGGCACTATAGTGGTCCTTTAAGGGGTTAAGCAAACACAAAAAATCAGTGCAATGTAATCCAGAGTGTTCTGCTCCATCACATTGCTGGGTTTTTGTTTCTTCAAGTTTATATAAAAAATGTATGCAATTACATCATATTCCAAATCAAGTTCTCTTACAACTCTCCCGAAACATCTATAAAATAAAGCACATATTCATTGCCAAAATGTCCAAATCCTTGTTTTTATGCCCGGGAGCTACTGATTACTTTAGATCAAGCATGCCATCTCAAAGGCTAACACGGGCCAAATAAACAGTTCAAACTAGAACAACACAAACTAAAATTACTTGTATCATTCTCATGCAAACAACATGTAATCCTGGGAAATGTCACGGAATCCCGGTAGGCCAGTCTGACCCTGGGCCGCATGTTTGACATGCTTGGCTTAGATCATCAGCTGACTCTAGCCAACCAGCGACACTCTGTGCTTCCTGTAACTGAGATTCAGAAGCTGAATGCCTCCTGGGGAACCTGGATATTGGTGCTGGAGGCAACATTTGGGGTCAAACTGTTTGAGAATGGTTTTAACCCCTTAAGGTAAGAGTGTGTCTAGGGGCCTCCTGGCACCATAACCAGGGACGTATTAGCCGCAAGGCGAACAAGGCATTTGCCTTGGGTGGCATTTTTCAGGGGGTGGCAAAAAACGCCGCCCCCCAAATGCCCAGGGCAAATGCCTAGTTAGCCTTGCGGCTAACTGACATCCCGAGCGGGCGGGCAGGCGGGCGGTTCTGGCTGCTGTGCAGGCGGCTGACGAGGGAGCTCTTCCTCTGAGCTGACTGCTCAGCTCCCTCGCGCGCCGCAAAGTGAGGCTGGGAGCCGGAAGATGACGTCATATTCCGGCTCCCAGCCTCACTCTGCAGCCGGCGCGCGAGGGAGCTGAGCAGTCAGCTCAGAGGAAGAGCTCCCTAGTCAGCCGCCTGCACAGCAGCCAGAGCCGCCCAGCCTGCCCGGCAGCCACTGGACCACCAGGGAGAAAGAGACCTCCCCCCCCCCAGCACTCCCAAAGGTAAGGAGGGTGGGGGGGGCATTTAAATTTAAAAAAAAAAGTTAATGTGTGTGTGTGTGTCTGTGTGTGTGTGTTTGTGTCTGACTGTGTGTGTGTTCGTGTGTGTGTGTTTGTCTGACTGTGTGTGTGTGTGTGTGTGTGTGTTTGTGTCTGACTGTGTGTATTTAGAAGGTGGGGCGGGGGGAGGGGGGCGCCTGAGTTTTGTCCTGCCTAGGGCAGCACAAAACCAGGATACACCACTGACCATAACCACTTAATTTAGATGAAGTTATGTTGATTGGACTGTCCAGCATTTCAGCATTTATTATTTAGGGACATTGTACAGATTAAAATAGAAGGTATCTTCCATGGTTTAAAAAAAAAACCTGTTTCCACAACTGATAAAAAAAAAAAAAATTCCTATTGATTAATAGGAAAGGAAAAACAAATTGAAGAAGTGATCGCAAGGGGCAAAGAACAAGAAAAGCATTGCAGTCCCTGTACTTGACAGTAAAAATTTGGGGTTTCTCTGTAATGAGTCACTAAAATGTTTTGGGTGGCTACAAGCACTTTGATTGGTAGTTGTTGCTTCCAAATTCAACCTTTGAAACAGACCTGTCCTGTGTTATAGACGTTCTATGAAAGGAAACTGAATGTAGGGTACAATGTGACAGTGCAATATACAGCAAGTTCTTATGGCAGACTACACGTGGGATAAAAGCTAAATCATTATCCTCACAGCACCTTAAACTCCACAAGTTCAAGGCTGGGGCTCCATTAAGGCCAATCTGGCAACAAAATATCTCACACAACTGTCCCACTGCCCTTTATCGTTGGGAGGGAAGGCTGTCTAGATTCACATTTTGAATATGCTATGCACAATTCAGCTACATTCCGAGACCATTATGGGCTTTCACTGCTGATTCAGAAGAAGAAAGAGTTGCCAGTCAGAGTTTTTGTGGGGCACAGATTTCCGTGGAGTCGATACACAAAACGTTTGACTCCACAGCCCTGGTGCAAGTTCTGAATTGTGTTGGGCAGGGATTGGAAATGCTTTCCTGCATATTGTGGACTAAATGTGTGCCCAATGTAAATTGATTAATAATAACAGACAGGCCTTTTCATATTGTGGCCATGATTAATTGATTTACACTGGGAAGCAGACATATAGCACATCTTGCTCAGTGGGCAGCTTTCCTTATTCAACACAATGCTGAGTTTATGTGTCCAACAAAAACCTAGGAATCGCACATCTTAGTACAAGCTGTCAGAGAGAGGCAGAGTGGCTGATGGGGAAGAGAGTTGCTAACGATTGAATAAAAAAAGAAAATCCGCATAGCTAGCACATACACATTACACAGTGGATACAACTGCAGTTTCATGCAGAGATTACAGTTGGCTGAGCCTGTAGTGGGTAGAATGCCCAGAGTTGAGAGCAGTGGAAGAGCCACCTTGGATCACATTTTTCCAAACTCCTTCTAAAGATAAAAGGGTTCCTGAGATTACATGTGAAATTTTTGTTTTCTTCTTCGTGTTAGTGAAAGTATAGCACCCATATACACCTTAATCTGAGTTAAGCTTCCATATAGACATAATGTGGACCATGTTTTTTCGTAAGTTGATTTTTGATTAGGTTGTATTTTCGTTTAAGTTTGACTCATTTTGTGAAGTTCCTCTCATAACATGTACTTCATCACCATGCATCCAAGATCCTCAGCTACTTAGAACTGGGTAACGCTGTAAAAGCATTGCACATGCCCATCACCAGATCATTATGGAGTAACTACACACATGTACCATATATATCATGTCACTGTTGGATGCTGATTGATAATGTACTGTTCAATGACAAAATCTATAAACAGTAAAAAAAAAAAAGAGGATGGAACTGTCCCTCAGCTTATGAAACCATGAAAGTGGGCACTCTCAGCCTGGCTAGACAGAATTGTCAGTGATAATGTGAAGTGTTAAGAATTATCCATATGGCTCAGATGGTTGCAACCCCTTGGCACCGGAAAGACCCTTGATTTATGTGAAACCATTCTTAAACATTATTAAACAGCGGCCGTGAACTCTATAGACTCTGTGCAGCATAACCACTTGGCCATTTTAACACAAGTTTACATGTTTTATGGAGGAAAAGGGATAAGCGGTATGGTCGTATGATGCTATAGAACCTTAACCCCTTCAGGACCTAACTTCTGGAATAAAATGGAATCATGACATGTCACACATGTCATGTGTCGTTAAGGGGTTAAACCCTCCTTCAATGCTATTGCTCTTCATGGATTGAGAGCAAAGCTTCGGGAGCTGTGTGTCAGTGTCATGTTGGGGACAGGAAAGGCAGATAGTGGCATGGCTTTAAAGGAGAAGGTGTGGGGAATGTATAAGCACGCAGCATACAGCCAGACAGCTTTCAGTTACTACAAGAAAAAAACAAACATATCACTGGGTTATTCACTAAAGTGAGAATTCAAAGTGAATTTCAATCTTAAGGTCAAAATAGCCAAACTGGGAACATTCTCTAAGTCAGATATGCGTTCAGTTTGGCAACGTAGCCCTTAAATTTGAAATTAACTTTGAATTCCCACTTTAGTAAATATCTCTGCAAATATTGCACTCCACTGTGGCCGAGAAACTAATAAAAACAAAAAACTCTTTTCATCTCACAATTACGAGGATCCATTTCATCTTCTCCTGAATCACTCAAAATGGCTGCCCACACTAGGAAGGTGGCAGATACAATGTATCATCAATGTTCATATGACTTACAAGCAAGAAAGTAGCATGAACTTTATGAGCCAAAATAAAAACAAGTAAAATTAACTATATACAGGTGTCCTAGAGCCATCCGGCATCTATAACAATACTAGAATCGACAATGAGGTTCCGCTGTTATGCAGGTAAATTGTACTAAATAATTCATGTGGATTAACCCGCAAACTGCTCGAAGTGAGCTGGAAGTGGTAGAGGTTAACACAGTAATGAGTTTAAGCATGCGTGGGATAGGCATAAGGCTATCCTAACTATAAGATAAGACTAGGGACTAATGAAAGTATTTAGAAAATTGGGCAGACTAGATGGGCCGACTGGTTCTTATCTGCCGTCACTCACATTCTATGTTTCTAAGTTGCTGTGGTTACAGTAAAAGGCGCACAGAACGTTTAAAAGACGTAATAAACCCTTAAACATCTGCATTTTAGAAAAAAATAAAAAATCTCTTCGTTTAGGACACAAACTCTTTGCGGATTACATTAGTTTTCTGTTTATTCCATGGACAGTTTATACTGCCCTACACCTATTTCCAGCAGTGCACTGCCGTGATCTGCCAGTAGATGGCGCAGATCTTCAGCCGTTCCGGGGCTTGCCTGCAGTCGCCGGTCAGCAGATGGCGCTGTTAATCCATTCTCTGTCTGTCGGTCTGTCTGTGGCGGAAGTCTCGGTGATCCCGCGCGTGTCACTTCCTTTCAGGCTGCGTGCTCTCAGCTGCGGTCTGTCTCCGGGGGAGCCGCCACCATGCGCGTCGAGAAGTGTTACTTCTGCTCGGCCCCCATCTACCCGGGCCACGGCATGATGTTCGTAAGGAATGACAGCAAGGTGAGGGCCGGACCGGAGACCCCCGATATCGGACCGGGGCTCCCTGATACCGGGCGGGGGGGGGAGGACCGGGGCTCCCTGATACTGGGCCTCCCTGATACCGGGCGGGGAGCACAGGGCCCCTTAATACCGGCGGGGGAGGAGCGGAGACAGGCCCCGATACCGGGCGGGGAGCACAGGGCCCCGATACCGGGCAGGGGAGCACAGGCCCCCCGAGCACAGGGCCCCGATACCGGGCGGGGGGAGCACAGGGCCCCCCGATACCGGGCGGGGGGAGCACAGGGCCCCCCGATACCGGGCGGGGGCCGGGGCCCCGATACCGGGGGGGAGCACAGGGCCCCCGATACCGGGCGGGGGGAGCACAGGGCCCCCCGATACCGATGGGGGAGCACAGGGCCCCCCGATACCGGGCGGGGGCCTGGGGGGGGATATACATAGAGGAACACACAGGGCGGGGATAGAAAGACCGCTATTTATTGATAATGTTATAGGTAACACAGCTCGTATTATCCATACTCTATTATAGTGCTAGCCGTAGACACCAGTCCCTGAGCATCATGGGAAATGCAGTCCAAACCTTCTGGTGTGCCAACTGCTAGTTATACTTGCTCTATAGATAAAACCTGATTGAGTATCCATGGAAGTCTCTCTCTATATAATTATAAAGCGCCAACAAATTTTATATTTGTATATAAGGGGAAAGCTTTTATTGTGGTTAATTCACTTAATTGTAATCTTGGAAAGGTAAAGCAAATGATTTGAAACAATTCTCCAACTCATCTTTTGTCAGAACTTGTCAAATTTAGCCTACAAATGCTGCCATTCGAATTTCAGTTCACTACAATTTGGAGTTCAGATTATAAACCCCCTGTCTGTGTCTATGGCATTTCAACAAGCAGTTGAGACATGTCTGGGAAAATATAACACACCAGTGAGTGCAATACAGCAAGTTGTGGCAAAAGTTGTGCCTTCATAACTTACATTTGCGGAGGAACGAAGCTTCTTGGTACAGGAAAAACAACAAAGTTGATGGCTAGAAATGTCTGTGAGAAGATGTATGCACAACCACCCTCCTTTAAAGGCACAGTATAAGCCAGGTCTTGACAAACATGCTTAGAATATAGGAGCCATCAAAACAGTTAGGAGTCACCATAATCATTACAGCTTAATGTAGTTGTTCTGGTATCTATAACCTGTCCCTGGATGCTTTTCAATGAAAACACAGCCTTTTCAGAGAATAGGCAGTGTTTACATTGCTGCCTAGTAGCACTTATAGTGACAGTCACTCAGACAGCCTTTAGAGGTACATCCTATGTTCAACATCTCCACTCTCTGCATGGAAACGCTTAATGCTCTACATAGAGATGAATTAATTCAATGCATCTCAATGAGGAGATGCTGGTTGGCGAAGCACAGCGTTTTGCCACACATGCGCAATAGCCTCCCAATGCTTTCATATGGGAGAGCTTTGGATTGGCAGAAATCATAAAAAAAGTGATTCTCAGCCACGGAGACAGGATCGCCTGCGGTGAGACCGGCACGGCGTGGGGAAAATGGTGAGTAAGCGCCTTACCCAAGTCTTTGGAGGGGGGTGGTCACATGATTTGACACACACTGACAGGCATATTTAATGCTGCTAATGGTTGCAGTATGGATTTACACTTATCAATAGGTTAGTGTGTGTGTGTATATCAAATATTTGGCTAAAAATATCTCTTATTAAAATTCCATGTTTAGAATGTTTTTTAAATTTTAAATTCCTATGTTCCCGTTTCAGTTCTGCATGCATGATGTCCTAATTTTTATCTTGAATGTTTTGATTTAACTTATTTTGGATGATTGCAATGTCTTGTTAGATGTTCCGATTCTGCCGGTCAAAATGCCACAAGAATTTCAAGAAGAAGCGCAACCCCAGAAAGGTCAGATGGACCAAAGCCTTTAGAAAGTCAGCTGGCAAAGAGTTGACTGTGGTGAGTATAAGCAACATTATAACATTAAAAATAAACATTTATTTTTATTATTTCTTAGTAGTTTTAGACTATGAGCCCCCTCCCCCAAATCAAATATAAAATGCAGTATGTACTCATTTTTATCAAATGCTAGGCAGTCTCTGTTCCACAGCTGCTTCTTCTCTTCTAGAGATCTCTAGTTCAGTACAATGGTTTGTACTACATGTCATGTGTGGAAACCACCACACCAAAACAAATTGATACATTCCCAGAGTTCTGCAGCATCATGCTGAGTGTAAAGACTTAGTCTTCACTAGGAAGTATCTGTATTGTCTGTCACTCTGGCAGCTACTACTAGCATGGTTATGGCAAAATGTTAACATTGCTGTTTCTCTGCAGATGCCCAGTTCACACATTGCCTGGTTCGCTGCTTAGTTCCATGCAAAGTGCCTTTTGTGTGAAATGGCACAGTTACATTTTAAAGTCCCCATTCATGCTAGTGTATGTCACTTGGACATCTGCTAGGGATAACAGATGACAAATTTGGTTATGAAATCTATATGACGTCGGGTGTCTGCAAGCAAAGTATGCATATACTGGACATTGTATATCCACATAGAGAAGCACTGTATTGGTGGAAAATTGATATTGCCATGCATGCACCATGTGTCTTCACTGTTTCATTATAAGTAGCATCTGATTGAACAGAAGTCATCAGTATTGATGACTTCACAGGAGTAGGATTGCCGCAGTGAGGAGACTGTTCTTAAACTGAAATGAAGGTAAGTTTAATGGCTTTTAAAAAAATATTCTAAATCTAAGGGGCACGTCTAATTAAAGGGTTACTCCAAGCACCACAACCACTTCTTTGATTTGAAGTGGTCATGGTGTCTAGAGTCTGTATGTGCAGATTTTCTTTTTGAAATGCTGCACATACAGAGATTAAACCCTTAGCCTTTAGTTGCCAGAGGTGTAACTCCACCTCCGCCAGCATCATGAGCCAGCCCAGAACGTAGTTCCAGGCTGGCTAATGTCAGTTCTGTGTAAATTTCACAAAGAAATAATAGGAACTGCACTCAATCCACATAAGCCAAATGAGTGCTTAACTAGACCATGGGCCAGCCCCGCAATATATAGATACCAACTGAAGATTCAGGCACTCCAATGCTTTATAGGCACAATGATTGGAATCAGGAAAACACTGCAACGTTTCCACCCACAAATGGGTTTTTGTCAAGCTACTTCACACTAGAAAATACAAACATTTTATAAGCAGTGCAATAATACAATCAACAAATTAGTGGGTAAGATAATTACATTTGTAAATCTGTGTGAATTGGCATCTTACAGCCACTTGCCACTTTCCTTGCTACTTCTGTCCTCCCTCCGGCGACGGGGAGTGACGTCCGTCAACAAGAAACCAAAATAAGTATTTTATTACACTAGTTTTTGCTTGCAGTAGCACTTTAAAAACACATTGTACAATTGAACACAAATGTTCTGTCATATAATCTAGTAAGAGAATTAATAGTACGTTTCTAAGCATTATGAAAAGTATAGAAACACATTTTTCTTGTATGAATGAATGTATTTTATTCTTAGAATTGGAAATATGAGCTCATAGCCATTCAGCTTCCATACAGGTTTCAGTGCAATGTTGATAATATTCTACTCTCACAAATGCAACTATATTGTATTCTCTCTCTTTGTTGGAAACAGGACAATGCTTTTGAATTTGAGAAAAGAAGAAATGAACCTGTTAAATACCAGAGGGAGTTGTGGAGCAAGACAGGTAAACTTTTTACATTATAAATGCATTATGTATAACACGTTATTGTAATTGAAGTGCGGTTACAACTCTCTCATATCTGGTCATGCAACAAACTTTGCCTCACTAAGCACTTAAACACCTCAGCTCTCTATAATGTGTTTTTCATGAAATGCTTAGATGTAGATGTTATTGTTGTGTGCTGCCACACTTGTTGGAATATGGGGTTGCAGTTTGCATTTACTATATTTACTCTCATATTTTTCAATATATGGGCAGATAAAGCTGGACTGGATTTTATCAAGTCATGTTAAGAGAGTGGCTTCAGCTTGTGATACACAAATGTGATGCTGAATCAAAAATGATGTCCCTTATGGATCTGAAGATCTCCCCTGACACACATCTGCCTGGAATATCTCCACGTGCATTAAAATTTAAATGATACCATTGATTAGGCTTGTCATCCCATGCGCATTGGGCATCTAATGCTTGGAGAGCTCCCTTAACTCGCATTCAAGCTTCTTGTAGTTAAACAGAATTTATCGTACTGGAGTCACTAAAGGTGGACTTAACCCTGCACTGTAAACATTGCAGTTTTTCAAATGTGTATGTCAATGTTTTACATAGCAGAGTTAAGAGGACAGGAACACTGCACCGAGACCACTTTATTAATGTGACTGTAGTGTTTCTTCAATTACAAAAGTTCATTTGGGCTAAATTGCACTCAAGTGTTTCACATTATGTGCTATTTTGACCCGCTTAGCTTGATGCTTCATAGATGTTATAGCAGGCATTACCATTTTAGCATTGTACTTCACTGTAGTTAAAGGTATATTCTAACCACAATAATAGCCTATGCTTATTGGCAATATTGTCCTCATCTCATTTCCTGCACACAGTTGCTTGTTACTGTAGGGATCTGCAAAATTTGCTGCAACAATAAAACCTTCCTGTTTCCCACAGACTTCAGAGAAGTAATTTATACTTCCTTGTTGCTAAAAAAAAATCCCTAACTCACCCAGTGGCTCTCAAATTCCAAGATGCAACTGTGTTTATGCAGTTTAGATAATGTGTTAAAATGGATGCCACTTGCAATCTCCATTTAAGCCTTCATAGGCAATACTTGAATCCCTCTGAGATTGGAAAAAGGTTTATGGTGGAGCTCTGCTTTTTGTCAACCTCAGCCTTGTCCATAAGACAAAGTAGTCACTGTTTTATCTTATGGATTGAGTGACATTCCAATGCAGTCTTGATCAGAATTTCATAAAGAATATATCTTTGAGAAATGCTGTAAAATGACAGATATGTTATAACGCTTGGATGCTGTGGCAGCTTTCATTTAAATAAACAAACTGCATTCTTTCCATTCTTTGAACTGCTTATAATGCATTCTATTTAAATGTATAGCTCAGGGATAGGCAACCTTCGCCACTCCAGATGTTGTGGACTACGTCCCCCATAATGCTCTAAAACACATGTTTGTGCTGGCAAAGCATCATGTGAGGTGTAGTCCAAAACATCTTCAATGCCGAAGTTTGCTTATGCTGGATATAGCTGGTTTATATATCAATAGGACTAAAATAAAATTGCCTGGCTATTTTTAACCCTTTCTTCATTTATATATCTGCCTGTTTCCTTTATGTGCCTCTATATTGTGCGCTTGGATTTTAATTCCTACAAGTATAGTTGAGTGGTAATTGATGGTCTTTTGATTTGAAGTTGCTGTAATCAGCTGTCAGTATTTTCCCGGCCATTCATAATAGAGCTTTGTTTTGTGCAATGCATTAGTATACAGATGATGCCTATTTGCAGTAACATGATTGTTTCCTTGAATTGTTTGCAGTTGAGGCAATGAAGAGAGTGGAAGAGATTAAACGGAAGCGACAGGCTCGGTTTATCGTGAACAGGTGAGTGCATCTGATTATTTCTTTTATGCACATCAGAGTTTTGAAACGCTGACCTTTTCAAATAGAGATTAATACTCTTCAAAAATTATCTTGTAGACTGAAAAAGGGTAAAGAGCTGCAGAAAGCACAGGACATCAAAGAAGTCAAACAAAATATCCACCTCATTCGTGCTCCTCATGCAGGTAAGTTGATTTTTTTTTTAAATTTTTTTTATAGTTATTAAATCCAGTAACCATCTGGCATGGCAATGGTGTCTCTGCTTCTGATGCTAAATCAGAATACAGACAATAAGATTGATCATAAATTTGCATGAGCACTTAGAGTAAAAGGCTATGTATTCTGTCGCACAAATTAAAAAATTAAACAATGAGTCCATGGAAGATTTTGCATGATATGATAGACCATGTGCAAGTACATGAAGATACAGTAGGCATCTATTAGTCAGAAATCAATTAGTATTCTGCTTTCATCATGTTTTATTATTGCCAAAGCCATGTAAGGTAATGCTGTCCCTACTTTCTTATGTTTGTCTCTTATTTTGGGGTTGGAATTTCAATTTAATTCAAACACACTCTATACTGGCAACTTTTTTTATATATATATAAAGGTTCTGATGTAAAAATGTCACCATTAAAAATACATGCATTAAACTTGAAATAATTTGCCATACGTTTTTCTAGCTATATATAACACAACTTCTGTAGTACACCGCAAAGTGATGTGGCACATTAGTCGACTCATATTTGATTGACATTACACTTGCAAGGCAGATTTCAAAGCTTTCTTGTACTTATGCGTGCACATGCATCAAATGAAATTTGTGAACGCTTTCCCAGTTATACTTCACATTTGGTATACTTTAATTTCACTAATCCAGGTTAGAGATCCGTATTAAACTTTTAAACATACTTATTGGGGGAGTGTAAATCGTACAAGCCAGTTAATCACAACCTGTCAGTCCCAGCCTATCGTTAAGTTTTATTTATTTTTATTTCTAGGAAAGGCAAAGAAGTTGGAAGACAAAATGGTTCAGAGATTGCAGAAGGATGTGGATATGGAAGACGATGCCTGAGCGCATATGTTGCTTGGCAGTGCTTGCCTTTGTGTCATATTCTGGTGCTTTATGGAAACCTTTTAAGCAGCACTTGGAACTGTATTCTGAATTCATGTCCTTACGTTTTTGGAAAGGATATAACGAAAGTAAAAACTTGTACACAGTCAGCCTATGTTTATTTTTCTGTAGAAAGTCTGAGAAATAAAAATTTTTTTTGTTGTTGTCTTAAATTGTGTACATTTTTTTGTTTTGTTTTTTCAATAGCTGAGAAATTCTTTTAGTGGGTCTAGTCTGTATGAGAGGTGTGATGTTTACTGTAGCAGTAGCAGCACAGTCTTTCTAAGTGCAACTCTAGGAAGCATGTAATATGCACTTTTGTTTTTGTTGCAGAAAAGTATTTAGATTCCCACCCCTCCAATGACCTACTGAATGCTAAGCAGATTTAGTAGTGCATTGTGCACCACACCACAAAGTAAATACAAGTTCTGTTCTGATCCGTTATCATGAGACCTGTGATAGGATATCATATACAGTTCTTAAAAAGGTTTACATTGTCCAAGTGGATCTGAACAATGCCCACAAAATAAAAATGTATAAAACCATTTTTTAGGAAGACTTCCTTCACAGTGTTTAAAGAAAATCTTAATGTTCAAGGTGGTAGGCCACCAAAAAAGGAGCTCTGTTTTCGGCAAAGCATTGGTGGTCTGTATGCACCCAGACCACTTCAGCTCATTGAGGTGGTCTGGGTGCTGTGTCCCTTCTGCAGCACTAAGCCTAGCAGACAGCCACTGGAGGCCCTTCCAGAATCGTAACAGACTTTTGGTCCGTTATCTGATGCTGGACGTCCCCACGCTCTGCATAAGGACCTCCAGCGTCAGATTTTTCCCCCCATAGGAAAACATTTGCTGCGCATTAGACGCTGGACGGAAGAGGGGGAAGAACTTTGACCCATCGCCGAGGGACATCTGTGTTGGGATAAGGTAAGTAAAGGATTTTTAAGCCTTTATTTACTGGGGAGGCGGAGGGATCTGTAGTGCCAGGAATACAGCTTTGCCTACAGTATCCCTTTAATGTTAGCACTTGGGGGAATAAACATTTTCCATACACACACACTGATACAAGACGACAAACAATATATTGGTGTCTTTACGGAGGTTCTGAAGAGTTTTCATTGAGTGGCCAGTGGAGTTATCCCTAGGCTGTAATGTAAACACTGCATTTTTTTTCTGAAAAGACAGTGTTTACTGAAAAAAGCCTGAAGAGAATGATTCTACTCACCAGAACAAACAGTATAAGCTGTAGTTGTTCTGGTGACTATAGTGTCTCTTTATTGCTCATAGTAAACAAGAGATAAAGCAAAATTAAGTCATCAGAGTAATTTTTATGGTGCAATGTCTCCTTTAATGCTCATTCATTGATATGCAGCCTGCTGAAATTTTCATGATGTGCTGGTTAATTATAGTTTGCTGCTTCTTGCCAATTTCGCAGGCTGGGTATCATTTTACGAGATAATTTAGAATGAAAATATATTCCGCAGTGGTATCTCAGCATGTTCCCCGACTATATAGGTTATGCTAATACTAAATTAAGTATTTTTCATATTTCTTTAAATTTCCAAATCTGTGGGAGTTTTTTCAATTCTCAGTGATGTTCTGTTGGTTACAAGTGTTATCAATTACAAGTGCTTTGCATATGAGTCGGCTAGAATATTAAAAAATCATTTATACATGTTTACCTGATGTTGGTTTAATTCATATACAGTCTTAATTAGTAGTTCTTGCTGTGCTTATGACAATTATTAGGGATAACTCGTAAAATGTAACTGCAACATTTATCAAAATGTACTAATGTACTGGATTCCAAAGATATTTGTTATAGAATATCTTACTATTTTCTAAAGAAAACATGATATTGTAGATCTTAAACAACCACTCATATATTGCAGTTTTTAATAGCTTTAAAGTCTCAATTTATGAGAATGTAGTTGATCACACAAGCACCAAATAGGTCTTGATTGCTAAAATAAAATTTTAAACTTCAATCGAAGCAAACGTTTATGCTGCTTGGATGTTAAAAAAAAATATGTCCTTGCAGGTACACTACTAATTGTCACACTAACTATTACCTGACAATGGATCACAACCATTTGCACAGAATCTTAAAAAGAACTTGCCATTCTGTCCCCAGAATAAATTCATTCTTTTGAAGGATCCAAGATTTTAAACGTTTAGAGTCTAAAGTGTTCAATAAATAATTAGCAGGAAAGGGATAAAGAAAAAAAAAATCAATACTCTGAATGTCTCAAAGACAACTATGGGTAAAAGCACCCCCTATCTTTTATACAGCTTCAGTTTTACCATCTGGTAATTCAGTTGTCTATGTAGATATCTGCATACCTGTCTTATCCACAGAACATAATTGCAGGTCATTTAACGGCGGATCCATTGACTACTGAACATCACATTTTAGTAAACTGAAAACAGAATTGGAAAGCAGGAAAAAGTAGCTGATATTGAGAATTGTTCTTGTTATCGTGGCTATTTTTTATTTTTATTCTTTATTTTTGTAGTGCATAAGTTAGTTAACATGCTCACAGTGACATTTTAAGTAAAAAAATACAAAAGGGTGAGATCAAGATTGTTGTAAAATGTCAGCAGTACAGCACTTTGTTTTTCCATGTTATTTACAAAAAAAAAAAAATCATGAAAACTATACAGTGCTTAGGAGTGATAATGAAGCAGGTTTTGTTATAGCGATTACATTTCGTAGGCACGGATATTGATTACCACCAATAATGACAAGCTTAGTCAAAGTAAATACGGTAACTATGCTGGGTATCATGCTTATAGTGGGAAACAGCCTGACCCCTCCTGATTAATTATACATCTGTGTGTTTTGCAAATTTCAGCAGGTAGACCAAATAGATACATAGTATAACAACGTGTTGAAGAGTAGGGGCTGAAGATAGACGCTGCATGTAACTGAATTATGCTTTAAATAACATGAGAACCGACTAGTTGAATATGTGGTTAGACAGGATAAACTTTGCTGCTGAGCTGGCCATCTAGTTGTTGTTTAAGCTTAAAGCGGCACTGTCATGCCGAACTTACCTTTCCTCAATCTCTTCCTCTTCTCCCCCTCTCTCAGGATCTGTTATTCTTTTCTTCCTGTCTTCTTTAGTTTTCTTTAAAATCATAAGACAAAGTAGGGACTCTTTGCCTTATGGAGGATTCCTCCGCTTGACCAGCTCTGACCAGCGGAGGAGCAAAGTGTGCTTCATTTCCGCTGGTCAGAGCAATTTTCCCATGATCCTTACCTTCCCTCTGTGTTCCCACAATGCTTCCTGTCACTTTCCACAAAACTGCCGAATTGCGTTCTAACTGAATGAGAAGAGTCTGTTCGTTTCTCTTAGAACGCAATTCGGCACTTTATTCGGATCGGAATTTCATTCTAATGAATGAAACTCTAATCCTATTCATTGCTGTGGCTGCATCTTGCAGCCGCTTAGTAGATAACTCCCTAATTCCCACGGTATCAGGGAGCTATCTACTAAAAGGCTGAAAGACCTAAATTGGTCTTTCAGCCACATTTACTAATACTAAGTAAAGATTACTTAGTATTAGTAAGTAATATGCCCCTACTCGCTATACCGCGAGTAGGGGCATGTGTAGTAAGCAGTGAGCAGCATATAGCTGCTCACTGTAAAAAGAAAAAAAATAATACCCCCCCCCCCATGCCCGTGGGGGCCCGAAATAAAGATGGGGGGGGACCTACTGTCCCCCTGACCCCCACCCCTGAGCGGTGGGTGGGGGCCCTAAATAAAGATATGGGGGGGGGGAACTTCTGGCCCCCACCCCTGCGCGGTGGGTGGGGGCCCT